CGTTCCAATAATGTAACCCAAGAATTCGACTTGGTTTTTATGGAACTCGCACTTCTCTGGTTTGAGGAGTAAGCTGTACTCCTTTAGTTTCTTCAGGACGAGTTTGACATGCTTGACATGCTCCTCCTTGGTTGCTGAATACACCAGGACGTCGTCTAGGTAGACAATGGTAAAGATGTCTAAGTATTCATGCAAAGCATCATTCATCAGTCATTGCATAGATGCGGGTGCGTTTGTTAGCCCAAAGGGCATGACTTGATACTCGAATAGGCCATAGCGGGTGCGGAATGCTGTTTTCCACTCTTCCCCAGCCTTGATTCGGATCAGGTTGTATGCTCCTCGCAGATCTAGCTTACTGAAGATCTTTGCTCCTTGAAATCTATCGTGTAGTTCGTTGATTAACGGCAGGGCATACCTGTCCTTGATTGTGATGTTGTTCAACGCTCGATAGTCCACACATAACCGTAGGGAGCCGTCTTTCTTTGGTACGAAAAGCACCGGACTTCCTGCGGGTGACGTGGATGGTTTGATGAATCCTTTTGCTAGGTTATCATCAATGTACTCCTTGAGTACCTTTAGCTCTTTTTCTGATAGCTGATATATTGGTCCGAACGGTGGACTCTTGTCTTTCTCCAAGGGTATCTCGTGATCCCATGGTTGGTGCTTAGGAAGCGCCTCGTTCTTAGGGCCTTCCTGGAATAATTGCTCGTATTCCTTGTACTCCACCGGTATACTCGTCGGTGAGGATGCCTGGGCTAGGTCATCGAGCTCGGAGGTTGCACATAACTCCTTCCGGCCCTGGGAGGGTTTCTCCCGTTGTCGCGTGTCCGTCCGTTGTTCACACGCGCACTGGCTCATCACAACTTTCTCGTTCCACCAGTCAATCTGGGGGTTGTGTTTCTTGAGCCATGGCACACCAAGGATGCACGCATGGTTTTCCATGTGCACGATGTCAAACTGAATCGTTTCCTTGTGCCCGTGTAGCATGACCATTTCCAATGGGACCGTTTCGTGGGTCACCATTCCTTCATTAGTCGAGATGGGCTCTCCATCTACGACCATTAACGGGTATGGTTCGGCTTTCATTGTTGTTTTGAAGCCCTGTGTATCTGCTACTTTCTTTGTCATAAAGTTGCCCGTCGCTCCTGAGTCAATCATTGCTCGGAGGTGTCGCTGTTGTATCTTAGCGACCACATATAGTTGCATGCTGCCCGTCGTGGCGCATAGTTGGTCTGTACTAGGCCTCTTCGTGTCGCTCGCCGGTGGCCTACCGTCGAGGACTCCTAGTTTTTTGACTCGTCCGAGGAAGGATAGTATTCATCCGCTTCCAATGGTGGTCCTTGGGGAGATCGTTTCCCTCGCTCTTCTGCTTCGTCTAGCAGATGTGGGTATTTCTTGTATACCTGTTCGCTTTTGATAGGCAAGTCCCCTTCAGACTGGCTTCGCCTGAGGGCGTGAACTTGCTCTGCGTCTCTGAAGTGTATCCTGGGCGAGGATCGGGGAAACAACTGATTCTGGTGTTTCTTTTTCCAGTGGAGCTTGCAGTCATCTTCGCTGCAATACTCCCAGTAGACATACGCGTGCCAGGGATGATCAGTCTCTGTTGCGTCTGTCGTTGATAGTTCCCGCTGTCCTCTCACCCATGCACTATCTTCCCTCGGAGGCGTGGAGAACGTGTCTAGTTGCTCCATGGCTCTCCTTTCGATGCGTGGAGTGGGTCTCGCATTTTCCCGTCGGAGCATATCTCTGGCTTTCTCGTCGTACTTCTTCAGGGCTCTCCTGCGGTCCTGGTAGTAAAGTTCGACGCTTTTCATATACTTCAGTTTAGCCATATGCTCGACATCCTTCTCCAGTTCTTCCGCTTCTTGGGCTTCCAACTTAGCTACGTCTTGGGACGTGCCAAGCAGCCTGCGGGTATTCGTTAGTTGGTCGTAGTATCTCCAGAGGTCATCCTTGCAGTCGTCCACCTTGCATTTTAACGGAAGTCCCTGTAACAGGTTCCCGTAGAGGTCTTTAAGCATGGGGATTTTCCTCTGGCCATTGGGCTTGTCTCGTTCGGCCCTAATCTTCGCGTGGGCGTGTTTTGCCATGCGTCTTACTACGTTCTTGCACCGTGGACTCATTGGTTCCGTAGGTGCGAGTTCATCGAAGGTCTCCTGTTCTGAGACGGTGAACGATTCCGCCTCCGACCCTTCATCTGAGCTCTCGTCTTCTGGGGTGCTTTCGCCGTTTATTCCCCAGTCCTGTTTGCTCACAAACGTTGCGTTCAACTGTCCTGTCCAGGTGGCATTGAGTTGTTTGCCGACTTTGCGTCCGCCGTTCCCTTTCTTTGGCTGTCTGCAGTCTCGGGCCATGTGGCCTGGCTTGTCGCAGTTAAAACAGAGTCGTTCCTTGAATTGTCTGTCTTTCTTAGGGTCACGGGGTCATCCAGGTTTGAACGTGGCATCGAGTTCCATTGGGTCCGACCAACGGTTGTCTCGCGGGTGTTGATCCCGTCGTCTGCCCTCGTTTCCCCGGTAGGGGTAACTTTTCTTGGGCTTGTCATAGGTCCGACGTTCCTTCTGGAATTCGTATAGTCGATTGTCGATTCGGACCGTATGTTCGATTAGCGCTACCATGTCCGTTGGTTGTTGTTCCAAACGGGCAAGTTCCATACGTATATGGCTCTTCAGCCCACGTCGGTAGTGGCTGATGAGTGCGCTGGCGTCCCATCCTGTCTGATTGCCGTATCTCTGGAATTCTGTGGAGTATGTGAGGGCGCTGCCAGTCTGCTTAAGTGCAAACAGATGGTCTTCTGCGGTCTTAATCTCATCGATGTCTCCGAACATGCGTCGGATTTCCTTACAGAATCCATTCCAGCTGCCAAACATAGTCTGCGTAGTTGTCATGCTTCCATTGGTACTTTCATATTTGAAATAGTCCTTGAGGAATGGTTCGATCCATCGCAGGGCTTCCCCCCTAAGGTAGGACGCAGTCCACAGGGCATAGCTCTCCTGGGTGGGAAACTTCTCATCATTGAAGTGCTGGTACAGTTCGACCTGTAGCAAAAACACCTCAAGTTCCTTTCAGTTGCCGGAGTAAGTGTCGGGCAACTTGACGCGTAGAGTTTCCTTGAGTTCGTTGACGGTGGGTGCATCGGGCATCTCCTCATTCTCAGGCTTAGACCTCTGAGATGAAGTTGGCGTGGTGGGGTTTTTCCCCTTCGAACTGACGACAGACATGTTGCTTTGTGTGTAAGCCGGTACCTCGTAGAAGTGGTGCTCAAAGTGTAACGCTGACTTCTAAACGATAGAAGACACAGAGGTTCTCTTGCGTAAAGGTTTACTTATCAGAGGAGGCAGGGGATCAGACACAAAGGCTTCAAGTAACACGTTACTAGTATATAACAAATACTGTATTGAGTTGAGCACGAAGCTCCTATCTAAGGAAATACTATCTACTTATATAGTGGCGTCGTGCCTAGTGGACTCTTGGGAACTCACTCGAGTCCTCGGAGTCCTGGACTCTTAGGACTCTTCTCATCATCCTGCGAGTCCATCACGTGCCTAGTGGACTCCTGGGAACTCACTCGAGTCCTCGGAGTCCTGGACTCTTAGGACTCTTCTCATCATCCTGCGAGTCCGTCACGTGATACTTTCGGAACTACTATTCCCCGCTGCCCCTCCAGGTACCAGGGCCGGTCTCATGCGACCTCCCTCCTTCCTGTCCTGTAGTTGGCCAGCCTTCTTGTTCCGTCGTAACAGCAAGTTGCATATCGGCTCAAACTTCCAAACAGCATGAAGATTCATCCAGTATTTCATGCCAATCTATTAAGACTTGACTCGAATGATGCAATCGAAGGGCAGCAACAGGAACCAGAGCCTCCAGTCATTGTCAATGGCGAAGAGGAGTGGGAAGTGGACGAAATCCTCGACTCAAAAGTTATTCGAAAGAAGCTTTTCTACAAGGCAGCTTGGAAGAACTATCCACCGGATGAGACATGGTATACTGCAGAGAGCTTTGAAAATTCTCCAGAAGTTACCCAAGCATATCACAGAAAATACCCTCAGAAACCAAAATGAGAGCTGGAGACAATTGTTTTTTTTTTGAAAATGGGATTTCTTGATCAGGAGATCAACTCTGGAGTAGGGGGGGGGGTAGTGTTACGATATCAAGTGCGCCTTGCAGCTCGAGTGGGGGTTCAGGGGTGTGGGGAGCTTTCCGGGGTTGGAGCGAAGTTTTCAGTTGTGGAGTGAATTCTCAGAACTGGTCTTGCTAAAGAGAATTCACTCCACAACAACATAGCTGTATATAGATCGAGCCACTGCTCGAGTGCTCCTCTTCTCTTTCCTTTCTTCTCTAGATTGAGTTTAATTCATAATACCCAACTGGCGCCCTATGCCTTGGTGAACCGTGACAGAAACCACACGCCAATTAGTTCAGGATCTTCGCACAAGGCCCTTTGGAAGTCGTAAACGCGATTAAAATGCGTCTTTAATTCTGGACGTTGTTGTACAAATCGGTGGGCCCAGAGCTTCCCGACGCGCCTCCCTCCACGCGATTCGAGTATAAAATTTGCCATATCTTCTACATCAGCAAGCCGGGGTGCAAATCCTCTTGAATCCATATCAAGTATATTCCGAATAACCACCTCCTCTTCTAGTATAGTTAATTTCATCATTGCAGGCCGGCGTTCGTAGACAGTAGTTCAGCCGTTCATTCTGTCGCAGAGTGTAGAATGAGGTACTTCATAGAGCTTAGCAGCCTTCCGACGACTTAGATTTTTTGATGTTCAGATAGCCTCGATAGCTAGAATGATTTTTGCTTCTTGGGTAATCACTGACATAATAAAAGGTGGAAAAAACGCGTTGTGAAGTTAGAGGGTAGGAAATTCGGGAAAAGTGTCCGAGGTACTGATATGTCCGACGTACTGATAAACCACGTTATGCATTAAGTCGATATATTTTTGTGGATCCGAGGCATCGACTTATCGTATTTTTACTGTACTCACTAACTACACCCCGCTCGCTAACCAGCGGATACCTCGGCCCGTCCCCTAAGCATCTTTGCTAAACACTCTATACGCCACTAAATTCCCCCCCCAACTCCCTGGATTATTATACTTCAACGGATTCCCCTTCCCATCCAAAACCAGCGTATCCGCCGACTTAATATTAATCGCATACCACGCCAAATTATCCGGGTTATTCGCCACACGATTCATATTCGTCTGACACGTGCCATCGCACGCCGTCTTACCGTACGACCCGTCCCATGGTCCGTGGAAGAACGCCCAAGACGCGGAGTTGTACAGGAAAATGTCCTTCCCGCCGTCGACGTTGACTGCCAGCGCGGTGCGGCACTTTTGGTCGTTTGGAGCGCACCACGTGTAGTCGGGGTCGTGGTACGTTGCCTCTGCAGTCCAGGGGTCGGGAAGGGTGAGGGTAGCTTTGTCGCCTTGGTTATACGGCGTCTCGGTCTGCAGAAGGCCCGCAAAGACGTTTTCGGCTTGGCCGAAATTGTAGTTATACAGCCAATGATGCTCCGAGCCGCTGCCAACCAGCCAAGTGCCCTTCCTAGCCTCGACGAGGACGCCGCGGCCGGTAGCGATGATCTGGTTAGGCCCGCCATCAACGTTATGGTCTGCAGTCCAGGCCCAGAGGTTCTGGAAGTAGGAGGATGAAGATTTGGTGAGGTGTACCGCGAGGAAGGCGGCTTTGCAACTGTGGGTATCTTGGTCGGTGCAGGACTTGTGGATGGCGGTGTCGGCTGTGCCGCCGATGGTGACGAGGGTGTTCCAGAAGCCGACGTCGCCGGGGGCGGAGCCGGCCATGTTTACCTCGAGGATGATGGCGCCGGGGAGGACTTCGGAGACGGTGAAGCGCATGTCTTGGATTTCTGCGACGCCGGTCTCGCCGTGGTTGCCAACCTTGATGACGGGCGTGGGCTTTGAGTCGTCCTTGAATTTATCACCAGCACCTAGAGAATATTAGTTGATATACTTTGGCTACAAGAGGATTTAAAACTTACCAGACACAACAGCCCATGCCTCGCCAATGATGCGGGACCCGGGAGGAATGTACAGGGTATCCTTCACAATATACACGCCGTATGGGAAATACGTGATCTTGCAATTGGCGGCATTGTTGCGGAGGATGGCATTCAGAGATGCCGCATCATCAGTCTTCCCATCACCCTTAACTGAGTGATTCGCGACACTCTTGACGTTTACAACCTGATCGCTCGCAAACTTACCATAGCTGGGTGCCTCCTTGGTAAAATACTTCCCATCCTTGAGAAGGGCGTCGGGACGAACCGTCTTATACTGAGTTCCAGTCACGTAGTTGCCAGGATCAGCATTACCCCACACCCAGGTATCGATGGCATCGGCGGCATCAAGCGCAACGGTGTTATCGGCCTTGATGGCGATGGGGTTCGTGGTGTCATGCTCGAGGTTTTCAATGACGATCTGGTTGTTGCGATTGCCATTGGTGTTGGATGAATCCGCAAATTTAATGACGGGGCCGGAATTGATCGACTTGGAGTCTAGGAGAACCAACGACCCGGCATTGCCTGCCTTGGTAAGGTCGATGCCATGTCCGCATGTGTCGAAGGTGACGCCTTGGAGAAGCGACGTCCAGCCACCGGTGGCAGCGTAGGCAGTGGAGCTACGGTTGAAATAGATGTTCTTGAAGTTGACCTGCTGATTCGAGTTCTGGATACCAACCACGCCGCCGTGGATATTCTAGTATGTTTTAGTATTGTAACATGTAGGGAAAACTGCGATTTGGGACTTACCACATCGGTCACAGCAATGGTGGAACCGCCCTTAAGAACAATTCCTTTGTGCCCTTTGGAATATTCGGGCATCACAATCTTGATGTTTGACATTCCTGCGCCTTGGGCAACACCCCAATTAAGGGCCATAACAGCCTTGTGCTTATTGATGGCAGTTGTGTCAATGACAATATTTTTGATAAGAGTCATGAAGCTCGTCTCCGGCGCACCGACTCCAAAATCGAAACCATTGACAACGGAATCTCCATCAAAATCGGCCGAAGCCTTGATGACTGGGGGATCATTTGGGTCGCCCACAATAATCGTGCCCACGCGGAGATCCCAGGTCTTGGAGATTTGGTAAGTTCCACCCGGGAGGTAAACCTCTGCTGGCTTGGTGGTTAAGCCCTTCTTATAGCGGGAACCGCCATTACCATCGGAGTTGATGGCATGTTGCAGATTCCCGGACTGGTCTCCCGTGCCATCATTGGCGACTTTGAAGTCAAGAACGTTCCTGAACACAGGATATTTATCCCTGTTGTCAGTGAACGGTGCAATTCCTCTTGCTTTGCCTGTGTGATCCTGCTCATCAAGCCAGTATTTTGAAGGCTTGCTCGCGGTAGGACCAGTGCACGCTGCTCTCTCTAGCATGGCATCTGCACGGGGCTTTTGGAGGTGTGCATCATCGCTATATCAAAAAATCAGAAGCCATCCTTGATATGTACATCATAGTGTACTTACGAAACATGACTGAGGACTGCAGCAGCCAAAGACAGAGGGAGCACAGATGCAAAAGTCAGAAGACCCCGCATTGTATAGGAAAGATAAGAATATAGGACGCTTTCAGTTTGACATGGATCAACACAGACGAGAAACAATTGTGACAAGGACGCATATATATAGCTCTCTTGAGGCCCGTCACCAGAGACCAAAGGAGGGAACTTGCCTTTTATATATGATTCCCTCCTTCGACGGCCAACATCGACATTTCCCCGAGGCGCTTCGGCGTTCTCGCCGTTTCAACGCCGTGGTATGGTATTGGTAAAAACAGAGCTAGCTTGCAGCCCCCGCGAGTAGTGAACCCCGAACCTACCGCATCCTTGGTGGCCATACAGATCACAGTACCTGACTAGACCATTGGGGTCAACCGTCGGAACCAGAAAGGAAGCTTGGCCAAGGAAGGCATGTTGATAGTAGACTCGGCGAGGACATGCGGGGTGGGTGGGCATGTAGATCTCAGAGATACGGTAATAGACATCGTTTGGCACTGTATCACCTTGGGCACGTTGTAGCACAGTAAGGTAACAGATCACCGCCGTCAGGACCATAGAGGTCGGCAATTGTTGGGATAATTGGAGTAAGGAGGATGTTTGATGGCAGACGATGGCGGATGATGATGATTACATGGATGATTCAACAAGCAACCGAAGGTAAGAAAGTGTGGCTCGGGTTGACTGTAAATTAGCGTTGGTAGGGTGGTTGTTAGTGGTGTTAGTTTAGTGGTGTTAGTGGTGTTAGTGGTGTTAGTTTAGTGGTGTTAGTGGTGTTAGTTTAGTGGTGTAGGGGTGTTAGTGGTGTTAGTTTAGTGGTGTTAGTGGTGTTAGTGGTGTGCTAGTACCGTGCTAGTGGTGCCTGACCCTGGTGTGGTTGGTTCCCCTGAGCCGATCCCCAGTGCTGTTAGCACACACCATCATTGGTTTGTCCGGAACTCCGCGCTTAGGAACATTTCTTTACTGTACTCCGTAACTCGCATATACTGCATATTGTGCTGCATAAGTTACGGTATTCCTACTAATCGGTATTCCTACTAATCACGGCCTCACCTAACCTTAATAAAGCCGAAAAACTTCATGCCAGATACCTTGTTATTTATGAGCGAGGACACTAACCGAGCCACAGCCCAATCCATGGGTTGCCATCACAGACCTCTCGATGCGAAATCGTATCGATATCGTCAGCTTATGAGGGAGTTTAAGGTGGAGGCAACACGAGATGCAGCGTCAAATTTATAGTAATGCTGATTATATGGTTACGACTATCCGCAGTCATGCTATGCTGATTACTATATGGTTGCGTCCATCTACATGTATATGGCTTAACAATATACAACATGATGATAACCCCCCCCAACAGTTCATTTACTGTTTCCAAACTGACATCATGCAGGCACTCCTCTCTAAGCCTTGAGACCCGCAACAAGCTTGTCTCCAACAGCCTTGATGCTGTCTTCGAACTCCTTCGCGTTGCGGGCGTTCCACTTGGTCGAGGAGCTCGGCACGGCAGCCTTGCCAGGGAAACCGATGTAAAGAACGTCCTTCTGGTCATGGCCACTGTTTCCATCGAGGTGCTCTTTCGGGAAGCACATATCAGCCAGGGAAATGGAGGCCTCTCCGACTGAGGTCTCGCCGTTGGTATCACCCCAGACACCATAGAACTACCATCCAGAGTTAGCTTCATTCTCAAAGCACTGTCGCCGAACGCGACTGGGTGGTTGCACTTACGACTTGGTTGTTGCACACAACAGCCATGACACTAAGAGGCTCCATGCCATACTTTCGGGGGTCGAACGCTGGCTTTCTCCCCTCGTTGCCAAAGACGACGTATGGGTGGAGATTAGAGTCCAGGTCGTCGATGCCAACCTTCAATGCCTGAACCTCGCTTTGGAACGCCGTCGTGCCTTGTCCGGTAGGGTCATTGGCGCACTTGCCACCGGTCCTGTTGGCTCCGTCGCAGTCGATATCCATGTTGGCGTACTGGCCGCCATTGCCACTGCTGTGGATGAAAACGGCCCCCTTAATGTCGCCGCAGTACCCGAATGTTTTGGGACCGCTGCCATCTGTGAAGCCGCTGGCGAGCTTATTGCTACATGCTCCGCTCTGTGCAGCGTGTGAGAAGTGGACAATGGGTATCCTGACTTGATCTTGCTCGACATACCTTGTGCTTGTTGTAGATCTGAGAAAGGTTGTTTGGGAGGTTGTAGGCAGAGGCAACTGATGCCGCCACGGTAATAGCTGCGAGAGAGTACTTCATTTTGAGAATGGGGTATAAGGATAAGGATACTGGGAAGCAATTGAAGACTGATGAGCACAAAGCAGATGGTTATCTTGACAAAACACCCAGGGTTATGGTAGCTTTATAGTCTCTTCCACGGCTGATTGAGACATGGAATACCATATATTGGTAGTGATCGGCCGGTCCTCTATTCTGTGGCCATGCATAGCTATGGCACTTACTCAGTGCTATAGCGCCCAGCTTTCGCCGACATGAACCCGCCGGCAATCCCTTAACATACCAAGCAATGATCGCTCCACCTACCTACAGCAGACAACCTCTGGCAGTTATTTACCGCACGGCACCGGCTGCATGGTGCGCTGAATCGCCGAGAACTGCGAGAGACACCTTCCTAATGAGAGGAGGAATCTACAATGAGGCTGCACTCAGACGGTCAACAATGAATAAACACCGACTAAAACCCCGCGAAATAAATTGTGGGATGGGGCAAACGTGCTAAATTGCAGCATGGGACAACCAGCGTCGGCTTTCTATTAGAGTTCTGCGAGTAGTGCGAGTAGTGAGACTAATCTATTGATTTACCGGTATGTTCTTATTTCTTGAATTACTTTAGAGTATTATGTACTCCTCCGTATGGTGAACGGCAGATTATGCATGGTAAAACTAACTTTGCCCTGGATGTTGCGGGAGGGAAAGGGGTTTGGGATTTGTGATTTGTGGGGTTGGAGGCGGTGTGGCTTCTGGTTGGTCAGCCACGGAGAATTTAAAGGAATAACGCCACGCCGGCTTCAGTAAGGGTTGCAGATCTACCGTGCATCCCAGTCCACTTCGGTTCTTACTCCCCATCTCTGCATAATTCGTTCATTACGCACTCAACCCTTGTTCTTAAACAACACAAGCCTTCGTTTTGAGTTTCAGCCCTTCAGCCCTTCATCCCTCGTCCTTCATCCCTTATCCTTCATCCCTTATCCTTCATCCCTCATCCATCACCCCTCAAACCCCCTCCTCCTCGACCCCGCTTTCTCGCGTCCCCTCACTTCAGAGCCTTGGCCAACGACGACTCCAAACTTCGACACACAGCAGCACCGCACCTCCAAACGCAGCCATGGCTACCGTCGCCCACTGCCTGTACTGCTTCGACGCCCTCGCGGCCAACCTCGAGGACCGCTCCCCCTTGGCCCTCTCCGCCATCGAAGAATCCTGGCCCGACTACCCCAAAGGCAGCGACGACGGGGACTCCGACGCCGAAGCCAACGACACCGAAGCCGACTCCACCTTCTCCGACACCCTCCAGCTCCCAACCCCCAGCAGCCTCTCAGCCACAACCCCCTCAGGCTCAAGCTCCTCAACCTCCCTCCTCTCCCCCACACCCCTCACCCCATCCAGCGCCGGCACCTCCGCCCCCCCTCTCGCCCATCCACCTCCGCACCCTCCCCCTACCACCCCATCGGACAATCCCTCTACCCCCGCTCCGCGCAATCCAGCGCCCTAACCTCAACACCCCTCTTCGTAACCTGGAACATCCTCACGCCGCCCCTCCAATTGCGGCAACTCCGCGGCTGCATCGGGACCTTCGAAGCGCAACCCCTCGACACGGGACTGGCGACATACGCGCTCGCCGCCGCGCACAGCGATAACCGCTTCAACCCCATCGTGACGCATGAGCTGCCCGCGCTCGAGGTGGCGGTCACGCTGTTGACGAACTTTGAGACGTGTGCCGGGCCGCTGGATTGGGAGTTGGGTGTGCATGGGATTAAGATCAGCTTTTATCAGAAGAGTAAGAGGTATAGTGCTACGTATTTGCCGGATGTGGCGGTGGAGCAGGGCTGGAATAAGGAGGAGACGTTGGAGAGTTTGGTGAGGAAGGCGGGGTGGAGGAAGGGGGGGGTTGGAGGGATGTGGGGGAGTTGAAGGTCGTGAGGTATCAGGGGAGGAAGGAGAGTGTGGAGTATGAGGAGTATAAGCGCTGGAGTGACTGGACTGTGGCCCAGAAGTGAGGAGAGGTGAGGAGAAGTGAGGAGGATATGGCTACGGATACGAGGTGCTTGGCCATATGATGAGGGATGATACTACGATTGGGAGGCACAGGGGGGATAGAACAGGATAGAACAGGTCGGCGCATTCATGGGTTGATAGGCGTTATTAAGATATCTCTGCCTTATGAAACGGGGTTTTCATTCCATCGGCACCGTACCCGTTAGCCCACAACAGCGATTTTGGCATCTATGTGGATATCCCACCACATGAGGGGCTGAGAGTTTAGTCTAATATTCCAACTCAAACCAATTTCACCAAGCCAACATGTAAGCGAAGGACATGCACATCACCACCGAGCCCTCCGGCGCTATTCCGGCTCTATCAAGATTTGCCCACCGTCAGCCCACATCTTAACAGAAACAGTAACTTAGTGATCGATCTCTCCCTCGGCCCCATTTCCCCATTTCCCCATTAAATCCTACCCAACTCCACACCAAACTTTGGTGGTTATGACCTCGTAGATCGTCCGAGACATCACCTCCGCAGTGCCGGTAAAGACGGTGAACCGCTTTCCCGACCGTCAGGGGGTAGTGTAGGACTTTTGAGATATTAATTGATCCTTGGAAATATGTCTGTGGTTCTATGCCGGTAGATACCTATCGAGGTAGATAGACGGCAAATAATCACCTACGGCTGGGTTACTTGGGCACGGTGGAGGGCGAGAGAGATGCTGGTTATGAGTTTGGTTCGGAGCAGTACAGACAGTAACTCTACGACGGCGGTTGATGTTAGTAAACAGTTCAACTCTTCTTCTTCTTTATTATTTATACCCGGAATGTGCGAACATGAGCGACAAACACCAGACTAAGATTTGCAGGCATAAATGAGCCGATTACTTTTGTATTCTTGGATATACCGCCATAGCATCCCCATCCATAGCACTCATCCATAGCATCCCCATCCATAGCATCCCCATTCCCTCTCATCTACCGAGAGTTGGACATCACCATAACACTAGCAAAACGCACTATCAGGGACTCATCCCAACCCCCCCCCCGTTCCCGTCTTTACAACTCCCCCAAACGTACTCCCAGAGCGCGCCCATTTTCGTTACTCCATCTCCCTACCCCGGCCAATAAAACACGCCGCTTCCCAAACCCGCTCGCAAAAAAAAAAAAACAGCAAAGCCATCAGCCGCGCTCATGACGCCGAAACCGCTGCATTATCGCCATCCGCCAGCCTCTCCCGCTGCGCCATGACGCGGCCGTTGCAGATATCAATAAACATCTCAAACTTCTCAATCACCTTGTCCTTCTGCTCCAGCGCCGCCCTGAGCTGCTCAATCTCCCGACTCGTCTTCTCTTTCAGCTGCTCCAGCTCCTCCTTCATGCGCATCACCTCCGCCCTGCACTCTTCCCTGAACTTGTCCTCCGGGTTGGGCGCCGAGCGGCGCTTGTAGATCGTCTGCAGTGGCGCGTCCGGGTCCAGTTCTGTGTCTTGAGATCGCTTGTCTAGTTCCCGGGCTATGGCAGCACGCGCATTGTAGATGTCCCTTGGGAGATACCCCGCGTTTGGGTGCGCGGCTTGGATCTGCTTCAGCGTCTCCTGCGCACTAACACCTGCATCTCGCAGCGCCTTGACTGCCGCGACAGCCGTCCTGTCCAGCCGCCTAGCCGCGGGGTGGTCAATGGCACCCTTGCTAGGTCCATGGTTGTGCACGCAAAATAAACCATCCGGACGGTACTTCAGTAGCCACTCCATAGTTGTCTCTATAGCGTAGAGGCTGAACTGGCACCCAGTCTTGCGCGAAGTCGTAGCTCGTCTACGCACTGGCGAGTCCACGGGCAGCATGTTGTGTTTTGAGGTTCCACCTTTATCACACGTCAAGAGCACCTTCTTGAGTCCGATCCTGTTCTTTTTTTTCGAGCGTCCGATAACGCAGGCGTAGCCGCGGGCGAGGCCCCAGGCATTGACGGACTGGAGGAGAGCTTCGAAGGTCGGGAAGGACGTTTCTGGCGGGGCTTCCATGCCCAGACTTGGGTCGGGCGTCAAGGCGAAATGCGTGGGGAATGTGCTTGATTGTGGGGAGGCTGAGGCCGAGGCGGACGAGGAGGAAGTGCTGGGGTCATGGCCGTTACTGGGTGGTTGTTGAGGCTGTTGCTGGGGCGCCGGAGGTTGCTGCTGCTGTGGGGTTTGTTGGCGAGCTTGCTGGTGAAGCTGCTGCTGATGTTGCTGGTGCTGTTTGCCGTTCAGCTGAGGGTGAGGGTGATGGGAGGTTTGTAGAGTAGGCAGGGCTGGTCGTGTGGCCGTGGGGGCACTAGCAGCGTGCTGCAGTTGATAGAGGTAGCTGTTGTGGTCTCGCTGCAGTTGCGCATTTGGTGGCGCCGTGGCGAGCGTATTAGGATTCATTCCATTGCTTCCTGAACGGTTCACATTGTCTTCTGGTAGCGACACCTGTCGGGTGAAGTAGGGCGCTGAGGAGGGGACATGAGGTTGTTGCCCTGGGGTTGATGAGGCTTGAGGCGGCGGGTTGTAGATAGGGTGGATGGCGCTTGGTACGCTGGATTGGGCATATGCACGGCGTGCATTCTCCTGTGGTAGAGCGAAGGACATCGAGACGAGATATCGTCAATGCCTTGACCTCGGGAGGTGGTCTGGTGAAGAGTATATAATCGTGCTTTGGATCGATCGCCAATAATGTGGGGTGGTGTCAGAACTCGGACCAGCTTTTGGCGGGAGCACGTGATGCGACATATTTGGCGCTGGGTGAACTTTTGAGCACTAATTTCGACAGTTCTTAACTACACTTATATTATCACGATTGTACATAAGGTTGGGATCCCGCGCCTTTGTATTATTCTCGTATTCATAAAAACTGTGTCTAGGTATCTCTACGCACAAAACGCAGCGGCGGGACGTATTTCTACGTTACAAACCCTCCTATAATCGGTGATTTGTACAGCACTGTGAGGGTGTATCTCTGTGTCTCTGTCCCATGCACCAATCCTCGCGCCCATTTAGAGTCAAGATTAAGGGGATCTATTCTCCATTGCCTATTCTGGACTCGAAATCTACAGGAAGTAGTCTGGGGTGCCTGTAATAATGTTAGTAGTTGTATCAAATGACATGTTTCCATTCGAAACATACGTCGTGAAACCATTGGCTCGCCTGCTCTTGGGCATGGATCAAACTGCAAGCTGTAGGTTTGTTAGTATGCAATATTTCAATGTGTCGTTGGCCGACTTACAAGGTATACTTGAGATGTTCATCTATCTCCATGATTGCCGCCTGGTTACCGCACCTGTAACAGTAATTTGGTGCTGTGTCGCAAGTCAGTAAAGAACAACATAATGACAAAGTCTCGCTGCATACCAGAGAATATGGTGACAACGTTCCGATCTTGAGACCAATTGTAACCCTCCATGACAAGTTGATGAGCTCTGGCAACCAATGTCAAGCCGTTATTGTGATTGAAAGCCTCCGAGATATCCTGTCCGAACGTGTACCCCGCACCTCTGGGGGATATCCCCCATCCGCATCTATCATCTGGATCGGACCAGAGAAGGTCGCACATTGGCCCTTCATGGGGAACCTCTTGTATGCGGTCAAGTGCTCTGATGTTGTCTAGGGTGTCAATGCTGGGAGACAAGCCACCGTGAAGGCAGAATATTTGATTATCGATAAGGGCTGTGAGTGGTAGGTAGTCGAAGAGGTCTGTGAAGTGCTTCCAGACGTTCGCGTTGCCGTATTTGCGGAGGCATTCGTCGTAGAATCCGTAGACCTGAGTGATTTGGCGGGATTCGTGGTTTCCTCTGAGGATGGTAATGCGTTGAGGGTAGCGGATTTTTAGGGCAACAAGGAGGGTGACGGTTTCGACTGAATAGTATCCACGATCAACGTAGTCCCCTACAAATCGGTTAGCCCACGAGAATCCCAAGGGTATCGATTTTACATGCCCATGAATAAGTAGTTTGTGTCGGGGTTCGGTCCTCCGATCCTGAACAGCTCCATCAGATCATGGAACTGGCCATGGATATCTCCGCAAACTGTAACTGGGCATTTCTAAACAGTCCATTAGAGTTTGCATATGCCTGACCGCACCGATGTCAACTTACGACTGGCTGAACGTTCGACTCTTCTTGTAGAACCTCTCTCGCCTGTTTTAACAATGTTAGGTCCGTTTTTTGAGGTAAACTTGTTGTTCACGAGCATTGGGAGGTAGGTAGCCCGATCTTACCTTCTCGCAGAGCCGTTGGACATCCACCTCCGCAAGCTGCTTGCACGACATCAGGCTCTCAATCCAGCCGTCAAGAGTAGATATAGAAGTAGGCTCAGACACTGGCGACAATCGCGTGGGCTCTACCACTCTACCAACATCCTCCATGGTGGCGTCCATTGTGCCCCGTTGTCGTTGACGATTGTGACGTTGCGACCAAGGCTGGTGTTGTTTGGAAGCGGGATGTCCAGCTCAGATCGAATGACTCCACGCGCGTAGGTATTTGTCGCAAAAGGTTTCTGGGTGCTGTAATAGGCTAAATACAATGCAGCTGGGCCACAGTCGTTATGGCGCTATTCGTGAAGGGTATTGAATTTGGATTGCAGAGCGTTTACCCCGATTCTGTATATGGGGTACTTAAAGTTGTAGTGGTATGGGTGGCTTGCCATATCTCGCTTAGATCAACCCGCGTCTAAATGTACGTACACCATGAAGCTATTTACTTACAGCCGTAGCTTACATAAATGGACGCAGCTAACTGCCTTTCAACAATATAAATAGGAACGGTGCGGTAAGATATTTATTTGTACAGTGGATATAAACGTGCCTTTTATACGTTCTATGCAAGACCAAGCCCAGCAGGCGTATTCCCCCCACTAGTTGCCTCAGTTTCACGACCTATCAAGTTCTTGAAATCCAACCCAACTTCAGAGAGCATCTTCGCGTGCTCCTGGGACTGTTCCATACATTCTTTCCAGACGTGGCCTTCGCGGTCGGCACTGCTTAGTTGCCTGTTTAAAATCACATTGAAAGCATCCACTTGTTCCTTCGCCCACTTGACACATGCGCTCATCGTCAATGGCGGAAAGCATTCCTGGAATGTCAAGACAGTGTTTTTAATGATCGCAAAGTAAACAAATGAGATCTCCCAAATGTACTGGTGTAGATTGCCCTCAAAGGTGCATTGTCTGCCATGAACAGTTAGTGCGAGTAGACAGGTACGGAATACACAACATACCTCGAGCGTTTATGAATGGTTAGGCTGCGTGCTTTCAGATAGGTCTCCCGAGCGCCATCCTCGAAGCCAAGCCGTGTAAGCCAGCCGACATTGCGCTTCGTCTTTTTCAACTCGTTGTGGCTATCAACAAGTTCACGAGTGATCAGGCCCGCAAGCTTAACAGCCCGCTCATTGACCTTGAAATTGATGAAGTCCTGAGCCACGGCATTATTCTTCAAGCCCTTCGCTAGAACCTTCAGTTTTTCGAGGAGATTGACTGCCTCGTCGAACTGCTGAAGCGCAATGTCAATATCAAGCTTGTCAACTTGGCCTTCAACCCAGCGTAGATTCTGCTGTTTGCCATCGACCTCAATAAACACATTTGGGCGCTCTTTCATATCAGATAGTGTCTCTAATAGGTCTGCCTTCTCCAGTAAACCTGGATCTCGTGAGGCGAAGTAGTTAATGGTTTCTTTGGTTTTGTTGTTACTTTCAATCTCCGATCGCAATCCCCTTCGCAACTCCTCCACGGCCTTCCTGAAGTTAAGGAGTAGTTGCGTCTTCTCGCTGCTGTCTGCGTTCTCTGTACGATAAGTGAAAGATTCTTGTGCAATGCCTCGGATCATAATGGCATCTGCGACCTTATTTCTAGAACCAGTAGCGTCGTTGGTTCCTGCAAGATCAACCATTTCGATGTCGAGCAATGGCCAACATCTATCTGCCACAAGTTTTGAGGGGGCCTGTCGGGGATCAGACCCGTTATTGCCCTCAATTCGACGTTTCTTGCGTGAAGCAACGAGAAGATGGTCGTTTAAGAGAATAATTTGCATAGATCTTCTCGGCTTCCACGTTGCGTTGTCAAGCTCCACCCAAAGACCGGCATTTTGGACGACATGGCGACCAAGTGCCGCAGGGAGAAACTTCTGTGAACCACTAACGGCCTTCCACAAAGCCTGTAGCTGAGAATTCCACAGAGCCGTGCGATCTGCAACAGAGCTCCGCTTATCCCGCTTGCTGAGAACCGTATTCATGGACCCATTGAAGCCAGATGTGTCGGCGGGAGCTGACGATGACGCAGACCTCAAAGCTGTTGTGTTGCTCTTAAGCTCAGACATAAGATTCCGTAGAGCTCTCATTTCACCCTTTAGCTTTTCGGCTTCCTTACTAATCTTAATAAACTGTGTTCGATTTTGATAGACGTTCTGTTGTAGATCCGTTGAAGTTCGATTTCTCATCTTCTTCAGAGCTTGTTGATAGTCGTCTATGTCCTGTTCGGAAGCGTCACCGAGGATACTAGCAACATCTAAATGTTGTTAGCATTATTTACATAAAGGGAAGGAGTATTGGATTTAAATTAGTCCAAATACTCACATTGCTGCGATTGCAGGGAAGGGTCACGAAGAGCATTCAAGTCAACGGTGATACCAGCACCCCTTGACGGCGGCTTGCCTCCATCTCCATCACTAGGTCTAACAACTCTCCTCGCTGGTGATGTCGATGGCACCGGAGGTGCAGTGGCATCGAACCCCGCAGGTAGGTTGTTGAATCGTTCCGAATACCGACGTTTAACAAGGTCGAATGTCTGTAGTAAGTTAGTTAGATGAAGCAGAATTGAGACCGGAAGCTTCAATTGGCAACTGCCTTACCTTTCCACCGGCCTGTTGGCGCTGCTTGGGAGCCTCGATACTTGACTTTCCTCCAGCGCTGCGTGGCACGTCGGGGGTTTGCTGAATTGGACCTGATATTTGTTTGGGCGCACTTATAACTGGGCGTGCTTTCCGCTTTGTTCGCAGGGATATTCCCCTTCCACGATCGTCAGACATGGCTGGTCGTGTTGTGGTGAAAGTCTAAAGAGTTACAATTCGAATCCCTGAGCTCACGCCGGATTGTACGGTGGCAGCTCCAAGAACGACGTCGTTGGCTGGTACGCTGGAACGATACGGGTGGGCCGCATTACCAGTTCCCCATTAATGTTGCCTAACTTTCGAGGCTGAAATACCCGCGTCGAAATTATTGTCAAAGGGAACCTTTTTTTGGCCATTAACAAGGTCCCCTACAACATCAACGATAACCTTTGTTTATCCGTAAACCCGCCCCTACAGAGACTACAGTTTGTTTACACAGTTGTTCAAAATGGTCCAAACTTCAACGATTGTCACTGCCACTGTTGGCACAATTGCGACGGGCCTCGTCGGTATGTTAACCATGTGAACCATCCCTCAACCTCGGGATCTCCTAACGTTTATGCCCGATAGCTTATGCCATTTATTTCGACCACCGCCGCAGAACGGACCCGGGTTTCAGAAAGCAATTGAAAAGAGAGTCTAAGAGACAAGCACGCGCAGCAAAGGAAGAGGCAGAGGCACACACCAACAGACAACGAGAGGCTCTGAAGGCCGTGGTAGAGGAGGCGAAGGAAGAGGGCTTCCCAGTCGATGTTGAGGAGAAAGAGGCATATTTCATGAATGAGGTCGCGCGTGGAGAGCAATTGGCACAAGATGGTATGATCTCTACCTGTGTTTAGATCGGGAAGGACCCCGACACCACGAAGCCGGAGCTTCATTATCGTCAAATATACAAAGTTCCTTACTAACAAGTTTTAAATTATAGGATCCGATAACTTGGAAGCAGCTGTGTGCTTCTACAAGGCGCTCAAGGTCTACCCGCAGCCATCTGACCTGATCACCATATATGACAAGACCGTTCCCAAGGTCCGTACTTCCATCCTTCCATCCGGACCTGTCACAAATCTTCCATCCTGATACCTATAATAGCCTGTACTGGACCTTCTTGCAGAAATGATCGCAGTTGACCCCAGCCTTCACGTTGGCCCCTTTCCTTCCGGCGGAGGAAGCGAAGGTTCCGACAACGGCATTCCAGGAGTTGGATTGGATTAAATGCCTCGAATTCATCACAACACCTACGACCTCTGAAGGCTCCTCAAACTCCCAGCAAGCCACCTAGCTCCATACGCGTTAGAACACGAGGTGGGAGCGCTTTGCAGCCTAGAATCAAACGACTGGGTATGGATCTTTGTATATCAGCTGTACCTGGCGCCCTTCACCTTTGTGTCTTAATTAGTCTCCTACTCCCCTTTTACGAACAACGAGGTATAAATATATATCCTGTTTAGCCTTCTGTCAAAATCAAGGGGTCTTGTATAAATAGAGTTGCGACTTCGATGTGGATAGCTTAGAGTAGCTACCAATGCGAAGTCAATTGGCCATCTAAATTCATTACCATTTACTGGTTTACGGTAGTTGATATAAATGATTTATGGAGTTAATTCCAAATATAACTCCAAAAGGTTGTGTTATAGCTTGTTTATGACCTCAAACAAATAATCACAAGAGCTGTACTACCAGACTTGGGTAAATATTCTTTGGTTCCCGCTTTATACCGGGGTGCCTGTAAGGGACCCCTGTCGAAATAGTTAAATCGCGGTCCATCCATCATTTACGCGAATTGTTAATACCGTTTAAAAAGACCCCAAGATAACCTCCTTTCAACCATCTCAGTCTACACGATACTTAGACCCTGAAATTACACCAAATAAACCACTACCTCTACATTAATCTGCTATTAAAGCTGGGCAACTTTCGAAATGATATCCTACCTATAATTCATACCAACTCAATATGGTGACTTTGGTCTCATCTCCGGCAAGCCCCTCGGCGAATGGCGTCGCAGGCAGCCATTTTTCAACCGTAGATCCTACTGTGGTTGTTGAGCATCTCGCAAGGCTCATTGAGGCCAACTTGGGAGCTACAAGGAGAGAACTGGAGAGTATCGGCAGCTTGTTGTCGAAGTCGAGATACCCGGAAACCGTCCAACGTTGCACTCGTTTCGCAACAGAATCGCAAGTTGCCCTCTACGTGCAAAAAGATATCGTCGGAACGGAAGAAGATGCCAAACAGTCGTCAGATGGCCAGGGTATGTTCCAACATATTCTTGCAAATTACGGGACAGAGGCTGATAATGGGCAGGTGGCTTTGCTTACACCCTGACCGGCGACCCAACATTATCCCCCCTGACAATCACCTCTCTGATTGTCACAAAACGATCACCAGCAATAGATCCCTCGATACCAGTTGCTCTACAAATACATTCTATTGTGCTCCCTGGAGCGGCCGCCCAAACCACGACGACAGGTGGCTCTGGCCCAACTATCGAAGTCCTCTACAACCTCATCCATAATGGCCTCGGCCCGTTTTTCGATGCATATATCAAGAACCAAGCAGCAGCAAGTGGCAATAGCGGGCGGACAGAAGTCGACAGCAAGACTGGCATACAGGTCACCAAAAAGAGGATAGCTGACTTGGATCTGAGTCTCCGTCATCTCCAAGAAAACGTGGAAATCCCCGAGCTATCCCTTCCGCTCCACCCACTCGTACAAAATGCAGCAGATGAGGCGGCAGCCCGTGGAGCGAAGCCTACCGTGGATTACATTTCAGAGTCGATACTTCAAGACAGCACGTTCTTGAATAGCTTACAAACCACGGTCAACAACTGGATTAAGTCAATACAAACTATCACAAAGATGACCAGGGATGCCAAAACTGGAACGGCAAACCAAGAAATCGACTTCTGGCTGTCGAAAGAATCGGCGCTTGAGAGCATAGAAGCGCAATTGCGAAGTGACGGTGTCCAACTCACCCTGGAGATTCTCCGCCATGCAAAGCGATTCCAAGCAACCGTTAGTTTCACCGCAGATACTGGACTGAAAGAAGCTACGGAAATTGTCCAAAAATACAATCAGCTCATGCGTGATTTCCCTTTGGACGAATTGAACTCAGCTACAGCGCTTTCGAAGGTAGTAGAGGCTATTGGACAGATTTTCAACCATCTTAACAAGAAGTTGAGGATTTGCCCCTATCCCGTACCACGAACGCTGTCCCTTGTCGAAGCTATCTCGGCGGATCTTGACACCAAGCTGCACTCCTTACTTCATGGCAGATCGTTGATGCATCTCGACTATAGAGACTTCAAGGTCTTGATGACAACAGCGGATAGCATTTTTGCTGCATGGGACGAGAGTATTAAAGAGTTCACCAATGTTGCAAGAGAAGTGACCAGGAGGCGAAACGACAAGTTCATTCCTATCAAGATTAACTCCAGGCATGCGGCGCTTCAGCAGCGACTTAAATACGTCAATACATTCCGTGATAACCACGAGCAATTGCAACGAACTATTATCAATGTTTTAGGCCCCAATAGCAATGGAGGCGGTGTCGATGCTGGCTCGGCCAACGGCGTGGTCCTCATTGAAGAAATGGGCGATGTCGATGCTGTTGAAGAGGTGCAACAAGCATATGCCGCCTTGAAGAACGTCGATTTGTTGGACACGTCTCCGGAAGGCACTCAATTCTGGGCGCAGCAGGAAACGGCCTATAATGAAAGAACCGCTAGAGTCGAGAACTCCATCATTGCAAGGCTGAGGGATCGCCTGGCTACCGCGAACAGCGCCAATGAGAAGTTCAGAGTTTTCTCCAAGTTCAATGCACTCTTTGTACGACCAAAGATTCGAAGCGCCATTGCGGAGTATCAGACCGTTCTTATCAATAATGTCAAAACCGATATTACAGCTCTCCACGAACGTTTCAAGCAGCAATACGGACATTCTGAGGCTCATGCTATGGCACAACTGCGCGATCTCCCCCCAGTGGCAGGTGCTATTATATGGGCACGACAAATCGAGAGACAGCTTGATGGCTATATGGAGAAGGTCGAAAATGTCTTGGGTCATGATTGGGCACTACATGCCGAGGGTCAGAAACTCCAGACAGAGAGCAACATGTTCAGAAAGAAGCTCGACACACGACCTATTTTTGAAGCCTGGCTACATGATGTTCAGCGGAGACAAATTAATATCACTGGCTTGCTCTTTGCCATCAACAAGAATAGATCGGCTGGCAATGCTCTGGAGCTTGCTGTCAACTTTAATCCTCAAGTCATTGCTCTCTTCAAGGAGACTCGCAACCTGGTGTGGCAAGGTTACCAGGTTCCTCACGCAATCAATAACATCTCGAAAGAAGCCAAACGAGTTTATCCGTACGCCGTCAGTCTCATGGAAAGCGTTCGCACGCTTGCGCAGACAAATCGCCAGATTTCGGAAATGTCAGATGTGTCAACTCTGCTCAGCGGATATCAGAACGATGTCCAAGCTCTCATTGCGAAAGGACTGCCGCTAAAGTGGGAGTCTTTCATCCACTCATATGATGTTCATATCAAGCAAACGTACCTACCGAACGGTACCATGGACCACAACTCTGGCAACAGGAACGAAAGCAAGCATGTTCAATTTGTTCGCGAGTTTGGAGTCACTGTATCTCTGCTCCAGAACAAGACGGAAGTTCTCGCTTCAATCAACACAACGGTGCAAAGGGCGCTGGCTGATATTGAAACCTGTCCATACAATGAGACTACTTTCCAAGAAAGACTGGAAACTATTCAGATGGCTGTCGACCAGCTCAACTTGGAGAATTTCGTTAATCTGGACCACTGGGTTCATGGTATGAACCAGCGCATTGAGAATACTTTACTCGGACGACTCCATCAGGCAATAAAGACCTGGATCGAGGCTTTCCAGGATGTTCAATCTGAAACTGTCGATAGCGATAGTAGAAGGAGGCTTAAAACTGATCCAAACGATGTATCGATTTCCTCACTGCCAGTTATCCGCCAACTGGTCCATGAGATCACAATGCGGAACCAAGTTATTTATCTTGAACCTCCTCTTGAGTATGCTCGAGCAAATTGGGTTTCGGAGTTGCATGGCTGGCTCGGTGTCGTCTGTAACCTACGAAAAATCAAAGCCTCTCGATACCAAATGAGCATCGCCGCTTCCAGCGAGGCAGAGGCGCGATTCACAGACCTACCAAGGAATTGTGCCGATAGCTTACTTGAGGTGTACACCACCATCGAGAACCAGCTACTTGAAATCAGCCGTTACGTTGATAAATGGCTGCAGTTCCAATCTCTTTGGGATCTCCAGTCAGGGCAAGTATACGAGATTCTGGGCGATCAATTATCAAAGTGGTTACAACTTCTTCGAGAAATTCGCAAAACTAGATCGACCTTCGATACTACCGAGGTTAGCCGCTCATTCGGCCATGTCACTATCGACTACGATCAAGTGCAAACAAAAGTCAACGCCAAGTACGATCAATGGCAGCACGAGATTTTGACCAAGTTTGCAGGACGTCTCGGCACCAGAGTTCGCGAAGTGCATTCGGAGATCGAGAAGGCACGCAAGGATCTGGAAGTTCAATCTTTAGAAGCCAGCTCCACCGCACAGGCAGTCCAATTTATCACTATCGTCCAAGCCTGTAAGAGGAAGGTGAAGACTTGGGGGCCTGAAATTGAGATATTCCGACAAGGCCACACAACCCTGGTTCGTGAAAGATATCAGTTCCCAGCAGATTGGCGATCCAACGAGCAGGTTGATTCTGAGTGGGATGCCCTCAATGAATTGCTCAACCGCAAGAGCAAGACTGTACAGGACCAGACAGATGCTCTCCGCGCTAAGATTGTGGCTGAGGATAGACTTGTGGGAGAAAAGATCGCAGAAATCATCGTGCAATGGAACGAAGAAAAGCCCGTTTCGGGTACCATTGCACCTGGGGTGGCCTCCTCCACATTAACCTCCTTCGAGACACGAATCACCAAGCTCCACGAAGAGTCGCTCATGGTTTCGCGTGCAAAGGAAGCCTTGGATATTCCTGGCAGCCCCGATGCCGCCCTCGCTGCCATCTTGGAAGAAGTGCAAGATTTCAAGGGTGTCTGGGCCGCCTTATCGACTATTTGGAAGAGCCTTAACGACCTTCGTGATACTCTTTGGAACAGCGTCCAGCCAAGAAAACTGCGCACTTTAATCGATGGTCTTATTAAGATGACAAAGGATATGCCCAGCCGAATGCGTCAATATGCCGCCTTTGAACATATCCAGAACATCTTACGCAAGTTGCTGAAAGCCAACTCGCTCCTCGCTGAGATGAAATCTGAGGCGGTCCGTGATCGTCACTGGAACAAGATCTACAAGTCTCTTAGACCGGGGAAGCGCTATTCTCCTATCTCCATGACCCTTGGTGATGTTTGGGATCTCAACCTTGCGGCAAGCGAGGTAGTTATTCGGGACATCATTGCCCAGGCACAGGGAGAAATGGCACTTGAAGAATTCCTTAAGCAGGTTCGGGAGATCTGGACAAACTACTCTCTTGATCTTGTGGCCTACCAGAATAAGTGCAAACTGATCCGTGGTTGGGATGATCTCTTCGCCAAGTGCAGCGAAAACCTCAACTCGCTGCAGGCCATGAGGCACTCACCTTACTACAAGGAATTCGAAGAGGAAGCTGCTTCTTGGGAAGACAAGCTTAATCGAGTTCACGTTTTGTTTGATGTCTGGATTGATGTGCAGCGCCAATGGGTCTACCTCGAAGGCGTATTCACCGGCAACGCTGACATCAAGCATCTTCTTCCTGTGGAGTCGAACAGATTTCAAAATATCAACACTGAATTCTTTTCGGTCATGAAGAAGGTGTACAAGGTACCATTTGTTCTTGATGTCCTCAACATTCCAGAAGTCCAAAAGTCGTTGGAGCGCCTGGCGGATTTGTTGAACAAGATCCAGAAGGCCCTGGGAGAATATCTCGAAAGGGAGAGAGTATCATTCCCGCGATTTTACTTCGTTGGAGATGAAGATCTATTAGAGATTATCGGCAACAGCAATGATACACTCCGCATTGCAAAGCATTTCAAGAAGATGTTTGCTGGATTATCTGGGCTTATAATGGATCAAGACGCGATCATTTCGGGCTTCACGTCAAGGGAGGGCGAAGAAGTTCGGTTGAAGAAGGAAATATCTCTTGTCAAAACACCAAAGATCAACGATTGGCTGGCACTCCTAGAGAGTAGCATGAAGAGCACTCTCGCTGAACTACTCGCAGAGGCATACACCGAGTTCCATTCCCTCTTTACTGCCGAAGATGTGGACTCCACTCTTCTTAATGAGTACATCAAGAAATTTCCGGCTCAAATTGTTGTCCTCGCTACTCAGGCTGTCTGGACAAATGCAGTTGAGGCCTCTCTTCAAGCTGGCGGTTCTACTCTTCAAACCCTCTACGATCAAGAAGTGAAGGTCCTACGACTCCTTGCCACTACCGTTCTTGGGGATCTCGACCCAATTGAGCGAAAGAAGTGCGAGCACCTAATCACAGAATGTGTCCACCAGCGTGATGTAATTGAGAAGCTCGTCAGGCTCAACGCAACGACTCAAACTCATTACATGTGGCTCCTGCAGATGCGATACGTCTACCAGCCTGAGGGTGACTTCTTGAACCGTATTTCGATCAACATGGCAAATGCCAAGCTTAGCTACGGCTTCGAATACCTTGGAGTCGCAGAGAGACTCGTCAGAACACCCCTGACCGATCGTTGTTTCTTGACCTTAACTCAAGCTCTCTCCCAGCGACTTGGTGGGTCGCCATACGGTCCTGCCGGTACTGGTAAGACCGAGTCCGTCAAAGCCCTCGGTGTCCAGCTGGGTAGATTCACACTTGTATTCTGCTGTGACGATACTTTCGACTTCCAAGCTATGGGGCGAATTTTCCTTGGTATCTGTCAAGTTGGAGCCTGGGGTTGTTTCGATGAATTCAATCGTCTAGAAGAGCGAATCCTTTCGGCTGTTTCGCAACAGGTCCAGAATATCCAACTGGGTCTCAAGCAAGGTGTTGAGGACGAGAAATCGCAAATCGAGCTTGTTGGCCGCCAACTTCGAGTTAACGCCAACACCGGTATCTTCATCACGATGAACCCTGGTTATGCTGGTCGATCAAACCTGCCTGATAACCTGAAGAAACTTTTCCGCAGTGTGGCAATGTCGAAGCCAGATAAGGAGCTTATTGCTGAAGTTATGCTCTACTCCCAAGGTTTCAACCAAGCAAAGCAGCTCTCAAAGCAGACTGTACCATTCTTCGATCGCTGTGGAGCCAAGCTATCGAAACAAGCTCATTACGACTTTGGACTCCGTGCGCTTAAGAGTGTTCTCGTTAGCTCCGGTGGATTGAAGCGTGCTAGGTTGACGGTATCTGGTGGCGACCTTGGCCCTGAAGAGGAGGTTGAGCCCCAAATCATTGTTCAGAGTATTCGTGAGACCATCGCTCCAAAGTTGATCAAGAGCGATGTGGAAATCATGAGAGCGATTGAAGAGGAATCTTTCCCTGGAGTTAAATATATTCCAGCAGCCCTTGAGGAACTTAAGGCATCCATGCAAAGTATTGCGGCTGAACGAAACCTTGTTGTCAATGACACTTGGATGACGAAGATCCTACAACTATTCCAAATCCAAACAATTCACCACGGTGTTATGATGGTTGGTAACTCTGGCTCCGGAAAGACAGCAGCCTGGAAAGTTCTCCTTCAAGCTTTACAACAAGTCGAGGGCGTCGAAGGCGTCTGCCATGTTATTGACTCGAAGGTCATGTCTAAGGAGGCTTTGTACGGCAACCTCGACTCTACCACCCGAGAGTGGACTGATGGTCTGTTTACAAGCATTCTTCGCAAGATCGTCGACAACCTGAGAGGCGAAGAAACAAAGCGCCATTGGATCGTCTTCGATGGAGACGTCGATCCAGAGTGGGTTGAAAATCTCAACAGTGTTCTTGATGACAACAAGCTCTTGACTTTGCCGAATGGAGAACGTCTCAACCTCCCATCAAACGTACGAATCATGTTCGAGGTTGAGACCCTCAAGTATGCTACACTGGCAACAGTCAGTCGTTGCGGTATGGTTTGGTTCAGTGAGGATACTGTCACACCAACGATGATGGTAGACAACTATCTCGGAAAGCTTCGCAAGGTGGCATTGGAGGATCTCGACGAAGACTCCGTTGCTACAGGCCAAACCACAGCCAAGGCATTGGCCATCCAAGAGGAAGTCTCGGATTTGTTACAATCCTATCTTAAGACAGAAGACTTCCTCCTCACTGCACTGGAGCATGCGGAAAATTTCAAACACATTATGGAGTTCACGGTTGCCCGCGTCCTGAACACCTTATTCTCTCTCCTCAACAAGACAGTTCGGGATATTGTGGAATACAATGCTCAGCATGTTGATTTCCCCTTGGATTCCGATCAGGTCGAATCGTTTGTGTCGAAGAAGCTACTTCTTTCACTCGTATGGTCCTTGACGGGTGATTGTCCACTTGGTGACCGAAAGGTGTTCGGTGATTATGTCGCGACTCTGTCTACCTTTGGCTCGCCACTTCTCGAGGGCAACTCGTCTTTGATCGATTTCGACGTCACGTTGCCTCAAGCACAGTGGGTTTCGTGGCAAAACCAGGTGCCAACGATCGAGGTCAATACACACTCGATTACCCAGACTGATGTTGTCATTCCAACCTTGGATACTGTGCGCCACGAGGATGTCCTTTACTCATGGCTCGCCGAACATAAGCCGCTACTGCTATGTGGGCCGCCTGGTTCCGGAAAGACGATGACATTATTCAGCGCTCTTCGCAAGCTACCCAACATGGAGGTCGTTGGACTGAATTTCTCGAGTGCGACCACGCCAGACCTGTTGATTAAGACCTTTGAGCAGTACTGCGAGTACAAAAAGACATTGAACGGCGTTATTTTGTCCCCAACCCAAATCGGCAGATGGCTTGTACTGTTCTGCGACGAGATCAACTTGCCGTCGCCTGACAAGTACGGAACACAGCGTGCCATCTCCTTCCTGAGACAGCTTGTCGAGCAGAACGGTTTCTGGCGAACATCCGATAAGACATGGGTTACACTCGATAGGATCCAATTTGTGGGTGCCTGTAACCCTCCTACGGATGCTGGCCGTACCCCAATGGGCGCCAGATTCCTGAGACATGCTCCATTGATCATGGTTGATTATCCCGGCCAACAATCACTCAAGCAGATTTACGGCACCTTCACCAGTGCTGTGCTGAAGATTGTTCCGTCTCTAAGGGGTTACTCCGAGGCACTTACCAATGCCATGGTTCAATTTTATATCGAATCCCAGGAGCGCTTCACGCCAAAGATCCAGCCTCACTACGTATACAGTCCTCGTGAACTCACAAGATGGGTGCGAGGTATTTACGAAGCTATTAGACCACTTGATACTCTTTCTGTGGAAGGGCTAGTACGTATCTGGGCGCATGAGGCACTTCGACTCTTCCAGGATCGTCTCGTCTCCGAAGATGAACGAAAATGGACTGACGATGCTGTCCGCCGAAACGCGCTTGAGTTTTTCCCAATGATGGACGAAACCAAAGCTCTCGCTGGACCGATCCTGTATTCCAACTGGCTCTCAAAGAACTACGTTCCTGTCGATAGAGAACAACTGCGCGAGTTCGTAAAGGCTAGGCTAAAGACTTTCTGTGAGGAGGAAGTTGATGTACCTCTGATTCTTTTCAATGACGTCCTCGAGCACGTTCTACGCATTGATCGAGTATTCAGACAACCGCAAGGCCATCTTATTTTGATTGGTGTCAGTGGCAGTGGCAAGACGACATTGTCCAGATTTGTTGCCTGGATGAATGGCCTGAGGGTTTTCCAAATCAAGGTCCACGGCAAGTACTCAGCTGAGGACTTTGACGACGACCTGCGCGATGTTCTTCGTCGCAGTGGATGTAAGGGCGAGAAGATTTGCTTCATTATGGATGAAGCTAACGTCCTTGATTCCGGATTCCTTGAGCGAATGAACACATTGCTTGCCAATGCCGAGGTTCCTGGTTTGTTTGAAGGCGATGAGTTAGCATCCCTGATGACTGCCTGCAAGGAAGGTGCTCAACGCCAAGGTCTCTTACTCGACTCCCAGGAGGAACTCTACAAGTGGTTCACGCAACAGATCATCAAGAACCTTCATGTTGTGTTCACGATGAACCCGCCTGAAGACGGCCTTTCGTCCAAGGCAGCGACTAGTCCTGCTCTTTTTAATCGTTGTGTCCTGAACTGGTTTGGCGACTGGTCTGATCAAGCATTGTTCCAAGTTGGATCCGAGTTAACCCATTCTGTCGACCTGGACCGTCCGAACTACACCCCGTCCGACAGTATCCCAGTCGCATATCGCGAGCTCTCCTTACCTGCCAGCCACCGGGATGCAGTTGTCAACGCAATGGTCTATATCCACTACTCCCTGCAGCGCTTCAACCTCAAGTTGCTCAAGCAACAGAGCAGAGTCACTTTCCTCACTCCCAGGCACTTCTTGGACTTCGTTGCTCAGTACGTCAAGCTTTACAATGAAAAGCGCGAAGACTTGGAGGATCAGCAGCGTCATTTGAACGTTGGCCTGGAGAAATTGAGAGATACCGTGGATAAAGTTCGCGATCTTCGCATCAGCCTGGCCGAGAAAACTGGCCAACTTGAGCGTAAGGACGCAGAGGCAAACGAGAAGCTCCAACGTATGATTGCCGATCAACGATTGGCGGAACAGCGCAAGACCACATCTCTAGAGATCCAATCTGCGCTTGAGAAGCAGGAAGTGGCAGTGGCTGAACGCCGAGAGCTTGTCCTGAACGACCTGGCGAATGCTGAGCCTGCCGTTATCGAGGCACAAAAGAGTGTCAGCAATATCAAGAAGCAGCACCTAACAGAAGTACGTTCCATGTCCAACCCACCAAGGGGTGTTAAACTTGCTTTGGACTCTGTTTGTACTCTGCTTGGCCACCGCATCGACAGCTGGAAGACAGTTCAGGGTATCATTCGACGTGATGATTTCATTGCAAGTATCGTCAATTATGACAATGAGAAGCAGATGACGAAGAACCTTCGAGTCAAGATGCGAAACGATTTCCTTTCCAAAGAAGACTTCACCTACGAAAAGGTCAGCCACGCCAGTAAAGCATGTGGACCTCTCGTCCAGTGGGTTGAGGCTCAAGTCAACTATTCCGAGATTCTGGATCGTGTTGGGCCGTTGAGGGAAGAGGTGGGCCTGCTGGAAGAGAAGGCTCTCGAGACCAAGGCGGAGGCACAGGCCGTTGAAAATACCATCACTGCACTGGAGCAAAGTATTGCACGCTACAAGACGGAATATGCAGCCCTTATTAGTGAGACACAGGCAATCAAGTCGGAGATGTCACGAGTTCAATTTAAGGTCGACCGCAGTGTTCGTCTTCTTGACAGCTTATCGTCGGAGAGAACTAGATGGGAGGATGCAAGCAAATCATTCGAAACCCAGATCAGCACCTTGGTCGGAGATGTTCTAGTTGCAGCTGCCTTCCTGGCATACAGTGGACTTTACGACCAGCAATTCCGCAAAAATATGATGGATGATTGGCTCAGCCAACTCCAGATGTCTGGCATCGATTTCAAGCAGCACAACCCGATCACCGAATACCTGTCATCGGCTGATGAGAGACTAAGCTGGCAAGAAAATTCTCTGCCAGTCGATGATCTCTGCACTGAAAATGCTATTATCTTGAAGCGCTTCAATCGTTATCCTCTGATCATCGATCCTTCCGGACGTGTCACAGAGTTCCTTCAGAAGGAATGCAAGGATCGGAGATTGACTGTTACCAGTTTCCTGGATGATTCGTTCACCAAACAGCTTGAGAGTTCACTCCGTTTCGGTAACCCCATCTTGATTCAAGATGCCGAGCATTTGGATCCAATCCTTAACCACGTCCTCAACAAGGAATACCAAAAGACTGGTGGACGTGTCCTCATCCAGCTCGGTAAACAAGAGATCGATTTCTCCCCAGCCTTCAAGATCTACCTCTCGACCAGAGATCCATCTGCTACGTTTGCACCAGACATATGCAGTCGCACAACTTTCGTCAATTTCACCGTCACCCAGAGCAGTCTCCAAACGCAATCATTGAACGAAGTCCTGAAATCTGAGCGACCTGACGTGGATGAGCGAAGATCCAACCTGATCAAATTACAGGGAGAATTCAAGGTCCATCTTCGCCAATTGGAGAAGCGTCTTTTGCAAGCTTTGAACGAGTCCCGTGGCAATATCTTGGATGATGACAACGTCATTGAGACTCTCGAGACGTTGAAGAAGGAGGCCGCTGAAATCTCAAAGAAGATGAGCAACACCGAAGGGGTGATGGCAGAAGTGGACGCAATCACACTTCAGTACAATATCATTGCTCGTTCTTGCAGCGCTGTGTTTGCTGTTCTCGAACAGCTCCATTACCTTAACCACTTCTACCAGTTTTCGTTGCAATATTTCCTGGATATTTTCAACAGCGTGCTTCACGACAACCCAAGGTTGGCCACCGAGACAGATCACAATGTTCGACGGGATATTATCATAGAAGACCTTTTCGTGAAAACGTACCAGCGAACTTCGCTCGGATTGTTACAGAAGGACCGCATAACCTTCGCAATGTTGCTTGCGCAGGTTTCGCCGTTTAAGATGGAAAAGAGCCTCATTGACTTAATCCTGGATGATGGCATTGATGGTACCGATCTATCCACCGAGACGGACCGCAAGGAAGAAATGTTTGCACGAGCAGCGCGTGTTTCTGCTCTAAAGGGTAAGCTGGACAACATACCTCCTGTAGATTTGGACCGTTTCCTGTGCGAAGAAATGGGAGAGAATTTTATCCCCAAGATCTGGGACGACAATACCAGCGAGATAGACAAGGAGCTGCTATCATTACTTGTCGTTAAGATCTTCCGCCTCGACCGATTTGTTCCTTCCGCAGAGCGTTTCGTTACCGCGGTGTTCGGCTCGAGAATCTTCGACATGACAGAAGACCTAAGCCAGACTGTCGAACAGGTCTCAGCAAGCCGCCCTATTGCGCTCTGCTCCAGCCCCGGATTTGATGCCAGTTACAAGGTGGACAGCCTCGTTGAAAGAGTCCAGGCTTCTTGCACGAACATCGCCATGGGTTCAAACGAGGGATTGTCAACGGCAGACAAGGCAATTAGCAACGCAGCCGCCACTGGAAACTGGGTGCTCATCAAGAATGTTCACTTGGCACCTACGTGGCTTCAAAGTCTTGAGAAACGTATGGATTCTCTCAAGCCACACCCAGACTTCAGGCTCTTCCTGTCGATGGAATCGAGTCCGAAAATTCCTGTCAATTTGCTGAGAGCTTCTCGCGTCTTGATGTACGAGCAACCTGCTGGAGTGAGAGCGAATATGAAAGATTCTCTTTCGTCTGTTTCGACCAGGGCGATCAAGACACCGGTTGAGCGAACCCGCCTCTACCTTCTGCTCTCTTTCCTACATGCAGTTGTACAAGAGCGTCTGCGCTATGCGCCAAACCTTGGATGGAAGGGTTTCTGGGAGTTCAATGACAGTGATGTATGTATTATCCGAACCACCTACACAAGTATCCTTTACTAACCTCGTTTACAGTATGAATGCTCTGCTTATGTGATCGACACCTGGGTCGAGTCCGTTTCCGCCGGCCGGTCAAACGTTGCACCCCAGAATCTCCCATGGGATATGCTACGAACTTTGATTACTGAAACTTATGGAGGGAAGATTGACGACGAGGGAGACTTCGCACGCCTTACCGAGCTAGTTGAATCCATCATGACTCCCGCGGCATATGAGATCGGACACAAGCTTGTGGAAAGCACACCAGGGCTCACCGTAGTCACCGATGGAAGTGATGGAAGCCTGGTTGTCCCCAGCGGAACCGGGTTGAAAGAATATATGGAGTGGGTGAACAAGTTGCCCGAGAGAGAGCCGCCGACTTACCTCGGCCTGCCGGCGAACGCAGAGAAGCTGCTCCTTGTGGGCTTGGGAAGGAGCATGATTGGAAATCTCGGGAAGATCACCGAGATTCTTGATGAGGGGGAGCAGTTGATGGCTGAGGCGGCCGTAGCGGCCTGAGGAAGAAGAGCGGGACGAGGCTCATGTGTTGAAGATTTCGTTCGTATGATTTTGGATCAGTTGTATATTTAGCTTATTTCAGCGCGCGTCGTCTTGCTTTGCAAGGATAGGGCTAGATTGTACGGGTACGGGAAGCGGTGGTCTGTCTGTCTTATACCCCCTTTTCTTATGTATATGTTTTCTTACATGGAGATACAGTAAAACCTCCAAATAAAGACCCTTTAAATAATAAGCTTTTAAGAATGGGATATCTCGTGTGAATCTTCTTTGTGATGCACTCTCTGGCCGACAATCCCCTCTCCATCTTATTAGCAAATGACCTTGACCTCCACCACCATCCCCCTACGCCTGCCGCAACTACAACCACTGTCCCCGCAATCCTCACCACCGCCCTCTTCACCATCTTCTTAATAGTCTTATTCGCATTCTTCTCAAACTCCCCTCCCCCCCTATTCCCCCAAGGGAAATCCTCCTCCGGGACCTCCTTCCCCAAAAACCCGCACAGTGGTCCCCACCCATCCTGAACCTCCCAATCCAAATACTCCCTCCCGTCCCTCTCCAACTTCTTTTCCAACCTCTCATAATAACTCCTCGCCCACTCTTTTCCGTTCTTCTTAAACCCACAATCCCCATCCACAACACCGCACTCTGATACCACCAAAACAGCTCCGCGTCCCAAACTCAAACCCCACACACCCCAACTCCTCAATATCATCTGCGCAGCTTCATTCAGACTCCGATGCCAGGCATTCATATCCCTCCGCCGATTCAACACCACCTTCGCCCTCGGATAAAAATCCAGCAGCTCCTCCGCAAGATCCTGGGCGGCATATCATCACCCCGTCACAATCCCCCAGCAGGACGTCCCAATCGAATCTCGACCTGGCGCAGAGTCCCCACGCGTTTTGGATTACAGAAGCGGGACCCAGATGGCACAGTCATTGGGACGGGTGGAGGGAAGGTCGAAGCCGTGCCAGATGTGGGAGTAGTCTATATAGATATAACCATAAAAGGTGAGATGGGAGCGCCAGGTTGTATTTAATTAGACGTTGAACAGAACAGCAATGGGTTTGCTTTAATGTATTCCTGTTGCCATGTCCTCGATGGGCACCTACCAAGGTGGTTTGATGTGGTAATAAATGGGGGCGATCAGGGTTGATCCATCGCTAAGACATGGATCCCGTCATCTCATCTATATATATACTAACTACAGGGCCTGTTTCACAACATGCGTGGTCGTTACCCAGGCTTAATCCGGCCAGGTTTTATACGCGTCAAAGAGGCTCCCATATGAGAACTCCTTCGGTCTCCATCCGGTCGTTACGCGGAGCTTTCACGTATTACCTTCCTTACGCTGGAGTGTTATGAATGCCATTGATTTCTAACGACGTGAATCCATCTAAACCTATTCGATCTAACCGTGATCCGCTCCGCATCCTCGCCGGAACAGTAGCAACACGTCTATCTAACGATCATGTGCTCTCTATCCGGGCCAGTGCCGATGTACTTGATCTTCAGTCCATGACCCAAGAACGTCTCGATGAACTCAATGTACTTCTGCGCATTCTCCGGCAGCTGCTCCCACTTCGTCGACCCGCTCGTCGACGACTTCCAGCCCGGCAGCGTCTCGTAAACAACCTCCACCTTCTCCAGGATATCCAGACTCGCGGGGAAGGAATCGAGCTTCTCCCCGTTGTACTTGTACGCCACGGCGACCTTGAGCTCATCAAAGTCGTCGAGGACGTCGAGCTTGGTCAGATTCAGCGACGTGTAGTCGTTCACCTGGTGGGAGTACGCGACTACCACAGCGTCGAACCATCCAGTGCGGCGCCTGCGGCCAGTTGTGACACCCCACTCGCGGCCCTCCTCCTGAAGCTTCACACCAACCTCGTTGAGTTGCTCGGTTGGGAAGGGTCCGCCGCCAACACGGGTAGTGTACGCCTTTACAACGCCGATAACGTCCTTCAGCGATCTCCAGCCAAGAGTCAGACCAGTCAGGATTCCTCCCAGACCGGTGTTGGAGCTGGTGACGTAGGGGTAGGTTCCGTGGTCAATATCCAACATGATGGCGTTTGCGCCCTCGACAAGGATGCTCGTATTGCTCGCCTTAGCAGACTGCAGGAATGGGACCTGGTCAATGACAAAGGGGGCGAGCTTCTGGCGGTACTCCTTGAAAGCCGCAATCTCAGCCTCCGGGTCATACTCGAGCAGGTCTCCGTAGCGCTTCTTGAAGCCAGCAGCTATGCGGCGGAGCTTGGTCTCGAAGAGGTCTTCGTCGAAGACCTCGCTGATGCGGATACCGCTGCGGGTCATCTTTGTGCTGTATGTTGGCCCAATACCTGTCTGATGTTAGTGTTCATGTCTGGTATAGCAGTGGTGATGATAATGTACCCTTTCCGGTTGTGCCAATCTTCTCTCCGCTGAGCTCCTTCTCCTCCAGCCCATCAACGCGCTGGTGCAGGTCCAAAACAACGTGCGCGCGGTCACTGATGAAGAGTCTATCATCAACAATGACGCCATGGGCCTTGAGGGCCTCAAGTTCCTGGAAAAATGCGGGGATGTGGACAACAGTTCCCGAACCGATGAGGTTCACACATTTTTGGTTGACGAGTCCGAGACCGCTCGGGATCATGTGGTAGTGCAACGTCTTTCCCTCGGCGACAATCGTCTATCGAAGGTTAAATTTCGTATCAAGTTATGTATTGGTAGATTATCGTACATGGCCAGCATTGTTTCCGCCCCTGTTGGTCAATTGTCAGTTCGGCTTCATGATAAACGCACTTTTGAGATACTTACTGTGCGCGGGCACAGATTTGCGCCTTGCTAGATAAGATGTCCACCTTTCACAATTTAGCCCAGGATTCGAAAAAGAGGGTGGAATAATTACCAATTTGCCTTTGCCCTCTATCCCATAAAAGTCAGCATGGCCATCCGCAAACAATGGGGCCGAGTTGTCGTGAGCATACCATCTCCCCACTTGAGTCACCCCTCTATCAGCACTATACCACGCAAACAACGGCCACGAAAGCCGCAAAAGTTTCTGGGTAGGAGCGCTTACCTGAGATCCGAGAACCACAGTGACATTAGCCATGGCTAATTGATCTTCGTTTTTTATGTAACGGGGGGGTGTTGTTACTTTCCGTGAAGTCGTCGTGCAATCCAAAGGTTCATCTGGTTGCCGATGGAAGGCATATATGACCCGGAGTGCGGACTTTCCCGGTTCCGGACCGAAACTTTCTTGTGTATCACGTGCTTGGCTAGGCACACTGCGTAGTGGGTTGGAGATGTCTTGGGGCCAAGGAACAGAGAAACTGGGAAAACAATTGCGTAAATTATTTAGCTTTTCACATTTCTAGTATTTAAGCCGTTTTGGGACGTTTATAGGAACTCTATAGCTATGATTACCCTGTGCAGTGTTGAGACATGCATCTTATCTCCCAATTACGAGGACGGTACCCCACGAAATATGAAAAGGGGATCAAGCTACCCCCGCATTAGCACCCATCAGCCTTGCTCATCAGCCTTGTTTGATTCGATCTATCAATTTTACCAACGGAATATACTATTATTTCAGGTCTTTAAAACCATATTAGAATACAGTGTGCGATAGTTAGATGGTTGAAGTCCCCTACTGGTTACAACAGAATATGAGAAATTTGATACAGCACCATCCATGCTATGGTCACGTCTCGGGTGATAATATGGTACAGTAGAGAACCTATCACATAGGGATCTTAAGAATGAACATGAAATAACAGCAGGTGAATTGGGCGAGATCAAAGCTGAATAGAGAAAGCACGGAGTTTGTATTTAACTCCAATGTCATAATGGCACCAATAACGACACAGTCTGCAAGAGTTTCCCATTTCTTGGCTATGGAACAGAAGTCGAGGCCAGACGCCCAACAAACTCCACGATTGCCATCTTGAGTATCCCATCTTGCCTCTGCAATAGAAGTAAAAGGCCAGCGGCCACACGAGAAAATCCGAGCAAAGTACCGAAGAACAGCCTCTCATCACAATCCATAATACCCCCAGCCGTCCAGCATTGCAAAACATCCATAACTCCATTCGCCACATGATTTTGCCTCAAGAACCCACAAATAAGGGAGGGCCTTGACATTTCAAAGATCCCACAGAGCTCAGAAAAGATCCGCCATGGATTTCGGGAGGCTACTTTACTCCTTGCGCTTCTTGCGATTCGGCGCGTCCGATTGCAAGTAACCATTGCCGAATCCGTAGATCGGACGGCCGATTCTCTTGAGGGCAAAAAGAACCTGACCAAAACGTTAGCTGCATCAATGAATATAACTAGAATAGGTTCCATACATCTCCGACAGTGACGGTTTTGCGATCTGCGTGCTCTAAAAATATTATGCAGTCCTTGAGAATCTGGCGGAGGATTAGCAAGTTTCGATGATGAGAGAGATGGGGTGTACTGACCAGCTGCAGATGCGCCTTCATGGCGTCACGGGTGTCATCATATATCATTGCGGATATACGCTTGACACCTCCACGGCGGGCGAGACGTCTTTGAGGTTGGTGTTAGTGGTTGCTCGTTGGTAAACAGTGTTCGTTGCGGTTGTTGCATTGACAAGAGCAGATGTTGGAGGTGAGGTTGGTGTGAAACTAATGGTTTCCACCGATCTATTCCTGGACACCTCGGAAGTGAGATGTGGAGGATAGATCGGTGAAAATCAGGAATCTATCGTGGCTTTGATATGATCATGGCTCTTTGATAGATCCTTGCCATAGGACAAAGAGGTGAAGATGACATGAAGAATAGAAATGCAAAGGATTGTTGTTCAAAGAACAAATGATTGAAGGAGAAGAGAGATAGTAAACAATATATACATACTTGATGTCACCCTTCGCTATACAGATATTAGCTCAAGCCTCCTCATTTCCACACGATAATAACTTACTTATTCCATGAATGGAATCACGAACAATCTTGCTGCACACAACCAAAATCGTCAGCCCTAGCTCGTACTTTCCACCTGTATCACGGCCCAGATCGCTCCTGCCGTTTCAATCCCAACATACCGGTGCCTCCTAGCGGCCACACCACGCGTCCCGCTGCTGTTTGGCGCCGCGGTGCCTTTTCCAGCACCACCGAACCTCGACTTGCCGGCCCCATCAAACGCACCTCCCTTGCCGCGTCCAGTCATGATGGGTAGAAGGTACGGAGGTGTATGATGAAGAAAGAAGAGTTTGGAGAGGTAAGTAGGAACAATCGGAAGGTGGGATGGTGGATGTTATAAAGAAGGTGGGGGGTCCAATGGAAGGTTAGGCGTGTTTGAGGAGGAGGTGATTGTTGGATATGAATGACGGTGGGTTTCAGCCTCAGGCAGGTCTTTGTTTTACACAGGTGAGCAGACCATCAGGGGTTAGCTCGGCTGACCCGAAAATGCTCCATTTTATGACTAAACCTTGCACGTTGGTCAGCTAAGCTCGCGTAGCATCACATGATATGGTCAGGTAGGGCGAAAAACGGTATATAATAATATAATAGGGCCCTAATTTCCTACCAACGTAAAACCTGTAGGGCATGGCAACAACAACAGTAGTAATTCATTGCTAATGCATTATTCACAATGGATGAGATAATTTCGCTACCTCAACTAGACCCATGGTCTGATACTGTTAGTATTGATAGTAGTCTTCAATTTGAGGATGAAAGATATCGGGAAGAACGACTTGTCACTGAAGAAGAAGAAGAGGAGGAGAAGGTAAGAGCCGCCTAATATATACTTAATGCATTACTAATGCATTAAGATCGAAACAACCACAGTTATTTCAAGCGATGTTAGCGACAAAGCAACCCGGGTAATGAAGGTAAACTATACAACAGATTTACCAGAATACCCCGAAACATCCGAAAATGGGGTCGCCTATATCATCAATACTTCCTCAATGACACCAGAAGCAGTTGATGCTATGTGTAATAATGTGTGTTCTTCGGTAATGTGTTCTTAATGCATTATTAATGCATTATAGGTCCAATATTGCCATAAACGACTTCAGCCACCAAAGCCAACGCACTGCAGTGTTCTTAACAATGCTTATTGTAAAAGGATGACTTATATTTGCACAGGTATAACGCATTGTGAATATCTCCACCCACAGTTACAAGAAATGCACCACACAAAGCTCTGTGATGACGATTGGAAGAAGATTATTCAGCTACGAGCAAATAGGTATGAATATTTTTAATGTATTGATAATGTATTAACAAAATTCAGTTTTGTTCTTTCTATCTTCCACCTGTTTATGAGTAGGAGAGCTTGTCAGAACCAAGAAGACTCATGTAGCTTTCAACTTGTCGCCTCAGAAAATGTAGTAAGTAAAGACCTAAAGTTATAAGAATATATTATTAATATATTAGACGATTTCAAATATGCACCAATATTCTATTCAGTGTCCGCATTCGACACCAGCAAACTACCACTTCTTCCGACCTATCCCAGCAACACTTTATTCAGAACTCCCATTTATACAAGAAAGGCTAAATGGAACTATAACTGCATCTGATGAGTTATGTGCAGTTATCGAACAGAATTCTACCCGAAGGAAACATTGTGGTTTGTACTTCCTAATATATTACAAATACATTATTAACGATTAATAGGGGTCGAGCATATCCAAGGCCGTGGCAAGTTAATCCATACAAATTGCAACGTTCAATTCCGGCTTTTTCAACCATATAATTTAATCGACTGTCCTTATATTATTTGGACATCACATGGTGTCCATTGTCATCCTCCACCTCCACCATCACGAACACCACAACAGCTTGTTGATAGTTTATTAACTGTCATTAAGAAAATCAATGATCCCTCATTAACAACAAGTATGTATGCGCAATTCATTATAAATCTATTGCTAATGCATTATAGGGACGTTGCTAAAGAACCCTGCATTACAGTCCTTCTATGAACACTGGAACGGCAAAAGCTTGAGTGACGTGCATAAGAGCTTAATTAACCTTGACAAAATCAGCTTTATTTTGCGAAAGCAACAGTTGCTTAACTACCCTTACGGCCAACACCTTATTGGTGTTCAACACGAGTGGGATGTATCTCACAAAAACAAGCCAAATAGCGTATGTTTCACTAATACACTCATAATGCATTACTAATACATTATAGTACATTAAAAATTTAATTCTGAACGAAGAGAAATTTATGGCAGTGTGCTTCTATACAGAGGCAGCTAAAGTGTTATTAAAAAGGGACTCGTTTGAGATTGACATGACCTTTAAGAGGATTAAAGCTTCTGAGATTAACGAGGTTGTATTTGCTGCATTTCTACCAGAGTTAAATAAAGGTAAGACTCTAATTCATTTATAATGCATTACTAATGTATTAGTGGTGACGTTTGTTCGTATTTTTGTTAACCAAGAATCAACGGAGATGTATACTCAGCTATTCCACACTGTGTTTAATGCAATAGCCAAAGAAACAGGCCAACGAATTCAATGGAAGCATCTACACCAATCTGGGTTTGGGGCTGTTGTAATGGACATGGACTCAAAACAAATGTCTGGTATGAAACACGTCTAATGCATTATAAATCTATTGCTAATACATTAAGGCCTTGGACGATATCTATCAGATATTGACGACCACCATCGCCCCTGGCAATGGCATGTACAACATGTTATTATATATTGTACAATCCATTTTAAGAGAGGCATCTTAAAAGCTGTTGGAACAGCCTTTTCTGGCAACTTCTTACGGCAGCAAATGGAGCAACTATTATATGTGTCGACCCGAGAGGAATATTTTGAACTCTGCAATTTAATTATAAGTAAGTATTGTAATATATTAATAATGCATTACTAATATATTATACAGGCGACAAACAATCTACAGAGCAGATTCGATTTTGGGCAATACATAAGAAGCAACTTTGTATTGCTTCTGGGTTAAATGCTTCTTGTTCGTTAATGGACAATGAATTATTTTTTCAGATCCGTCGGCATACAAATGCTGTCGAGAAAACGCACTGGAAAAGCACATCACTTGGAAAGCAACTGTCAATATTAAAGGCAATTCAAATGTAAGTCTTGGATGATAGATTAGCAATGCATTATTAATCTATTATAGGGGCCAAATACTTGACGAGACAGACCTAAAGCAATATTTAGGGAAGGTTACTCATGGTGTAAACCACTCTTGGCGATCAAGTAGCTTATCGTCTCGATATGCACTTCAAGAATCTCGACACCGTATGATTGATGTTTCCCCCCTACCTAATATATTGCTAATGCATTTAGGTCGAAAACGACAACGCCATGAGACTGATTATAATGATGGTATAAGTGTTATTTCAAGTGCCTCATCTTCCGGATCACGGTCACAATCAAGATCAAGGCCACGATCACAAAGGTATATAATCTATAGTAATGTATTAGGAGTGTATTGTTAATGTATTATAGGGGAGGAACCCTTCGGCGTGTTGCGTCAATTACTTCTGCCTCACAAGCTCAAGAGATTTCAATCGAGCAATCACGACTTGAACTTCAAGCTGAAACAGCACGGGTACGGCGAATGGAACTTGAGAATGAGAAACTTGAGTTAGAATTGATAAATCTTCGCGAAGCTGCTCGAGGTAGAGCTGATCTATAATACATTATGAATAGATTGTAAATGCATTGCATATCCATTCTCCATTCCTCCTATAATCCCATTAAGGGAAGCAATTGATAACTCTTCGCGAAGTTACTTGAAGTAGCACTGATCATTAGGATCAATAATACATTCCTAATGCATTCCGAATACATTAGGAAACCATTTACTAGCTTTCCTCATCATCTCCATCCTCGTCGTCCTCATCATCCTCATCATCCTCATCCTCACCATCTGAGATAGTCTGTGCAGCAGAAAGAGGGCTGGAAACTATCACTTCTTCCTCTTCCTCTTCCTCTTCCTCCTCCATCTCGTCATCTGTGAAAAAGTTCCAGACGTCACAGGCATCAGTTGGCTTGGTAGGTGGACAGGCTGTAATGCATTAGTAATAGATTAGAGATACATTGAATATAGAACTTACTTTTCTCTTTGGCCTTCTTGCATCCATTGCACTTGCGAGTGATGGTAGAAAGTACGCATCTGAACCTTATGTGCCTTAATAATGCATTAGTAATGTATTATCAATGTATTTGAATAACTTACACTACCGTCCTTCTTTACAGGGTAAAATGGGCGACGAGGGGCCACACGAGGGCGAGGTTTCTCCTTCTGTGGAGTGTTGGTGGCATCGTCATCACCATAGTCAGATAGAGCTTTGCCTTCTTCATTGGCTTTGACATGGAGGTTGTGCATTCTCATGGTCGCTTCAAAGAACCCTATATAATGCATTAGTAATGTATTAGAAATGAATTATAGTACTTACTGGCAGACTCGCGGACATGGTGAGCACTATTGGTGCCTTTGCGGACTTCAGCAAGTTTTGCCTTGTGGGAGCCCGTGAGGTGAGCTCTCAAATTCCCAGTGTGGCTGTAACGGTTCTATAATACATTAGCAATGTATTAATAATATATTAGAAACTTCACACACCTTGAATTCACACAGGCGGAATGTAGGGTCGCCCAAAAGCTCAGCATCATATCTTTCTTGTTCTGTCATGACCTCCTTGCGACAAAAGAGCTCTCCGGATCCAACAATAAGGAGGCCATCGTCCTAATGCATTAATAATGTATTAGTAATGTATTAATCTCAGCGTGAAGTTGAAAGTGAAGTTGAACTGGAATTGAACTGGAATTGAACTTACATCTTGGGGAAAAGGCTTCATTCCGAGTGGGCGTTCAGTAAGGAGTTTGTAGGCCTTATAGGCCGCCTGTTGTGGTTGTTAGTAGAATTATCAATCCATTGGTAATGTATTCATACATTATCGTCAAGCTTGATGGGCGCCATCGTGGTGGCGGAGGTGGTGGAGTTGGTGCTGTGCAACCACTTCTTTGATAAACCCCAGGGCCAGTGTATTTCCATAAACGAATACAAAATATACTATATGAACAGTGTAACACATCCTTACGTATACTTCAAGTCAATTCTAGACTCTATTAAGTGCTATCTAACATACATGCAATAATTCCCATTATCTCCAATTTGCCCAACGAGTGTGCTTACCTCCAGTTTACAAACGCCAATCTCCGAGGCCAAAACGACGGACGGAACGATATTGAGTGATGATTCAAACTTATGCCGTGATGAAGGTGGCCTCTGCAAAGAGCTTACCCGTCTCAACAACCTCCTCCTCCTCGCCAATCTTCAGCTTCAAGCTGGGGGCGGCGGTTGGGGAGTACTAAAAATCGCAATGTATGTTAGTTTTCCAAACGTCCTTGATAAAATCCGCAGAGATGTGAAATGAGTACACACCTGGTAGATATATGGCTTTGTGCCAGCGGTGTTGGCAACAATCGTCTTGACGAACCCTGGGACTTCGGCCATGACATCAATCCTATCGAGCCTGCCCCCCAGCGCAGTCTCCAGAACCGCCTCGACAGTCTTACCGTCCTTAGTCTTACCGCTCCATTCATACTTAACCGTAGCCGGCTCAGGCCAGTCGTTATCAGAGTCGCTCTTTGTGGTGACATGGGTCGCCTTATTCGGCGAACTCGCCATGATAACCTCCCCATCCTTAACAATAGCCCCAACATTCACAATCGTCGACCCGTACGACGCAGGGGTCGTATACTCCATCATGACCGCCGTGAACTTGTCGCCATGGAAGTCGACAAAATTCCACTTCCCCGCCGCGTGATGTGGCTTCATGCCCTGCAGCGCATACACAAACATTCCCTTGCCCTTAAAATCAATCGGCCCATCACCTGTCACGATCGTGCCCTCAACCTTGTTCCGCGGCCAGAACACATGTCTCATCTTGCCCCATGGGTTCTCCAGGTCCGTGCCAAACAGCGTGGTCCCGTCCTTCCCAGCCTGGAAGCCAGGGGCCGTCTGGGTCATGGTGATGTTGACGATGGCAGTCTTGTTCGTCATCGACTTGATCGTGTACGTCTTCCCGTCCTCGGACAACTCCACAGCCAGGTTCTCGGCGTAGTAGTTCACTCCATCGTCGCTGAAATCGACGTCGCTGAGCGGGTCAGAGGCCCAGAGAATCGGCTTGGCGCCGTCGGGATAGAAGATCTTGGTATTAAACTGGCTCGTTCGTCGGATACCACTATACGCACACCGAGCGGTTAGTCAAAGGGCTCGTCACCACAGGCCAGGGTATAGAGTCATGTACGTACGCAACATTGCTGTGAATGACCTGCACGAACGCAATGTGTCCGCTATCCGCCGTCAGGTAGAAAACCTGCGTCTCGACGGACGTCGAGTCCATGTTCACCCATTTGAGGTCTTCGCGCGTGAGCTCGGTGTAAGGAACTGTCGCAGCTTGTTCGGAGACCGACCGAATGGCGGAGGGGCCATAGATGGGCTCTTGGGTGCCGGCCACGTTGGCCAGCCTGTGTGGGAAAAAGGCGGTGGTCAGATATTGTTCTCTCTCGATGGCGGTGTGCGGGGAGCGGGGGGGGGTCAGGACATACGCTTGTTTCGCCCAGTTCATCATCTTGACGGGATTTTCGGTAGCTTTAGTACGTTTTTTTCAATAGGGGTGAGGTTTTGTTTCTTCTTAGGGATTGTGGTGGGTTGGGTTGGGATTATAATGCGATCCCTTTTTCGATAGCTATTTGGGCGGCGTGCGTTTCCCCCCACCTTCCACCTTCCACCTTCCGGGCGGTAGTTACTCCTGTTACGAGTCGAGTCGACAGGCTCCTAGCACGTGATGTGAGGGAATATATAATCCCATTTCAACCAGTCCCTTTTATATGCTCTTTCCTTCAAATAGTTCACAATCCTATCCTATCCGCGTATGGCGTTTCTCGATCAATGATATCCCTCCCCCAAATCCTCAGACCCCCCTGTTGACACCCACGCACCAACCCCAAAACAGCTAAGCGGCGCGGGAACTCTCCGTGCCGAATCTCGAACGAATTTGAAGCCATTGCACTATATCGAACCCAACACGCTCCTCACAACGCCGGCCAATCTTTCCCATCAACCATGTCCAAAACACGCTCAGCAACAGATGTGGTGGTGAAGCTCATTGTCGGAGCTGGACAGGCGACTCCGAGTCCTCCTGTCGGTCCGGCGCTGGGTAGTAAGGGTGTGAAGTCGATGGATTTTTGCAAGGTCAGTTCAATCGCTCAAACCGAACTCCAGCTAGACGATTCTCCCCCCTAGAGATATCCTACTTACGTCTTCCATAGGAATTCAACGCAAGAACCGCCCACATGACCATCGGCGTCCCCATCCCCACCCGCGTCACCGTCCGCCCCGACCGCTCCTTCCACTTCGAGCTGCGCACGCCCACGACCTCGTACCTCCTCCTCACCGCGGCCGGCGCGCCGATCCGCAAATCGCAGCTCAAGGGCGCCATGAACCCGGGGAAGGAGAGCGTGGGGACCGTGACGCTGAAGCATATCTATGAGATTGCGAAGATTAAGCAGTCAGAGTTGAGGCTGAGTGGGTTGGGGATGGAGGGGATGTGTAGGACGGTTATTGCGCAGGCGAAGAGTATTGGGGTTACGGTTGTGCCGTGAGAGAGGGGCGGTGGTAGAGGGAGAGGGGGAGGAGAGAGGGTAGGGAGGTCGTGTTTTGATAGGGCGTTTGATGTTTAGCAGGGTGGCCGGATGGGATGGGTTGTCTGATACTCGGGGATTGTATACTACCAAGGAGGGAGGTCTGGCCAGAAGGGCTTTGGTGAGATATTGATATTGTGTCGATAGAAGAGTTGGAAAGGAAGGTTAGAACACCCCAATGTTCACTTATTCGGTGTGGACGTGCTGTTTCTTTGCGTGAAACCGTCCGGCGCCCCACGAACAAGCTTTCCCTTGGATGCAATGGATCCATTGCATCTATTGCATCTATTGCATCTATTGCATCCATTGCATCCACGCTCACAATCACAATTGATGCGACTCTGGCTGGTGATCCGAAGGGAGGGTAAACAACGCAGTAGAAGGACAACGACAACGACGACGACAACGACGACGACAACGACGACGACAACGACAACGACAACGACGACAACGACGACGACAACGACGACGACAACAACGACAACAACGACAACGACAACAACGACAACAACGACAACGACAACGACGACAACGACAACAACGACAACAACGACAACGACAACGACGACAACGACGACAACGACAACGACAACGAGTACACTCTTCTCCTTGTTGTACTCTAGAACCTCTAGAATAACTAAACAGTATAGGTACCTCAAGGTACTTCTCCTCTTTTTTCACCCTTATGACCCCCTATGATGTACTTCCCTCTACATCCGACGCCTCCAAATCCCTCCACCACCCCCCCAACCCACGTTAAAAAAACCCTGCCCCACTTGAATCTGGATATTCGGCGCCTCGCATCAACCCTCCCTGGCTGCTTCTTCCCCTCCCCCACCAACCGCCACCACCAACCCAAACAACACACTCAGAACGCCGCCATCCCCATCAAACCCTCGCTTTTTTGGCTTGGTCGGCCTTGCTCACCCTCTCTCTGCTATGCAAGAGCTTTTTAGCGGCTTTGTACAACTCCCTTGGTAAGTGTGTTCCCGGCTTGGTGATGATGCACTTTATCCATGAGTGCGAGGCTAGCCCATCATCATCTTTCCTTTTTTTTCACCTGACACCTTCCATACAACCATTGGTTTATACCAGACTTGCTTACCTATATTAGATAATATACCCCCCCCCCTAAATCAATTCCCCGTCGATACCTCCAGCAGGGGACTTCGCAATGGGTTCTGGCGCCCAAAGATCGGTCCCGGAGCCTCCGGCCGTGCGGTTTGCCTCGAGCAGCCAGGAGATTGAACCGGTGCAGCTTGACGAGACGAGTACGACTTCGAGAACGGGCGAGCTGAATGTTTCTGGATCTCGGGGACAGTTAAAAGATTTGTCGGATTCTTTGAGTGGGACACACCTTCAGTCGAGGCGGATGAGCCATTTCAATTTCGAGCCTGTCTCGTTACCGGCTTCAAGAGTGCGTGGACTCCATGCATGACCTTTCCACAATCAAGGCATATGACATCGTCAGATTCATAGTACAATAGTCAAATACTGACATACGTTCTCCACAGGTACCGTCGGCCGAAAGCTTTCAGGAGTCGAGTCGGCATCCATCTCAGTCATCCGCATCAGGTCGCCCGTCCTTACATTCACGTTCGGGGACAATGCAGACTCCACCACTTACCCCAGCAGTGAGCGGATCTAGAGAGGCGACTGGGAAGGGTGTCAACTTGCAGAGAGTCGGAGCAGAAATTGACCCAACTACTACCGCACCTCAGATCTCACCATACAACTCTTCGAGGCCAGGTTCATCGGGGCAGACACCATTAACACAGCCAAGCGTGGCAGATTCCGTCACCGGATATCGGAAAAGCGCATTCGCCATTGGGCCGTCTCGCCAGTCAAGTGAAACGAGAGAGCGTAGTGAATATTCACAATCTATTCCGCAGTCCCGCGAACAGAGCCCGAGTCGGAGGGGTTATAGCAGACCGTTCACACCCGCGGGAGAGCCGGACGACCCTTATGCATCTAACAAACGACCCCCACAGTCCAAGAACCTCGATACCATTGAGCCTCGATTTGTGTTCAGCGGCTTGAACAGCAGACACCGAACCTCGCCGTCTTCTTCCACGACGACTCTGCCACGATCATGTCGCAGCTCAGCAGACCTGCGCTCGGATAGGAAGAGCTTCTCATCGAAGAAGGATCCCAGTATCGCGCGACTGAACGACGACGCCCTCCCCGCCCGAGGCTCGATGTCCGAATTAAAGCGCTTCCTAAAGATTGGCGGACACCACAAGTCGAAGCGTAACGCATCTCCGAGCACCTCCATAAAATCCGGCACCAAAACCCCAACAAGCCAGAAATCACTCCAACAGCTACCTTTCGGCGAAGACCACGGCCTGACTTCCAAGTACGGCAAGTTCGGCAAGGTGCTCGGTGCTGGTGCGGGCGGATCTGTTCGATTGATGAAGCGGAGTTCGGATGCGACAACTTTTGCAGTTAAGGAGTTCCGTGCACGCCACGCGTATGAGACGGAGAAGGAGTATACGAAGAAAGTCACGGCGGAGTTCTGTATCGGGTCTACGCTACACCATGGTAATATCATCGAGACGCTTGATATCATTAGGGAAAAGGGGAAATGGTACGAGGTGATGGAGTATGCGCCTTATGATCTCTTCGCCATCGTCATGACGGGCAAGATGTCGCGCGAGGAGGTTTCGTGCTCGTTCTTACAGATCTTGAGTGGTGTCACGTTTATCCACAGTATGGGTCTTGCTCATCGCGATCTTAAGCTCGATAACGTCGTCGTTAACGATTTTGGGATCATGAAGATCATTGATTTCGGAAGCGCGAGTATGTTCAAATACCCCTTTGAGACGGAAATCGTATTAGCTACAGGTAAGCCTCCTCTCCCCCCAACCTTTCCCCCTCCATGTCCACAACAAAAACATAACCCACCCCCCCAGGCATCGTAGGCTCCGACCCCTACCTCGCCCCCGAAGTCTACGACGAGCGCAAATACGACCCCCAACCCGCCGACATCTGGTCCCTGGCCATCATCTTCTGCTGCATGTCCCTCCGCCGCTTCCCCTGGAAAATGCCCCGCATGACCGACAACTCGTACCGCCTCTTCGCGTCCGCGCCCTCCGAAGGCACCGAGCCCCGCCCGGACGTAAGCTCGAAATCCAAGTCCGAAACCGAGATCGCGCGCATCGTGGCCGCGTCACGGACGCTGGATGGGAAGGCCGCGGCGGCTGTTGCGGCGGCGGTGGTGGAGGCGCCGACTACGAAACCGGCTGGTGCGGCGGCGGTGGTGGAGACGCCGACTACGAAACCGGCGTCGGCGGTTGAGAAGAAGTCGGAGGTTATTAAGGGGCCGTGGAGGTTGTTGAGGTTGTTGCCGAGGGAGACGAGACATATCATCGGACGCATGCTGGAGATTGATCCGAGGAAGAGGGCGGCGATGGCGGAGGTGCTGGAGGATCCGTGGATTGGTGGGACGGTCATTTGTAGGCAGGATGCGGCGAGTGGGCATGTGATTAACGCGACGAGCCATACGCATACGTTGGAGCCGCCGAGTGCGCCGGCTGCGCCTTCGAAGTAGGGGGTGTGACGTCTTTGTGTGAGCTTTGGATAGAGGGGCCGCTGGGGGGGATTAGAGGTTTGGGTGGGTTTTGGATAGATGGACGGGCACTTGCGAACGTGTCATTCGTTGTTTATAGATGGGATAATGGGACTAAATAGGGAATAGGTTGGTTGGATATGGGTGTGGTTAGGGGACAAAATGTAGAGTATATTTCTGGGGCTTTTGCGAGGATATCGAGGTTTTTTCTTTTACTTTTTCATATAGTCAGGGCAGGGGGTTTGGGGGGGGTTGTATTGATGGTATGGGGGGGCGGCGGAATGGGGGGGTTGATATTATGGCTGGAGGAGGGATGAGGTGTATCTGGTCTGGGGGTGATGATGGATGTTTATAGCGAGCATGGGATGACATTTTTGTAACGTGTTTGGTAAATGCTATAGTAGATAAAGAATTACACGTTAATGAATGCATGGCTTTTAAGAATGTGTTGGCTGACTGGTCTCATCACATTCAATACGGCCATACTCAAAGCATGTCTGGCATGAGAACGACATCTCAGTCCCAACCCCCTTCTCACGTTAATCCTCACTGTACCGTACCGCCATCACCATACCACATACCGTCACGTAGAAGACCCCACAACAAAACCCATATATGAGCCGGGATATCAAGGATTCAATGCCTAGCTATTATACCCCTCACATCCTTCTTATCCCCTCCCTCCCCCAAAAAAGTGCAACCCTCCTCGGGCCCCCTCCCCCCCAACCCCCCTGCCTGCCCCGTTCGCGCCTCATCGCATGCTAGCATTTTTGGTACATGTATAATATCCTACAATCTCCCCCAATTCGTCTTCGTGGTGCCACTCATGGTAGAGTGTTAGTGGTGTGGTTGAGTCGATTTACTCGTTGATCTTGGCGAGGAGCTCGTAATCGCGGAAGAGGGCGTATTCCTCCTCTCCGACCTTGACTGGGGATCCACCGTACTGCAATCCGTTAGCCTTGTCCTCATTCCATCATCTCTTCCCCTTCTCTCCCTCCCCACCTCCTCCCCTCTCTTCTCCCCATCATCCCCTCTTTCCCCTTATCTCCCCATCTCCCCGGAACGAATTAAAATCATCACATACCTGAGGAATCAAAACCTTATCCCCCGCCTTAACACTCGGCTTCACAGTCTTTCCCTCCTTATCCAGTCCTCCCGGGCCAACAGCAAGCACACGCGCCTCATTGAGCTCCTTGACCGACGACTCGGGCAGGAAGATGCCGCCGGCGGTTTGGGTCTGGGCCTTGATGCGCTGGACGAGGACGCGGTCCAGGAGGGGGGCGAGGGATTTGATGGATTTGAGGGCTGTGGACTGGGAGGGGTTAGTCGGTTGCTTGCTGGAGAGAGGGGGAAGGGGGAGGGGAGGGAGGGAGGAGGGAGGAGGGACGGGAGAGGGAGGTGTGTAAGAAGTTCATGCGGATCGCGTCGGCTGACTCTTGTGCTGCGGGATTGGAGTGGAGGGATTGAAGAGCGAACATACCATATTGGCGGTTTAAGCTGGTGATTCTAGGAATCGAATTGAAAGAATTAGAGTTATATGGTAATGGTAGCGTGTGGATGAATTGTGTTGATTTGCGACGACTGACTTTCTCAAAACTTCGAAATGTTTCTGGGACCGAGCGTCGCGCGCTAGTGAGTTGGGCCGATAGTGGCACGTGACGCCCCTGAGTTGGGTCAGGTGATTTGGGGGTTTATTTGGTGGAGGTAAGGGGTTTGGGAACAATTGATTTATTTTTCTATGAATTGGAGGTTCAATACTTGTGAAGTCCAGGCTGTTTAGGTACATATGAAGCTCTGAAGTTTTATAGCGATCATGATTCAAATTCCGCACATTCAAACAACGTCTCCTCGGAATTCCACGGTCAAAGTGAGAACTCAACTCTCAAGCCCTCATCCTCCATCAACTTCCACCATGCTGTGACTATAGTCTCCTTCTCCACCAGAAGCACAGATTTTTAGAGTTGGATATGTTGCGCCACCAGCAATTACCTCGCTGTCGGATCGTCGACCACAAGTCCTTCATCTCCACAGATACCAAACCCGCTCTGGCATCCAGCACCACAGTGAACATCAGCATCTCCACAGTATCCATACATAGAGCAGCAACGGCCTTTTGAATTACTAATGCAGGTCTGCCCTACTTTAGCTCCACATTTGTTGTCAGTTTTCAGGCCCTTTGGCAGAGTGTTGTAAGGCGCTGTGCCATTGAGCGAGGGATTCTTGGGGCGTGTGGCGTTTGAATGTCCAGTGGCAACCACTTTGGTGAATAACGTGGTGGTTTTCGTTTGGTGTAGCGTTTTTGTAGTTGTGGAATCCAGGCTCGCCGTGAGAGGTACGGTTTTGGTAGTTGTATGAGTTACTGTTATCGTAACACATGGTAGATCCAAGGGCGGCATCAGGGGAATGTGATGGCCAGTAGTGTTTCCGGCAACATCTGAGACTTGTCAGCTTGTATTCCTATCATGTAAAACCATATATAACTTACCAGGAGTCAAATCTCTGTTGTGAATGCCCGCGGTTGGAGCCGCTCTGACAGTACTGGCAGTTAATGAAGCATCGTGATCAACATCTCTTTGATATGCATATTTGGTGAGCAAGCCGGGAGGGACGGCATGGACCACAGCAACCCGGATAGCCAAGGGCAAAATGACCGTGAATAAATGCATCTCGATACGTTAAGATGATAGACACAAAGCTCGCATGTGGTAGGGTTTGAGAGCAGGTTTGATGTAGAAGTATCATACAATGCAAAGGAAAACTTGAAGCATACTTAAGAAAAGGTGTAGTGAATCATTTACCTTTGAATGGCCCCTGACTCAAAGATCCGTGAAGACATGAATCTTGTTTGCTGTTAACAACCGCAGACCTTACTCAATGACCGTGACTATAAATGATGTGCACCAGTGTAATCTTGAACAGCTGATGTCGCTGCATCGCAAGCTCTATATCATGTCAATCCGATCCCATGCTGTGAGTGATCCAAAAGGTCTCAGTTTCAATGTAGTCGTCTGGATATCTCGATACACAGATTCTGAGAACATATCATCTGGTCACCCTTGCTCGTCATGCTTTCTTTCATCGATATCAATGCCAAACTGTTTTTTCGGACACCCAAGGAGAGAGGAGTATGTGAGGGGTATGTAGAAATAGGAAGAGGGTTGGTTTCGCCTCCTTTCTTGACCTAGCTTAAGTAAGCAAACCCAAATGGCAACGACCTTCGGGTCACAACTTCCAAGTGAAATCAACCTTCGGCTGCTTGTCATCAGGCCAAGCAAAGCTGCCGGATATAAGTACTGTCATCTGTTTTTTTTCTGTTTGTTTTCATTTCTTCTCATTGTGTTTTGTTTCTTTTTGAGTTGCCGTTGGGATTGTGATGCCTCATATTCTCTTGCCATGGCTGGTAACCTGACCTCTCCTTTTCAGGGTCTTAATCCTATCCTCCCTCCCCGAGTAGCGACTACTCTTTCGTGTAAACAATTTCTTTACAGTTTGGCAAGAACACCCAGCCCTGCTCGCTTTCAAGGGCCTCGTTCCAATTGTCAGATTCTTTCTGGCCTTGATAATCCATTTCAAACTCGTGAGATGAGAGCTGGAGCGACTGGCTATCCTCGCAATGCTCCACATACCTGCGGATTTAACCACATCGAGGGCCCAGACTCTGAGCCTCCTGGAAAAGATCCTGTGGCCCAAATAAACCTGAACTTGGGCGAAGCAAACAAGCGACAGGATTTGATACCAAGTGAAGCAGCGATCAACTTCCAGAAACCGGTTCCAGAAGCCGAGTCTAGATCTACTTTACGGGCTTCACAAATACCAACCCCAACCAGCGAACGAAATAAGACGGCCGTTGGAATTATTCCATCCGAAAAATCTTCTATTACGCCACCATTACAGCCATTTATTGCTTCCGTTGCATCAGTTGAACATAGAGAATATAATACCCCGTTTGTTCTCGGCGATGAATCTGGGTATGACAGGTAAGATGTTTCCTATCATATTACTTCCGATTTCTCAACATCCTTGCTGAATCCAACAATCAGCAATGGTTCGTTGGCGGAGGAGTCAGGCTCTCTCTATGCTGATGCCGATATAACCCTGAGCGACAGCGGTGAGTCTGGACATGCAACAGCTCAGTCAATCGGAGTGAGTTGCCTCGACTCAAATACACGTATTCGGAAGCTTTCTCCAAGTCAGCAGGATGAATCATCAGTTATCAGTGGGAGCCCCAGTGTAACAGATGCGGATCAAACTTTGCCAGGCCCTTCGAAGAAAAGGCTAAAACGACCTATTCGAACTGCTTCTAAAACATTGGCACAAGATGATACTTTGGAGACCATTCAGGAGGAAATAGCTGAAAATACTGCTTCGGAACGAATATGCCGTACTTTTGATCAGCTACAACTGACAGAAGAAAGGGCTGTGCAAAAGAGCAATTCAGTGTGTAAGCAATGGATCCGTACTCATCCAATGGCGTTTTTAATATCAACCCCAAATATTTGCCCAAGCAACACTCAGCTATTTTTTGTTCGAACACCATATCCAGCATATTCACATTCTAACATGACTTATTATAGCTGGAGATGTTTTGTCCGATGATGACAGCTCCATAATAGACACCCAACAGATAGTCCCAAAGGCTCCTCTGCTCAGCATACGCCAAAAGCGATTTCCAGAAATCAGCCCCCAAATGCCGCGGAAAAAACGAAAGAAGACTTATCCAGACACAAAGATGATGTCTTCTAGGATCCATTTCAAAAATCTAACGCTTACAACCCGCGTCTCAGAATCTCCGGATTGTCCCAAGCCGATACCAACCCGACTTGACTTTTGTGACGGTTTCGTAGGTGAAGAATCTCAACCCATCGGGCGCACAAAAGCGACATCTCGGCCACGTCGATTGCCTAGACCAGGTGTCTTGAGACGGTCAAAGGGGTACTCATGCCAGCTTCCACTGGTTCAATCAAGAACCTTTGGCGATAAGCCCTCCGTACAAGAAGGAAGTTGGAACTTTAAAGAGAGAGTCGGCATTCGATTTGGGTGGGAAAATCTTGCAGATGACTCAAGCCATAGCCGGAAAGAATATCAAAACAGCACCAGCTGTGCCAAACAAGGGGCATCTATTCTTAGTCAGCCAAATGTATGGCATACCAAGCCGGCAGACCAGATGTCTGATGCCAACCCGGAAAACATCGCTGGCTACAAGGCCCCGTCGATTACAGAGGACGTCAATATGGATATGGATCCTAGCCCACAATCTGAGGAATCTGATAATGATAGTAATTTTTCGGATTCGCTGCAGTTAGAAACTTCGCCGAAAGCCACAAAATTGAAACGCCGCGTAACGTTTAATGAAGACGTGGAAGTCATTCGCCAACAACTCTCTATGGTTTCGGCACCACTTCCAATATCGATAGCAAGCTCGGACAATGAGTCTGACGAGGACCGCAAGGATGAAGATGATTATGACACCCATAGCGAAGGGTCAGATAGTCACGCATCAGAAAGTGGTAGTGAGGTTGGCTCTAGTGCAGATGAACACACCAGCGAGCCATCCTCGCCGCGCCATGACCGCAATTCCTTAAACGATACATTGCCTTCCACTCCTATCCGCAGATGGATTCCAACAGAGGCATCGGACTCTTCAAGTGGTGGTGAAGTTGAAACTGAGATGCTGGATGATGAGATGATTCTTGATGATACTGCCAGTATGGTCTCTAGAAGATATCAAGTATCAGATGCGGTGCATTTATGGGGAGAGAACTATGATGATGAAAGGTTAAATTTGAGTCCGAGCTGCCCTTGGGCGCCGCGGCGGCCAAATATCGCCCGCCATAGCATTGAGGCCGATGAGGATATTTTTGCATCTCCATCTTCCAGAGTGCCAAGGCAGAAAACCGTCAACAATATAAGACTGAACCAAAGCCAAATGAGACTCAATGAAAGCCAAATGGATTGGAATCCAACACAGCCCACCACCCCTATGCCTCATTCTGAGAGATACTACAGAGAACCTTCCATTGAACTTGGTAATGTTGATTGGCCGCCTCGCTCCTTTTTCTCGCAGTCCATGACGGATTCGCAGGCCTCGAGGGTGACGCATCACGGCCACCAGTCTAGGCAGTACATGGTGGCAGATGTTCCAAATTACTTCTCCGCGGCATCCCAGAATTTTAAACAGCCACTATATAAGCCAACGGTGCCGCCAATGCGGTCGAAATCAATGCCGTTGGGATCACAATATTTCGAGAAAGAAGGACAGGATTGGAATGCCGATGGAAATATTTTTAGCAATTCGGTGCCTGCACAAAAGGTTGCGTCGTTTATAGGGAGCCAGGATGAGAGGACCACAAGCTTGAGGGCGTTGACAAGGCATATCAGTATCGGATTTGGGACTGCAGGAGAAAGGCGTAGGAATCCTTTGCTGCCGTTCAGGCTGCCATTGAAGAATATTTAAAGGCGGGATATTTGTGGATTTGCTGCAGGATTTTTGGAGCCATATGGCTAGATTATGGGTGGCATTGTAAATGTGCAATTGCTGTCTTCCTATTTTTTATCAAACGGATTGCTATCAGCTTACCTCAGAATTACGATAGTTTTAAATTAGCTAGAATCACTAAGTTATAGCTCTATTTCTTTTACCCCAAATTATTTAGCTTTAATATATCACCTTGACATATAAAGAGTCAATTGCATATTTCAAAGTTATTTCTCAGAAGAGTTAAATCAAATAGCTACAGAGCTATATTCGGCGAACTAACTTACCCTGACCCTTGCTGACGAACGTGGATCTGCAAGGCTGACAGCGCGCTAAGAATAAACTTCTTGGTGGAGCACAATTGGCTTTCCAGACAACATCCACAACATCTCTCAGTAGAACCTGTCACGAAGATATAGGGTTGACGATCTAACCTTTCAAGTAACATGGTCAGGTTAAAGAATAGATACCTCTTGGTAAACATTCTATATCCCGAGGCCACAGCCTTACCATCGTCGAAAGTGCCCGACGTTGTCGCCTTCAACCAGCCCACGACCGACGACCTCACGCCGCAGCTTCTCATAAAAGCAATTAGAGAAGCAGTACTCGAACTATTCGGAGATTATGGCTCCGGGGCGATAGCAGGGAGTTTGATGGGTGAGATTGGCCCTCTAGTTGCATAGACTCATGCGCATATTCTAACGCCCACCAGTTAAATATTTGTCGCCTGCCACCTCGACGTTTATTATACGAGTTACAAGGGCGCATTACAGAATTGCTTGGGCAGCACTGTCGATGATGAATATGGTTCCGGTCAAGGATGGCAAGAAATGCGTATACCGTGTTGTCAGAGTCAGCGGCACAATCCGTAAGGCTGAGGAAGAAGCTATTCGCCGCGCACGAGAAATGATGCTCAGAGCGAAGCGGGAGCTTGGAGATCAGAGCGCAGCCACGTTAGAGAGCATCCTTGGGAAGCCGAAAGATAATAGGCCGGTAGCTGTCGACTCGGAAGTTCTTATGCTTGATGCGAGTGACGACGACCCTGTGGATTGCAACAGCGATGAAGACGGTTGATGCGACATCATTTATTATTTCTAACAACTTTAATCCCACTACCACCGGGAGATAACGACATGTGGCCAAAGTCCTCATCAGCCTCATCGCCTTCCATATGCGCCTCGAGCTTCTGGGCAGCCTCGGCTTTCGCCCTCTCAGCTTCATCCTGCGCTTCTTGCTCCTTCCTATCCCTCTTGTCAAACTCGTCTTTCGCATTTACCCAGCGCTCCTGGACGTCTTTTATATCCATAGTCGTCAAGCCCTCGCGCATGGCAACTTGCCATACCGTATCGTTTGCGCCCTCTGCTCCACCAAAGACGTATCCGCCTGCTCGATCAATCATTTGTAGGAGGTGCATCATGCTACGCTTATCCTCCACCGCCAATGTTTCGTATCCTACCAATCCGAAGCTCTCGACAAGGTCGACGATTGCCGAGTTCAGGCCTGCGAATTTAGAACCCTTCATTACGGATGACTCGGCTTCGAGGTGTGGTAGGAGGTAGCTCAGGTCTTGGACTTCGGTGTAAAAGTCGAGGTTGAAGGGTAATGGGTCGTATGTGGAAAGCTTATCGATCTTGGTGAGGACGTTGAGGTGTGGCAAATCCATCTGCAGCATGGCGCGCAGACTGAGGATGAGATTCGAGATGTATAGTGACGGTAGGGTGAGGCAATAGGAATCCGTAAGGTTCATAACAACCATCCTGTATCCCATCTTCTGTATGTGGAAGAATATATTTCGTAATGATGAGTGATGTGTGAACAGCTCCGCCTGCCCCGGGCAGTCAAAAATTACATAGTCCTCCCCTAAGCCCCTGAGACCCTCCTCGAGCCACTCGACGTTGTGTTCTAATTCCTCCATAGCATAAAGTATACCGCCGTTGGGACCTAACTCGTCGTCGCGCATTATATCTTCGAGACGGACTATTTCGCGCACGTCGAGAGCTGCTGTGTAGTTCGTGTGCTCGTTGGCGGGGTCGAGGTTAACGACTGAACATTTGCGCCCGATGGCAGACATGAATTGCTGCACTTTTTGAGGTGATTAGCTTTGAGAATACCAAAATGTTCTGATCTATACTTACTGCCATCACAGTATGTAGATTTGCCAGCACCAGCTGTGCCTACAACAAGCTGTAGAAATGTTAACAGTTGATCGTATCAGCCTTGACCTGAGGAAACCTACCTGTGCGAACGGCATGTTGGGCTTCGATCAGGCAAGCCCCTGATTTGTTTGATTTTGATCTGGGTATTATTCAAAGGATCTGCGGTGACTTTAGAATATCGTATTGCAAAATTCACATATGTTTGTATGTTCACGTTCTTGGTTTGAAATTGTTCTGAATCGTCATCCTGTGGTCTGGAGGGGTCTAAGGCGGTAAGCGATAGTGCAGCAGAATCCAAATCTAAGCTCCATCCACCGCGACCTTATCTAAACCAAACATTTATCAACACGCTCGCCAGTAGAACAACACACCTCACATCTCAACTACAAGATGTCTCTAGGTAAAACTCCTCGTGGCCTTTGAGCCAGATTATGAATTCTGAGTGACACAAACCTAACATTATAACAGCAACTCAGTTCGAGATTCCCACGCCTCCCGCAGATGTTATCTCCGCCGTCAAGTTTGCGCCCGACTCTCCTAACCGCCTACTCGTCTCGTCCTGGGATAAATACCTCCATTTATACGAAGTTCAAGACGGAGAAAATGCTGGAACCTTGGTGAACAAATATGAGCATCGTGCTCCGGTGCTGGATACCTGTTTTGGCGCGGGGGACGATGAGGCCTTCACGGCAGGTATGGATTGGCAGGTGAAGCGGTACGTAAATTCACAACCAATACTGGAGGATAATTCATTCTAATGTTGGCTTTAGGATCGATTTAAGTACCGGCGAACAAACTGTCCTCAGCACCCACGAAGCACCCGCCAACCGCGTGGTATACAGTAAAGAACATTCACTCCTCATCTCCTCGTCATGGGATAGCACCCTCCACCTCCACTTCCTCTCCGACCCTTCGAAAGGACCAACCACAATTCCGCTTCCCGCAAAGCCATTCTCACTTTCACTATCTCCGACCCGCCTTGTCGTTGCTATGGCATCACGTCTGGTAAATATCTACGACCTGAAATCCACAGCATTACTCTCGTCACAAGCAACCGATGGCAAAAGCGAGGTCGAGCCGTGGCAAAAGAGGGAGAGTTCTTTGAAATTCATGACAAGAGCAGTGGCTTGCATGCCAAACGATGCTGGTTACGCAACATCATCGATCGAGGGGCGTGTTGCCGTGGAGTGGTTCGACCCGTCTGATTCGTCACAAGCTAGGAAGTACGCTTTCAAGTGCCACCGTCAACCTGACTCCTCCGGCGATGGTTCGGATATTGTGTATCCCGTCAACGCATTGACATTTAACCCTATCCACGGTACGTTTGCTAGTGGTGGCGGAGATGGCGTTGTTGCGCTGTGGGATGCCGTTGCGAAGAGGAGGATCAGGCAATATCAGAAGTATGCTACAAGTGTGGCAGCGCTGTCTTTTAGCACCGACGGGAAATACCTCGCTATTGGTGTATCCCCTGGCTTTGAAGATGGAAAGGACTTCAACCCGGATGGTCTGGTGAAGGTGTTCATCAGAAAATTGGGTGAGAACGAGGCGAAGGGAAAGGGGCAAAAATAATAGATATTACGGGGTAATGTAAAATTATCTGTCATATTAGCAAGGCGCAATGGATACTATGAGCATATTGAAAAAATCAATAATCATTAAGGAGAGTTTGAAGCTGTTGATGTGAACGTTTGGTCGTCACACTGATCGTCGGTACCACCCCCCGCCTATCGCGCCGACACATTGACCCCAACTTTCCCCACGTTTCCCCCACCACAACATCCGTTCATAGGAATTAGCATCACAACCCCAACACGATGTCACAAAACACGCTGAGAGCGGCAATACTTATAGTCTCTACCACAGCTGTAGAGGATCATTCTACTGATAAATCCTGCGATATCCTCAAAGATGTCTTTAGGCAAGAAGCGGACGGTCAATGGGAGTGGGATGTTGTGGAGACCAAGATCGTTGGCGATGTAGTCGAGGACATACAGGAAGCTATCAAGCATTGGGCGGGCCAGGATAATCCGGTCAATGTCATAATTACTACCGGAGGAACTGGCTTTGCTGTCGCTGACAATACCCCAGAAGTATGTTGAAGGTTAACGTGACTGATTATATCGGATGCTGGCTTATTTACGTGACAGGCTGTCTCACCACTATTACATCGCCAGGCTCCAGGCCTCGTATATGGAATGCTCTCATCTTCAGCCGCCATAACACCATGTTTGTATTCCCAGATTTTAAAGTATTTCCATTCTAACACGTAATACAGTTGCACTCATGTCACGCCCTGTTGCTGGTGTCCGCAACAAGAGCATCATTATCACCCTCCCAGGCTCGCCAAAGGGCGCCAAGGAGAATCTCCAGTGCATATTAAAGCTCCTACCTCATGCATGCTTGCAAGCAGCAGGGGCGGACTCCAGATCTCTACATGCTGGAGGCATCAAAAAGCTGGAATCGGAGGCTGGAATAAGCTCTAGCGGATCTCACGCTGGCCATCACGGCTATGGTCACGGTCACGACCACTCGCACACACACGGTCATAGCCACTGCTATAATCATGGCCATGGGCACGCAATGCCAGTTCGCCACACAAGAGAAACGGATAATCCTCAATCTAACGACCCCGCGGCCGGCCCGTCACGACGACACCGGTCATCACCGTATCCGACGCTTGAAGTTAGCCATGCCTTGGAACTAATCAAAAATGAGACTCCAGCCCCTCAAATAATATCCGCCAAAGTGGATGGATTGCTTGTCGGCTTTGTTCTTGCGGAAGATGTCACCGCTACTGAGGCAGTGCCTGCGTTTAGGGCAAGCATCGTTGATGGCTACGCTGTCATTGTCCCCGAAGGAGGAGAGAGTTCCGCTGGTGTGTTCCCTGTTGCATCTATCTCGCATGCCGCACCGGGGGAGATCAAGCCACTGTTGAAGGGGCAAATAACTCGTATCACCACCGGCGCGCCTCTTCCTCCAGGGGCAACGTCGGTTATTATGGTTGAAGACACAGTCCTCAAATCGACTTCTGAAGATGGTACAGAAGAGAAGGAAGTTGAGATCTTGGCCACAGACGTCAAATCTGGTGAGAATATCCGTGAAGTTGGCAGTGATATCCAGTCAGGGTCTGTTATTCTCCGTAAAGGTGACCAGATATCTGCCACGGGTGGCGAGCTAGGGTTATTGGTTTCTGTTGGTAGAACTGAGGTCAAGGTTTATCGCCGCCCTGTTGTTGGCGTTCTTTCTACAGGAGACGAAATAGTGCAGCACGATCGCCCTGGACACCTTCGTCTGGGAGAAGTGAGGGATTGCAACCGCCCTACCATCATGGCTGCAGTCAGAAGCTGGGGTTTTGAAGCCCGAGACCTCGGAATTGCAAGTGATACCCCCGGATCGCTCGAGGAAACTCTTCGCGCGGCACTACGACAAGTGGATGTTATTATCACCTCAGGTGGTGTCTCAATGGGCGAGCTAGATCTGCTCAAGCCTACTATCGAGCGGCAGCTCGCTGGGACAATACATTTCGGGCGCGTAGCTATGAAGCCGGGAAAGCCGTCGACATTTGCTACAGTGCCAGTAAAATCTAACAATGGTGCTCCCGTCAAGAAGCTGGTATTTTCCCTCCCTGGAAACCCCGCGAGCGCTGTCGTGGCATTTCACCTCTTCGTGCTTCCTAGCTTGCATTTTGCGAGTGGAGTGCAGCCGGCCGGCTTACCTTCGGTACCAGTGCTACTCGGACACGAGATCAGGCTGGATAAGCAGAGGAAAGAATATCACCGTGCGGTGGTAAGTGTTGGGAGAAACGGGAAACTGGTGGCAACAAGTACCGGGGCGCAAAGGAGCTCGATGGTTGGGAGTTTGAAAAGTGCGAATGCACTGCTATGTTTGCCAATCGGTGACAAAGTTGGCAAAGGTGAGGAAGTGCAGGCTCTGCTCATGGGACCTATTTCAGCACCGTAATTATAAGTTCGAGTTAATGTGAACTAACACAAACATCCTTTCATGATACATTAAGCCGCTGTCACACATCTATCTAATGCATCCATCCTATTACGCCATTCACCCAAGAACACTCTCACCTAGCTCATCTCCACATCCCCATCTCCATCCGTCCCCCCCTTCTTCTGCCTAGGCTCGCTCCCGAAACTCGTCCTGGCGTCCTGACTCTCCATCTGCAACTGCCTCTCCGGATCCGCATCCGCATCCTCGTCATCCGCATCCTCAGTGCCGTCCACCTGCACAGACTCTCCCCGTCCATTCTGCGTCTTCGCAACCACGGCTTCAAATCCCTTGGCCACCAACGTAGTCTGCCCAGCATCCAATCCCACCTCGCCATTCTCCTTGCCCTCGCGCGCCTTCTTGGCCTTCACCTCCTTGAACGTCACTGTTCGCGGGACAACATCGGAGAGAAACTCGAGCGTGTCCATACGCGCAACTGCCGCGGCGAGATCGCGGTACTGGATGTTCTTGCGGGGTTTGCGCTCCGAGCGGACGACGCTGTGGGCGGAGGTAGAGAGGTGCTGGATGAAGGATTCTGTGGCCAGGGCGATCAGGAAGGCGGCGGGGTTAGAGCAGGCGGCGATATCGGGGTCGAGGGCTATGAGCCGCTTTACCCGCGAGACTGGGCAGAGTTAGAATGGGTTGGTTGGATCTGAAGGGTGGCGCTTACGGGGTAGTTGTGAGGTTCCGGTGGTATCCCCCCTTGGCGGGATGGCTGAGGGTGGCATGGTGGCGATTTGGGGGAAATAGAGAATATTTTCACGCGTTTGGGTGGTATAAGCTGACAGCTTGGGTATGCTTCTGATGAGGCGTATTAGCTATGTCCAAGTAGAATAAAACGGCATCCAGGTTGCTGACAGGCTCAAGCACTATGTGAATCCCGCACTGTCATGTACATGGGGTCCGCCACACGACCCCAGTAATCCCATATGAAAGTGGCAATCCCATGAGCAAAACGAAGTAGAAAATGCAAGATATCTCCAAAATGCCACAGAACAAGGCAATATCTCAACGCCTGCTCATAGAGATTGACAGGAGATTGATATGCGGGCTCAGCACCGCCGTCACGGCTTGAGAGAATAAAATTTCACAACTTACAACACACGTAATCCCGCAGTATGTCCAGTCTGTATAGGTGCCTGGTTGGTGTTGCTCTAGGACTCGTTCTTAATATATTGAAATTTCCAAGTCTGTCATGTCGTCGCGAGGCTACCAAAGTGGAAAAGTACGTGCAGGGGGTGGTGGTTGCACTAGCGGCCGCAGTCGCAGTGTGGACAAGCCAAGCTCCAGGCACAAAGAGGTTGTACGCGGCATATATTTCTCGACGGCACTCATGTCCATTTATTATTGCTCTTTCCTCTTTCCTCATGGCTATATAGGTCGTATCTATGAACAGTCGACAAGCATCATTCTCTTCAATGACAACTTTGCGCCCACGACGCCCATCAGTCGCAAGTCGGATATCCATAGCTGTCTCCAGTGCGACTGACCTGGGCGAAGGAGGCCCAGCTCCAACCGGAGCAGAACACCAGGTAGATGAGGAAATAGAAGAGATAAAACGATATGAGGTGCGTTTGCCCCAGTTTGCCATATGAAACCAAAGCTGATAATGTCCAAGGATTTCACAACAATAGGTTCGTAGCTTTGTCTATTAATACACGCGACCCGCCCGGTGTGCCGAACTGACGATCTACAGATTGGGTACAAGATGCTGCCCGAGAACAACTTAGACGCGAAGCGCGACGGCGAGAAAATGCGAGGTTCTTTACAAGAGGCGGCAGGGCTGGCTGGAGATATCAGCTATGGGAGGCATACAACGCAGGCCAGGGTTGGATTGTTGTCACCTTGATAGGTGCGGCGATTGGCCTCAATGCGGCATTCCTAAACATCATCACAGAATGGTTGTCGGATATCAAACTTGGATATTGTACTACAGGCTTTTACCTGAACCAGAACTTTTGTTGCTGGGGAGAAGATAATGGGTGTCCGCAATGGCACAGATGGACTTCGATGGCCCCCGTCAACTACCTAATGTATATTCTTACAGGAGCGATATTTGCTTTCACATCGGCGACATTGGTCAAGTCTTTTGCGCCATACGCCGCCGGATCTGGGATCTCGGAGATTAAATGCATTATCGCTGGGTTCGTCATGAAAGGCTTCCTGGGCTGGTGGACTCTGCTCATCAAGTCGATCGGCCTACCTCTCGCTATCGCATCTGGCCTATCAGTCGGAAAGGAAGGCCCCAGCGTACATTATGCTGTGTGCACTGGAAATGTTATTTCAAGATTATTCGACAAATACAAGCGCAATGCCTCCAAGACTCGGGAGATTCTGAGCGCATCCTCCGCTGCAGGTGTCGCAGTCGCCTTTGGAAGTCCTATAGGTGGCGTGTTATTCTCTTTGGAGGAGATGTCTCCGCACTTTCCTCTGAAGACTTTGTGGCGTACTTATTTCTGTTGCCTGGTAGCAACAGCAGTTCTATCTGCCATGAACCCTTTCAGAACAGGCCAGCTCGTCATGTTTCAGGTCAGATATGATCGATCATGGCATTTCTTCGAGGTGATATTCTATATCATCATCGGCATATTCGGCGGCTTATATGGAGCGTTTGTCATTAAATGGAATCTGAGGGCTCAGGCATTCCGAAAGAAGTATCTGTCGAAACATGGGGTTCTCGAGGCGACGCTGTTGGCAGTAGGTACTGCCATTATCTGCTTTCCGAGCATATTCTTGAGCATCGACATGACTGAGTCCATGGAAATCCTCTTCAAAGAATGCGAAGGCGGCGAAGATTACCATGGCCTCTGCGAGAGTAAACATAGGTGGTCTATGTTTTTCTCTCTGATTCTTGCCACTGCCATCCGCACCAGCCTGGTCATCATTTCCTATGGTTGTAAAGTGCCGGCCGGAATTTTCGTCCCCTCTATGGCAATCGGCGCATCATTCGGCCGCGCTGTCGGCATACTCGTCGAAGCCATTCATGATGCTAATCCTACCTCCGCATTTTTCTCCGCCTGTGACCCCGATCTTCCATGTATTACCCCTGGAACCTACGCCTTCCTCGGCTCGGCTGCGGCGCTTTCTGGCATCATGCACATCACCGTCTCGGTGGTGGTCATTATGTTCGAGCTTACGGGGGCTCTTACCTACATTCTACCAACAATGATTGTTGTCGGCGTCACCAAGGCTGTTGGCGAATTATTCGGAAAGGGCGGCATCGCCGACCAGATGATTTGGTTTAATGGCTTCCCATTCCTAAACAACAAAGAAGAGCACAACTTTGGTGTCCCAGTCTCGCAGGTCATGACGTCTGACCCCGTCACCCTTCCAACGACCGGCTGCACCATGGCGGACGTCGAGGCCGTCCTTGCCGATAGAGAGTTCCAAGGCTTCCCTGTTGTCGAGGAGCGGCACGCAAAAATCCTTGTCGGGTACATTGGCCGCACCGAGTTGCGGTACGCTGTCGACCGCATCAAGAAGCACAGCGGGGTACTCCCCACTGCGCGTTGCTACTTTGCAGCGCCTGCCTCCTCTGCCTCCCTCGCCCCTCCGACGCCTTCTACTCCCCTCACGCCGGCCGTGACGATTGATGGCTCCAGTTCCTCCGTCGACTTTTCACGGTTCGTCGACCCTACGCCCGTAAGCGTGCACCCACGCCTCCCGCTTGAGACGGTCATGGATATGTTCCGCAAGATTGGGCCGCGTGTGATACTTATTGAGTACCGTGGGAAGTTAGTGGGTCTTGTGACGGTGAAGGACTGCCTCAAGTACCAGTTCAAGGCCGAGGCGAGTGAAACCCCGAGGGTCGATGATAGAGGCATTGTGGAGGGTCAAGAGGAGTGGCTGTGGGGCCTCATCTTGCGCGGAGCAGCCTGGGCAAGTGATAAATTGGCCACAGTAAGTCGCGGGAGGATCCGACTGAATAGCGATGTGAGTAGAAGGGGAAATGGACAGCGGCGAACGGGGATAATGGACGGCACCGAGGATGTACCAGACGACGGGGTGGAATTGAACCGTATATGATGACGAGCATACGCCACAGTAACGTTGGATAAGCTAACCCCCTTCGATTACACGAAATACTAGCTACAGGCACCACGGAGGCCCTTAGAGGGGTGCCAACGAAATTTATATATGTACAATCTATAAGCCCAAGGTATCGAACGCCAGACACTATACAACCCAATCACACACGACTAGCCGACCCTCCTCGACTCATCAGGAGGCATCTCCAAATCCAGGATATCCTCGTCGTCCCTCAGCTTATCGGGCTTCGTGTCCTCGCCATCCGTCTCCAACTCAATATCATCAGCCAGCAAAGCCTGTCCCTCACCAGCATCCAAATATGTGCCGCTCCCCTCCTCAGAAGTGCGGTGCGCGTCCTCGCCCGCGACAGTGAGCTCCTTCTCCTCGCGGCGGCCGATGATGACGTTCCCAGCGACGAGCAGCGCGGCGCCGACGAACCAGAGGGGCGGGAGAGATTCGGAGAAGATGACGAGGCCGAGGATGGCGGTGATCATGAAGTTTGCGGAGGTGTTGAGGATGGCGACTTGGGTGGTGGAGGGGGAGCGGGAGAGGGCTTTGGTGAAGAGGGTCCACATCTGGGGGGTCTATGTTAGAATGGAGAGGGTGGAGCGTGACATAGGGGGGCCTTACGATGCCATTGAATATTAGGTTTAGGGCGAAGAATATCTAGAGAGGGTATGTCAGCTGCTAGTTTCCGAGATTGATGCTCAAATATCGCGGGGGTCCAGATAGCCAATTTAATAACCTTGGTGGCTACAATTTGTCCTGCCTCTATAAATCACCGAGCAATTGAAGGAAACTTACCGCACGAATAGCATACTCAAACGCCTGCTCCCCCTTCTCCAAATTAATAAGCCCTGCAAGAAACGTCGCAAACGTCGTCGTCAATTCCGTAGTAGTCCTGCATCACCACGCCCCCAAATCAGTAATCGCAATCTACCCAGACATCAGGGGAGACGACGAACAGCTTAGCAAACACCCCATTGATAGCCGCACAAGCACCACTCGACAGCGCAAACGTAATCCACTGCGCCTTCCTACTCAAATCCGAGATAGCCATCTCGTCTCTCTCCTCCTTCTCCCCCTTCTGTTGCTTTACCCGCGGCGTCGTCGGCGGCGCGCTGTCCTCGGGACCGGGGGACGGCGGGAACGTGAATTCGGGGATTGGAGGGAGGTTGCGGGAGCGTAGGGCTTGTTGGGGGTGAGGTGCTATGGTGGAGGAGGTGCTGGTTGCGCTGGAGGGATATGCGGAGGCCATGGGGATAGTGGTGAGGAACGTGGGTGGGTGGTGGTGGGAACCCGGTGGTACTGACGCTGACGTACGCACTGTTTCTGGCTGGCGGCGGTAAGTTAGGCTTGCGGGGTTGGTGAGAGGCGCTGGGGACTTAGTCGAGGGTGTGCCGGTGTTGTGCATATTCAGAGGTAAATACTATCACGAATGGTTTGTTTATTCTCTAGCTTTAGATTTTGATAGTTTGTGTATATTTCTGTCTATGCAGTTACAACCATATCTTGGTATCTCAAATTACCAGCCGTCTCAGTTCAGGTGGACTCGGTCACACCATGTGACGTTTCTATTTCCGCCAGCAACCACGAACGCCCTCCTTTCCATGTCCCATTTTAGACCAGTAACTCCCGCCGTAAGATGAAGAACGATATCCTCTTCGTAGCCTTAATCCATCCTACATATATGCAATTTCGTGTTCGTTCGCCATAGCCTTACGCATTTCAATCCTTCTTCGTCCCGCAACTCACGATCTTGACTTTGTCCGCATGAACGCTCGTATTGTCCATCTTAAATGTCACGTCCTTGATCAGGAAAGTCCACACTTCATCGCAGAAGCGGTAGGTGTCGAGGTGTCCCTATACCATCCCTCATCAGTACCATTGCAATTGCTGCCGCCATGTCCTCCCAGCCATCCATACCTTGAACGTCATCCTCGCCTTCACCTTATCCTGCAGCACCTCCGTAATGCTTCGATCAAAGTGGCTCAGGATCTTCATCGCCAGCTGCGGCTCGATGCGGCGCTCTCCGATCAGCTCGTCGAGAGTATCCATCAGAGTCCTCCCGACACTACCAAGGCAAACGCATTAGCACTCCAAGTTCGGTGAAGTAGAGCTGCGGTGAAGAGCGTCACAGTACCTGCTACGGCGGTAGAGCTCGTAAAAGGGACTGGCGTTCGCTGCCATCGTGATGTCTTCTCTGGTGACAATGACGGGACGTTGCGGAAAGAAGAGAAGAGGATGAGTCTCGATGAGGCGGGGTGAAAGGCAACGAGGCGGTTAGTCAGCAAAGAGCCGCACGCTACTTGTGTGGCCCAAAAGTCTGTACGGTCGCCTGTAGCTGACAAGGGTGCAATTCGCGACGTCCAAGCTTGGGATACCTGTACAGCGAGTTCGATATCGAAGCTGAGCTTCACCAACTCGCCCCGCCGCCACTCTCTTTCATATTGTTTTTGCAAGCTCCAGGCGTTGCAAAAATGAGTATTACATATGGCGTCGTTGGCTCTACGTCCACCCTCGCGGTGATTGGACTTTGTAAGACTCAACCCCTCGACACCCTGAGGTCCAGGCAGCTAACCTATGCGGCTTAGATATGCTCCTTACTGGCGATGGAGAAGCATTCAATGTACACTCTTTCACAGCATACGATGGGCAATGTATCTAACTCCATATCCAGGTCGGACAGTTCCTTGAAGACGTCTCGCCCTACGCCTGGGCAGACTTGGGCATCGGGCTCTCCATTGGCCTCTCTGTCATCGGCGCCGCATGGTAACCACCCACCCTCGCCCGCATCTTTGCCTTCACACCCGCTAACTCTCATCTCACAGGGGCATCTTCATAACCGGCTCGTCGATCCTCGGTGGCGGTGTCAAGGCGCCGCGCATCCGCACCAAGAACCTCATCTCCATCATCTTCTGCGAAGTCGTCGCCATCTACGGCGTCATCATGTCCATCGTCTTCTCGTCCAAGATCAACGTCGTCGAGGGCGACGCCATCTACTCGGGGAGCAACTACTATACCGGCTACGCGCTGTTCTGGGGTGGCCTTACTGTTGGCATGTGCAACCTCATCTGCGGTGTGAGCGTCGGGATTAACGGTAGCGGTGCCGCTCTGGCTGATGCTGCGGATCCGAGTTTGTGAGTTTATCCTTGGGAAGGGTGTACAGGTCCGGGTTTGGGGGTTCTTGCTAATATGGGAACAGATTTGTTAAGATTCTCGTCATTGAGATCTTCAGTTCGGTGCTGGGACTATTTGGGTTGATCATTGGGTTATTGATCTCGCAACGCGCAGTGGAGTTCAAGTGAGGAGATGGAGGGGATATAGGACATAAGTGGAGAGGCGGCATAGTTGTGAAAACACCACTGGAAGAGCGATTGGGGGAGAGTGCATATTTGGACATCTTGGCGGCGAGGAAGGCGTTCGGTAGACAGCGATGTACAGTATAGTAACAGTAAAGTCAGTCCGTGGGGACAGCAAACATGGAAATGAAGTGCTACATGCAGCACAGTTATTTTATACAATTAAGAGTTGTAACATTATCCCTCCTGCAAGAATGTAGCCAGGCACGGATGGAATATATAGTCATATTATGTCTCTTAGCATTGCGCGTCTCAGATCATAATTTACAGTCTAAAGACTCTCAACGTACCCGGCCGACGCCATACTTTTCATGACCCTCCTATAAACGCCCCAGATGCATACCCTCAAAGGACTATTTAACCCCACCCCCTTACTCCTCCATCTCATCAGCACCCTGCGCACCCACCGGCACCCTTCCCTCATTAAGCTCCTTCTCCAGCCTAATAATATCCTGCAAGCTCTTCGCGTTCCTAATCAGCTCCTCCACCTTCTTCCTCTCCTTATCCGTCAACTTAACCCTGTAATTCTTGTTCGACGCCGCCGCCGCCCCGTTCGCAGACGGCACGTCGAACGTCCGCGACTTGATGCCCATAATCTTATTCGCGAGTTCCGAGGGCTCGGATGTCGTTCCAAAGAGCTCCGCCGCCTGCTTGCGCTCCGCGTCTTTGACCTTGCGGTAGTCGAGGAAGCGGACGGCGCGGCAGCGGAAGAGGACCCAGAGTCTGTAGTGCTGTTCATCTCGTCAGCTTCATACCCCAGATATCTCCTATAATGGCGAGAGCTCCTACCTCTTTCCGTGTAACAGGGTTCTCTATCAGCACCAAGTGCGTGAGCTTAGGCAGTGTGCCGAGGGCGTCGAGGTCAGCTAGCTCGGCGATGTTGTTCGATGTCAGGATGAGAGTGATGAGATTTGGTATCGATTGCGCGACGGAGGGCTGGATCTGAGCGACGCGGTTGCGGGCGAGGAGGAGGGTTGAGAGGCGCGGGGAGAGGGGGAAGTTGCCTAGAAGCTGGATGTCGTTGTCTGTGAAGTCGATCGCATCTTGTGGCTAGCATCTGTCAGTCTATAGCTCTCTCTCATCTGGGAGTAGTATGTGACCCCAAGTCCAATGAATGCCAATATGACGTATAATGCCACATGGGGGGAGGGGAAGTGGAGGACTCACGCCAGCAACACCCAGGTTCTCGATGCTCGGTATTTTGTGACCTGCAATCCCAGGTATCGATATCAACTCTGCTCGCCTCAAAGTGTAGTATCAGTTCTTCTCAGGGACAACGCACCTCGCAGGTCGAGCTCTCGCTCTTTGAGGGGATTGAGGTATGACAGGGAGGATTGGATGAGTTCGGTGGTGAGGCGCATTGCTGCGGTTTGTCTGGACGTTTACCTATGTAGATTCAGTGTCGATGGCATGCGAGTAGTCGGATCGTAGCGGAAATGAGTGGTGGAGGGTGTGGGCGCGGGTGATTCGGTGGGATTTGTGGTGTCTCGTGGTTTTCGGCAAGGCTGAAGGTTGGACCGCGCCTGATGATAGCTTCAAAATTATGAATTAATTTGAGCTAGTACTAATTAGGATGAATTAGTAACCCAGATAACTTCAGTATCACAATTCCAATTCTTCAGAGAGCATGTCTAATACTGTATAATAAAATTTCACTAAATTTTCCTTGGTATCTATACAACCTCTGCGCAACTCTCCCCATGCAAATCTATAACTCCGTCTCCAGTACTCCTAAACACTCATTGAAAGACATATGTGCACCCAGATCTGTCCACAGAAACCGTCATTCCATACGGAACCTCAATCAATGCAACATCAGTAATCGCATCAAGGTGCGTCCTGAGCAACAACTGCTGATGCAACGACATCACCGTAGGCCGCGAAGACTTTTTGTCCGGGCCCTTGCTATTACTTGACGAACTTCGAGATCCAGCTGCTGCATTTGGCGCCGTGGGTTGTGGCCGAGGCAGCCTTTCAACATTCACTATGAGTCCAGTGGTGGGTCGCGACATCGTGTAAACAGGCCGGGGGTCATCAATCTCCAGCCCGCTAAGGATTTCAGAGTGCTTTGAATCTGCCATATCCCAGAAGCGTAGTTTTCTGTCCGCCCCACCAGCAATGATGAACCCATACTTCAACTCTGAGCCATCTTCGTATGCATCTGTCCCTGTGACCATAGCGCAGGCTCCCTGGTCAGACGCATTACTTGTAGTGAGGTCATGTGTAGTTACAAAGCGCTCCAGAATTCCCTCTGGCTTGTCGTCGTCAACCGGCCAAGGGTCATAAGATCTTGGGTGTCTGTCTTCGCCGCCTCCTGAACGATATACCTCCCTACATTGAAACTTCTCCAGGTCCCATGCCGTTATCTCTCCATGGGCATTCCCACCAGAGACACATACCCATTTACCTCTCCCCCTATATGGGTGGAAGCATATGCGGCTGATAGAGGTCGCGCCTCGGACTCCCCAACTTCGTACCAGAATCCTGAATCTTAGATCCCATAAGTCAAGAATGCCATGAGAAGTACCGATTAAGATCCATTGCCGCTTTCTATCCACCAGGAAACACGTCGGGGACCCGTGGTGTACGTTGTTCTCCAGCTCGTAGAGGATCGTCATGGTTCGCAGGTCTAGAGCAATGATGCGCGACTTATTGGTCGCTAACATCAATACAGAGCTCGTTTCGACGCGGAAGTGGTCGCACCAAACAACATACTCGTCCTTTGGTAGCTGGTAGTCGCGGATGACCTTGAGCTTTCCATACCGGGCAGAGGCGACACCAGTCCGGTATACAAAATCGACTTTGACAACATTGACGCTCCCGTCAGTTGCACAGCTTGCAAAGCAGTGAGTGTTCTCTATGAAGCACAATGATTTTACTTTAGCCCCCGCCGCATGCTTATGAGTCTGTCGTGACCGATGTGCGATGTTCCTCTCGAGTCTGCCGGTATCCCACAACTTGACTGTCCCGTCATCGCCTGCGGTAAGGAAGAACATGTGGTCTGGCGCCACAACAACTCGATTAATAGGCCCAGAATGCTCAGAGAACTGCGCTACAAGTATGCCAACAGGCTTCCATGGCTTTTCAACTGTTTGTACGTTGCTTCTTTGGACGGGTTTGCGTCGGCTGACAGGCGTAACCATCGGACCAAATTCAAGCATGTTGTCTGGGTAATTCTCAACATACATGGCGTCAAGCATCTGAAGGATGCTAGGGTCGTTGCCAGAATATGTGTGCGCGGCGCGATACTTGATATCCGTCTTCTTGGCCTCCTCAGACTTTTGCATGAGATCATGATCAGTTGCCGGGTGGCTAGTTCCCTTAAATGGGCCTTCAACTCGGCCAAAAGCATTTGTTGATGTAGTGCTTGTTTTAGGGAAGGACTTGGCTGTATCGTTCCGGCCGAGGAGAGACATAGCACCACTTGACGGCTGCTGTCGGCCGCCACGTCTAGTGCTTGTGGTCGATACAGAATCATCATCACTTGCTCTGTCACTGCTACGGGGCTCCCTTGACTGGTCAGAAGCTGGCCTTTGCCTTTGGTTTGCAGCGGAACTTTGTCTCGCATTTTGCATAGCATTGCCCGGCGGTGACCTCTCAGGAGATGGTTCTTTAGATCCTTTATCAGACGCAGATAGTGTCGAATTGTGTTCTTCCAAGCGCGCCTGGTGGTTGCTATATCCCTTCTGTCTCCTCCGAGACGACGTATCATCTATCGTCAGCGATGCATCAAGTAACGCATCGGCGATTGTGTGGGTCGCCTTGTCGGCATCTACTGGAGGTGCTTTGCCACTTCCAGGGTCTTCTTCAAATCCTTCGTCAAACATGACGGTCTGGGGTGTTATGCCGAACTTTCGCAGATTTATTACCTCATTCAAATACTCCGGATGCTTAACCGGCTCTTTTGTCTTCAAATGAGACGTTTTCCAAATATACTCGTGCAGGGCAACTAGCTTAAACTCGTCTTCAGCCAGCATTCCCTGTGTTCGTAGTCGTACAATCCATTGCTCATCTTCTTCGTTTTTGGGGACCTTGGCCAAAGCATTCTGCGTCGTATCTTTGGCCGAGAATGACGGAATAGTATGATTCGAAGACCCAAATGAGAATGTCTTCTGCTTGGGAGCAGATTTCCAAAACACGCCCCGATCAACCTTCAATGCCCAATTACTCGCCAGGTCAAGTACAGGTCTAGGAAGCGGCTTCTTCAAGGCATCAAGAAGCCTTAACTCCGAGAAGTCTCTAATGTCGCTCTTCAGGTACGGCCTGATTAATGGTAGCACTATACACTGCCTATCCGCCATTGACAAGAAGCTAGTTGACGATGATATAAACATAGCTGCTGCCTCACGAATCCAAATATTCGGATGCATAGTGAAGCGGCCCACAACATCGACAAGCTCCCACGTCTTTGACCGTTGGAATAGACCGAGTTCAGCCATGTGGCCAAGTGACCGCAGGACTTTCTCAACGACAAACTCCTCGGGGTCAGTGAGGGCCTGTACCATCAATGGCAAGATGAACTCCTCCAGTGTCACGCCACCAAGGAACGTTGCAACACCGACGACGGTCTCGAAGAAGGCACACTTTAGCTCCCAATCCCTGCCATTGAGGTATGTGTTCAAATGGCTCAATATAATATCATTCGAGTCCGCAGTTCCGAAGAACATGCAAAGCTCTGGGACCGAGCCCAGAAATGCCTGCCGCACCGACGAGTCGCCATCCGTAATGAGCGCCTTCGTGTGCCTCTCAAATACCTCTATCAGCTCCGCGCAGGCGCTATCAAAGAGCCCATAAAGCACCGGGGCATTCCCATCTGCTTCTGGGTCAATCGTAGGCAGCGACCCATCCGCCTTGAGCGTTGCCACCATATCGAGAAAGCGGGATGCGGCAGTTGCGAGGCTGCCCAGGCATGCTGCATACGTTGCTCTAACGATCGGGCTCGGGTTTGTCTTCGTGTTCGCGAGGAATGGAGCCATACGATCCAGGATGTATTCCTGGAAGACGTGGGCGTTCACTGGGGATATCACCTTGACCATCGTCATAAGCTGGGTGAGTGTGCGAATTGCACTAACTTTGACAATGTCAGACTTATCGTTCAGCAGCGAAACCATGTACGGGAGAACTCGGTCTAGCTTGGCTTCGTCTGTTAGGCGTTCAGCGAAGGCAAGGAGAAGATCGCACGCCCGAGCCCGCGTGGCAGCTCGTGCTGTGTTCCGCACTGATGATACAACGACCGTCAAGAATATTAGAGTCCCATCATCCTCTGGTCGGCTTCCAGAGCTCGAGATCTGGTGATCGTTGTTTGAAATGTTTAAATGCACAGGGAGGAGTTGGAGCCTAAACTGTGACGCATTGAGCCGATGTTCCTCTCCTTCTGGTCTGGAGTTCTGGTAGCCCAGAAAGTATGATATCTTGTCAAAATCGTAATATATGCGATTAATCCTGTCATCCGCTTCGCCAAGGTTTACTGAGGAGCCGGTAATAGGAGCTCGCCCTGACGTAGGGTCGGTGATCAGGCCCATATACTGATGCAAAAAGCCGTAAAAATATTCTGGAAACGCCTTGTTCCTCCAGAAATTCAGGTATTCTTCCGCAGAATACCTCGCCTCAGGCTCGAGTTGGATCATGTGGGCCACCAGGTCGCGTATATCCTTATCTGCAATGCCGTTAACTCGAGTCAGAGGATCATATTCGCCCTTCTTGTATTGGTAAAGCTGGCTCAGATTGAAGATTGGCGATTCCAAGAAGAGTTCCGCAATCACGCAACCCGCGCTGAAGACGTCCATGGCCCAGGTTATACTGGCCTTTGGATCAGCCACTTGACCTGGGCTTAGAAACCTCTCGGGTGCAAGATAGCACGTTCTCCTACCCGCGGTATCAAAGAAGTAGGAGAAATCTGCCGGATTATCTTCGGGGAGGGTCGTGGGCTTGAACGAGGACGAGAAGTCGGACAGGTATAGCCAGTTCCATGATGTGACCAGGGTATTTTCGCTCTTGATGTCGCCGTGAAAGACATCTCTCGCATGGCAATCTCGCAGTGCACAGAGCAGCTGGAATGCCAGCCATTTCTTCTCTATATCTTCCAGGAACGGCCTCGTGCTCATGCGGTCATATAACGAGCTGTACAGGTACTGTCGAACCAAGTACCCATTATTCTCCGTCTCTATAATCCGTTCGTAGCCAAGGGCATTCGGTATATCCGCCAGCGCAACTCGTTCCTCTATATCTCCCCGTTAGTAACTCTCCCATAGGCTCGTGCAAGCTGCCCAAAAACCTACCGATAATCCTCTTCCTATACTTGTCCAGCTTCATCACATACGGCTTAACGACAACCTTAACCAGCACTACGCCATCCTCATGGCGCGCCCGTATACTCTTCATAAACCGCGCCGACCCCATGGATTTCTCGTACGTCAGGTCCGAAAGCTCAGGCACGTCTATGCCGCCCGGCCCCGCCGAGAGCGCCTGCAGCGAGAAGCCCTGTCCCATGGCGGCGGTGGTGTACCCGTCACGGGCGAACGGCCATGGACATGAAATGGTGGCCTTTTCTTTGCCCTTCCGTGGCAGATAGTGGAGTAGCGATGTTTAGGGTGGAGGCATCTGTTATCGTGAGTGAGTGTAGGGGGGTCGTGGTTCGGTGGTTTCTGGAAGGCTGGCCTGGAGCTCGTAGCTCTCCCGATTTGGTTACGCGAATCGTGATGCTGCGTCAGGCTACCAGCGAGGCTGAGGGGGTTTCGGGATGAGATATGTGGTTCACGCACAACAAAGCGTGATTTTAATTTAACCGCCGGGATATGAAATGGTCGTGTTTCTTCTCTATAACTTGAGAATCACTCTGCAGATTCTCGACATATCCTTTGGTTTCCCACTGATCCAGAGTTCGGATTTGGCCCATTATGTGGGGTAAGGCTGAGAGGTTTTGTGGAGTGGTAAGTGGACACACTCACGCGAACACATATAAAACCGAACGCTTTGCTACTGGCTTGCATACAGAAATGATATCGTCTTCAATCTATGCCTATTTTAGACCATGACTAAAAGGCTACTGCCTCATCTTTCTGTCTGATCTCTGTCTCATCGAGGCAGAGAAGCTTGTTAGCGTCGGTCATTTCAACGAGGAGAGAATGATATGAGTTGCTTCTGAAGGAGCCCGCCAACTTCGACGGCTGCTCAGGAACAGGATGGCTGCAATGCTGCCAACGCCTAATAAGCGGGACATAGCGGGGGATTTAGTCTATTGTCGAGAATAAGGGGGTTTTGTACTTGCATTGAGTTGGTGTTTTTAAGATGTTGTATGGATTATTTTTTGCGGATGAGCGCCCGTCTTCCTGTGTTTCTTCTATAGATGATTGCGCCTGAAATGCCGGATCAACGACACTGAACATGTGTATGCCCGTCTATAACGTCCAATATTGTACATTTCCCAGCGCCAGCCTGCCATTTGAGTATGATGCCAATGCTCCAAAGCCACTATCAAAACATGATACAGCCATTCCATAGCCCACGCCAGCTCTTATCAAGATTTCTGATTCGATGACTCCTCTATCGCCCTCTCTTCCAGCGCTATCACCGCATGCTCCAACTCCTTAATCCTCTGCCCAAACGCCCTCCCCTTCAACTCCTGCTGCACCTCTCCCTCCCCCTCAATCGCCTCCGCCCACGCCTTCTTCAGCTTCTCCAGCTCCTCCCTCGTCACATCGCGATCGTCGCGCGCATACATGGCATTCGCCTCCGTGCTCTCACACGCGATCTCGAATTCGTCCTTCGCCTCGGAATACATCTCTTGCAGGCGCTCTGCGACCTCGTCGGCGGGCGAGCGGCCGGAGGAGGACGCGAAGGCGCGGTAGGTGTAGCTGGGGATTGGCACTGGGGCCGCAGGGGCGCGGGTGGGAAAGTTGTGTTGCGACGTAACGGACGCGAGGGCGCGGTGCTGCGCTGTTGGGAGGAGGGGACGGAGAGAGGTCGCGGTTCGGCGGGAGGCGAGGCGCAGGGCGCTGAGGAGTGGAGTTGGGGTCGACATTGTTGTTGTTGTTGGGATTGAAGGTCTAAAATTCGAGGCTTATGATGGTGGTAGTATGTCCTCGGAGTTTGTTCGGGCATACGTCCAGTTAATCCCCTGCATGCCGATGGGGCGGAGCATCGCGGTTGCGACTAGGGGTCCAATCTCGAGCTTCGCAAGGCGCGGGACAATCTGCTGAAGACAAAGTTGCATTGAACGCGCTTTCGAAACTCCTCGAGGCCACGATGGTCACTACTGCGCAGCTATATGGCCGCGCCATAGATCTAGCCACTAACCCAGCGCATAGTCGCTGGCAGTCGCCAATCCTGCTCGTGGTCGACGCGCTCCTATGCCTGGTGATAATCTGGAAAGTGCCTTGTATGTAACCGCCCTGGCTCCCATGCAAGATTTGTTTTGTAACGATGCTAATTAATGGGGATAGATACCGAGATTGACTGGGAAGCCTACATGCAGCAAGTTGCTCAATTCCTATCCGGCGAACACGACTATGTCAAGATTGCAGGTGGAACGGGACCACTGGTCTATCCAGCCGTGCATGTCTACATTTACTCGGGACTATACTGGATTACAGATAAGGGGAGGGACATCAAACTAGCCCAGGGTATATTTGCAGCTTTGTATTTACTCACCTTGGGAGGGGTAATGGCATGCTATAGGAGAGCTAAGGTGAGCTTCACCTTGCCAGATCACACATCCAAATTGTGTGAGATCTCGCCCTTTGAAGCGTTTCTAACATGAAAAATAGGCGCCGCCTTATATATTCCCTATGCTGATCCTGTCGAAACGATTACACAGCATCTATATACTGAGGTGCTTTAACGACTGTTTCGTGGTGCTGTTTTTGTGGATGGCCATTTACGCCTATCAAAGGAGAGCATACACCACTGGCACAATAATTTACAGTCTTGGTCTCGGGGTTAAGATGAGCTTGCTCCTTGTTCTTCCAGCCATTGGGATTGTGTTTCTCCTTACAAACGGGGTATGGACAGGGTTACAGCAGGCTACTATAATGGCTCAGCTCCAGGTCCTCTTCTCAACCCCATTTGCCTTGGAGAATGTCAGAGGGTATTACGGGAGAGCCTTCGAGTTCTCCAGGGTCTTTCTCTTCAAATGGACAGTAAACTGGCGATTCATCGGCGAGGAAGTCTTCCTCAGCAAAGGATTCTCAACCGCCCTACTTCTAGGGCATATAAACGTTCTAGCCATCTTCGCCGTAACACGCTGGCTCAAAACAGCAGGTCGACCCATCGAAACAATGATAACGCGAACGCTCCGCCTCCAAGAACCGCTAGGCAACGTGCAAAACCTGGTCTCTCAGCGCGTAACACCGCAGTATGTGCTCACGACGATTCTGACTGCAAATGTCATTGGCATTCTGTTCGCTCGCTCGCTCCACTACCAGTTCTACGCCTACCTCGCCTGGTCGACGCCCTTCCTCCTCTGGCGAAGCGGCATGCACCCCATCCTGCAATACGCCCTCTGGGCCGCCCAGGAATGGGCCTGGAACGTATACCCCAGCACAGACCTCAGCTCCCAGGTCGTCGTTGGCGTCCTGGCCCTCACCGTCGCCGGCGTATGGTGGGGCACAGGGCGCGAGGAGTACGCAGAGATCCGGCCCGGGGCGCGCGACGACGTGAAGTAGTCCATCATCCACAACCAGGGCTTTACTCCTCACCCTCGTCCTCATCGCTCGATGGCGGCATCTTTCCCACATTCGACTCCTCATCATCCGAATCCGCATACGGATCCACCTTCACGAACTCCTTCGGCCTATTCCTAGTCCATTAGCCCTGTCACCACCACCCTCGCAAGCAGGGTTTACTCACCAATACGCCTCCTTCCTCCACTCCCTCTCATCACGCACGACATTCAGAATCTCCCCTCCCAGCTTGTTCTCCCGCACCTCCCCCTCCTTGGTGTCTACCAGCACGTACCCGCCGCGCTTGATCCAGATCGTGTTGCGGAAGCGCGTGGGCAGCTCGAAGAGCAGCTCTTTGGTGTTGGGGAGGGCACAGAGGTAGAGGTTGTTGCCGGCGGCGCGGACGACGCGGGCGATGGACTGGGTGGGTGTGAGTGCGGGGGGTGGTGATGAGGTTTCGTCGGCGGCGGCCTGGAGGTTGCGCTTTGGGCGGCCCATTTTGGTGATGTGTGTGTATATTCTAGTCGCTTGGGAAAAGGAAAATGTAGTCGTATTTAAATTCTAATTTGGCTTGCGATTTTGTAGTGAGGGGTCGTTTCTTGCGTTTGAATTGTTTTGTCTTCTTTTCCCCACGAAAGTTTTGTGAACGCTGTATCCGTTGGCGTTTCTCATAGGACCAATAAGATACTGGAGGGCAGAATAGTGAACCACCCAGGTGCCTGCATTGAACCGAACCAAATATCCACCCAACTTTTCACTTCATGGCCTTTACAATTACCAAAGTTTGTGCTTTAGGTCTGTAGAGTGAACTTGGGGATACTGTATCATGTATTACAAACTGCTCAAGAGTAACTTCAGTATTTGAGTAATCCAATGGGCATCACAACGAGTTGAGAACCTGCTCTAGCATAATTTTCAAACTCTTTCAGATTGACTAGAGAGAGATTGTGTATTTTCGTAATAACATCAATCTATGACCATATAATTAAACGTCGCCAAGCTAGGGTATTTGCCACATTCAATACAAGCAAAACTCCAGACGCTATTTACCGCCCCAGCCCCGAAAGCCAGACAAAAACTCCCACCAAGCAATGCGCCGCAAACAGTATATGAAAGCATGAACAAAGAAGCGGTATTTAGCAAACATCTCAAGCATCCGGGTCGCTAATTTCCATGGCGTTATCCTCGAAGTGCTCTTGGATCGTCATCATGTAATTCCTGACGGAGATGACCAAGATGGCCACCGCGAAGCCGTTCCATACATCCATAGTAGCTTGATCGAAATCAAAGTGTGCAATGGTCCGCGGCTTGGAATCTTCCTTGGCCGCATCAAAGGTGATGAAAATAACCTTTGCCCCAGCGATGACAATCCCATACAGAAGGGGTGGTACGCGAGCATACAGCGTCGGCGCACCACCAGGGGTACCACCATCCGAGCCCTCGAGAAGAAGATCCTCGCGGTGCTCTGCGGCGAGTGACTCGAGGCTGTCCGTCATGGCTTTGGAGATGGAGTCGATATCGTGACTGGGAGTGCTGGCGACGATGGCGATGATGGGGATGTAATCTTTGTTCTGGTAGCCGCCGTCGAATTCGGCCCATTTGATGTAATTCTCGAGATCTTTCTTGATGACCTCTTCGCGGGTGCGGGAGCCGGCTATCACGCTGCGGACGCGGCTGCCGAGGGTGACGAGGGAGAGCAACGCGGTTGAACCTAGGTATTGTTAGTTTGGCATTTATGGATGGGGTGGGGAAGTTAACATACCTCTGAAATCATGTCCGGAGGCAGAGTTGATAAAAGTATCCTCGGGATCATACGAAAAGAGCGCTGGGGGAACGGTGCGGAAGTCTGATCTCCAGTGCGCCGGAAGCAAAGGCTGCAACCCGCGCATTCTCAGCTCCTCGAACAAAGCATGTTCGTCCTCGTGCCAATCATCTCCGCCACCAGTGCCTGCCTCAAGGGCCGCCTTCTGATGTTCCAGGAACTGGCCGACCTTGTCCTCCAGCGAAATGGTTTCAGTATCGTCGGTTTCGATGGATTCGATTATCTTCGGTGTTGGTGATGCTGGAGTTTGACCACCGGCTGATGTGCGCGGAGTGCGAGTTGTAGCCTCATCTGGCTCAGTTGATTCGCCCTCAGCATCGCTGTATGAGGATTGACTTCCGCCAGACTTGGATTTTTGACGCTGCCTCTTGGTGTCACTTGGTGAGAGGTATTTCTTGGAAATCCGACCGCCTAGGACCGTTCCAGTGTTTGCACCGTGGGGTTCGGTGTGCCATTTGTTATCTTTTGAGGTATGGTTCGGGGTCGGTGAGGGAGTGACGGGGAACGTGGTGCGGCGACGATACTTTGATGGGGTGATATACCCAAGGATCGAGTCTCGTAGGTGCAGTAGTTGGTCCATCTCCATAAGATTTTTTATTCTTCTGATGCGTGCTGTATTTGAGAGGTGTATATTCTTTGTGGGGGGTCTTTGTGGGATTTGATTGCTGCCGACAAAGGTGTCGATGAAAGAAGTGTCGCCGGTTTTGGAAGTTGTAATGTTCGAGGGTGAAGCAAGCTTTATACTATGCAGCGGGGTTGTGTTAAGCGTTTCTTCATTGACGAAAACAATAGATCGTTCGCGACCATTCTCGTTGCCCGAGGTATTGTCCTCGAGAGCTCTTTGTTAATCGGTGGTCTATAATAGAAGGCTACTACTGTATCGTCCTTCATTGAGCCCAACCTCGTCAATAACCCCCAGTCCCCCAATTTGGCTGACCGCCCTAGCTAGCCGCCAGCTACGCCCAATTATTTCCTACAATAACTCGCGGCCAAACTGGAAGTTATCAACGTGTCTAGCTCATATAATACAATATTTTCATAGTAATAACTAGTGTAAGGCTGAGACTGTTAACAGGTCATTGGTAGTAACAATACCACAAACAATCTTCCCAAAATGATATCAGCTCTCATCTGTAAACATCGCCGCCGTTATCGCGATAAGCTGATTCGGATTAGTGCGGGCAGAAATTTAGAGGTTGCAGGCGGTGTGTGGGACGTTTCGAGGGGAGCATCATTACACTTTTGCAACTCCCACCCAGACAAGCACAAGCTCGACAAAAGTGCACATCATGGTCAGAAAGCGAGTCAGAGATGCGGAAGCCGCCCCGGAGGTGTCAATGACAGGAGTGGACAACGGCGAGGACAGCGGTAGCGAAGATGTATGTTCCCTTCCCTACCCCGCCATTAGTGCGTGTGTGTGCGTGCCTTTTACTGACGGGTTCTCAGGATGTGGATATGATAGATGTCGAGTTCGAATGGTTCAACATGGCACCCGAGGTCGATTTCCACGGCCTTAAGAGTTTGATACGCCAGTTATTGGATGTTGATTCGCAGCTCTTCGACCTGTCTGCTCTCGCTGATTTGATCCTCTCTCAACCCACCATCGGGTCGACTGTGAAGGTCGATGGCAAGGAGACGGATCCATACGCCTTCCTTACTATCCTCAACATGCACGAACACAGGGAGCACCCGGCAATTAAGGCTCTCACTCAGTACCTAATTGAGAAGTCAAAGTCAGGTACTGGTTTAGAAGCTCTAGGCAGTGTTCTGTCCTCCCCTTCAAACGAGGTCGGCTTAATCCTCACCGAACGCCTGATCAACGTCCCTTCGGAAATCGCACCTCCGATGTATTCCATGATTGTGGACGAGATTGAGGCAGCTGTCGAGGACAAGGAGCCATACGAATTTACGCACTACTTAGTTCTCTCTAAGACATATTTAGAGGTCCAGTCGACACTGGATCAGGAGGATGCACCGAGACAGAAGAAGAAGAAGCAGGTCGGAAAGGAGACCTTCTACTTCCACCCCGAGGATGAGGTTCTCCAGCGCCACGCTGCGGCACACGGAGGCTGGGATTACACAAAAGATGAGGGAGATTCTAAAGCAGACAGCAAAAGAGCATTCCAGGAGCTAGGGATCAGGCCCCAGGGGCACGCTATTCTAATCGAAGCTGCCAAGTTCGATGGTGCGGTCAAGGCTGTGGGCGAGTACATAGGACTGCAGCAATAAATCATGATCTATCTCTATTTTCTATTTTAAATCTGCCATCTAGCTCTAAATGATATCCGGGCCCTCTAACCTCTGCATCAAGTACTCCACCTCAACAATCTTGGTCAAGGGGATGACGAACTTCTCGTAGATGCTGACGACAGCATCGATATCAATCTTAGCCAGGCCTGGCTGGCCTGGAGATCCCAGGCTAGGATCTGTACCGTATGTCTTTGCCTTCAACGCTAAGCGTGCCAGCACCTGGCGCTCCACGGCACTGTTCGTGATAGCCTTATCGATTCCCTCTCTGTCCTCTGCTTTGATCAACGCTGTGAATTTCTCCGTCTCCGTCCTGAACTTGGATTCTGCCACGAACTTCCCGAAGTGTATCCTGCGCGACAGCGATTGAAGGCAAGCTATGTCACATGTGGCCGATGATCCGTAGTTTTCTTGTGCCTCGCCACGTTCGTCTCTTCCAAAGTCTATGCATGCAGCAGGGAGACAGTGGTTGATGTAGCTGTCCTTTATCTTGTCGTTGACGTTGACATCATTGGGGTGGAGGATCTTTGGATAGTGGAGTGGTGGAAGAATTGGCTCCTCGAGGGCATCGGGGAAGTATGGGTATTCATCTGGAGACTGGAATCGTCGGATGCGGGACTGCAGGCGTTCTTGCTCGCGGAGTGTCCAGTCGAGTAAGCTTAGATCGCAGTCAGGGATCTTGACGGCGCCAGGGACGTAGATGGTGTGGTTTAGGGGAAACTGGACGCGCTCGATTAAATGAAATATGATCGTATCTTCTAGACGGCTGTGGCTATGGGTCAGCTTTGGTCGTAAATGGGAAGGGAGTATGAGGCGTACATCAGTTGAAAGCGAATGTTAGCCAAGTCCAGGGCCTTTGAAACATCGGAGAGATCAATGGCGGCGTCCATTTTCTAAATGGCGGGACGTATGAATACAATCTATATACGTACCATGAAATGAGAAGAGAGGGTAACGCAGAAATGAAAAAGGCGCTGTCCAAATATCACGTACAGAGTAATATCGGCAAAATCACTAACTTAACTTATGATTTATGACTGCTGCCGAGTACTTGGGCGTCTTGGGCGTACTACTACTGCAATGTCGTCCGGCAAATTCCGCAATTCGCATTATCGACGGCCCGACCAAAGCTCTCCCTCTGTCATAACAAGGCACGTGGATATATACCAATGTCAACAAATCCTTGCTACGTAACTCCCAGCATTCAAGCCCGAGTTTGAATCGCTGCACTTGAAGCGCTGCGCGACCCAGGCAGGCCTGGGAGCAGAAACAATGGCTCGCCCCAACAGCCGGGATAGCGGTGGCCCTTCGGACTTCTTCAGAGCAGGGCCGGCCGATGATGAATCCGCTCTAATCTCGGTATGAACGTTGGAACAACTCTATATAAGTATGATTCTAACATATGCATAGACACGAGGGCTCGAAGCCTTTGGGCGCAAAGTCACAACGACAGCGAGCCACATGATGGCGCCCTTGACTGACTCCTCCTCCGGCAGCCACTATCAAACCGCCATGGCCGATTTGCACAAGCATTTGCGCCAGCCGAGCCTGCAGCGCAACGTCTTTTCCTTTGCGAGGACGAGTCCGACGGATCTGGTGCGCTCGAGGCTCTCTAAGACCGAAATCCAGAACAGGGCCTTGACGCATCTATCCGACGAGCTGCTTGCGAATATCCCCGAAGACGAAAATTCATACTCCTTATTCCAGGGCTTTCAGGCGACGATTCCAGAAGCCACTGAGAAGAAGCACAAGCATAGGGTGTCCCGTGGCAGGAAGCTAATCGATGATAATGCTTCGGAGGCTTCGGACGGGCCCGTATCAATGCACAAGCTGAAGAAGGAGAGGCATTCGCTGAATCACCGATTCGAGATGCTAGGTGTTCGCAAGAACATGGCTAGCTGCGAGATCAGGGAGATAGACAACAAAATTGCGAATCTCACCAGCATGCGGAGGATAGTACTGGACAGACTAGCAGGTTTAGAGCAGGACGAAGCATTGTTAGAGCATGACATTTTGGACGTTGAAAATCGCATCGAGGATGCCCAAGAACAGTTAGATATTGCCGGCGAGCAAGAGCAAATGACCCCGACAAAGAGCGAAGCAGATGATCAAGAGGGAGGCCCAGATAGACTGGAGTCAGATTCATCCTTCATGTCGCAATCCATATGCAAGAAGCTTCCCTCCGTAGACTCAACACCCTCAAAAGCAAAGCCAAAGCGCCACAAGACCATCCGGAGGAAATCCATGCCCATCCTCCATGAACACTTCGACCCCGGATCCAAAATCCGCGAACTCCAAGCCCAGGATGACAACATCACAGCCCTCGACTTCGACGTCCCCTTCGGCACCATGGTGACCGCCGCCCTCGACGACACTGTCCGCGTCTGGGACCTCAACGCAGGCCGCTGCATGGGTTTTCTCGAAGGCCACACCGCCTCCGTGCGCGCCATCCAAGTCGAAGACAACATCGTCGCCACCGGCTCCATGGACGCCACCGTCCGCCTCTGGGATCTCAGCCGCGCGCATTACGAGCCCCAACCCGACAACCGCATCAACAAAGACTCGGACTTTGACGTCGAAGACGACGAAGACGAACCCGCCTTCGACATCCCCGCAGCTGCTCCCCCTGCTCCGCCAGCGGGTACGATGACCGATTGCCCCTTATTCACCCTCGAAGCCCACGTCGACGAAGTCACCGCCCTCTATTTCAAGGGCGATACCCTGATCTCCGGCTCGGCAGACAAGACGCTGCGGCAATGGGACCTCGAAAAGGGACGCTGCGTGCAGACCCTGGACGTAATGTGGGCCGCCGCGCAGGCGTCCGCGACGATGGGGTCGAGCGAGGGGACATGGCGGCAGCCCGGACGGACGTCGGACGAGAAAGCGGATTTCGTTGGGGCGCTGCAGGTTTTTGATGCGGCGCTCGCGTGTGGCACGGCGGATGGGATGGTGAGGCTTTGGGATTTGAGGAGTGGGCAGGTGCATAGGAGTTTGGTGGGGCATACGGGGCCCGTGACGAGTTTGCAGTTTGATGATGTGCATTTGGTTACGGGGAGTTTGGATAGGAGTATTCGCGTAAGTCACCCCTGCAGCTTTCATCTATTTCGCGGCCTTGCGAGGTGGCGGTTTTGTTTGGTGAGGAGTAGATGTTAACGTGTATTCCAGATCTGGGACCTCCGCACCGGCTCCATCTTCGACGCCTACGCCTACGACCACCCCATCACAAGCATGATGTTCGATAGCCGCCGCATCGTATCCGCAGCCGGCGAGGACGTAGTCAAAGTGTACGACAAAGTAGACGGCCGACACTGGGACTGTGGCGCGGGCCCTACCGGGGCAGGCGAGGCGGGCAAGGCGGCGAGTATTGTTGACAGAGTGAGGATTAAGGATGGGTATCTGACGGAGGGACGGAGGGATGGTGTGGTGGGCATTTGGACTTGTTAATGATACTTTTTTGGGGGATTTGTTTTGTGTGGGGAATGGGGGTAGGATGGGAGGCTTGTATCATAAATTAGAGTACAAACGAACGATGTGTGGGTGTAAATGTAGGATGCATAACAGGATTTAATGGCCCAAACAATAATGTCATAATGAATCTCCAGTTTTAAAAATTTGCTTCATGTTTTTGTGTTTATCGATTGATGTATTTGAGTCTTTCTAATGATATCCGCCTCGGGGGTAAGCGCAAGACAACCCAACCCAACCCCCTACGGACAACAAAGCGTTGTATGTTCATATAGAGTGTCTCCATGTGCACAAATCCCTAAATATATCTATATACTAGCAGCCGTAGACGTCATTTTTTAGTGCTTTTTTGCAGCTCAGCCATAAGACTTCGTCGGTAAGTAAAATGAACAAGGGCCAACCACTTTCCGTTCGTTTCCCTTTACAATTGATTCCTCTCCTTCTCCCGCCCTTTTTTTTCAATCAGATTGTTCATCAGATGCGACTCGCTCACCCAAGCATCATCCAACCCCTGCCTGACCCTTATAAAAAAAGGTTGTAAGAATAAATACTTTCTTAGCCCCGCCCCCCCTAACCACCAACTCTCTCAAGAAACAAATCCCGTCCTGTGGCCCGCACATTTTGTATGAGAAAATGATATGGAGCTTTGTATGCCGCTAGCAAAAATAAATCGGAGAAAAAAGAAGAACAACAAAAACAACTTTGAAGATTTGCAGATGCAGGAAAAGTAGATTGAGGCGAAAGTCTGCCCAGTGGTATCACACTCAGTAATAAAGGCCGTGTGGCGGATTACTGGTTCCACTACAGCCATTAGAAGTGTGCGGTACCCCTCTATGGAAGCGAAGCCGTTGATAAATATAACTCGTTGTTGTTGACATCGATTAGACGAGCAGGTCAACATCTAGCCCGATTGAGCGCATGAAAAGGTTGACGTTGGCCAGGCGTTGGCTGGACATGGCGGGTGGGAGCGTCTTGGCGAGATTGACGGTCTCCATAACGCGGTCCTTGACGGCCATGACGAGGCGCTGCTGCTGCTCTGGGCTAGCTCCAACACCCATCGCTGCAAGGAACTGCCATACGTACACATCCTCGCCGGTGTTCACGGTTCCTGGGAAGATGTATGGAAGGGTGGGTTCAATAACGTCGAAGAAAGAGTTGTAGGTAGAGAGCCTATACCAGTTAGCAGGGGTTCCTATAAATAAAGTCGATTTGGCACATACCAGTGGTTCCACTCTTGGTCGTCGACAGTGGTGGCCTGCTTGATAAGCTCAGCGCGACTGAGAAGCATAGTCAACGTGCTGACACCAATGCGAGTACGAGCATCAATCTCGATGTTAGTCTTAGCCATAATCAAGGCAAGCAGAGCATCAACAATATCCAAGCCGGCCTCATTCAAGAATCCAAACAGACTCGGCATAACCGCTAGAGAGAAAAGCTCGATATTCTCCCGAATCTGCGAAGTGAGTTGCGTCTCGCCCGGTGCAAGCAAAGCCTGGCGAACAACATCCAGCTGATCCAAATGTACAACAATCATGGTTAAAATCGTAGTTCGCTGCTGCTGCGTGATGTGTCTGAAAACTCGTGGGATCGCCTTCTTGCCTTTGCTGAAAGATAAAAATGCGATAAAAGGATGGGTAGCGGTAGCACCAATTAGCTCGTGAACCTTGAGGTCCTGCCAGAGTTTGTTGTTGAGCTTCTGCGTCTTCTCCTGCCAGTCCATGTGGAGGCCAACGAGTGCGGGGTCGACATCCTCAGTCAATGGTGGAGGAAGGTGGCGATCGTGATCCTCCATTTGCATCAAGGTGTTGTACACGTTTTCAATATCGCGCAAGATAGTCTTTCGGTCACTGCTGCTAACCACCTTTTGGCGATTTTCGTTCTCGTTACGCTTGATGTTGAGCAACGGCTTTGGTGTCTTGGAGTTGCTGAACGAAATCTTGCCCAAGCTTCCCTCGATAACGAGCTGCTTGTTCTTGGGCTTGTTCTTCGCTGCCTCAACGGCACGCTGGACCTGTTGCTCCATGCGCTGCACATGGTTGTCTCCGCTACGGGCCTGCCTCCTCATACCACCATGTCTGCCGCCGGTCTGGAAGAGATAAGTTTGAGCAAAGTTGGTCAGGGGCTGGTTCGGGTGCTGCCTAGGCCCTCCACGGATTTGGTTGTGAACTTGGTAATAGAAATCTTCAGATAGGGAGTTGTCGGTGCCTTGTTCGTTGGGGTTGCCAGTGGCAGTGACGAGCTGTTGCAATTGGATTCTAGTGATGAAATTCTTGTCCTGTGGAGTCATGAGACCATTGTCCTTGGACAAAAGGAAAATCTTGTGGTTGCGCTTTGCCCGTTTCGCGTCCTCCATCAAGTAAGTGGCACGCTCCTCCTCGTTAAGGTGAGATAATTGATGCGGGTGCGTAATGATACCAGAGTTGTTGTGGCGATGGCCGGGTCCGTTAGGTGGTCCTGGGCTCGGGCCTGTTCCTGGTCGTCCAGCTGATTGAGCTTGAGCTTGTCGCTGTTGTTCACCAGACAGACGGTTCGGGTTCCGGAGAATCTGAATCGGTGGAGCTTGCGGTTGTGAAGTGGCGGTGACTCCCTGGGGCGATGGCGCCTGGGTTCTATGCAGGATCTGGACAGGCTGGTGTGCATGAATTTGTTGGGGTTGTCTCTCCTGAGGTTCATAGTACTGGCCACTCAGAGGGCGTGGTGGCCCATGCATTTGCTGGCCGGCATGTTGGGGGAATTGCAGAACATGCTGAGGAAACTGCTGAGGCTCCGGGTACTGCTGATATTGTTTCTGGTGCTGGAACTGGCCTTGTGCGAACTGCGCATCAGGGTGCTGCGGTTGCTGTTGTGGCTGCGGGGCAGGTGCAGCGGTCGGTTTCTTGGCTTGCGCTCGCATTGCTGCTTCGACCTCTTCCACGCTCATCATTTTCCGAGTAGCCGATGTAGCTGGTGGTTGCGAAGGCAAAGCTTGTGTTGCAGGTACTGTCTTCGAGCTGGTCCCCCAAAGGTCAGCATCAGCCTGCAGATCGGGAACATAGTCGAGGTCTTTATATTTCTCGTAGCCGCTTCTTGCTGGTTGAGTGTACGTGTGGGATGTCTGCGCAGTTGTCACCGCAGCTGTATGTCTGGACGCAGGCTGCTGGCGAGTGAAGCGCATCTGCTCCTCGCTGATCGCGCCTGACACCTTTGCTGTCTGGCCGAAAAAGTCGAAGTCTTTTCCAACCGCTTTCTTGGCCGTGGTATCTTCCCCACCGAAGGTATCGTCGTTGAAGACATCGTCCGTCTCATCTAGCTGGTCTCCAAGGCCATCGTAGGTATCTTCGAAGTCAAGTCTGGGCAAGTTCAAGGTCAGCTCATGAAGCAGAGTACTCGTGGTAGCAGTTCACATACGCGTCGTCGTCGTCGTCGGCACCCGCGTACGACAGACCTGCGAATGGATCGGGTGTTTGTCCAAAACCTGGAGTTTTCGTGTCCTGATCGCGGTCCCTTGGAAGGGCCGAGTCAAAGCCAAAGAATGACATGCTTATTCGATCCTATCGTTGCCAGCTACCATCCGTTGGTGGGCCTGTATCTGCTACTTCTGGTATGATTTCTGGTGGGGGGAGGTTGAGGGTCTGAGAATTCTTGTGATTAGCTCCAGATCGAAAAGGCGCGTTGGCTACAGCTGGTCCTAAACGTGACTTGACGTTGACGGGAAGAAAACAACATACTGTGTAGATCAGTCTCAATGCGGCCAGATACCAGGTATCCTGCTGCGTGCTTGTCTTGAAGCTGGTGTCTTGGAAGCTGCTGGTATAACTTACAGTGCTCTAACAAATAGAAGAGTAGTCGTCACTTCACCTTGATCTTTTTGATCTTTTGGGGGGGGGGGGCGGGGGGGCTGAGGTGCCTAGTCACGTGCATATTGCAATATTGGCAACAGGATAAAGCTGTTCGCGGAATACCCTAGCATTGTGTCGCATGATGCCCAAAACTGAATTTAATGTGCAATTGAGCAGATATAATGTTTATATCTTAATGCATCTACCATATTTAAAGCCACCTGATTATAATGTCTCGGTGAGGTTTGCATGTGTTCTAATTGGAGCACGTTTCTGCGACGTCTGGGCCACGTACTCCGTACACTGCTTCGTATTTGGTCAAAGTACGAGTACCCTGCTTCACTAGACCAGCCTAGCCCATGTTTGCGCTGCTACCTTGCTGTGGCTTGCACTCGTAAACCATTTGTCGCCATTACACTTCGACTCTTCCCCTTTACCTGTTCAAACTCCGAGGAACTTTTCTGTCGCTCTCCTCTGCGGCAGTCTCAGGAACAGCGTTGGCGATTGGCGATTGGCGATTGGCGATTCATCTCTCCTGGTCAAAAGCACTCCCTCGATGACGGACGTGCCCGTCCAGGAGAAATCGGAATTACCACCACCATACAGTGCCCCCCCTCGGCCTCCTAATTCTAATAGCATCTTCAAGATGGCTGCCGGCCATGCGAGATACTTCAGATACATTCTGTTCGCCTTCTTTGTGTGTTACCCAGAACTGGTGTGCGCTGCATTTATGCTGTAACTAACAGATTGTCTAGGGCCTAGCAGTTATCTACTTCATCTCGTCATCGTCAAACGCAACACAGCGCCTTCCAACCGCACAAGAAATTCTACGACAAGGAAAGGACTGGGCAAACTCCCACTCCGGTAATGGCAATAAGCCTTCAGAGGCAGTCAATTCGGAACCTACGACTCCAAATACCCCAAATGGTTTTCCTCCCGCATCAAGCACCGAGCCGCGAATGAACGCCACGTTCGTTACACTCGCGCGCAACAGTGACCTCTGGGAGATTGCACGCTCAATCCGCCAGGTCGAGGATCGTTTCAACAGAAAGTTCCACTACGACTGGGTTTTCCTGAACGATGCTCCCTTCAATGACGAGTTCAAGAAGCTTACCACCGCCCTGGTTTCGGGCGCCGCACACTATGGAGAGATTGCAAAGGAACACTGGTCGTTCCCTCCACACATTGATCAGGATAAGGCCCGCAAGGTCCGCGAAGACATGGCTGAGCGCAAGATTATCTACGGCGACTCGATCAGTTACAGGCACATGTGCCGCTTCGAGTCGGGCTTCTTCTTCCAGCAGCCGCTCATGCTGAACTACGAGTGGTACTGGCGCGTGGAGCCAAGCATTGAGCTCTTCTGTGACATCAACTACGATGCCTTCAAGTTCATGGCTGACAATAACAAGAAATACTCCTTTGTTCTCAGCTTGTACGAGTACGTCGAGACGATCCCGACGCTTTGGACTAGCGTCAAGAAGTTCATGAAGAACCACCCCGAGCATATCGTGGAGGGTAACTCCATGGGCTATCTCAGTGAGGATGGAGGAGAGACTTATAACAACTGCCACATGTGGTCCAACTTTGAGATCGGCAACCTTAACTGGTTGAGATCCAAGGCTTACACGGATTACTTCAACACCTTGGATCAAGATGGAGGTTTCTTCTACGAGAGATGGGGTGATGCGCCTGTTCACTCCATTGCAGCTGCTCTCATGCTCAAAAAGGAGGAAATCCATTTCTTCAACGACATCGCATACTACCACGTGCCATTCACTCACTGCCCCACTGGGGAGCAGACGAGATTGGACCTTAAGTGCCACTGCAACCCTAAGGACAACTTTGACTGGAAGGGATATTCTTGTAAGTCTTAACACCTTCCTCGCATTATCCACACGTACTAATCATTCCGCAGGCACATCTAAATTCTTCGAAGTTAACGGAATCGCAAAGCCAGAGGGCTACGAGAAAGAAATGAATTAAGTCACCGACGCCTTTATTTAAAGCGTCTGTATAGTGTAATTCATATGATCTCAAACTGGGGGGTGGAGCGGAGATGGGAGATGTAGGAACGAACCTGGCGTTTTTGGGTGGGAAATGGTTGAAGGGGCAGCAGTAACACTTGTATACATAAAGGAGACATCCGAGATGTCGAACGCATTGGATTTTGAATTTGGCACTAATTATCAGATCGGATTCAGGCAATAAATATTATCCTTGATGTTTTAACTCGTACAATTAGGGTTAGAAACTCGAGTATACTCATGAGTATTAGCACGTACTCATACTCATGAGTACAGTAAATCCTCGTACTCATACTTATACTCATAAGTATAGTAAATCCTCGTACTCATTCATACTTAAATACTCATATAAGTATAGTAAATCCTCGTACTCATACTCATACTTAAATACTCACGAGTTACTCAAGTAACTCATAAGTATTCCCTAATTAGGATTAGCTCTGCTTAGTCAGCACACAATCGAAATAGAAGTTTCTAGAAAATAATTTACTAATCGTTTGGGGGAAGCGAGTTGCGTCCACTCGCTTATGAGAGGAAGCAAGTGCGTCCTCTCAACTTGCATATGTTTTTTCCAAAACCTCGAACATTCCCCCACAATAAAGCTCTTTAAATTAAAAGTCACGTGGTTTGCACGTGACCTAGTACTCATGAGTATTTGTGCTAACCCTGCGTACAATTCTTCCATTTTGACCATGCAGAGTCCGTGTTAAATTTGATAGTGGTACATTTCCCTCTCTTTAACGCCTACAATGTATGGGATACAGTTTATTTGCACATCCAGCTTGCACCACCTCTCCTCCCCCCTGTGTCCGACCGGCATCCCCTTATTCTACAGCAGCCTTCTTCGGTTTCTTCGTCCCGTACTTCGAACGGCTAGTAACTCTGTTTCCAACACCACCCTATCACAACGTTAGCTCTATCCGCTACTCCTCTCCTCGTCTCCCCCAGAACAGAAAAAAAACTCACCAAATCCAGCGCCCCCCTAACCAAATGATATCTCACACCCGGACAATCCTGCGACCGTCCCCCCCTCACCAACACCACCGAATGCTGCTGCACATTATGTCCCTCACCCGGGATATAGCAATTCACCACTCTCCCCGTGCTTAAACGCACACGCGCCGTTTTACGGTCGGCGGAATTGGGCTTCTTGGGCTTCGTGATGCCGACTTTGAGACAGACGCCTTTGAGCTCGGGGGCGCAGACTGTGGACATGGCTGGGGAGGTTTGTTTACGAGCGCGTTGGGGTTTGCGGCATCCCTATAACAGTTAGTCGGTCAAGATCAGAGGTGAGGTGGTAATGGACAGCGCAGGAGGCAGTACCTTAGCGACTTGATTCAAAGTCGCCAGAACAGACGGGGTACTGCTGAACGCCCTTGCCGCCGGCGCAATCTTCGAAATCAACAGCACAGCAGCCCTAGGCGCAGCCATTGGCACCACCGGCCTCCATATAGCCGGCGTGAGGAAGCGTCGCAGTATCGTGGCGCGCATTGTGTGGATGGGGAGTTGCGTCTGAAACGGCCTCTCTTGAGGCTCTGGGACTTTTTGGTCGTATCTACGAACGTCTCTTAAGATTTAGCGCGGAATTGGTAATTCGATGTCACGTGATGCGGATAAACATTTCGGCGCTCACACCATGGATGGATCGGAGGAGGAGGAGGCTGCTGAGGTGCGGGTAGGTTGCAAACGGCCTGCCTCGGAGGCTAGGGTACTCGAGGAACCGCCGTAGTATTTTTTGGAGTATTGGCTCTTCTGGCGCTTTGGGGGTTTTCTTTACTTACTCGAGTACGCTGAGGGGGAAGCCGCGCGCGTCTTATCAGGTATACAGAATACGTAGAAAGTTCAGCGCTCCAGTGCCACGTTTTGCCATCGGCCGCCCATCGCCAAGACCGAGGCAAAGTCCCGTAGTAGTCAAGCGCGGGACAGAGGATGGTTCCTGGCCCAATAAACAGCCTCTGTCCCTCTTACACGTGAAGCTGCACAGCCCGTTCCCTTCCCAAGACCTGATAATTCTCCAAGCAGGGATAAGTGCCCTGTAGCTCTCTCCAACTTTTCTTCTTCTTCTTCTCCAATTTCTGTTATTGGCTCTCTCCCCTCCAATATACCAGGGTGACTTTTTTGCCCTTATCTTTTCAGAATGGCTTCGATAGCAAGGGTTTTGAGACCCGCGGCGGCCAGAGTGGCGGTGGTTGCAAGGCCGATCGTTAGGACTCCGGCGGCGGCCAGAGTTGCACAGGCGTAAGATCTTTCCAGTGCTGCAGAGTTCTATTATAGTCCATGCTAATTAATACCGTAGGACGAGGACCCTGTCCACCACCCAGCCCAGACGAAATGAAGCCATCGACATCACCGACATCCCGCCGACGCCCATTACCCACATGTCCGACATCGAGGCGTCCATGCAGGAAGCCGTCTCCAAATTCGCCGCCGACGTTATCGGGCCAAAGGTCCGCGACATGGACGAGGCGGAGACTATGGACCCCGCTGTTGTCGAGCAGCTCTTCGAGCAGGGACTGATGGGCATTGAGATCCCAGAGGAATACGGCGGTGCGGGCATGAACTTCACGGCGGCGATTGTTGCTATTGAGGAGCTAGCGCGCGTGGACCCCAGTGTCAGCGTTATGGTGGATGTGCACAATACGTTGGTCAACACTGCGGTTATCAAGTATGCGAGCAAGGAGCTTAAGGAGAAGTTCCTGCCTAAGCTGGCTACGGGCACGGTGGGCTCTTTCTGCTTGTCTGAGCCAGTCTCGGGGTCAGATGCGTTTGCTTTGGCTACTAAGGCTACGAAGACTTCTTCGGGATACACGATTTCGGGATCGAAGATGTGGATCACCAACTCTATGGAGGCGGACTTCTTCATCGTCTTCGCCAACCTGGACCCAAGCAAGGGATACAAGGGCATCACTGCCTTCATTGTCGAGAAGAACATGAAGGGCTTCTCTGTCGCCAAGAAGGAGAAGAAGCTTGGTATCAGGGCCAGCAGCACATGTGTGCTGAACTTCGACGATGTCGAGATCCCAGCTGAGAACCTCCTCGGCCAGGAAGGACAGGGTTACAAGTACGCCATCAGCCTTCTCAACGAGGGCCGCATTGGTATCGCCGCTCAAATGACCGGCCTGGCCCTTGGAGCCTTTGAGAATGCTGCTAGATACGTCTACAATGACAGGAAGCAGTTCGGACAGCTCGTCGGAGAGTTCCAGGGCATGCAGCACCAGATGGGCCAGTCTTGGACCGAGATCGCGGCCGCTCGCGCATTGGTTTACAACGCTGCCAGGAAGAAGGAGGCGGGTGAGGACTTTGTTCAGGATGCTGCTATGGCGAAGCTGTACGCTTCGCAGGTGGCTGGCCGTGTTAGCGGTCTTGCCGTTGAGTGGATGGGTGGTATGGGATTCGTTCGTGAGGGTCCAGCTGAGAAGTTCTTCCGTGATAGCAAGATTGGAGCTATCTACGAGGGCACTTCCAACATCCAGCTCCAGACTATTGCTAAGATGCTGCAGAAGCAGTACACTGCATAAGCATAAGCTAGCTAGTAAATTGTATATATAACATTTTTAAACATTCAAAACTGATGTGGGGTGCAAATCGCTGTCCATGTGAATATCCCGGTACTCATATTAACTAACCAACGCAAACTTGGCAGTATTTAGACTAATTAGCCCGCCAGCCCTATAAACGTTCAAGCGTTCAACATTAAATCCTCTGTATCTTTCTTACCTGCATATCGGCTTTAGAATGCATTGGGGGAAATCCACTGGGGGGGAAACGACAGGTCGCTCAGCCTTGTTTATCGCCAAATAGAAACAATTTCTTTTTGAAATTCAGTTTATTTGCTTTGGGGGAAAAAAACTTGCGCTATTCACACGAAATCTGGTTGAACAAAATCACTCATTGACCCCCGCACAAGGTCGTCAAAACTCACGTCTAGGGTGTCTATTAACCACCACCAACCACTATTTCTTACCATATTAAGGGAAAACCCTTTATCTCCGCCACCCTCAAAAGGACTCTGTGCCCTTATCTATTGGGCTATTAGAGGACGAACATTTCCACTCTGTGATACACGAGAGTGCGAATATTTAAAGCTTGCTTTCAAGCTTCGGCACCGGATTTGCAACTGGGGGCTTATCAACAAGTTCGACCAACGTCAAACGGGCGCGTCCTCCCATTAACCCCACACCAGAGGGACCTTGCCGACGCCCAAACAACACCACAACCCGACCGCGCCCTCGACGACGCTTGAGTCCTCCGCAGCCATGAATACCGACGAAGAGGCGCTCAGCGCCGTCTACAAGAAGATCGAGCGCGAGAAGGCCCTTATCAACGCCGCCAATGCAATGCGTCAGCAGACACAAAACGAGCAGGTCCGGTCGAAACTCGACACGCAGATGCGAGAGGGCCGTCGGAATATACAATTCTTCGAGGAGAAGATGCGGGAATTGCAGATCAGAACCGTGGGACATAACATGGACAATATGCGCCTGGGACCGGAGGGGAGCGGGCTACAAGGTGGGGGTCCTAGGAACGATAGAGATGCTCCGCCGACGCCGCCACCGAAGGATTCGAGGGGGAATTATATCGAGCAGGGTGGAACTGACCAGGGAGGTTATGGCTCTGGGGACTATAGTACGATGTTCAAGAGCGAAAAGCCCTCGGGGATGATGCCACCAAGACATCCTTACGCACCCCCCGCCCCAGGATCTGGGATCCCAAAACCGCGCGCAAACTATTCGAAGCTAGGTTTGTATTCCAGGATTGATTTTCAGATGACCGTCCAGCTGATATTTGCTAGATCTCATCAAATACGATACTCCTTATCTCGGACCCCGCATTCAGCTTATGCTGTCGCAATTAGCATTCAAGCTCGATGTTGAGCAGCAGTATCTCAAGGGTATTGAGAAAATGGTGCAGCTATACTCGATGGAAGGCGACAAGAAGAGCAGAGCGGATGCCGCGGCACGCCACAAGGATAGTACTCAAAAGATCATGCTGTTAAGGCAAGCAAAGAAGAGATACGAAGATCTCCACATTGACATGCAAAGCAGCGCTGATGCGCCAGATGGTATGTGAACAAGCATGATATTATCAACATTCCGGCTAACAGTGACTAGACGATAGCATCAACACCCCCAATCTGCGAAAACCTCTCACTGGTCAATTGTCGATACGAGTTACTGCCGTGAAGGATGTTGACCATGCGGCCACATCGAGGTTTTCTCGCGGACCGGAAACCTTTGTTGCCGTTAAGGTCGAGGATAATGTTGTTGCCCGTACAAAGACCTCGAGAACCGATCGATGGGATGGAGAGACTCATAACCTGAATGTCGAGAAGGCAAACGAGATCGAACTAACAGTATATGACAAAACTGGAGAGCAGGCTCTTCCCGTTGGCCTCTTATGGATCAGGATATCCGATATTGCAGAAGAGATGAGACGAAAGAAGATCGAGGCCGAGATCAACAGCTCGGGCTGGGTATCTGCGGATAGAATGGGATCAGGAAGCGCTGCCCCAGCTCAATTCAATGCCCAGAATCAGCAGTCGCCCCAGTTTGGAGGACCTACCAGCCCTGGATTCAAGTCCGGGTTTAACGGCGGCGGCATGGCGCCCGCTCCCGCCAACCCTTCTCTACTGCCCCAACCCATCGATGCTTGGTTCGCATTGGAGCCTTCGGGTCAGATCCAACTATCTCTCAGCTTTGTCAAGCAGACCAAGGACAGACGACCATTCGATGTTGGTCTTAACCGTAAGGGAGCTATTCGCCAGCGTAAGGAATTGGTCCACGAGATGTTCGGACACAAGTTCGTATCTCAGCAGTTTTACAATATCATGAGATGTGCGCTTTGCGGCGACTTTCTCAAGTACTCTGCCGGTATGCAGTGCGAGGACTGCAAGTACACCTGCCACACGAAATGTTACTCCAGCGTGGTTACGAAGTGCATCAGTAAATCCAACGCTGAGACTGATCCGGATGAGGAGAAGATCAATCATCGGATTCCTCATCGTTTCGAGAAGTTCTCCAATGTCGGCGCAAATTGGTGCTGCCACTGTGGTTATATGCTGCCATTTGGCAAGAAGAATAGTAGAAAATGCAGCGGTACGTCTTCTCTCTGGATATTCAGGCACATTACTAACGAATTGGCAGAATGCAATCTCACAGCTCACGCTCACTGTGTCCATCTCGTTCCGGATTTCTGTGGTATGTCCATGGCAGTTGCCAATTTGCTCCTGGAAGGAATACGGCTCGAGAAGGCAAAGCAGGACCAGAAGGGGAGATCTGGCCACCAATCCAACCTCGCCGGCAGGACCTTACGTCCTGTAACTGCGAAGTCTCCCGTTTCGTCCCAAGCCCCAACGCTAGAGCAGCGATCATCTTATGGTCCAGGCGACAGATTACCGCAACAGGGACAACCCTACGAAGCTGCATCTGGTACCTCTCAAGAGTCTATTAATGCGGCTAAGGCTGCATACCCCTCACAAGTCCAGCAGCAGCGCCAGGGAGGTGACCGCATGAGCGACGCTGCTACAGTAGCATCTATAGCAGCAACCGCAGCCATATCTGGCCAACGACAAGGTGCATACGATACCTCTGGTGATTACAACAGGGCATCTGGAGGATACGGCGCACAAGGCAAGCCAGGTTATCAGGAGCGCCCGGCACAGCAATCCACTTATAACCCTGCGGACTATGCGAATGTTGGTGGCGTTGGTGCTTACCCTCCAGCCCTCCAGCCACCGTTGCAGCAACACCACCAGCAAGGCGCTCCTGTCATTCCACAATATGGTGCTATCCCTGTGGCCGGGATGCCTCCTGGAGCCGAAGCTCAAATAAAGCCAGCGGCACCGGCAGGGGTACTTGCTACTCGCAAGCCAGTTGTGGCGCCATCCGCCACCGAAGCAGGCGCAGGTGGCCGCATTGGCCTCGACCACTTCAATTTCCTGGCTGTGCTTGGTAAGGGTAACTTCGGTAAAGTCATGCTGGCGGAGACCAAGGCGAGCAAGAGGCTGTATGCCATTAAGGTTTTGAAGAAGGAGTTTATCATCGAGAACGATGAGGTTGAGAGCACACGATCGGAGAAGAGAGTTTTCCTGATTGCCAACAAGGAGCGCCATCCCTTCTTGCTCAACCTTCACGCGTGTTTCCAGACAGAGACGAGAGTGTACTTCGTCATGGAATATATTAGCGGTGGTGATCTCATGCTTCATATTCAGCGTGGGCAGTTCGGGACCAGGCGTGCGCAGTTCTATGCTGCTGAGGTCTGCCTGGCGCTGAAATACTTCCACGAAAATGGTGTCATCTACAGAGATTTGAAGTTGGACAATATCCTCCTCACTATGGATGGACACATCAAGATTGCAGATTACGGTCTTTGTAAGGAAGATATGTGGTACCAGTCAACGACGAGCACATTCTGTGGAACGCCTGAATTTATGGCACCTGAGGTTAGTTAATTATTTTCCAACTGAGCTATAACGATGCTAACCCCTATTAGATCTTACTTGACAAGAAATACGGCCGTGCAGTCGACTGGTGGGCATTCGGCGTCCTAATCTACCAAATGCTTCTCCAACAGTCCCCCTTCCGCGGCGAAGACGAAGAAGAGATCTACGACGCGATTCTGGCCGACGAGCCCCTCTACCCAATCCACATGCCCCGCGACTCCGTCTCCATCCTACAGAAGCTCCTGACCCGCGAGCCCGAAGCCCGCCTCGGTAGCGGCCCAACGGACGCACAGGAGATCATGAACCAGCCCTTCTTCCAGAAGACCAACTGGGATGACGTTTATAACAAGAGGATCCAGCCGCCTTTCTTGCCGCAGATCAGCAGCGCTACTGATACGAGTAACTTCGATTCCGAGTTCACTAGTGTTACGCCCGTGTTAACCCCGGTTCAGTCTGGTAAGTCTTGTTGTCTTCTCTGCATGGTTGAAATGATACTAACGATCCCCCCTTTAGTCCTTACCCAAGAGATGCAAGAAGAGTTCCGCGGCTTCTCCTACAGCGCCGATTTCGTATAAGAAACCCGGCCAGCCAAAATTTCTTCAACATTTCGGAATGATAGCACCATATCCAATCTACCGCACACCCCGCACATCCCCGATGGCGCCGTGGTCAGCCCAAGATTGGAGAAAACCAAGAAAGAGCAGACGCCATCTAATTTGACTCATTCACAGGTGGGCCCAAAAGGACGGACCGGTGTGCGCGGACGTATGATGCGCATATTAGGGGGATCAGATCAGCAGCCAGCGGGCCGGTCAGGGGGAAAGGGGGAAAGGGGAAAGGGGGGTGCTATTTTTGGGAAGGGAATAATTGGGGGAGAAGAATGAGAACGTAAATAAAGATTCTCGATCTCTTTGGAGGATGATCAGTTAGCGGGGCGGCGAATGGTGATGATTTGATGTATAATCGGCATTGTTTCGCCTCTAATAATACCACATACCCTCTTTTCGATAATATTTCCTGAATTCGTGCTTATGAGTGAGTGCTTGATTTGTGCGTGGAGCGCTCTTTTCTCTTAGGCATCCGTCTTTTTCTTAGGAAGTTCCTGCGGTTTCGCCTTAATCCTCGGAACCGACCCTATTGCATAGGGTCGGGGTAAGCAAAGAGCGTTCGCGGAAGCAAACGGCGTTCACCGCTGATGCTCACCGCCACTTCGTATCGTATCCCCATCCATAGCCTCAACATATCTATAGCTTATAATTTGTATACTACAACTATGTAATTGAAATGGAAGACCCTATTCTATCCGATGCTCGTGAATGGCTTGCGGCAAACCCATCTGAATCCGTTGCTGCCGCAAGCCGGATTTTCAAAGTATCAAAATCAATCTTCAATCATCAATTACTCGACTTAATCGCGAATGACCAACTTTCTATGGAGTGGCTTGATCACTTCATTTTCCACACGCAAAGCACTCCTACTTCCGACGTCTAGCTACTACTATTAGACTCTCATAGTAGTCACCATATGCTAGAGTTCACAATATATGCAGCAGAGCATAATATTATCACTTACGCCTTCCCTTCCATTAGATGTTGGGGTTTCCTAGCCTTATAAGCATTGGCACCGCGAAGCAGTCCATTCTGCAATACGGAACCTTGATTTAAAAGGGACTTCGCTTTTATATCTAAATCATCCTTGGGAATTGGTTGGACATTTTAGAGACAAAGTACCCAGCATGCTAAAATTTTATCCTCTCCAATCTTAGGTCATTTACCGCCGACTATGGGTGTACGGCGGCTACAGAGCTATTCTGGAAGACACCCTCCGTATTCATAGCAATATCTTGCTGGCATTTCATGAGTCGACCAATCAGTTGTTCGTGCAGCAAATGGAAACTGTAAAACAAGTGTCCTAAGTTTGTCCAGAACTTTCTATCTTATCAATGTTTAGTTCTGGCAGAAAATATAATCTATTATCTTCGCCAATCCCTGAATGTCACCTTCAACAGTGCCTGCTTTCTCTCTCTCAACCCAGCCTTCTGTGAAACCACCTCCAAAGTCAATGATCCATGCATCCATGTTGACGTCAACCAAAACGTTTGCCGCCTTTGCATCTCCCCATACAATGTCAGCTTCGTGAAGATGTTTCACAGTGCTAGTGATTTGAGCTGCCCAACGCTGTCGCAAGTGCTTCGGGGTGTCAGCACGGACGGCGCCTTCAGGGTCCTGCCGTCACAGTCGATATATGAGAGTAGTAATCCCATGTAAGAAGAGCCATCTTCCCCTTAAACAAGGCCTACAATATGTGGAACGCGTAAACGGTCCTCGATCTCTAAGTCGATCAATACGTATATGCGTTGAGTTCATGAAGAGCATCTCGCTGACACCCCGGCTGAAATGCTTTAAAGTAACAGATCGTCTCCTTATCCGCAAGCACCTTTCTAGGAAATTGGGTGAGCGCGTCCTTTGGATCCTTGTTGCATATTGATATGGCTGATGGACGAAATGATGGCCATGGGAAAGAGAGATCGGACGGAGCCAGGCTCACCCCTTGATGACGCGGGCTCGCAGTATTTTCGTCATTTGGACTCGCAACTAGTATCCCACCAGGAGCGTGGAGCTTATGCTTTAAAGTGATTGGATTGAAGTAATCATGAAGGGTAAATGTCTGTTCGTTTGTCGGATTTGAGTCGATCCGTTGGAAGTGAGGTAAAAGAGGCTCCAACGCCCAATCGTACAAGCCCTCCTCCGTAACGTCAATATCATCAGCCTCCAAAGCATCGAGATAATGGAGATACTGCTCCTTGATATCGGGTGCGTCCTGAAAGTTTTCAGCCGATAAAGTAACGTGAAAACATGTGCCGCTACACATCACCGTTATGTCCGACTGTTTTTACGGTGTACAATGGTCGGTGATCCATCGTGCGCACTGGCATTTCCCGAAAGTGAACCACCAAAAACAGGATAGTTATCCGTTCGTCTGCCTCCAAACCGCGCAACGTTCTCTGTACCTCCACAGCGACGGATAAAACGACAACCTACATTACTTCTGTCAACATGGCAAGCACTCAAGAATGGTTCTGCCGCAAAGTCAATGCAACCGACCGATTACTGCACACCCGCAAAAGCGTCGGATCTCATCGCTTCTTACTCAAACGGCAGAGGACGACCTGCATCACCCGTCCAAAAAGCAGAAACTCAACTATCCAGCATTCCCACCTGCGGCATTTTGGGACTCTCTATCGAGTATCCCTCTCACACGAAACGCAGTACGAGAATTGAACAAGAAGTAAGGGAAAAGGCCAGGTCACTTTGTCTTATCCTCTTGAGTAAGATCGCAAATAAACGGTTACTGCGAATCTTACACCGAGAGTCGAATGAATGGCCAAACACATTCAACCCGTCCGCTATTGGGTTGCTCCTGATTACCTCCGATCTAGAGAGGCTAGATATATGCAGGAGGGCGTTGAGAGCTCTGGTGGGGAAAGAAGTAAAGGTTGGGGGTGCTGACTGTCGGAGAATCAAAAGTGCAGAAGGATATGACCGTAACCGCGACGGGCTTGAGCAGCGTTGAGGCGTTTAGTAACATGAAGCTTAGGCACGTATACACGCATTTATTTATAAGGGTAATGCCGATAAGCAGATCTTGCAGACGTTCCTGAAGCGCTGGTGCGATGGATCGTACCAGTCAAGGAACTGTGAGTTATTATCGCGTATGGAACCCAAAGTAATCGAAAGCGTATTAGGCATAGTGCTAAATGTATATCCTAAAGTTCCAGTAAAGACACCATCCATTCTATTTCCTTCATTTATTCCAAACGCTGCTTGACCGCTATCGATCGTTGCATTCAGGCCATCAGAAATGAAGCGACAATATACGCCTTACTGGAAGAAAATCCCCGTATCGTGAGGTGTTTATCCATCGGCAAAACCTTGGACCATGTCGATCTTGAATTTTATCCACATGGGACCCTCATGAATTACATTCAAACGCACAAGGAATCTATCTCGGATGCTTCTCGGATTCGGTGGGCCCGTCAGATCATTGAAGCTGTGGCGCTTGTCCATGAGAAGGGCATCGTCCACGCGGATCTTGCCCTTAGGCAATTCTTCTTGGACTCAGATTTGAATGCCCGCCTCGGTGACTTTGGAGCATCTGGATACCCTGGGCAGGAGGCATTAGGAATGGAGGGCGCGAGCCATTGCTTGCCGAGGAACCCCGATGAGCCAAACACATTTGTGTCGGATCTATTTGCGCTTGGCTCTACACTTTACGAGCTTGGGGTCGGCGACATTCCATATCGCGGCTTGAATGATGATCTGATAGAGAATCTATATGCTAAAGGAGATTTTCCTTTCGTTGTGCACGGAATCTAGTTATCGTCGTACATTCCCAGATTGCCTCTCAAACCGATTCACTCAGAGCCCGATAGTTAAATAGAGTGCCAACAATCGCAACAGCAACCACATAATGACATGCAACCACGCAAGGGGTACGCCAATGTTGCCCCTTCGCTGCATGAAAGCAAACCCGAGTTTGATGATTCCACGAAACCGACTATCCAATCCGTTCATCGCTTACTGTCATTTGAGCCGTTGCTTTGCCACTATTGGTCCAATGTAGCTAAGCGTTTGGGGAGGACCAAAAACAACCTCCAGTCATAATCCGTCAAGTCGATAGCTCGGGTCCCGTAAATACCATCGAGATAGCGTAAATATCGAGATATCGAACGTATTTTGGTAGTGGACAGGGGGGTTGAGGCCAGCAAAACGTATCGACGTAACGTGAATCGAGTATCGACTTAACGCGTCATGACTGTAACTCCATCTGCCACTCCGCACGAGATGAAGATGACGTGTGCAGCCTTATCAGATGCCACATGACACTTAACCATCCCCCGTTTCCACGAAGCTGTTGTCGTGATCCCAGACAAAGGATGCGGCCTTTCGACAGGCCCCAGGCAGATTTGAGTATCGACCAACCGTTTCGCGTTTTTTATGGGCTCTTAGGCCGCCACAAATGGAGAAGTGCAGAGGTCAGCCTCACCTGGCCAATTGTTTGTGCTCCGTAAGCGCTCATAAATACATCATTTCCGAGCGCAGGGGCTATGGCCACCCGACAGAGGACGGGAAGTGACCACACACAGAGGACGGAAAAGCAAGAAGCCGTTTGCTGCGTATAATTCTAAAAACAATCTTTTGTGCCAGCGAGAAACTGGGCTCAGGAATCGGAAAATGATAAAACCGGACCCCGAAGCCAGGCATCAACTTTTCGGTTACTAGCTCCGGAAAATCTGGCGGAAAGCAGCACCAGTTCTTGTAACCCGTTAGGGGTTTCCTGTTCAAAGTCTTTGATGGTCTAACGGTCATGATTTCCGCTTGTCATTCGACAAAGCGCGGGAGACCGGGGTTCGACTCCCCGTCAGAGAGTTTAATTCCTCTCTGAGCTCATGGCTCAGAATATGTTTTTTGGCATTTTTTTACAATTTTTGGCGTCGAGAAAAAAAAAAACTTCTTCACCACACGCAGAGTAGCACGAAGTGGTACCAAACGCACATGCCCATCAAGACTGCGCACTACAAGCTTCAGTGATCTTTTTTTTGTCAAGAGATGGCACATCGGGGTGTGAAAACGAGAGTTCACAAATCTAAACGTCAAATAGCACTCTATCCGAGCTATATTTCAACCAACTTCGGCTTCTCCTCCTTCTGCCCCTCCTCCCCCTCCTCCCCCTCCTCCCCCACAACCCTCAACGGCACCTTATTCTTCCCCCTCCTATACACCCTCTCATCCCTCGGATCAAACCCCCCATTCCCCCACGTCGCCCACTCCGGCGTCTCCGGCCCCATATAATCCTCCGGCGTAAACGGCTCCCCGCTCTCCAACCGCTCAAAGAACTTCGCATAATCGATCCTCGTATGCCACTTCCCCTCCTTCTTGAACCTATCGCTCGCAATCAGGATGCAGCAGCTGTGGGCGTGCTCGGCTGCGATCCCGTATTTGAGACCCCGCTTGTCGAGCGCGGCTGTGAGGGCGAGGACGAAGGCGCATACTTCCTCGTAGAAGGGGACGTTTTGCATGGTTAGGCCTGCGGCGCCGCTGGAGGGTGTGCCGCAGTATGTCACGCCCTTGACTTCGACGAAGCAGGGAAGGCCTTTCTCGACTAGATCCGCGTACCCCTCCGCCTCATCCTCGATATTAAACCCCTTCACGAGGGTAAGACGAAACACAGTGCGCTGCTCAAACCGCTTCTCGCGCAAGATCTCGAGGCAGCGTTGGAAGCGCTGCCAGAAATCGCGATGCAGCGGCCGATCGATCTTGCGCAGGGACTCGCGGTTCGAGGCGTCGATGCTGACGTAGAGCTGTGTCACCGGTTTGAGTGTGGCGAGCTGGTCGGGGTGCTGCGCGTTGCAGACGAGGAACGAGGAGATGTGCTCTTTGTGTAGCATGGCGGTGAATTCGTTGAGGTAGGGGTAGGAGATTGGTTCGCCGACGAGGGAGAGCGCGCAGTGCCTGATGCGCATTGCTTCTGCGAAACGCTCGGCGCGGACGCCGGGGACGCCGCGCATCATTTTGATTTTCTGGTAGTGTCCGGCTTTGACGCCGTTGAAGATGTCTTCGGGTTGGTCGATGACCCAGCGCCAGGTTGTGCCGACGGGGTTGGTGCCGTGGCGCCAGCAGAAGACGCATTTGTTGGAGCAGGAGAGGGAGGGGGTGGTTTCCATGCATTGATGCGAGGCGATGCCGTAGAAGGAGTATTTGTAGCAGGAGCCGCGGCCACGGAGGGCCGATTTGGTCCAGCGGCAGATCTTGACTCCGGAGTGGGAGCCGACGATTATGTAGCCCTGCTTCGTGAGGGCGTTGTAGGTGGGCGACCCCTTTGGAACCATTTCCTTGGGTGCAGCTGAAGGCTTGGGATTCTTCTTGCCATAAGTTGTGAAATCGACTGCCCCTTCGTCTTCGTCTTGGTCCTCTGACTCGGTTTGGCCCTTTTGTAAGATGCGACCAATATCTTCCACATCATCCATACTACTGGTCACCTTCTTCTTACTTTTCCTTTTGAGTTTAACCGCTCCATCAGACTGCACCTCCACATCATCCTCTTCCGCATCTTCAACATCGCTCTCATCGGCGTCACCACTCCCAACAACACCTTCACCGAGGTTGCCAGTCTGCCCCAAGTTTTGGAGAACATCCTCAACGCCCTGCCTCCACTCATCCAACCTCTCTTGTGCATCAACCTTTGTATCTCCCATACCGAGCGGGAACGCCCTCTTCCTCGCAGTAAGCTTAGCCATCCACCTATCAACTTCAGTCGCCTGCGAGCAAAATCCCTCCGCCTCCGTAGGCCACCCCTCCCTATCACCAAATCCAAACACCGCATAGCCCAACAACGCTGACATCGGCGCCGTATCGATGCGGAAATCGTTGTGTGTTTCCTGCAGATGCTCGATAAAGGTATCGGTCATGGTGTCGATGTTATACGTCGGCAGGAGGAGGATGTAGAAGTATTTGATATCCTGGCTGGCATCTTCGGGTTTGGGGAGGCCGAGGAAGTATTCGTCGTAATCCTCGAGCTCGGCCAGGTCGTGCGCTATTGGTGAGAGGAACTCATATTGGCTTGACTCGGCGTTCGCTTTCAGGGTATCGGCGAGTTTGGTGGTCAGTGTCTGCGCGGTTCTCTCCGTGCTGCCGGCTAGTGTTGAGTAGAAGACCAGGACTTGGAACCTCACATCTTTGCTCGCTGGCTGGTCCCTCAAAAGCGACTTCTTGCGGGTAACTTTTCCGACAACTCGTTTTGGTCCTGCCTTCTTCACTTCCGCGGGGATGGGCGCTTTCTCGACCAATTGCTCGCGCTGTGGGTTGGCTGCCACATGCGTTTTCTCAGATGGAGTCGGGGGGGGGGTGTATATGATCTTCTCGCGACCGAATTTTAGGTGTAACACAGCTCTAGTAATCAACAACAATGCGAGCAACGTGAGGATCAGCGGGATTCGATAAGTATGCCATAGCGCCATAAAATCTAAATAAATCGTTAGCCGCTTCTTTTTGCCGATAAACCCAAGTAATGGCAGGAATTACAATTCTCGGTCGCATGAGAGGCAATATCAGCCCCAAAGTATTCGTTGTTCGCCATAATCGCCCTCAGTCATGTTGCTTCCAAAACCAGAAAAGCATCCAGGAACTATCGACAGAAATTCCATGGTGGGGAAGTTTGAACAAACGATGGCCCCTCATATTTAAAAAGTAGGGAAAACAATCGCGGAAAGGCGCTTATTTAGCTCGGTCGGGATAAACGCCATACTTTTGAGCGTGTGCTCACTACGGTAGCGATTACACACCATTACCGCAAACTTCTTCGGGCGGAGATACTATTCCTCCGGTCCTCCGCACTTTTATTTCTCAGCCTCGCAGTTCGGGACAACCTTGCGAGAAAGATATAGCTCCACCACCAACGCAATTACTTCCACCATACACTGTATCGTCGACACGAATAGATCAGATTTCTCTTTCTTTCCATCCTCTCCAGCTACACCACCCCCACCTTGGCAATGGCGCCCATAAACCCAACCCCCGCGCCCGCGGCACCATTCGAGTGAGTCAACCCCCCTCCACGTCTCCCACACCCCCACTAACACCCCCCCCAGCATAGTCCAAACCTACCACCACCTCCTCACCTCCGACCCCGACCTGACCATGCCCGTCGCCGCCATCGAATCCCTCATCCAACTCCTCCAACACTCCCACTCCACCACCGTCTTCGAGACCCTCGACCTCCTCGCCGCCCAATCTTCCCTCCTTCAATCTCGCGTCCGCAACCCGATCGCCCTCTCCGCCGGCACCGACCTGTTTCAGCGGTACATGATCTCCTCCCTGAGAGCGTCGGGGGAGAGGAGCTTCGATGCTGTGCGCGCGCATTTGCTTGCGAATGGACGCGTGTTTGTGTCTAGAGCCAAGGCGGCGAGGGAGAGGATTGCGGGGCATGCGGGGGGGTTGGTGAGGGATGGGTGTACGGTTTTGACACAGGGAGGGAGTCGTGTGGTTTCTGCTGTCCTTGCGAGGGCGGCGGGGGCGGGGAGGGGAGGGGGAACGGTAAGGTTTAAGGTTATCTACGTCGACTCTGGCAATGGCGCCGGGGCAGGGGAGTCTAGGGATATCGTACGGAAACTCCGCGCCAAGGGCGTACCCGTCGCTGTTATCGGGGAAGGCGCAGTAGGCTACGCGATGGGGATGGTTGATCTTGTAATCGTCGGCGCGGAAGGCGTGGTCGAGAACGGCGGCGTGATATCGCGGATGGGCACTTATCAAATCGGTGTCCTCGCGCGCGCAGCCGGAAAGCCATTTTACGTCGTGGCGGAGACGCATAAGTTCGTGCGGCTGTATCCGTTAGGACAGTATGATTTGCCGATTGTGCAGAGGGTGGTGGAGTTTACGACGGGTACTGGGAAGGAGGGGGAGAAGAAGGGGGAGGGGGAGGAGAGGGCTGTAGAGGGAGAGGCGCCGAGTCAGAAGAGTTCGGTTGATACGGAGGGGTGGAAAGACTATTTCACGACGGAGGAGGGGGAGGAGAGGCAGAGGGAGAGGGAGGATGCGGTGGATTATACGCCGCCGGATTTGGTGTCGGCGCTGATTACGGAGAATGGGGTGTTGACGCCGAGTGCGGTGAGTGAGGAGCTGATTAGTGTGTTTGTTTGAGAGGGTTTTGTGGGGGATGGGGGCGGCGTCGTTGATGTGAGGGGAGTTATTGTTGGTGTCTAGGATGTGGGAGTTGGGAGGGACAGGGATTTGGAAAACAAGATATCCCTCTCTCTCGTGATATCTCACACCACCATCACAAATAGTCTGGTTAGTCTAGTAGACTACCGTGCAGGGAAAGTGGAGATCTAAGAGGTTCACGCACACACATTGGTGATGCATACAGAAGTGGGGGAAAATTCGGGGAGGGTCTGAGCGCGCGTGGTGACGATGTGCATGGTTAGTGAAGGGATGGTTGATGCTGATGAGGATGAGGATGGAGGATGCTGATTATGAGTTTGTTTGATGGGGATGTCGATGCGTGTGTTTTTTTGCAGTGGGAGGTCTGGATCTGATATTGATCTGATATTGGGGGGTGGAATGTCACAGATGGGGATAAAAGATGGATAGATGGGTATCTAGTCCCATAAGTTTGAGATGGAGAAAATGAAGGTTTACTTACTTACTCTTGCCTTCTAACCCTATCAATCCGCAGTCTCCAATCTTCCCTCTCTGGCAAGCCCTAAAAAAAGCAAAATATCTTCACCCACGTCATCGCTCTGCGCACCTATCAGAACGCCTTCCAGCGACATCGACATCCGCTCTTATCCCCCTAGTGTATCGCCTTACCTGAGTTAGTCAGTGGTTAGTTGGTTAGTCGTGTTATCCCGCCCGTTGGATACGTTTCAACGTTTCTAGGTAGAACAGCATTATGCATTATCTCATCGCCTACCATATACAGACGGACGGACAGAGGGGCTGGACACACGGGCTGGGCGTTGCAAACGGGTGGATACGGGACGTCCCTCCCTCCCCCTCTCACAGCCGAAATATAATATCCACAACGAAGTTCCTCCCGCAGCCAACCATAGGATACACTTATGCGGTAGGTGACGGTAGACGGGGTGATGGGGACGGGGTGCTGGTGTGGTGGTTAGTTGTGGTGTGAGTGGTTTGGACAGTGTGTGGTTGTCGGTGGTGTAGGACCGGCGAGGGACACACAAGCGGGTCGGACACTGATTTCTCACCCAAAATCAAGAACTTTGCAAGGTAATAACTCAACAGCAGCTTAATATATGCATTAATTCTTGACATATTAAGTGTAAGCGCTAATGTAGGCGCTGAAATTTACACTAGGCTGTTATATCTCAATATCTATGGTTCTAATTGCTCTAAAACTACATGTAAATGAATCTATGTGTATAGATAAAGCTGAATACACACTTTTAAAATATACTACTAAGTTGTTGTTAAGTTATTATTTTCTAAATTAATTTCTTAATTATAGGTGAGAAATTCAGTGTCTAACCTGCTTGTGTGTCTAAATTGCTTGCGAAATACATTACCTTAAGTTTGGATTAGAACACTATATAGAGCTAGAGTCAATTTATAATATAGATGAAACAGGCTTTGGAATTGAGATTCTAGGAGGTGAGAGAGTTATAGTACCACGAACAGCAAAGGAGCTCTATACTCTAAGCCCTGAAAACAGTACCTCTAGTACTATCCTAGAGGCTGTGTCTATAGTAGGAAAAGTCATACCACTAGTACTTATTGTTCTAGGCAAAATACATATGGATTCATGGTACCATACCAATCTTAAGGCCATAGAGCTAGTCCTACTTTCTAACTCTGGATTTTCAAATACACAGCTTACACTCTAGTAGCTAGAGCACTTTGTAACGCTACTTCCTAAACAATAGGATGTAGAGAGGTTTCTCTTATAAGGTTTAACTTAACAGAGGAGGTAGGGGGTTAGACACAAAGGCTTTCTAAGTAACACGTTATAGTATGTAAAGAATATTATATTAAGTTGAGCATGAAGCTCCTATCTAAGAAATAACTATCTACTTATATAGTAGCATCATGCCTGGTAGTAGTTTAGATAGTTAGATAGTCTGAACTATCCTAACTATCCAACTATCCAACTAATAGTAGTGTTGTGCTAAGGAATAGTTTAGATAGTTAGATAGTCTATACTATCCTAACTATCTAACTATCCATCTAATGAGTCATGCTACTATAACCTAGCCTTGTAACTAGGGATCACAGGGTCCTCTATAACAGTTAGAGTCCTTAAGTGTAGATTTAAGTAAGAAAGGACATTCTATAGCTTATATAGAACTAATCCTTAGAACCCATTCCTAATGTTCTGCTCTATAAATGTAGCTTTAAATGCTTCTTTATAAGCAGAGAGGAACTTAGGCTTTATAATATGATTTAGCTAGTTCTATACAAAGGTTTTAATCTACTGTCTATATAAAAGCTTTATTAGAGCAAAGCACCTAACATTAGACAAGTGTAGTGGCATATAGATAGTGATTATCTTCTGTTCTATATAGTAGTGTTGAAATTAAGCTAAGAGGTAGCCTTAATGTCTGTTAATAATAAGAAGGCAATAATGTATATGTATAGCGAAAGCTCTAGCATAGCAAATGCTCCACCCTACTACACCTACACATTTTGTAACAGCTATTACACAAACCACAATGCTTAATTAATTCAAACTACTTGGAATCATCTTCCTTAGATGTTTCTACTACTACCTAATACGTCCTTGTGTTATGTCTAGCCTCCCTATAGTTGCCATAACGCTAATGGAGCGTTTCAGTCCTTGGCGCACAACTACTACCCATGTGCATTTCCTCCTTTATCTACTCACTTATATCAATCTCAGTCATTAGGTCTTTAGCTTCTTGTACACTAAGTGGCCCTCCATTGCATAGACATGTTTTTTTTAGCTCTCTAATGCTTGCTAAGGTCCTCCATCTACGTTTAGAGCATTTGGTTCTCTGCTTCTAACAATGCCAACCTATGCATTGCACCTATTGTAGCTTTGCCTAGTTTCTCAGCTACGTCGCAACTCTGCATTAGAGAGCTACCTAAATGATGGATGATCCAATTCTTTAAGAATGTAGATTGAGAAGTTGCTTTAGTTGGGTTGTTTATTGCCTTAGAGATCCAAGATTAGGAGGTTCTAGGACATGATGATAAGGGTGTCAGTGTCTTTAATTAAAGATCAAGCAACCTAATGACTACCCCTACATTAAATAAAAGTAGCCCTGCCCTACATAGGAGGAAGTCATCCTTAGTAATGTGGGTTTGGCCCCCTCTCATTAACATCTCAATTTACGTACCATAGGCCTTTTTTAATAGGCTAAAATAGCCAACATCAAGAGGTTGGAGGAGATGGGAGGAATGCAGAGGCATGCAAAGAGTAATAATGCTATTATCATTCCTCAAAGGCAACAGAGTGGTGGCTCTTATAACCATTAAGGATTAAGGGGTGATATACACCAATAGTCCATGGCCTAGTATATTGAAGAAGTGCTTAACCCAATCTAGAGTGATCTCATTTGTTGTCTACCCATTTTCACTTATTCTAAGTCTTAGGTAGTTGCCTATCCTTTGTAAGGACACAGGGCACCCAGCTCACAGTAATAGCATATGAGAGTGCGAGTCGGAGGCTAAACGGATGCGATCCTATAGGTCTACTACGAAGGATACAAAAAAGATGAAGGGGGAACCCCGTTGAGTCTGTTTCCTTAAGTACCCAAAACGGGCCCGACTCGGTTATCCCAACCCTAGCCCTGAACCTTCCACCGCAACAGGTCTGCATCGACCCTGAACCCTACACCCTTACCGTCCCCCACTATAGTGTAACTCGCTATGTCTTCCTCTACTGGTTCGAAACCCCACCGAGTCGGATTCCATGCTTGTAGTGACCGTAACAGTTCTGAGACAGGTTCTTCGAGTATCTAGGTACGGAGGCATCCTTACATCCTTATACCAAGATCAGAGGTGGAATTTGTCCTTCACAACACAAATGGCAGTAAGGCCTAGCCAAGTGCACCAACACCTTAGATTACTGTTACCCATTCCTACTTGCTAGGCTGCTTTGATTTTGGCCTTCCCTCTCGCTTAGAGCTTGTAACTACTGTTGTAGTTGAGATCACGCTGTCATACTGACATTCGTTGCACTCAGTTTGCTATCAAACTCAAGAGCAAACTTGGAAATCTCCTCCTCAAACCTACAAGTCACTATACATATTTTGGCTTGTCACACCAACAACAAGAGCAATACTACTCAACAATTGCTACAACCATCTATGATTTATTACACGTCATCGCTCCTTAGTTACTGGGCCGATATTACCACATAGCATATCTCTACAACCCTCTATGATTCATTACATGACATCACTCATACTACCACATGACATATCTCTACCAACTAGAGGCCTAGGAGCATGAACGATAGCTCTAAAAGCTCCTACGAACCTCTATGATTCATTACATGTCATCGCTCTTTAGTTACCCACAAGATTGGTTAAGTTATGACATAATTTGTCTGTGACATAATTTGTCTATGACATAATTTGTCTATAGGGGTACTCTGACCTTGGACCTCCTTTTACTTCCTATAGGCTACGAACCTAAGAGATGGTTCTATGGGATTCTCTTACGTTGACTACAGTTACCAAGCCTGGTAAGTCATGGAAAGTCTTGGAAAATGAGAGAACTACATTCCTTTAGCATAAATAGGATTGCCCTTTCCTTAAGAAAGGGCAAGCAGACAATACAGTAAATCAACTATCACATATTTCCACGTCTTTTCCAAGCTTCCAAGCATTCATCTTGTTACTCCTTGTTTCTGAAAAGTCAGTGAGGTGTTAACCTCTGACTTACCCCTGAGTTCCCAGACTCAACATTTGTTGCAACTTGTCTGAACCACTTCACTACATCACACACCTGATTGCTGCGTTGTGGAATAGTCTAAGCTACAACCCTTTGGCTCTTTTTCCTAAGACAGTGTGTTGTCTTAGTAAATTCATCCCTTCCTTGGGTGGCTAGATTCTCACATCTGGTGCACCCACCATTACACACGCCTATTAAAAACCCAGTCTAATTGTTGTAGATGTCTACATCTTGAATAGCGTATTTCACAATTGTGTTCTACACAAGCGTAAACCAACTATGAATAAGCTTTGGATCTTCACATTTAGCCCTCTAATAGTTGTATTTTCGATTAATATGCATGTTACGTGCTAGTTGTCGCCTAACGAAATTTAAAGCCTAACACAGTCTAATGCGTAGTGCGTTATGGTCTACAAGGATGTGGTTGGTTTGAAGCCTAACATGGTCTAACGCATAGTGTGTTATAGTCTACAAGGATGTGGTTGGCCATATCTTCTACACCATGAAGTGTAGGAGGGAATCCTTTCAAATCTAAGTTAAGTATGTATTGAATAATGATAGACTCTTCTAGATTAGTCAATTTCCTCAAGTTGGCTACTTAGTCACTTCATGACTGCTTTCTATGTATGTGACAGCTTAGCTTTATTTGGTGTACTCTGTAGATATTAGCTACACGTCTAAGACTTAACAAAGAATCATTCTTAATAGCTAATAAGGCTAAGTTTAATTAAGTATCATCATTTTTTTAAGGCATGTTAGGTGATAGAGAAAATGAGGTTAGAAGGTGGAAGATGGTAAATTGTAGTAGGGTAGAGCATTTGCTATGCTAGAGCTTTCACTATACATGTACGTTAGGTTCTAATCGTATAAGTGTTTGTATGCTAATTAAAGTGTTAAATCCACTTGTACCTAATTGAATTTGAAGTCTACCCATTCTTACTTAGTGTAATCACCTAATCGTGTAGTAATACTAAGCCCTTGTACTAAGCTAAGAAATGATTCTATGCCTTAAAGGTGATTCTATGCCTTAAAAATGATAAATAGCAGAAGTGCCCATCTATACGAATTAACACCTTAGATAAATTAACACCTACTCTCTATTCCCTAGCTATATAGTCTTTAGACAGCTCTTTGCTTCTAAGCTTGTCACTACCTTTGTAGTAGCAATAACTCCTATTATAACACCTGCTTCATTAAAGTTGTAGATATCCTGCTTTAAGATTCTGTATTTTGCAACTATGTTTCGTACGAGGGAGAACCACGCTTTAATTATCTTTAGATCTTTACATTTTGCTCGTTTGTAATCATACGTTCCGAGTGCTCTGTCTGCACTGCCTTCGGGCAAAAGCTCGTGGGATTCTGTCTCACGATTGCGTCTGGTCCGCCGCCAGCTCCAAGTGCGGGTACTGCACCGCGCAGCACTCGTCTTGCATCCCGGTAGGTTTTCTTGTGGGATTCGGTGTTGGGGTTGGTTGGCTGGTGCTGATCTTGGTGGGAATAGCTGCCCTGGTTCCTTGGGGAAGAGTTTGCGGCCCTCCGCGCTGCTGAAGAGGCCACCCCCCTCGTTCCTGCTGACGTCGCCGCCGCCGCCACCAAGGCAAATCAGGTGACCCTCCTGGCCGCCCAGAGCATCCCAAAGTTCCGCTCCGAGGCGGAGCGTGACCTCTACGAGGAGGCACGCGCCACTCGGGCTGCCCTCGAGTCAGGGCTTGCCGTGAGTAGACCCCCTTCCCCTTGTCTTGTTTTGGTGCTGACTCTGGGCAGCAAATTCGGTCGTCGCTGCGCTGTCTGCGGATGGAACAGGAGAGTGTCCCGGCTCTCCTGGGGGAGTTGGTGGATGCTGTGGGCAAACTGCCCACCACTGCCGCTACCGCGGTCGCCCTGACTCGGGGTGATGGGAGGAAGGAGGGGGGGGAGGATGAGGAAGTTGGGGCGGCCTACGGGGCCTAGGTGGAGGAAGACCCTGTGTCGGAGGGGACTCAGGCCTGGCCCTTCGTGTGGGGTCACTTCAACCCTTCATCTCTTATGGTGGTAGCCGCTTGTTGCGACGCCGGTGAGACATTTGGGAAGGGTGACTCCCGCAAGGGTTCCGGTGGTGAGGGCGCCTTGGCTCAGAGGGCTTAGTTTAGAATCGTGGGTAGCAACGACTCTGTTTCTTCCCCTTTTGTCGTTCTTTCGTGATCGTAGTCTTGTCCCGTCTCCCATGCCATAACCCACCCGAGTAGTTCCTGTGGTGGTCCTGGTAATTGTGGGTACTCCGTGTGAAACTCTCTGAGTTTATGGGGAGAGTTCATGAAGTTTGATGCTGGGTACCACTCCGGGTCCGGATCGTATCCTACCCAACTAACCCTGTATTGTAGTTGCTTCCGTCGGAGCCTCACAGCGAGGATCTTTTCCACTTCCCATTTCTCTACGCTGTCTATCACTTTGCTGCTCTCGGGTCTTCATTTTCCGAAGGCCTTTACTATTGCGAATAGTTCCTTGTCGTGGATCTCCCAGTTGATCTCGTGGCCGGATAGGACATGACTGTAGAAGCTTACGGGGTACCACCGCTTTTCAGGGTGTTCTTGAGAGAGGACACCAGCTATGACTCCATCGGAGGAATCTGTCTCCAGATTCGTAGGCAATTCGGGGTTGAAGTGGTGAAGTGCCTGTACTGCTAGGAGTTGCCAGCGTAATTCCTCAAAAGCAGCCTCACATTCGTCTGTCCATCGGAACGGCTCTGAGGGACTAGTGATGGTTGTGAGGGACTTTGCTATTTTGCCGAAATTGTGAATGAATTGTCTATAGAAGCCACAGAATCCCAGGTAGGACTTCACACCCATAACAGTGGTCGGTCGGATCCAGTTACGAAGGGGTTCGATTTTGTCGGGGTCCGCTTCGACACCGGAGGTAGTGAGAACGTAACCCAAGTATTTTGTCCTGGTGACGTTGAACTTGCATTTATTCAAATCGGCTTGGAGTCCAGCTTCTTGGAGACGCTGTAGGACCTTTTGCACGTGCTCTATATGTTCATAGGGTCCTCTGAATAGATTAGGATGTCGTCTAAGTATGCGGTACAGAAGTCATCTAAATATTGCATCAGGACGTCATTCATATACCGCTGATAGGTTGTGGGACCGTTTGTTAGTCCAAACGGCAGCACTTTGCACTTATAGGATCCATAGCGAGTCCGAAAGGTCATGTACTCTTCTGAGTCAGGGTGCATCCGTATGCGATAGAAGGCTTGTCTGATATCTAGCTTCATGAAGATTTTTGCTTTCGACACTCGTCCTAGTAGTTCGTCGATACGCGGGATGGGGTAGGGATCATTCCGGGTGAGACCATTTAACTTCCGGTAATGATGCAAAATCTTAATTTGCCATCCGCTTTCTTTACAAATAGGATAGGGGACGCGAAGGGGCTGTTGCTGTTGATGATGAAACCTTTCTCTAGGTTCTCTAACAGGTATTGCTTGGTAGCCTTAAGCTCTTCGGTGCCCTGTTGATATAACGGGGAGAAAGCGTTTGGTAAAGGGGCTTCGAGCTGTATCTTGTGGTCATATATGCGGTGTGTGGGGATTCGATCTGATTCCAACTTCGAAAAGACATCGGTGTACTTCCGGTGCATATGCGGAAGCTTCTGCTGGATGAGGCGGAGCGTTTCTTCGTCCTCTACCAACTCCTTTTCATGGATGATCTGGTCAATTTCGTAGATGCTAGTCTAAAAGAACTCGGAGTCGCTTCGCATCATCTCGTGATGGAAGGCATTGGAACTGATTTCGCATATCCGTATGGGTGTGAAACTAGGTACCAGTTTCACTAGTAGTGGGGGAGAAACCTCTTGGTTTCGGGTAGGACTCAGTGGCATATCGGTGATCTCTTCATAGCCTGAAGTTATCACTTTCATGTTCATCGAGCGTCCACCTGCGTGGCGTCTGTCTTCGCGGTGGATTGCAGCATCCCTGCGATTTGCATCCGGCTGGTATGCGGGATGTCGAATGGACGTTTCTCGCGTGATGTAGGGCAAGGTGATCTCCTTGCTACAGCTAGGAGTCGGCGGGTACTCCTTTGGCCATACTAACCAGCTCTTTGCAGAGTCGAGTAGTATTCGGAAGCAGCTGAAAAGCTTCTTCCCAATTATCACATCTTGTGCTCTGAGGTCCAGGAGTACAAAGGGGCAGTTATATATCCGGCGTCCTTCGACTGTTAAGTGTAACCGAATATACTCCGATACGTGGCTTTGGATTTTGTGCTGAAATCCACATATGGGTACAGAGTAGGGTAGTTTCCGTATGGGGCTCTGAAGCGCTTTCGACAGTCGTATTGCGAAAGGCTTGTTAATGACGAGGTAGCCATTTGCTCCTGTGTCTGCTAGGGACTTCGTTTGCACCCTGAGTCCATTCATACTTAGGGTCATGTCGACTAAGAACTGGGTACCTCCCAGGAGTTCTCGTAAGTCTAGTCCTCGCAGGTCACATTTGCATAGACCTAGGAAGGAGCCTTCTCATAGGCCTCATCATTTTCCTCTAGGGACGCATCCGATTAAAGTTCCACAGCTTCCTCCCATTGTTCTTCTGCCTCGGGGTCGTTACGGTTGATTTCCTTGATAGTAGCGTTAAGGTGGCATTTGTCCTGGAAATGGCCAGGCTTGCCACACTTGAAACAGTTCCCTGAGGGCGCAGGGACTGTGGTCTTTACATGAAGGAAGATGGACAAGGCAAGGTTGTCTGTCATATTCTGTTGTAACGCTGCTGGTACTGATCGATGTCCTCCTTGGTTTATTGGCAAGGCGAAAACGCCTTGAGCTTTATGAAACATCGACGTCATAGCAATGGGAGGGGTTTGGAGATGGAATAAGAAGGCTTGGATGAATCAGTTTATTATGGCAGAATGGTTAAGGGCTTTTTATGCTCGTATTGGTACAACATGGGAGGTTCTTCTCACCATGGACAACTTTTCAGCACATATCAAGGCCCTCGAATCGACACCACCCCCTGCGAATATCCGAGTTATCTGGCTTCCTCCAAATGCAACAAGTTGATTTCAAGCCCTAGATCAAGGTATCATTGCCTGAAGAGGTTGTGAGGGTAGTTGAACTGGCTTTTGAACAATCATACTCTTTCGAAAACAGTTATAGATTGTCGAGTTTGTAAGGTCGTGATTCCAGGATCGAAGAAGCCATCGATATATTTTTGTGGATCCGATGCTCCGTACAGCATGGTATAGTATGGCTTGCATATGCGGCCTCTTCACCGCCTCTTCATTCTGTCATCAATCACATCTAACTAACCGCGGACACCGCTCTCTCCACACACCCCACATATCCATCCACCCACACCCCATACCCCCATACCCATCCACACCTCCGACTTCCGCCCCCCCCGTCCCCCTTCCCTTCCCCCTTCAACTTCCTCCTACTTAAGCTTTTGATACACCTCTCCGCGCGCTGATCTCGGCGCCGAAGATTCATCGGATTCATTCACCTCACCACCTCGAGCGCATCATCATCGACCACCCCATCCGAACCCCAACGCCACAACCTGTCAACCAACCTCCACAACCACCCACCAAATACCCTCTCGACGATACACGCACTGCCACACACTGCCACACACTGCCACCTGCAGAAACCACCACAATGGCGCGCCTCTACCCATCCAATCTTGCCATCTAACCACCCCCCAACAAAAACCGCCACACACACACCCCCTCACGCGCCCGCGCGCGTGCCCGCGGCCATCATGCTCGGCAAGCTCTTCTCGAACGCGGCCTCGAGCCTAACCCCCTCGCGCGGCTCTCCCTCGCCCTCCCGACCAACCTCCTCCCTCGACTCCGTCCAAGAGGACATCCACACGCGCAACCTGATCTTCCCCGACGCCGAGGCGCTGTACGCCCACCAGCACGACCAGGTCTTCCCCATGACCTCCTCCACCGTCAGCATGCTCACCGCCGCCCCGGCCGCTTTTGATACGAATCCCGAGATCGAGCTCGAGACCCGCGATGTTAGGGTTGTGGTTATGCAGGAGGCGACGTCGACGTTTAATACTGCGGCGCTAATGTACGACAGCCACCCCCACCTCGACGCGCCCGCCTGCCCCGTGCTGAACAACAGCTTCGCGACATCTGGGCGCGGCGGCCGCGGCGCCGGTGGAGGGGCAAACACAACCGCCACCGCGCGCCGCACGAGCATCGGCGCCAAGCCCGTGGTAATCACCCAAGAAGCCCCCCGCTTCGGCGCCTTCGACCGGCGCCCAAGCGCGCACTCACGGCAGGGGAGTTACGTAGAAACAGAGGGCCAGCGAACGAGCCGCGAGTACAGGGAGGAGATCGCCACGATAGCGAATTGCATGTTCGGCGCCAGCGACGTCATGGCGCACAAGGGCACGGGGAGTAAAGTGCACATCCTCCCCACGGACCCGCGGGGCGCCACGCAGTACCCGTTTGAAGGGCATGGGTCGCTCGGCCGGTCGAGTATGCGGAGTGGGAGTCGGCTGGCGCAGAGTTTTACGTCGGAGAGTGTGGGGAGGGGGGAGGGGAATGGGGGGGGAAGGAAGAGGGTGCTTGTTACGAGGATCTTTCCGGTGCCGTTGTTGAGTGATGAGGAGGAGGAGACGCCGGGGGCGTTTGAGGGGCAGGGGTTTCCGTTCCCGAAGGCGGAGGAGGGGGGGAGGGAGAGGGAGAAGGAGAGGAAACCGAAGCAGAAGCGGACGCCGATGTATGCGATTGGGCTGGTGATTCAGCTGCCGGCGACGCAGAATTCGCCATCGACACCGCGATCGGCGTACCGCGGCGTCGGGTCATATGCAGAGAATGAGTTGATTTCGTCGTCGTTCAACTCGCTCCGGCCGAGCTGGACGGTCTTGGGATCGGGATTTGGCGTGGAGTCGCTAGATTCGTCGTTCATCAGCGACGTAGATGATCGAATCGACATGGTAACCCAACACTGGGACATCACAATCCGCACCCTTGACCACCTCCAAGCCGTCGCCTCATCAGACATCATCGTCCTCCTCAAACAAGTCGACGTCGCCTCCCCCGACCCAACCGGAGGCCGCGGCCCCCACCACACCCGCACCGCCAGCATCTCCGTATCCGGCAAGCGCGTCGAAGAGAACATCAAGCCCCTAAAGCCCATCCGCACAAACATCAAGACTGTGCAATTAATGCCCTACGCCCTGGCGCGCAACCACAAGCTCCGCGCGGAGATAGAATACGCGCGCCATCGCATCGTGGGGGGGATCAAGAACCTCCAGGTCATCACGCGGCAGGGCCGATGGGGGATCTGGCGCGATGAGGCGAGGTGGATGCGGAGGTGGGGGGGGGGGAAGGAACAGGGGTTTTTCTTTTATAACCTCCTCACTGTCTTTCTGGGGACGCATACGGAGTGGCTCGAAGCGATTGGACCGACATGGTATAGGAGAAGGAATTACAAACAGCAGCGCGGCGGCGGGCGGGATGAGGATATGCCGATTAAAGCGCGGACTATCATCGTCGCTGCGGATAAGATGGCTGCGCGCAGACTTATCTTCTTGTTGTCGGCGTTTTTGCCGAATAATCAACATCATCAGGTTCCCTTTGTTCGCCAGTTCCGACCAGGGACATCGGTTGGGGGGGCGTTCTCGCAGTCCCCGCCGTCGTATGTACCGCTTAATCTGCGCGAAGAGTCGCTGAGGAGACGCGTCAATAGACCAAAAGTCAAAACCACGAATCCAGCACAACCAGCTCCCTCCGACGCGCCCTCCCTCCCCCCCGGCGCCCTACCGGTTCCAACCACATACAACCCATCCCGCCAACCCGGCCTCGCCACAACCTCCACCGCAACCCCCATCCCGGCTCTCCCGCACTTCTCAACCCGTCGCCCTGTGCGCGGCACCGGACCCGAGCCTCGACCGGGGAGTAGCGGCAGTCTCGCAGCAGACGACCTGATTCGGAGTTTGAAGAGGGGCGATACGGGCGGGAGTGGTGTGAGTGAGGAGAGCTCGTCGCGCTGGAGTGGGGTGTTGGAGAGTTTGTGGGGGGGGAAGAGGAGGGGGAGTACGGATGTTACCCTCTCCAGCCAGGGGGGGGAGGAAAGGCCGAAGTTGCATGCCCAGCGCCGCGAGGAGAGGAAGGGGGTTGTCGACAGAGAAGGCGTTATGAGGGAAATGACCAGCACCACAGCCCCCCAACCCGTCGCACCACACCCCCCCTCTACCTCCTCCTCAGCAACGCAACCCATCCACCCCTCCGGCGCCTACGAATCCCCCGTCAAAACATCCATAACCGAAGACGGCGTAATCGACATCGACGTCCCCCTCCCCTCTCTCTTCGCCTCCTTATCCTCCGCGCTGTCGTCGCCGTGCTCATCCGGTATCATGTCCTGTGCCGGTCTGGGAGGGATGGGGGGGGATTTAGATGGCTTCGAGAATTATACACGCTCCGAGGGGGGGGATGAGGGGGCGCTAAATGTGGGGGGGTGGGTGGGGAGGTTTCATCCGGATTTTGTGTTGCAGGCTCTTCCGTCTTCTACCTCTGATGCTGCTCCAACCAGCAGTACTTCGAACTCCAACCCCAAATCCCCGACTCCGTTGGTAACACCGCAGCCGTCGCTGGAGGATCAAATCCGCGCCACCATGTCCGCAGAACCCACCCCCCCCCCCCGGTATCAGCCACGCGAAATGGGGAAGAAGAGCGATGGATTACGGTTTCTACCGCCCTCATTGCTGATACGGTGGCGTTCACACTCAAACGCCTCATTTTGCGGCGGCTAATCCGTCTCCCCACATCCCCTCCCCCCTCAGCGGGTGAATCAGCAGGGAACTCCTACGATGGTCGCGCGAGTATATACGGAAACCCTTACCTAGGTATGCTGGGGTCACAAAGCCCAGCGGAGGGGGGCAGGGGTGGGGAGGTAATTAAGGAGGAGTGGGAGGTGGAGATGTGTATCTCCTTCGACACTGCTTTGATCGAAGCTGTTGAGAAAGTGATGGCTTCTCCCGCTGGGGTGGCGGGTGCGCAGACGGGAGCGCCAGGGTTGGGGACGGGGGGGCAGAAACAAAGGTCAGCTCGGGCGAGTAAGAATCCGAGCGCGGGGAGCTCGGCGGGGAGTTCGCGAAGCGGAAGCCGAATCCGCGTCGTCGTTCCTGCGCCTTTACCTTCCCCCGCGCCTGTTCTCGTTTCTCAACCCAGTTCCTCCTCCGCTAGTGCTGGCCCCTCTGTTCCTGCTGGTACCGGTAATGGCAGCGCAGCAGCGGCAGCAGGACCAAGCAGAGGAGAAGTTGGGAGAGGGGAAATTGGGAGGACAGAGGAAGTGAAAGAAGAAGAAGTTCCCCGCTCCGAAGTCCGCACGGTCCTGTTGTCTGCGCTAGAGGGTATTGCGAACGAAGTGGCGAATTCGAGACCGGCAGCTGGGGTGGGGGGGGAGGGAGAGAGTTTTTTGAGGGAGGGGGTGGGGAGGTGGCTGGAGGCGGTTGATGAGGGGCTTCTTGGGTGACGGGGGGGCATACTAAGGGCGATGGGTAGGGTGGGAAGCGGGGGAAAAGAGGGGGGGGGGGTGAGAGGGGATGAGATTTTTTTGGGAGCGGTTTAGCGGTTTGTTTGTTTTCGGGGGTGTGGGTGCGGGTGTGCGGCGTGGAGTGCGTGGGGTTGGGCTAGGGCATATTTGCTGATTTTATGGGTTGAATGTTGGGAAGAGGATGGCTTTGATGGCTTTCTTGCTGTGCTTTTTAACTGCGTTTGGGGGGGGAGGGGGGCGTTTTAAGGGGGGTTTAATTGGGAGAAGGGGGGGGGGAAGGGGGTTATGGGGGATAGAGGGGAGATCTTGTATTGTACATAGATTCTGGGGGATATTAGGCAATATGAAGAGAGTTAGAAGAGATGTGTGTTTTTAACGATGATTGGTGGGGGGAGTGAAGAACTGATGGGGTGTCGTAAAGAAGGCCACGGGTCTAGGAGGTCAGGGGATGGGGCGATGAGGGGGGTCAACCAAGGAGTTGAACCGTCGTACACCACTGTATAATCCAGCACGACCCAGGATTTTTTTCACCCCTTATCGCTCCAGGAACGGGTGGGACAGACTTGAACATTTTTGGGGCGCTCATAGTTAGAGTTAGAGGGGCTTTAGTTATAGCAGGCTGGTTTAGAACACAATCCTTGCAGGGCTTAAGGACGAAAGCTACTTCCTATTGACTAATTCCATAGTACTGTTGAATAGAAGCCCATACTTTGTCTCGCCCTACATGTAGAAGCTGTAGATGCTCACTAATAATAATATCTAGAGCTTCACTCTCTAGAACTACATATCGTGGCTCTTTATGAGCTATATCATGGTTCCGATATAGCTTCTCATGTATAAGATAAAAGTCTATAAGGGCACGATGATTTAAGTTCGATTCTATAGGGTTCTGTAGTTTGAGAGTTAGGTCGGTAAGGAATATGCGCATCTAGCAGCAGATCCGTTCTCTATTCTTAATATAAGAATCAAATGCAGCACGTACGTCGTTAGGGAACGGATTAATAGTAGCAATAGCAGCCATATTGTTGTTGTTGTACGTTATAGAAGTGTATTATTATGAGGCTATCTACAATACAGCCCCTTTGATATGTACCAAAAAGAAAAAAGAATTCTATATAAAACTCACATGTACAGGATAAGCTCGAGAGCGAGACAAAGTGAGAAAATGGGGGCTATAAGTTATAGTAGTTATGGCGAGGAAGCGAAGGAACAAAGAAATCATCAACTCCGAACATTTGCCCGATATTTACATAGGTCTATGTTCCTTTACATATAATTTATTATACAATGCTCCCAAATCGACAGCTTGCTGCTCTCTCGAGCAGTTTGGTATTACACGAGATAATCGTGATGCAAACTCGCTTGCTTTTCTTAGCCCAGCCGCCGTTCTTAGCCCAGCCGCCGTCAACGTCGGCTCAACCCGCCGAGCAAAACAACTCTTTCAATCAGTTTTCGGTCTACCATACAAACCACTCCAGCAAGCTCATCTGCACGCGTACAATGGGACACTGTTGTCGAAAGAGATTGCTCATTCAAGTCGCCGGATCGGGGCGACGGTTGGCAGACAAAGAGATGGGCATTCCACAAGCCTCTCAGGCTTGCCGTTTACGGCATCCGGGTTTCCTTGTAGGAATCAGTATTTCTTTATTCCTCTTTTTGAGTTAACTTTCGCTGCTGTCAATTATGTTTCCCACTTCTCGCTTTCCTCGTCTTTCCTCATTTATTGATCAGTGCTGCTGGTTTTCATCTCTCATCTTCGTTGGCATCTCGCGTTATTTCTGATCAAATCCCCTCGTACAAATCCGCGAATTCTATCGCAATGTCGGATCACGCAACACCTCCCCAAGACGAGCTCGGTAGAACCGCAGAGCCAGGTAGCCAACAGGTTGCTCGAGATCCTACGCCGGGCCCTTCTGGAACAAATGCTACCGGTGATCCGGCCGCAAACACCCTTGCTGGACCTTCGGGAGCAGCAACTGCGCAAACTGGAACATCAGCCGCCGCGGCAACAGGCACAGGAACGGGTCCTTTGCAGACTACAGTGCCTGCCAAAGCCACAGCAAACATGGGACCATTGCAGATTACAGTCCCCGGCTCAACGGCAGACAACACAGCGCCTCCTGAGATGACGCTGGCTGATCTAGCTGCAGCAAACCCGGACACACTAGTGCCTTTTAATGCAGCAAACCCGCTGGCTCGAGTAACCACCGGAAACAATAACTCCTCATCCTCCGGCCAGACCAAGTCCACAAAGCGCTCCGCAACCACCGAAACTAGTGAAAGCACCAACTCTACAAAGCGCCAGCGCCTCACCCGCTACCGCGGCACCGCCCCTCCACCGGACAACGCCAACGATCCCGCCACTACCTCCTCCCCCTTTCCTGGCCCCGTCCTCACCCAAACCCCCTTCGCACCGCCCTACCAATCCATTTTCCTGCGACAAAACCCAGACCTCGCCAGGGCCCTTGCCCATGTAAACTGCAGCTACCTCACCACCCACGACGCCGCCGACCCCAAAGACCATGATAGCCGCGCCAATACCGCTCCCACCCTCGCGGAACTCAAGGCGCACGCTCGCAGCCTCCTGCTCCTCATTCGCAGCATGAGCATCAGTTCGCGCGCGACACTCATAGGCAATGCCACCCTCCAGGACCCCACGTCCGAGGACCAAGACGGCGCCTCGCTCGCGCCGGACTTCTACTCCAACCCCGACGCCTTCGAATTCCTCAACGATCTCTCCTCACCCTACCGCTCCAGAGACCCTGCCGAGAACGAACCCCTGACGAACCTCCTCAACCAACTCATTACCCACCCCGACCCCTCCCGCAAGATCCCCGCATCAACCGAAGCCTGCCCTCTTGCCACCGTAAAAGTCATCACCAAAGGCAGCGAACCAGCTTCCTTCCGCCCAGGCGTCAACCCGCTGCCACACTCACAAATAAACCGCCTAATGGCACATGCCGACGAGCTGCTTCTCCAGATTGACGCCGCGCTCTCCACCTCCGGGGGGCTGCTCGCTGCTCTCCCCCTCGACCTCCCCGCCTCCGATCGGCGGCGCCAGACATACATCGGGCAGCTCATCCACTTCATGCGCACCCTCGTCGGGCGCCTCCATGTCCTCGACCGCGACTATGGACAGGCCCTAGGTCTCCTGGCAGGCGAGGCGACTATACCTGCTGAGCTAAAACTCAACATCGAACACCCCAGGCAGATAGAGGCACCCCTCGTCGCCGCACAGCACAGGTTCATCATCAACACCGCCTCTGACACGTACAATAAGATCTGGGGCCACTTGCGGAACTGCGCCAGCGACAAGGCGGTGAGGATATCGGGGATGGGGTTGCTGGATGTGGAGATCACGACGAGGTATCGGGCGTTGAGGGGTGGGAAGACAATTTTTGTGACCCCTATCCCCGATGAACCGACGGCGAGCGAGGTGGTTGGGCGCCCGACGGTGGTTGCGTGTACGCAGCCTGGGTTTGGGACGAGGACGAGCGAATGGGAACGCAAGAAGGGGGCGGCGTTGAGGGAGGCAGAGGGGTTGAGGGTTAGGGCGGAGATGGCGGAGAGGGAAGTGGAGAGGTTGAGGAAGGATGTTGAGGCGCTGGTGCCGGAGGGGGTGTGGGCGAATGGGGAGAAGGAGGATGTGCTGACGATGTGGGGGAAGGTGCAAGCGGAGAAGGATGCGATGGCGGGGGAGATGAAGCAGATGGAGTTGTTTAAATCGAGGTGTAAGGTTTTGGAGAAGAAGAACTCGGAAATGGGAATGGAGTTGTTGAGGGAGAAGGAGAAGATGAAAAAAAGGAGGGACGGGGTGGAAGAGGGTCTGAGGACGGAGATTCATAAGTTGATGAACGAGAGGAATAGTACTTCGGCTGGCGCGAATGGCGCGGAGGTTGAAGGGCTGAAGAAACAGGTTGTTGATCTGCAGGCTCAGTTGGCCCAGGCAAAGCGCGAAGGCGGAGGCACTGAAAAAGAACTCGAGACTTTGAAGGCTGAGGTATCGAAGTTGCAGGGGGAGGTTGAGGAGTTGAAGGCGCAGGTGCAGCAGGAGGGTGGAGAGAAAGGGGGTGAAGAGGAAGAGGGTGACGAGGATGGTGGAGATGAGGGTGAAGAGGAAGGCGATGATGAGGGTGGAGATGAGGATAGTGAGATTGAGTAGGCGTTGGTTACGGACGAGTTTAAAATGAGAAGAAACGGGTTATTTTATGTTTGAGTGGGAATTATTGTTGCAGGTGTTACTGCCGGCGTTATTACAGTTGTATTTCCTTTCCAGCTTAATATGGTAGAAAGTAAGGACTATACTCCGTAGTCTCAGCATACAGTATAACCTCCTTAGTACGATATTCAATAGGCCAATATCCTCGATAGTGCGATATTTTTTTAGGAACCGATTCAAATACCACACAAAATACGATATTCACGGTATCCTAACAATTTCATCGACTATCGTCTTATCGTATACCGTTTCGTCATTACAGCTATTGAATATGGCACGCAAACAGCAGATACTCCTTGAACAGCGACGTGCTTTACGGGCTTGGGTACATAAATGGGTACATAACACCCACGACCGTCCCAAAAAGCGTGTATCGAGTGGTTCCAGCAGCAGTACAACCATAAGATCAGCCAATCTAGTGTCTCCGAGTCTCTTTCGACACACTTCGACAGCCTCGATAATATCAAAGACAGCAATCGCTCACGCCTTCGACTTGGGCAGTGGCCAGATCTTGAGAAGATCTTGATTCTTTGGCAGCATCACATCGAAGAGAAAGGAGGGGTGACAAGTGGAGAACTGCTTCGACAGAAAGCTCAGCAGATCTGGCAGCAATTACCTCAATACGCTAGCCAACCTTGCCCTGAATTCAGCAACGGATGGATGCAGAAATTCAAGAAACGACATAATATCAAAGAGTACACACAACACGGCGAAGGAGGATCTGTTCCTACAACAGCAGAAGAAGAGATGAAGGCTTTGCGGACATTAGCGGGGGAGTTTCAAGAAAAAGATATATACAACATGGATGAGAGAGAATTATTCTGGAAGATGACACCATCGAGAGGTCTTGCAACTTGTGCACAACCAGGATTAAAGAAGGAGAAAGCACGAATCTCTTTAGTCCTCTGTGCTAATGCAACTGGAAATGATCGACTTGATGTCTGGATTATTGGCAAAGCAAAGACTCCACGAGCTCTTAAGAATATCAATGTTGCAACTATGGGAGCGCAATGGAGATGGAATAAGAAAGCATGGATGAATACAACAGTGATGGTTGAATGGCTTCAAGCTTTCTATTTACATATTGGAAGTACAAGGCGAGTCTTATTAACAATGGACAACTTCTCAGCACATTACACAGCGTTGGAATTAGCACCTCCACCTGCAAATATACAAATTTGCTAAGTCGATTCCAGCCTTTGGATCAAGGAATTATTCAGTCATTTAAGGCAAATTATCATCGACAATGGCTGTCTTATATGCTAGAATGCTTTGAGGCAAATCAAGACCCTCTTAAGTCAATGAATATACACCTTGCAATTCGCTGGATTGTACGAAGCTGGAACCACTTCCTTACAAATACTACTATATACAACTGTTTTCGCAAGTCAACTCTTGTCACTTCTCCAATCTCTCTTCCTACACCGCTTAATCCACCAAACAGATCAGCTCTCTAAGATCAGGTAGCAAGGGCTGGGAATATACATGATGCAATGGCAATTTCAAACTTCCTAAATCCAGAAGAGGAGGCTGAAGTAGAAGAAGAGGGTGAAGCAAACCAAGAACAAGTCTTGCAAGACTTGATAGCAGAACATTTAGGTGTATCTCATACACAAGATGACGACGAAGAAGAAGGGCAGCTTGAAGAGCCTGTCTACTCTATACAAGAAGCTCGGAAGGCTATGCAGGTTCTTATTAAATTTACTGAAGGTAGTGCTGAGCTCCAAACAGCTCATTTAAGAGCAATTGAGCGTCTGGAGCATGAATTGGAGGCATTAGACCAGAATAGGCTTGTTCAAAGTAATTTAGATGGATGGCTTACATAAGCTCCAATAATACGAGTTATTTAGTGGCACCAATTCAATCGTCTTAAAGAGGTTATACTGTATCTCTTTTTTATCAAACCAGTCTGTCTTATGTGTTGTGCCTTATCTAGTTATGCACCGGCACCCGTGTTATTAAGCCCATCCGCACTACAGGCAAACCCTGGGCAACAATTTCCATCTGAGCAAGCTTGTCCTGATGTTTTGCACAGCTTATTCATGCACAGTAGTGGATCCCAGTTGTTCTTCGCTCGCCCGCATCTCGTATCATCACCACAACACTCGTTATCGTCGGTGCAGCCACGACCGGCTTTTATGCACTCAGGGGCTGGCCCGCCAGGCATGCAAAATTTTCCGAGATATCTAGCTGCTTTATGTTAGCTCTGGCAAATTTCCGTCGGACCCCCCGTTAATTATGTGAGAGCCGTTGTCTTAAACCTTCCCTAAACCTTCCCTGAGTCAAGCGTAGAATCGATAGCCCACGCCGTATTAGGTCAGCGCCCCGAGTGTAGAGCTGATGTGTGACATTTCAACCTGCAGCCTTGAGCAAAGGGATCGAAGTTGGGACGAATTGTAAAGGCATAACTACAATTTAGTCTTGGCAAATCTCCTTGAATCGAATCAGTCTCTCTTTTCTCCGAGGAATCTACATATCCCATTCGCCAGCCAAGATCATGAAGAAACGCCCAACACTCGTAACAGACTCATGTGTTCTCAAAAAGTCTTACATCGGAGAATGCCAGCCTGTTGTATTTGAACGATGGGATTGCCCCTCAAGCTGTACAGCCAACTGCTACACAACAAGGTACGTTGTGGCTAAAACAGAGGTGTGAAGTGGTAATTCCATGCGCATTCAGCATCTCTGGCTTTCAAACGATCGCTTTGCCGTGGTGGAGAAGAACTGAGCTGGAAGACGGACACTGTATTCTTCCTGACAATTCCAGCTGCTGACGACACCAGCAAAATGATACTTTTGCCCCCATCAGAATCGCCAGCCAATTCATAGGCCAATTACTGGTCAGCAGGATTGCTCTAGCGAAAATAGAATAGACCCTTTATGCATCAAGGCCAGATAGTTGATCACCCGGACAATGCTCTCAAAGTCCTTGTTTCTCCCGAGGTTATCGAAAACCCTCCATGTGCCTTCAAGCTGCAATGCTCCATTCAAGAGTTTAAAATTATCATTAAATAAGCTCTCATGGATTTGGAAGACTATTCTCGCCTGTTGCCAGGGTTAGCAATTCGAGTAGACTCATGAGTTTGAAACAAAACTCAACTCATTGAGTTGAGTTTAGACCTGTACTCAAACTCAAACTCAACAACTCGAGTAAGACTCATGAGTTAATGAGTTAGAAAATGCATTAAACCTATTTAGGTATATACATTACCTAATTAGGACTAAGATGAGATAAGATAAGATAAGTTACTAATGTAATTGCTTATACGGAGGAAGCGTTCAAAAGTTTTGTCCCACGCTAGGAAACGCCACAGTTCACAATTTAGTTATGTACATAGTTATGAAATCAGTGTTCTTCTCGCCCCTCCTTGTACTCATTTCCACCTTCTAGCTCGATGACTTTCTGGATATGTCGAGGAATCCTCTCGACCCAGGCTTGGATTTGCGACTGAGGGAGATCTTCCCAACAGGTCTCCCAAGCTCGTATCGCGTCTGGTCGACTTTTTGGTGCCCCCTTCCTTGTAGTCCTCCTTTTCATCCATGGCCAACATGGCTCGATGACATTTAAATCTGGAGAGTTGGCGCACCAGAAGAGGCGATTAATGTCATGTAATTGAAATACTCGCCGCTGAATGTAATGATTGTGTGATGGAGCATTGTCTTCTTGTACAATAGTATCCGGACGGTCTACCATGCATTCCCTTGCGAATGGGAACATCTTTGGTATCAGAATCTTTTTTTGATACCGGTACCAATCTATCCCCCCTCCTCCTTTCTCATGGCTTAACTTCCCATTCTTTTTATTCCATCTCCATAGCGGCTCTATACCAGGAAGATTGCGTAGAGACATTCGGCGTATCCCATTTCGTTCTTTTTTTGTCTCTGGGATCCAACAATGACATGGCCCTTTCTCGTCGTAAGTAAAACATCCCCAAAACATAAATTCTGAGTATCCTTTCCACCGTTCCCTAATGCAACTCCGTAAAAATGCCTCGTCTGCCTTTCTCCATATCCGATAACCTCCCCGTCTATGGTTTAGTACCACAGATGTCTCGTCTGACCATATTACATTTTTCCAATCCTCGAGTGTCCAGTGCTGATGGTCGAGGCACCATTTTAATCTCTCTGCCCTCATCTTCTTCGTCAACCCAGGCTTCCTTGTCGGTTTCGTTTTCCGGAAGCCAGCAGTCCTTAAAACCCTCCATATTGTCGTGGAGGAGATGTCGATACCTTGCAAGCTAAGTTCCCCCGCGATATCAGCACAAGTTTTTTTCCTTCCGTAACGGTCGATTCGCACCTTTGCGACAACTCCCTCTGTCGCTTCAGCTGTTTGTTTTGTCGTAAGGTGAGTGGCATATGATTGGGGTCAAACCCACGCTCAATTGCGCGAGTATATATCCGGTTCACCTGTCGGGTTGACAGGCCAGTTTTCTCAGCAACTTCCGCTGAAGTCTTTCCTCCAGTCGGAGATTTGAGGGCCACAATCAGGGCCCTCGTCAAGATATCTGTGTTCGGTGCCATCGTTTGAACTTGAAAGGCACTGTCGATTGTCAGTCAGTTCGTCAGTCGCAAGTGAGGGGAAGTTATGCATACCTTGGCATTCTTGGCAGGTCAAAACTTTTGAATGCTACCTCCGTATGTAAAGGCGTAGGACCCAGGGTCACACGGGAGCTCAGGGAACCAGATCAGTAGGTAGGAAGTAGGATTCAATGCGTAACAATAGGTCTACGTATATACAGCGACTATTGACTGGAGGCCTCACTCCGAGCCTCCAGCCCCTTATATACAGGAACCTGTAGGCCCTAATTTACTGAGCCCGCCAGGTCCACTGTAAGAGCGTGACACCTCACGTGCCCTCACGTGAGGGCCGCCTTACAATTACCTCCCCCTTCTAGGGAATTGCCCCCAATTCCAGGCATAGAGATCAGGGCTGATTGCGCCCTTGTTTGGGCTTGTTTGGCTTGTTTGCTCGCGCGTAGGGTGGGTTGTTGTTATCGAACTCGCGCCTGTCAGGGGGGTCCCGTGACCCCCCTTGTTGTTGTGCCGCGGCCACCCCCAGTTGTTGTGGGCATCGCGCTTAACTCCCACTTCCTACCCAACTTCCTACTTTCCTCACACAACCTCACACCAAGTGCCCGCTCTTCTGGGTTCTTGGCTTCTTCCTTTTGATCCTCTTCCAAGGTTTGCTTCAAGGCTTACTCCCTCTTCGCAAGGTATTTACGTCCCTTCCATCCTTCGTCTTCAGGGACTGATCTGTGGATTAGTTCCGTCAATCATGGCTCCGCGCAAGCAGCCCAAGAAGACAGTGGCGCCTGTCGCCATCCCTCTCAAGCGCTCTTCCGCCCAGATGTCTGGGTCTCCCGAGTTGGAGTCACCTGCCACCCCTACTCCCTTCGGTCCTGCTTCCGTTGCGTCCACCTCTCGCCCTCGCACCGTGCGTCCCTACCGATCACCTTCAGTTGAGGACGCTCCAGAGGAGGAGGAGGAGGTCGCTGCTCAGTTGGCCGCCAAGGAGATGCGTACGGCGCTGGGGTGGAAGCTTTCTGCGCGCCGCCCAGTTCCAGAGTCTGTTGGTCCCCTTCGCGCAGGCTCCTGCGACTGCTGCGTCAAGTGTTTGGTCACCTATTACAACTATCCTGGACAGATCTGCTGGGTCCCTGTTGGCTTGGACAAGTGCGGCGACTGTCTCCAAGGAAACCACCGCTGCGTTCCGGTAGGCCTCCTTTTCCTTCTTAGTGGGATATGCTGACAACCAGGCAGGTCGGTCCTGATCAGAAGGATGCCCTCACTGCCCTGCAGCTCAAGGCCGATGCCTATTTGAACTGTTGCGCTGACGACGAGGACGCTGGGCTGGAAGATGATTCGGTCGCCACCCGTGAGGCTCTGGCCTCCCTCCTCTTTGCCCAACGCGAGTTCACTACCGCTGATAAGGGCAAGGAGCCTCGCACCCCGAAGGTCAAGAATAAGGGTAAGAGAGCTGCTACGTCCTTCCACGAGGAACCTGTTGCGCCTCTCCCTGAGGCTGGGGGCCCCGTCGTCTGCAACCTCAACGACCCACGCCAAGCCCTTCTTCACCACGCTGAGACCCTTGCTGAGCTGGATCAGGCCAAGACCAAGGCTCTCAAGGCTGCTGCTGCTACGTTCCACGCCGCTACTGATGCGGCTCTAGACGCCTACCAGGTTGGCCTCAATCAATACGCCTGTTTACCTATCCGCCCGATGATCTCATACGGTCCGAGCCACCGGTGACCTAGCTTCCTACTTGGCTGGGTGGTTATTCTTGGCAGAAAGCCACACCCGTTCGCCGACCATGAACTGCATTGGCTTGTGGATCTTGTTATATCCTCAGACTTGGGCTTCCTTCGATCTCGCCCAGGCCTCTTCAAGCTCCTTTCGTAGGTTGAGGATCTTCTGGACTCAGTCTCTTGCAACTGGCACCTCCCTTCTCATGGGGTCGTCCTCGATCCCTTGCCGCAGGTCGATGTTGATACCGTATCGAGCCTGATTTGGCGACATCTGGATGGAATCGTGGAAGGCATTATTGTAGGTAAGCTCCGCGAAGTGAAGAAGTTCTACCCAATTGTCCTGGTGCTGATTGCAGTGTAGGCGTAGGTAGGCCTCAATATTCTGGTTCTGCCTTTCCGTCTGGCCGTCAGATTGAGGGTGGAAGGCAGTCGATAGGTTCCGCTGTACTTTGAGGTGGAAACAGAAGGCCGACCAGAAGTGGCACGTAAATACGCTGCCGCGGTCTGTGATTATTTCAGCAGGAATTCCAAAGTCCTTAACCCAATACTCAAGGAAGACCCGCCCCAACTCGGTGGCAGTAATGGTCTTCCGGCAGGGTATATATTTGGATACCTTGGTGTATCGGTCTACGATTACCAAAATGGAGTCTGAAGCCTTAGCTTGGTCTGCTCCTATACTAGGCGGCAGATCTGTGATGAAGTCCATACTTATGGACTCAAAGGGCTTAGTAGGCATTCTAAGGCCTTGCATTTCGCCGTAGGGTCTATGCCGTACCGGCTTGATCCGCTGGCACTGATCGCAGCCACGTACGTACTCCCTGGCTTCCTGGTCTAATCCAGGCCAGTAGTATTTCCGTCGGATCAGTTCCTGGGTCTTCTTATATCCGAAGTGCCCAGCCAAAGGGTCGTCGTGGCAAATCTTGAAGATTTCCATACGTACTGCCTGATTGGGAGGCACGTAGGCCACTCCCTTGAAGTGTAGGATGCCTGCATCGTCTACTCTCCAACCTGAAGAGCCCTTCGCCCACACCGACCCTGCTTCTCTGGCCCTGTGAACAGCGAGCTCGTCAGCCGCTTGAAGGGTTTTGATCAGATCCACTAAGGGTTCGGCCGTGGCACTGTAGGCGCTCTCTCCCTGAGCCATGGCTGCCACCATAACTCGAGGGACAACGAGACCTGGACTCTTGGTGTCCTTACTCTGGTCTTCGCCCAGTGTGGTGCCTACTTCTTGTAAGTCAGCCACTACCCGCCTCATCTGCAGGGCTTCTTCTCCTGCCTGTATGGCTTTCTGGAGCTTGTTTCGAAGGGTAGGAAGCATCACGTTCTGGCTACCCTTCTCTTCCTCAAAGTCTGGTCTCCTAACGGCCCGTCTGCGGGGTTGGTCTTGCCAGCTCGATAGGATATTTGGAAGTCGTAGGCCGACAACGCCTGCGCCCACCGCGCCTGCCTTCTTGTGAGGGCAGTGGTTTCCATGAAGTATTTCAGGTTGTTGTGATCCGTCAGGACCTCGATTGGGTGTTGGCTACCCTCTAGGTAATGCCTCCACTGTTCGAAAGATCTCACGATCGCCAAGAGCTCTTGGTTGTGGACCTCATAGTTCAGCTCTGCTGGCTCCAGCTTTTTGCTGAAGAAGGCGACTGGGTGCCACCCGCCCCTTCGTTCTGGGGTTTCTTCTACGTATTGGGAAAGGTTCCCTGCCAACCCGAAGCCAGAGGAGTCCGTCTCAAGCCTAATCTTACGGCTTGGATCGAAATGGACTAACGTGGGAGCTGTGGTGAAGGCCTCCTTGAGGCGATCGAATGCGCCCTGCTGCATTGCTCCCCACACAAAGGGCCCGGTCTGTTTACCGGCCTTGGCCCCCTTCATAAGGCCAGTCAAGGGTGCCACAACAGAGGAGTACTGCTCTATGAAGCGCCGGTAAAAGTTGGCGAAGCCGAGGAACACCTGGACCTCTCGGTAGGTCTTGGGTGTAGGCCACTCAGCTATCGCAGCAACCCGGTCGCCTTCCATAGCCACTCCTTCTGTTGTGACGGTATATCCAAGGAAGCCTACCTGTTTGGTATTGAACTCGCACTTTGAGAGCTTCACATATAGGTTCGCCTCTCGTAGGCGACCTAGGACCTCCTGTACGTGGTGGGTATGTTCCTCCTCTTTAGAGGAATAAATAAGGATATCGTCGAGGTATACAACGCATATCGTATCAACGAGCCCTTCGAGGGTCTCGTTCATATAGGCCTGAAACGTGGCTGGCGCGTTGGCCAAGCCAAAAGGCATCACTTTGTACTCAAAGTGGCCGTAACGAGTGCGGAAGGCGGCCTTCCACTCGTCGCCTGGGCGGATCCGGATCCTGTGGTAGGCGTTCCTAATATCCAGCTTTGTGAAGACCTTCGCTCCTTGGAGCCAATCCAAGGTCTCTGTGATCAGCGGCAAGGGGTGCCTATTCTTTACAGTGATCTTATTCAGACCCCTATAATCCACGCAGAGGCGTAGACTGCCGTCCTTCTTCTGTACGAACAGTATGGGCGCGCCTGCTGGGCTTACGCTCCTCTGGATCCAACCCTTCCTTTCACTTGATTGAAGGTATTCCCGGAGTGTGGCCAACTCCGTCTCAGATAGGTTGTATACCGGGCCGTAAGGCGGCTCTTGCGTGCTGGTATCGATACCGTGGGTCTTCCTACCCAGCTCGGGTAGGTCTTCTGCCCGCTCCTTAGAGAAGACGTCGGCGAATTCAGCATACTCCCTTGGGCATTGGGGTTCCAACGCTCCTTCCGAGGTCAACGCCAGGACAAAGGCAGTATCGCCTTTGTCTAGCTCTTCAATACCCACCTCCATCGCCTTCGATATATCAAAGGGGTAGCGCCATATCTGGGTCTGCCAATCAATCTGGGGGTTGACCTGTACGATCCAGTCCATTCCAAGGATAACATCCACACCAGGGGTATTCATGGAAAGGAACGTCTGGTCTACGGTCGTCTCCCTTCGAAAGTGGTCCCGGGCCTTGATCTGTACGGTCGCCGCTCCGTATATGGCAATCTCCTTGCCGTCCACAGCCCTCGCTCGAGGTGGGCCCTTGTCTCGGCACTCTAGGCCCTTATCTTTTGCGAAGAGGGGGTGGATAGTTGACGCGTCCGACCCTGAATCGAGTAGAGCCTTGGCCTTGTGCCAGGTAGGCCCTACTTTGATTTCAATGTCGATCTCCATCCTCTTTGCCTGCGTAGGGCGTAGGGCTTCGGTAGGGAGTCACTCCCGCTTGAGGAGCTGGGTATCCAGCTTCCGGACTCCCGGCCCAGTGTGCTGGCTACGGCAGTCCTTTGCAAAGTGGCCTGGTCTGCCACAGTTGTAACAGGCGTTCCCTACTTGGGTAGGCCTTGCGCCTTGGGTGTCGGCTGGCTTGCGCGCAGGTTGTTGGTCCGATCGACGGCGATCCTGGAAGGGCGTTCGCTCCCGGTGATTGCCCGACTTGTGGCTATTGAAGTGGCCCTTCCGAGCTGGAAAGCCACCCTGCAGGGTTCCCTTCCGATTCTCCCTTGTGTTGGGCCTATCCGTAGAAGGATTCTTCTCAGTTACCCATCGGCGTAGCCACCCTCAAGGAGGCGCTGCCTCATTTCTGGGTGTAACTTCGTCAGGAGGTGGGTGGTCCTCTGGGACTCGGTGTAGGGCTCCATTTCCCGCTCCAATTCCTCGAGGTACGCAACGAATTTGCGGATACCCTGCCCCTTACGCTGGTGGGCGCCGTTGTATTTGAGGGCTGCAATGCGTTGCCGGTTGGCTGGGTCGATATGGAGGTCGCGAAGGAACTCTTCAAACCCTGCGATATCTAAAGGGTCATCGAGCCCTTTCTCTTGCGAGGCGCAGCAGTTGTCCCACTCCTTCATGGGGTCGCCCTCAAGGTATTGGGCGGCGAAGGCCACCTTGGATTGCTCGGTTGGGAACATTCTTGGCTGGTATCAGAAGGAAGCGCGGATTGAGGCCATAAACTCGTTGAGCTCTCGTGTCGACTCGCCTTTGTAGACCTTAGGGTCCTTGACCTTGCCGAAAGGCCTATATGATGGGGTTGCTTCTCGCGATACTACGGAGGCAGTCTCTTGTTCCTCCTCGTTTGGGGTCCCCTCCCATTCTTCCTCACTGTCTTGGTGTCACCTTTTCCGGCGTCCTTCTTCTTGTATTCGGGCCTGTCTTTCTGCGAAGACCCTTACTTCCTCCGGGTAGGCGCTATAGTCGTCGCCGTGCGATCGTCGGAATACTTGGAGGGCTTCTTCCATGGTATTGTAGTAGGCCCTCTCTTCTTCGATCCTATTCTTGAGGGCGGCCAGCTTTGACGGCATCCTGTCCGCTTTGCTCATCGCGGAGCTGCTGGCTTCAGGGCCCAGAGTCGGTGGGCTGGCCTCGATGGTTTCTGCCGCTGGAGTCGCTCCTCCGGAGGTCGCTCGGGTAATCCTCTTTTCCTGGCTCGCCATCCTGATATGGTAGGCTGAGTATGGGTTGAGTCAATAGAATTGTAAAGGCATAGGACCCAGGGTCACACGGGAGCTCAGGGAACCAGATCAGTAGGTAGGAAGTAGGATTCAATGCGTAACAATAGGTCTACGTATATACAGCGACTATTGACTGGAGGCCTCACTCCGAGCCTCCAGCCCCTTATATACAGGAACCCGTAGGCCCTAATTTACCGAGCCCGCCAGGTCCACTGTAAGAGCGTGACACCTCACGTGCCCTCACGTGAGAGCTGCCTTACACCGTAGATGCTTATAAATTAGCATGTAAAGGCTTATAAATGCTTATAGATGCTTATAGATACTTAAAAATTAGTATATAAAGGCTTATAAATGCTTACAAATGCTTGTAGATGCTCATAGACAAAGTTCTTGCCCTAGAGGGGTACTAGGAGCTTGATGTATAGGTGGAGGTTGTCTGCATATATCGACAGGGCCTCGTCACCTCTTCTAGCTTCAGCCTAATGTTGGGAACATTCTTGGTTAGGGGGTCTTTGGTTGCCGAGTGTAGGATTGGTGTAATGGTGGGTGCACCAGATGTGAGAATCTAGCCACCCAAGGAAGGGGATGATTTTACTAAGACAACACACTGTCTTAGGAAAAAGAGCCAAAGGGTTGTAGCTTAGACTATTCCACAACGCAGCAATCAAGTGTATGATGTAGTGGAGTGGTTTAGACAAGTTGTACAAATGTTGAGTCTGAGAACTCAGGGATAAGTCAGAGGTTAGCACCTCACTGACTTTTCAGAAACAAGGAGTAACAAGATCAATGCTTGAAAGCTTGGAAAAGACGTGGAAGTATGTGATAGTCAATTTACTGTATTGTCTGCTTGCCCTTTCTTAAGGAAAGGGCAATCCTATTTATGCTAAAGGAGTGTAGTTCTCTCATTTTCCAAGACTTTCCATGACTAACCAGGCTTGGTAACTGTAGTCGACGTAAGAGAATCCCATAGAACCATCTCCTAGGTTCCTAGCCTATAGGAAGTGAAAGGAGGTCCAAGGTCAGAGTACCCCTATAGACAAATTATGTCATAACTTAACCAATCTTGTGGGTAACTAAGGAGCGATGACGTGTAATGAATCATAGAGGGTTGTAGAAGCTTTTGGAGCTATTGTTCATGTTCCTAGGCCTCTAGTTGATAGAGATATGTCATGTGGTAGTATGAGTGATGTCATGTAATGAATCATAGAGAGTTGTAGAGATATGCTATGTGGTAATATCGGCCCAGTAACTAAGGAGCGATGATGTGTAATGAACCATAGATGGTTGTAGCAATCGTTGAGTAGTATTGCTCTTGTTGTTGGTGTGATAATCCAAAATATGTATAGTGACTTGTAGGTTTGAGGAGAAGATTTCTAAGTTTGCTCTTGAGTTTGATAGCAAACTGAGTGCAACAAATGTCAGTATGACATCCAATTTCTGCAAGTGGCAACATTTCTGGGGTAGCTGTATCCACTCATATACGAGAAAGTCTGGAAAGCTGAGAAAGAAGCCTGAGCGTCTCTTTGAGTATATGCCGTAGATTGATCTAGAGGAAGGGTACGTCTCTGATCATCCTAGCAATCTTCTGGCAATACTAATTGTTTATTATAGCACTTTTCACAAGGTTATCCCACCACATAAATATTTCTGTTTGTACGAGCAGGCAGTTTGGACAAACTTTACTTGGAAGTTTGGAAAGTGGGCCCAATTACCAGGACCTGCACAGTGGTACCCAAAGTCTTACAATCTTGTCGACAATGGATGGTTGCAAGTATCCACTCATAGTTCTAGGTTCAAAGAGGCGTTCTTACTTGTCTACTCTAAGAAGTTTGATAAGGAAAAGTGGGCTAAGGTATCAGCTGCACAGGATATGTTGTTCCTGGAGCTAGATTAGAGGAGAACTTGAGTTGCTAAAGTTATAGCGCCGGAGTATCTGGTTTTCTAACGCTAATAGGGGTTATAGAGAAATTGAAGTACTTCATTGTAGCCAGACTTCTGGTAACCTTCTGATAATCGAGCAATTTGCCAAATGTCATCTCAATACTCAGAGTTGTTTGATTCTGACAATCCTATTGCAGATGTATTCTCAGACTCTTTTCCATCTTCTCAACGACTATCCTCATTAAATCAAGTCCCTTTAGGCCTTGAGTATATTGGCAAATTAAACCAATTCATCAAATGGACTAAGGATACACACCATATATTCATTGAGTGGTGGATGTCACGGTTCACCAAGGCATAGGGCGCCAGTTGGGTATTATGAATTAAACTCAATCTAGAGAAGAAAGGAAAGAGAAGAGGAGCACTCGAGCAGTGGCTCGATCTATATACAGCTATTGTGGAGTGAATTCTCTTTAGCGAGACCAGTTCTGAGAATTCACTCCACAACTGAAAACTTCGCTCCAACCCCGGAAAGCTCCCCACACCCCTGAACCCCCACTCGAGCTGCAAGGCGCACTTGATATCGTAACACTACCCCCCCCCTACTCCAGAGTTGATCTCCTGATCAAGAAATCCCATTTTCAAAAAAAAAACAATTGTCTCCAGCTCTCATTTTGGTTTCTGAGGGTATTTTCTGTGATATGCTTGGGTAACTTCTGGAGAATTTTCAAAGCTCTCTGCAGTATACCATGTCTCATCCGGTGGATAGTTCTTCCAGGCTGCCTTGTAGAAAAGCTTCTTTCGAATAACTTTTGAGTCGAGGATTTCGTCCACTTCCCACTCCTCTTCCCCATTGACAATGACTGGAGGCTCTGGCTCCTGTTGCTGCCCTTCGATTGCATCATTCGAGTCAAGTCTTAATAGATTGGCATGAAATACTGGATGAATCTTCATGCTGTTTGGAAGTTTGAGCCGATATGCAACTTGCCCAATTCGCTCTAGAATTTCAAAAGGTCCCACTTGCTTGTGGTCTAGCTTCTTTGATGGCCTCTGTGTCTTTATATTTCGAGTTGAAAGCCATACTCTGTCTCCCACTTGATAGCGTGGTGCAGGTTTCCTTTTCTTGTTCGCGAAATGTTCCATTTTTGCTTGCGAGAGTGTGATTTCATCCTGCAGAAACTCCCAAACCTTTGCCATGGTCTGAGCTATGTTCTTGTGCTCTTGTTTGGCTTCGTGATATGCTTGCTGCTCTGTATCGAAGCTCATTCTTGGTTCATAGCCCTTGTTCGCAAAAAACGCACTTGTCTTGGTTGCATCTGATGGCAAACTGTTGGCAGCAAACTCCGCCATGCACAAGTATGAAACCCAATTGTCTTGAAGATAGTTCACATGAGCTCGCAAGTAGCGTTCGAGCTCTGCATTGAATTGCTCAGTCTGTCCATCTGTTTCTGGGTGGAAGGCAGTTGAAAGTTTGGCCGAAATTTTCCAAATTTTGCAGAGCAAACTCCAGACTTCTGCAATGAACTGAGGACCTCTGTCTGATATTATCGAGTTTGGTAGACCATGGTGCTTCCATACATGTCAAAGTAAGAGCTGTGCTGTAGCTTCTGCAGTAGTCCCTTCTTGCCCAGCGAAACACGGAATGAAATGTCTTTCTTTCGTCAACCTGCATGCAACAACCAAGATAGCATTGTTCCCTTCACAGAGTGGTAATCCTGTCACGAAATCCATTGATATATCCATCCATGGTTGACTGTCAATAGGGATTGGTTGTAGAAGTCCATTGTAGGAATCTCGAGATGGTTTCGATCTTCGACAACTATGGCAGTTTTTGATATATCGAATTATTGTTTTGTCCATGTTTGGCCAGTAATAGTGCTGTTTCATGACTCGCAGCATCTTTCCAGCTCCTGGATGTCCCATAGAAGGTTGTTCATGAACTTCTCTCAACAAGTCCACCTGAATGGTTTCTGGCACCCAAACTCGATTTTGATATTCTAGCATGCCGTTTTTGAGTTCGCAATAAGCCAATGCAACCTCTTTGCTTGTTCGATCACCATTCTCAAGCTTCTGTAGTGTAGCCTTGCAGAATTTGTCTTCCAGTTGAGACTTTTGGATTTTCTCAAGAATTGTCATTTCTCTGATATGAGTTTCCACTGGAGCTAGCTGAGCTGTTTGGCCTTGTTCTTTGAGTTTCTGAATGTCTGGATGTAGCCTCGAAGGTGGTAGCAACACCTGAAGCTGTTGCTTTTGTCGATCATCCTCATCATTGCCTTCTGGTCTGTCACCAGGCCTTCGAGTCAAAGCATCTGCTTTTCCATTTTGCTTCCCAGGCCTATAGATGATCTGGAAGTTGTATCGAGAGAGGAATTCAGCCCATCGAGCTTGTCTTCTTGTCAGCTTCTTGGTGGACATGAAGTATTCCAAGCTTTTGTGAGCAGACAAGACTTGGACTGGAAAATCTGTCCCTTCAAGTTCTGGTCTCCATGCTTCGAAACATCTGATGATTGCAAGCAATTCCTTGTCATATATCTCGTAATTGCATTCTGCAGGTGCTAGCTTTTTTGAGAAGTATGCCACTGGATGTAGAACCCCTTGATCATCTTTTTGTGACAAGACTCCTGATGAGATGAAGTCTGAGGAATCTGCTTCGACATAGGCTGTCTTGTGTCTATCAAAATGCCTCAAGACAGGAGCTTCTGTGACTGTTTGTTTCAACAGCTCGAATGCAGTTTGGCATGCATGAGTCCATTCGAATATCTGATCCTTTCTGGTAAGGTTCACCAATGGCCTCATGATGCTGGAGTAATTTCGGATGAACCTTCGATAGAAATTGCAGAATCCAATGAAAGCTTGCATATCCCTGAGCGATTTTGGAGTTTGCCATTCCAATATAGTAGAAACCTTTGCAGGGTCCATGCGAATACCATTGACTCCCACGATGAGTCCTAGGAATTTGGTTTCTTGGACGAAAAACTCACATTTTGAGATATCTGCTTGAAGTCCAGCTTCTCGAAGCTTCTGTAGGACTTTCCTTATGTGCTCTGTATGCTCCGCTCGAGTAGCACTGTAGATAAGAATGTCATCCATGTATGCGGTGACGAATTGGTTGAGGTAATCCATGAGGGTTTCATTCATGTACCTCTGGAATGTTGCTGGACCATTTGTGAGTCTGAAGGGCATGACCTTGTATTTGTAGGATCCAAATCGAGTTCTGAATGTAGTGAGGTCTTCATCTTCTTCTGTCTGCATTCGAATTCGATTGAAGGCATGTCGAATGTCCAGTTTGGTGAGATATTTTGCTCCTATGACTTGGGCCAGCGTTTCATCAATGAGTGGTATGGGATATCGATCCTTTTTCGTTATGGCATTTAGCTTCCTGTAGTCAACACAGAATCGAAGACCACCACCTGGCTTTCTCACAAACATAATGGGTGAAGAGTATGGGGCTTTGCTTGCTTCAATGAACCCTTTTGGCAAGTGGTCGAAGACATATTCTTCGACCAAATCAAGTTCTTCCTTTGACATATTCCAGAGTGGTGCATATCCCAGCTTTGCATCACCTTCGAGTTCAATATGATGGTCTGAAGGTCGATGGGGAGGTAGCTTGTCTGCTGCCATTTTTGAAAAAACATCCAAAAATTCATGAAATTCCTTCGGAAGGATCAGTCGAGAGTCAATTTCTTCAGTTTTGGTCTTGTTCTTGTGCTCGATTATGTCCTTCATTGATATAGCAAAGACTTGAGCTCCTCTTTGCTTCATGAGCATTCGAAATGGTGCTGCGCCAATCATTGCTATGGTGCAAGGTTTTGGTTTTTCCACTTTCGGAGCAGGTTCCGGAGGAGGCATTTCTTTGGCTTTCTTCTTTGGCCTTTGTCTTTCGCTTTTAGATATAGGCTCTGTTTCGAGGGCTCGATCTGGTATAGAATGGTTGCAATAATCTCCAGTGAAGAGGACTTGATCATTGATCATATCGAGAACAACTCCATGTTGCTTCATCCAAGCTTTCCCGAGAATGATGGAATGTTTTCCCAGCGAAGTAATGAATAATGGACATAGGCTTTCCACATGCTCTCCCACTTGTAGTCGAGGATATATAGCATGTGTGATAGCAGGGGCAGCCTCTCCATTGAATCTTTCAACTTGTTTTGGCTTCACAAGTTCGACTGGGGCTATCCCTTCGATTTCACATATTCTTTCTGCATCAGCAGCATTAATGAAGTTTCCACCTGTGGCACCAGTATCGATCAATGCATGGACAATAGCTTTGTATTTTCCTATTCTACAAGTAGCTAAGAAAGGGGTGTCCGGATCAAAACTGGATCTCGAGGAAGAAGCTGCAATTCTGGCTGCACTGCCTCTAGTGATGACTTGTCTAGAGGCTATTCGTTTTCCGAATCGATGATAGACTCAGCTGTAGATACCTCATTCACTTGAGCTTTGAGCTTCTGGGGACAGTCTCGAGCTCGATGTCCATTTTGTCGGCATATGAAGCATTTCCCAAGTTTCATGAGCATTTCTTTTGCTGGATCTTGATGCGGTGGTCGATACAGCTTCTGCGTCTTGTTTTGCATGTTGGAATCCATTGTAGGTTGAGGGATTGAAGTTCGAAGTGCCTGGCCCTGATTTTGAGTTTGGCCCATGTTGTTCGAAAATGACTTTGGCTTCCTTTTGTCTTCTTGTTCCTTGATCCGCTGAATATTCTGGTCGATGAGCATGTATTTCTTTGCAAACTCGTGAAGTGTAGTAGCTCCAACTTCAGCCACTAAGGCTTTCTGCATCTGTTGGTTGACTTTGAAGCGCAAGTCATCCAGCAAAGTTTCTTCAGAGTAATCAAGCTCTGTCGTGAGCCTTTGGAACTCAGCCCAGAACACTGCAAAGGTGTTGTTTCTCTGATACAGCTTTCGATACTCAGTTTGAGCTGTGTGCCTTCGATCGGGATCACTGAAGACTTTTTCCAAAAGTTCGAGAATTTCTTCTGCTGTCTGCAATTTGTTTGTAGAGTTTGGTCGAAGCCTTGGATTGACATGTCGAACTGCCAGTCCTCCCAGTCGACTCTGAATGTAGCTCATTTGTAAAGTCTGTGTTGGAAAATGATCAATGTTGGCTTCGAGCTTGAGGTGAATTTTCACAACCCAGTCTTCAAATGCTGGCTCTATCCCATCTGTGAGGATTGGAGGGTCTGGAATCCGAGCTGACAGTCGACTGTGAGAGTGGTGTCCTGGTTCATTCTTCAGAGCTTGTTGGGTTTGCTTTTCAAGATATTTCTGAATTGTTTGTTGCTCTGTGATTTGTTGCTCGTTGCTCTGGATCAGTTCCTGTAACTGGAGAATGGCATCATCCTTTTCAGCCAGTATCGAATTTGAGTCCTCTGCTAGGGCCAAATAGTCCCGAAGAATGTTCTTGTGCAAAGTCCATGCCATTTTCTGGTTGGCGACAGATAGTTTCTGGAATTCGTCAAAGGTTTCAACATTCCATTCAGCCTTTTCATGTCGATTTGCAAGTATAGATTCATGTCTCTCTTGAGCTGTTTTGCCCAGAGTGTGAAGGAAGGTTTTGGATTTGAAATTAGGATCATGAAGTTCATTGGTTTGGTTTGCAGAGCTTGGAATTGATGCTCCTTCTGCCAGGGATTCCTGGTCTTGTTCTGGATCATTTCGAGCTGCCATTGCAGCTTTTTCTTCAGCTGTATAAGCCATAGCGAGTTGCTATTTCAATTTCAGTTTATATCGTCAAGTCAGACACATATTGCCAAAGGCCCTATTGTGCAGTTGTTGGCCATAGGAGCCACTCGAGAGGAGCGCACTTCCCTCACAGTTATATCCTTGTCGAGGGAGCGTTGTAAAAGGTCTGACTTGCGAAGGTGGTGTGTGTGTGTTGAGCTGACTGTCGAAAGCCAACTTTGAGGGGTTGCCTGGAGATCGTCCTGGAATTGACTTCAGGATAAGGTTTCTGGTTCTGGGGTTTTCAAAGAGTGGATTTCGATTTCGATTTCAGAAGAGGGTTCAGCTCAAAGAGCAGGAAAAGAGGTATAAGAGAGATTGAGTTTTATGTCACGGTTCACCAAGGCATAGGGCGTCAGTTGGGTATTATGAATTAAACTCAATCTAGAGAAGAAAGGAAAGAGAAGAGGAGCACTTGAGCAGTGGCTCGATCTATATACAGCTATTGTGGAGTGAATTCTCTTTAGCGAGACCAGTTCTGAGAATTCACTCCACAACTGAAAACTTCGCTCCAACCCCGGAAAGCTCCCCACACCCCTGAACCCCCACTCGAGCTGCAAGGCGCACTTGATATCGTAACAGTGGAAGCTATCACGATGGTATGAACAACACTCAGAACAACACTCAGATCATACTACAAAACTCCTTACGAAGATTGCATGGGATTCAACCAACCAGAGTTCTCAATACTGGAGAAGTTATCACCAAGGAGCAGACCGGCTTTCTGGAGAACCATGTGTCATTTGTACTTATTGTTCGAAGGCCCTTACGCATCCTGCAATTAAGTCTGCTGGCCCAAAGTCTATGGCAACACATCTTGCATCAGACATTTGCAAAAAGAAGTCACGGATGGGTAAGGATAGTCTCTATCAAATGCGAATCAATCAAATGCGACCTCAACAAGTAAGGATTACCAGGTTATTACCAGAATCATGTAGGTTAATACCTATAATAGGATCATATTCTCACACAAGAGACATTTTATGAACAAGTTCTATACACAGTTATCTCGACTCATAGCTCATTCCGCTCAGTCGAGGATCCTTGTCAAGACCCTATAAATACTTTAGGTATTAGTAGGTCTGGCCGGCCTCATCAAGCAAGGTGGAGGGATGTTCTTAAGCATATATAATAGATAATAGCGTTCTGATAATCTTCTGATAATCATGGTACTTTGATAGAGGAATATACATGATTCATTCTCACAGCTTACTAGAGATGGCTAGAGTGATGCTGATAGATGTAATACTTTAACTTAACCATAAAACAGTATTAATCGTATGAGGGACTGTTCACATGATGCATAAATCTTACACGTGATAGCCGAGTTCTCACTGGGTTTTTACAGAGTAACTGAGTATTGACCTCGCTCACCGAGTCGAGTAAAAGGTTCAGCTACTCACCCAGCTGAGTAACCCACTGAGCGAGTGAGCCGAGTATTGAGCGAGTAGTGCGCAGCCTATGCAGTGGTACGTGAGACCAGGTCCGTTGACGATCAAGCAGAACGAGCTTGAATGCCATGGCATTAAGGTACCAGGTAAGCGTGTTTAACTGTCACCTACAGAATGTTGCTAATACTCTTTCAGAAATACAAACAACACCAGACGCCTCGCTGTACATGAGAGAGCTTATCAACCAAAGCATCCTGGGCCTTCGGGACCAGTCCTATGCTATTGCCGATGAGAAAACTTGCCACGAAGCATATCTATCTCTTATGTCACTACAGGCTATAACTCCCCAGATGGTGAAGGCCGAGTTTTTGCGTGGACCATTCAAGCTGTACAACCCTGATATACGCCTTGGAAATATCATTGCCGACGCCGACTACAAGATAAAGGCATTTATCGACTGGGACTTTTGTTATGTTGCGCCTGCTCAATTCTTATTCAGTCCTCCCCTTGGTCTGACACCTTTGGATATGCTCGAATGCAATGATGGTTTTCAAAGGAGGGTTCAATAAGTTCATCATGGTTTTAAGGGACAAAGACGCAGTGCTGTCAGGGTTGATGGAAGAGTGTATGGACAATGGTACTTTCTGGTATAATCAAGCTGTTCAGGAATCAACGTTTTGGCAGTCTATGCTAGAGAGGTTGTGGACGTTCAAGGCGACACCAGAAGTGCAAGATCCACCAGATATGGCGGGATTCATACAGCTTAAATTAGAGCAGTATCGAGAGAAATGGATCTGATTGATAGGGGGAGGGGAAGCCGATGCCGCGGGGGGATTCGAAGGTTATCTATATACCGGTCAATATAGATAGCGAGACCAAAAGGGGGAAGCCTGATATTTGTAATATGTGAGCTAGGGAAGTATGCGGAGGCCGTTGACAATCAATGTGTCCGCCACTCGGTCGCCATCAGGATGATGAATAATAAGCGGGCTCATGCGGCTGGGGCGCGTTCCCTGCTGGAATCAAGGACATGAACGGTATCTTTGAGGGACAAGCCAACTCGTGCGGATGACAAGGAAGATAGTCTGCGGTTCGCAAACATACATGGGTCGGTGAATGAGTGCAACACACATGTAACTGATCTTCATATGGCTCTTACGAAGCAAGGGGTTGAAATTAATGACCGTTATAATACCAGGTATGGGGCATGCTTTTGATACCTACGCCGAGGAGGGGGTAGATGGGATCTTGAGCGATTCTTGTCATGTAGTCCTGCCTACCCTCAGCCTCGCCTGCAGCCTTGTGCCATCCAAATGGTGCGAGTATCTGTGGCGCTCCACAACAGAGCCTCGAATCCCGTCGCGGTCACGGTCCACTACTTCGATTCTCCAACAGTCAGCAACCCCAACCGTGTCAAGGCCACATTGGCACCTGGAATCTTTCTGTCTTCCCTACGACCTACTAAATGGAGTCAACTTCAATTCCGCATACTCCCCTGCTTTCGTCGTTACCAACGCCCTCCTGCCATGGCTAGCCTCTCTAGATCAGAGGTTATCAGGAGCAAACCAATTGCGGACGGGCTGAATGTGTTTCGCGATTCATTCAATTCTTTGTGTGAGGGACTTGGGGTATCTAGTTCTGTGGACGGGTTGCAGCGCATTGGTCATGAAGGTATGTACAGTGGACTGTATATGGTTTTCTCTCTAACTCACGTAGGTCTCCAAAATCTAGCACTTGATCTTATATTAGCCTTGCTAGTCCTCCCTGTCTCTCGGATATTACCTTCCAATATCGGCAATAAAAATCTCTTCGGTGACCTTTCAAGGCTCAACTCGGCAGTCAATAGCGATGACTTCGACATCGAACGGGTCACACCTCTGTTGAAAGCGGTAATCAATAACGAATCCGACGACATCATCTGGGGCAAAGCTTACGCTGCTGTCACTGAGTTCACACCACCCCCTCGGCCACTGCCATTCTTGAATCAAACCCCTTGGTCCAACGCTACAAGCAGTATTGTCAACTCTTCGGAGCACAGGAAATATGTGGATGATGTGCTGAAGGACGAGTTGGGGTCGTCGCTCTATATTGGGGTGCCTGGGTTCTACGACGCGTTCTTTAGACACGTGGAAGAGCTAGATTCTATATCCGAGGCTGTCTTTGAACAATGTCAGGAGGGGGGAGAACCCATTTTTAGCGATGGAGGCGGCTGGCGTGACTGGCCCAATGAAGCAAAAGAGCCAGAAGTCTTGAAGTGGTTTGCAGAGAAGATTGATCAGTTTTTGGGCTTCGCAACGGACCACAGAAATGTTCCACGAAGACTTTTAGCGCAGCCCAACCAACCTTTGGAAGGTTCGACAGCAGAGCGCAAGCTGGACATTGGCTTCGTTAATAACGTAGACGCTGAGGACAATTCTAAATGTCACTGGTCCGAGATTCTGGCCATAGGAGAGCTCAAAAGCAAACCGGGTGGTGATACGCTCTCGAAGACATGGCGCGACCTGGCAAGATATGCGAGAGAGGTCTTCTTCGCTCAGGACACTCGCCGCTTCGTACTAGGCTTCACGCTCTGCGGGTCGATCATGAGACTCTGGGAATTCGACCGGTTAGGCGGAATTGCATCCTCTCCTTTCGACATCAATCAGGACGGATTACAATTTGTGTCAGTGGTACTAGGATATCTCTGGATGAACAAAACACAGCTCGGTTTCGACCCCACCATACTGGAGGCAGGCGGAGAAAGATACATAGAAATCATGCGCCACGGGCGTAAAGAGCGCCTTGTGATTGACGAGACGATGAAACGGGCAGGATGCGTTGCCGGCCGAGCGACAACCTGCTGGAAGGCACATCTTGCGGATGATGATACAAAAGCACCTCTAGTGATAAAAGACTCGTGGCAGTATCCGGAACGGGATGAGGAAGGGGAATTGCTACGGGAAGCAACAGATAAGGAAGTGGTCAATGTTGCGAGGCATTACTGCCATGAGACCGTACACGTGGCTGGCGAGCGGGACGACGTCCGAGGCAATGTACGGAGGAATTTGGATATTTCAAAGGCAGCTAACTACTTCGTCCAACGGAAAAAGGCAGAAGGCTCGATGTTGCCTCCCAAACCGTCTGGCATGGATTCCAGCCGAAGGGGCCGATCAACCGCTGATACTATCAATCGGAAGAGGTCATCTAGTTCGCTTGACGCGACCCTACCACCAAAGAAGCGCACTTGCTCCAGCTCCCCAACAAAAAGGGTGCAAACTCCTTCGACGCATAACCGAATCCGCCGTCGCGTCATCGTCCGCGACTACGGCACACCTATATACAAGGCAAGCTCTTGTGTCGCCATGGTTGCTGCGTTGGAGGGTTGCATTGAAGGTATGAGATTTGCGGAGATAAACAGTACATTGGCTGACCAAAGTAGGATACGAGTCTCTACACGGCCGGGCTAGCATGCTCCAGCGCGACGTGTCGATTGGCAACCTCATGATGAATGAGGATGTCGATAACCCTTCCTGGGCCTCATTCCTCATCGATCTCGACCTTGCAATTAGATCGGAGCGTGAGGAGCCTTCCGGAGCTCGAAGTATGACCGGCACGAGGGCTTTCATGGCCATTGGGGTACTCCTTGGCGAGAAGCATTCGTTCATGCATGATCTAGAATCGTTCTTCTGGGTACTCTTGTGGATTTGCATCCACTATAATGGGCCGGCTGAGAAACCGACAGTTGTCCATAGGTTTGACAAGTGGAACTTTTCAGAGACAGAAGAATTGGCGGAGTCGAAGAAAGGGGCAGTGGTCCATGAAGGAGATTTTAAGAGGATGATAGAGGAGAATATTAGGCCATACTACAAGTCACTTCAGCCTTGGCTAAATCGTTTACGAAAGGTGGTGTTTCCAAACGGCGGGAGGTGGGAAAAGGAAGATAGAGGCCTATATTCTCGGATGAAAGAGGTTCTCCGAGAGGCACAGAGGGACTTGAATGTAGCAGCAGAGGTAGCATAATGTATAAGTGCTCTTTTGAATCTGCTTTCTGTCTCTATAGCATTATGATCTCACTACGCCTCCAGTTATCGGGGGCTTTTTGCGGTTGTGGAGTGCTCGTCTGGGTCGAGAAACGCCATTAAAGGTACTCGGTGTTCCACCCACTCGCTTCGCTCGTAGGTGGCGACAGCAAGTTGTGCGTGCGACAGCAAGATGTGCGTACACCGCTATTTTGATATATAGAAAAAATAATAGTATTCTTCATAACGTAGTATCTACAATGCCTCAAAATAACGATCCTACTATGATTGCTCGCCTTAATGAGGCCCAACAGTTCTTCTTAAAACAACCAAGTACATATACAATTGCTTGGGTTGCAAATAAATTCAATGTCAACCGTGAGACACTCCGACGTCGTATTACGAGTACTACGTCTCCTCAATTACCCCACGGAGGTAGCAATCGAGTCTTATCTCAATCGCAAGAGACCGCGGTCTGTCAATTCATATACGACCAACTTGAGCGCGGGGTCCCTGCCAACCGATCTATGATACTACGGGCAGTTGCAGACTTACGACCTAATCGTACGATACCATCACAACGGTGGCTACAACGCTTTCTAAAAGCACACCCCGAATTTCATACAATTCACACGAAGACGTTAAATACACATCGGAAGCAAGCACAAAAGAAAGAGGTGTTTGAGGAATTCTTTCTCACATATAACGCCCTTATTACAAAACATAACATTAAGCCATATAATTTATGGAATGTTGATGAGACAGGCTATATGATTGGGTGTTATAAGTCTACGGCTGTTATTGTACCAATCGGTGTAAAGCAGTGGACTGTTGATAATCCTGAGAATCGGCTCTCTGTTACTGTAATTGAGGCAGTAAATGCAAGTGGTGCTGCACTTGCAGAAGCTATCATTATCCCTGGCAAACTTCATATGGATTCATGGTACAATGATGACCTTGAGCCAAATGCTCTCATTATTGTAAATGAGAGCGGGTATTCAAACGACGACATTGCAATCCAATACCTTATGCATTTTATCCAACTATCTGCAGAGCATATGGCACCAGATGATACTCGCCTCTTATTACTTGACGGCCATGACTCTCATAAAACAGAGCGCTTTCTTACATTAGCAGAAGAGCATAACATTGTTATTTGCTGCCTTCCTGCTCATACAACACATCTATTACAACCTCTTGATGTAGCGGTTTTTAAGCAGTGCAAACACTTTCATCAAAAGGCACTTGATCAAGCAGTACGTAGCTACGACTATGAGTATAAGCTACGTACGTTCCTTTCAGACCTCCCGCAAATCCGACGGCAATCTCTAACTGTCCGTACAATTCAATCTGGTTGGAGAAATACAGGACTATATCCATATAATCCTCCACTTGTAATTGACAAGATACAAGAGACTCGGAATCAAACACCTGATTATGAGCCATTTGCTTCATATAATATTATCTCAACACCGAAAACAACTATGCAAAGTGTGCAAGCGGTTGAACATTGGCAGAAGAGAGCAGAGGAAGCTTTCTCATCGCCTTCAAGAGAAGGGTTTCAATCATTTGCACGTGGAACTACAGTTGTTCTACACCGGGCAGAGCTCTATAAGACCGAGCTAGATATTATGACTCTACGTGCAGTAGAGCAGAAGGCAGCAAAGGCAAGGGCACGGAAATCACTACAGAAAGGAGGGCAGTTATATGCATCAGATGCACGGAAAATGCGGGAAGAGAAGAAAGCAAAGTTGCAAGCAAAAGCAGACGCAAGAGCAGCAAGGGAATCGGACCAAGTAGTAAAGCAGCTACAAGCGCAAGCACGTAAAATCGAAATTGAAGAGCGTAAGGTTGAGAGGAAGCGGGTAGCAGAGCGGAAGAAGGAAGGGTTGAAATCAAAAGTGATCATTTTACGGTATAGTAAGGATCAAAGTGATAGTAGCAATAGTGGCAGTAGCGATAGTGATAGTAGTTCTATTGATTTTATGTTTTAATTATATAGTTATATAGTTGATATATAAGGCGTCTTTTTCTTCGTTTTATGTGTCGCACATCTTGCTGTCGCACGCACAACTTGCTGTCGCCACCTACGAGCGAAGCGAGTGGGTGGAACACCGAGTACTACAGGCCAGCCAATTGTCTCGATTTCTAGTTTCTTTTGCCACATATTCTGGATCTTATCATCGATGACCGCGTAACCAAGAACCTTCCACAACTTCGTCCGTAAAATAAACCAATCAGACTCGAGGTCGTTAAAGTCAAGCCCGGGCTCACTTGGTGATAACTCTTCATCAGCACTCACTGGCCAACTCTCTTCCTGATTCTTCGTTCAAGTCTAACATCTCTTCATCAGCGCTAATTCTTCGTTGAAATCTGACATCTCTTCATCAACGCTCATACTGGTCCTGTCTCCTTCTGATTCCTCGTTCAAATCATCTTCCTTCATATACGAAGAGTAGATATCCGCTGGACAGGGCATTCCTCGAAGCTTTGGGAATATTCTGCGCCATTCCGTTGCAATGGCCCGGATACTGTCCAATTCCATCAAGCGTCGTGGATCCTCAAAGAATATGCTTTGCGAAGTACATGATCTCTATTTGGCATGGTGTACTCAACACAATATCCAGCCACAGGATATTTATAACTTTGACGAGACTGGTTTTCGTGTTGGAGTAGCACCAGGGGAGGATGTAATAGTTCCTGTATCTATTACAGAAGTATGTATAATTCAGTACTTGTAACTTAATACAATTAAACTGACACTATTAAAGATGTATGTTCCAATGGCTGAAAACCGCAAATCTATTACCGTGATTGAGTCAATCTGTGCTGTTGGACAAGTGCTTCCACCAATTATCATTGTACAAGGACGACAACATATGGCATCTTGGTATAATGAGAAATTGACTGGCGATGAGCTTGTATTACTTTCAGACTCAGGATATACCAATAGCGAGCTCGCAATGCTATATTTGGAGCATTTTATCATTCATACAGGAGCTGGGCCTGATAAACCTCTAAAGGTCCTCCTTATGGACAGCCATATCAGTCATACAACACCAGAGTTCGTTATACGGGCAACTTCAATGAATATCCATCCATATCCGCTTCCTTCGCATCTTACGCACATTATGCAGCCACTTGATGTTGGTGTTTTTCAACCTTATAAACACTGGCACAAGAAGGCAATTCAATATGCTATGCGTAATCTTGATATTGATTATAATATAGCTTCATTCTTTCGGGATTTGAACGAAATCCGCCAGCAGACGTTCAAGAAAGGAACAATCATTAGGTCCTTTCGTGAAGCTGGAATGTGGCCAATCAACTCTAAAGAAGCTCTCAAGAAAATGAAAGTTTATACGATTTGTGAGCGCACTCTTGATCCTCCACAAATTCCACAGACTCCAACAAAATTTGTGCATTCTGAGCTCAAATTACGGCACTGGCAAAGTAAAATACCATGTCTTTTGTCTAGTCCTTCAGCACGAGAATGGGATTCTTGGGCACGTGGTACAGAAAATGTACTTGTTCAAGGAGAACTGGCTATTCTACAGTATGATTTATTATCTACAAAAGTAGCTAATCAACAGAAGGCGAAGCTCAAAAGCCGCTCTGTCGCTCAAGCAAATACTGGTCCATTAACTGCTAAGGATGCATGGAAAAAGATTAATGACAAGGCTAGAAAAGACAAGGAAATTCAAGAGCGAAGGGCGAAATACAAAGCACGAGTAGTGCTTAATAAAGTCAAAAAGGAGCTTCATATTAGTGGAGTTGAGGCCCGTAAAGCAGAGCTTTCAAGAAAGCGGCAAGTTAGCCAGATGTTAAAGGCGAAGGAGGAGGTGCCTTCTGATTTACTTATTCCAATTACAGATCCAGAAAAAATTGCGCAGGAATCAGAGCTTCAAGAAGAAGCCAATACTCAATTAATTTCAACGATGGGGTACGAATCACAGGCTGATGACGACGACGAGACAGGATTTATAAGATTCAGTGGATTGGATACAGACCTATTTGCGGACAGGGAGGACGAAAATTTAGACCCAGGGTTGTTTTAAATTTGGGAATAGCTTTAATTTTATCATATGATTCAATCACTCAATTGCTGGTATAGTTGTTTAGATAGTGGTTGTATTAGATTCTACATAGTTATGATATCTGGTAGGCTTCAACTCGCTTTCAGGCTTCAACTCGCTTTCAGGCTTCAACTCGCTTTCAGGCTTCAACTCGCTTTCAGGCTTCAACTCGCTTTCAGGCTTCAACTCGCTTTCAGGCTTCAACTCGCTTTCAGGCTTCAACTCGCTTTCAGGCTTCAACTCGCTTTCAGGCTTCAACTCGCTTTCAGGCTTCAACTCGCTTTCGCCGACCACCTGTAGGGTGGTCGGTGCGGACACCGACGATTATATGCAATGAGAAATGTCGCGCGATGCGCCATCGTCAATCTGCTGAGCTCCTTCTGCGGTCGCAAGGAGCGGGCCTTGCAAGTCTCACAATCCCCCCTCGAGATCGAGGGTCAAGACTGGTCGCTCATTTCTGACCTCCTTCTCACTCGAACGGTTGAGTTTTTGGTTATTGATGACCACTACTGTGGGCTTTTAATGGCTAGCTCCAATTATTTCCAAGGACTACCTAGTCCTGCTGTAAGTTTTATCCGCTCCCTCATAATAAACCATGCCTGACCCCATTAGGATAAGTTCTCAAACCTGAAAGCTCTCACAGTCTATAATTCAGAAAGCAGCCAAGATATTGATAAGCTTTGTCGATTGATTAAAAGTTGTGATTTGCAGGTTTTCCCCTTTGAGCAACCATCGCACGGAAGTGAGAGCCTACCCAATCCGACATTGCGGAGCTCCTATCGTGCCTTCGACGACAAAAATCTCAAGGCATTGGCGCTGATCATCCGCCGTTGTGGCCCCCCCTTAGGATTGTCATCTATGACGTTGACAAGCAAGGAACAGGGAGACCTATGGCCCAAGCTGAAGATGCTGTACCTTGGGGTTGCGGACCAACACTGGCTGGAACTATTACCAAAATTCGAGAAGCTTCAAATCCTCCGCTTGGAAAAGTCTATCAGTCAGAACTTCATCGAAAAGATTGCGAAATGCCGACATCTACGGGTCATCGATATCGTTTTTGATGAGCTTGATGACGTAGAAGCGCTCCTTTATATCGCCCGTGGCTGCCCGCTTTTACATAAGTTTAGTGTGAGGCACCTAGGCCTAGGCTTTATGGGGGAACCGGAGCTGGCGGAAAACCTGTGTGTAGGTCTGTTGCGTGCCCTGCCTCGCCTGGAGCACCTTGAACTTAACTGGAGGTTCCGGATGGACGGTGCAAGACTTGTAGACCTCGCACGTCACTGCCCGCGACTCACTGTTCTTGCGCTACCTCGGACTCGATTATGTCTCTCTCTTGCGCTGTTGACAAAAGCGCATCCCCAGTCTTGTACCGCAGAAATATCATGGGTCGTAACTCGGACTCGTGCAATTGGCTTCGTTTTGACAACTCGAAAGAGGATCGAAGAGCTCTTTATAAAGCTCTGAAACCAACGCCATGAAGGTGCTGGTTTAGGCGGTATTTCCGCTGCCCGCAAGTGGCCAATTGCTGTAAAAACCATCGCTTTTGACGCCCCATAGCCCGCAAAATATGAATCCTCTACATATTTGTATATAGCCTTGATTTGTGCCTCTGAAAGTATCTTATTCTGGCCTCCGTAAATAGGGTTTGGTGCCTGGGCTTTGAGTTTCGCTCGTCGGAGGTTCGTATTGAGGGTCTTCGCATTTATATTGAATATTCGTGCAGCGGTTATAGGCTTTTCTGAAGGGTTGTCGCGGAGGAATTGGAGGGCATCATCCATTGTATTAGATTTCAAGTACGACGACGAAGCAGTTTTGTCACAAGTGTATAGATGAAAGGGAGAAACATATAACGTGGTTTACCACCAAACGGAACATCCCACCAAATGAAACACTTTCCGATAGCATCGCAACCTCAAACCCAATTACTCCACCACACCACAACAAAAAGATGCCTCAGAAAGCTAATGAAGGCCGAGTTTTACTAGCCATTCAAGCTACCAAATCACCCCACAAACTGTCCATCCGACGTGCTGCGCAGCTATATGAGGTCCCACATGTAACACTTACCCGTCGCATACACGGAAGCCAACCACGAGCTGGTAGACGCGACAAACAACGTCCATTGACCCCAATTGAGGAAGAGGAGCTCATACGATACGTACTTGACCTAGATTCGCGAGGATTTCCACCTCGAATTGAGGATGTACGAGATATAGCGAATCTCCTCCGTGCGACGCGTCGCGAACCCCCAGTTGGAAAAAACTGGCCCTACCGCTTTGTACACAATGAACCAAAGCTTAAGACGCGTCTCTCTCGTGCGTACGACCTCCAGCGAGCCCTCTGCGAAGATCCTGATTGTATAAGAAAGTGGTTTGAGCTGGTAAAGAACATGCAGGCGAAGTACAGCATCCAGGATGCTGACTTCTACAACTTTGATGAGACGGGCTTTATGATGGGTGTTATCTGTGGGAATATGGTTGTTACGAGCTCAGATCGAAAAGGCCGAGCAAAGCAGCTTCAGTCTGGTAATCGGGAATGGGCAACAGCGATTGAATGTGTGAGTGCAGACGGCTTTGTAGTGCCTGCATACTTGATTGTACAAGGCAAGCATCACCTTGCGCCTTGGTACACAGAGTGCAGCCTTCCACCTACTTGGGCCATCAAGACCTCACCAAATGGCTGGACCGACAATGATACAGGTCTAGACTGGATAAAACACTTTAATCAGCATACACGTGTACGAACACAAGGGGTCTGGCGGATGATTGTCCTAGATGGCCATGAGAGCCACCTATCTGCCCAGTTTGATATGTACTGCAAGGAGAACAACATTATTACGCTCTGTCTCCCTGCGCACTCCTCACATCTTACCCAGCCTCTTGATGTTGGGTGTTTTAGTGTACTAAAGCGAATGTATGGTCGAGAACTTGAGGTCTTCATTAAGGCCTCTATTACCCATATCACTAAGATTGAGTTCTTTATTGCATTCAAGGCTGCCCACGACCATACAATGACAACTGAAAATATCCTAGCTGGCTTTCGAGGTACTGGCCTAGTCCCGTACAACCCAGAAGCAGTTCTCTCAAAGCTTGATATCAAGTTACGGACGCCAACACCAACTGGATCCCCCCTACTAGAGGCTGACCCTTGGGTCCCTCAAACGCCACAAACCCCAGCTGATGCAATTTTGCAGTCTAAGTTTGTACAGAATAGAATTGGAATTCATCAAGGAAGCTCCCCAACAACGATTTTTTCAGCTGTAAAGCAGCTGGTGAAGGGTACAGACCGCATTGCGCACCAAATGACCCTTATACAAGAGGAGGTCCGTACCCTTCGAAAGGCCAACACAGCACTTTCAAAGCGTCGGAAAGCCAAGCGTACACGTGTCCAAGATGGAGGGTCACTTACTATAGAAGATGCTCAAAAACTGATCGCTGAAAAAGAGGATAAAGGGTTGAAACGACAGAAAAGGTCAAATGAGGAGGGTGCTGTAGAGGCTGGTCCATCGACTTCGCGGCGCTGTGGGAGGTGCGGCAAGACTGGGCATAATGTACGAACCTGTCAAGAGGTTGAAGAGATATTAGGAGAAGAGAATTCAATTGAGTGTAGTTAATTTTAATGTGTTAGGGTGGAGTAATTGGGTTTGAGGTTGCGATGCTATCGGAAAGTGTTTCATTTGGTGGGATGTTCCGTTTGGTGGTAAACCACGTTATAATTTGTGTGTAAATCTCTTCTTCGGCTATGTACAAGACCCCTGGCGGGCTTCATCTCGCTTTCGGGCTTCAACTCGCTTTCGCCGACCACCTGTAGGGTGGTCGGTGCGAACACCGACGATTAAGCCTAACATTCGGGAGTGCTGCTTCATCAACAGCGGGATTCTCTAAAGAAAGAAGAAGATGTTCCACAAAGGTCATATTTCGTCTGAAGCGCTCTCGTGATGCTACAAAGAGGCAATTAAGTGACCCAATGTCAGGCGTGCGGAACTGCATGTCGTTCAGAGAGCCTTTGCAGAGCTTTTTCAAAGCTGCCACGCTCCACGTGATGTTCACACAGGCACAATTCAAAAGATCTGGTACCATGTGAACATTGTCGACGACCAATCTAACAATTTCCGGGAGCACAAGTGGATTTAATCGATTATAAATCGTAGCCATCATAAATCGGGGTGAAAGGGATGAAGCAGCAGCGATGTCCCCCAACGTTCACCTTAATCAGACGACATACAGACTGATGTGGCTCTCGAGATTCGGCAGATTGTAGCCCTTAAGTATGAGGCGGAACTAACTGACCCCTCTGCCAATGTGCGGCAAGGAATTAAATCAGAATAGTCTTGCGAAGCCGCTACGGATCACATTAAGAGCCATAGACTCTTTACGGGCTGAAAGGTAGGCAGTAAGGAAGTCTGGTTTGTCGATATGGTTGACCCTAGCCTGCATATACTCCTCAACTTGCTTTCCATATGACCGCTTCAGAACTGCAAAGCAGCTAACATCTAGTGGCTGCAAAATATGTGATGAATACGGAGGCATACAGAACATAATAATTAAGTGCTCTGAACAAAACATGTCAAACTCTGGAGTAGAGTGACTCCCGTGGCCATCAAGAATAAGAAGCCGATAAATAGCCTTTGTACGTTCCTTAGTTTGTTTCTCAAAGATGTCTGTAAACCAAGTTAGGCCAAGAGAGTCGTTTGTGCACCCGTTTTCACTAACTGCAATAGTCCAATCGCGTGGTAATGCGTCTGTATACCACAAAGAGATATGGACCTTGCCTTCGAAGATAATCATAGGAGGTAGTGCCTAGCCGTTAGAACTCACACATTCAATAGCTGTAACCCATTCGCGTTTCCTAGGTTGCACTCAAACAGGCTTACCAGCCCGTATAGAACCTGTAATAACCTTTGTAGTTGTAATTACTCCCATTTGAAATCCAGTCTCATCAAAGTTATATATATCCTCCTCTTGAATCCCATATTTAGCAATTGTATTCTGCACAAGCTGAAACCAGTGTTGAATAATTATAAGATCTTCACATTTTGACTGCTAATAATCGTATTTACAGGTGTATTTTGACTAGAGGGTGCTGTGTCGCTAGATGAAGTTTTGAACCTAGCATTTGCCAACTGTAAGTGGATTATCTTGATCTGTATCCAACCGTTTTTGAAGTAGTAGATTTGCCATTTGTTGTACAGAATTAGGTCTAAGTGGTAGGCCTCGCTCCTCCATAGATAATATCCATTAGACAAGTGTTAACTCCTTAGTAGCTGTGAGTTTAAGTTTTGTAGACCGTAAACTGTGTCATGTAGGGCGTCCGTTAATGCGTGCCCGCAAAGTCGATTCAGGGATATCGTACGCGTTTGCAGCACCTCTAACACTTGTAAAGTGTCCATCTTTATAGGCTTGTATTGCTAGAGTCATTCGACCCTCTTTGTGGATCGATTGGAGGTCAATTGGTTGAGACATGTTAATTTGAAGGTGGGTATACATGTTAGAATTCGTGATGCGTGCACCACTCGATTATAAAGTATGTTACTAAAAATATCTCGTAGCTAAGCTAAAACGGGTCAAAATACCCTGCTCCCCTTCGAATTGTAACTTGGTCATGATGGCTTTCTCTACCAACTAGTGTAAGGATGCCTCCGCCCTCAGTGACGGAAGGGATCGGAGTCAGGCAGGTTACGGTCACATGGGAAGAGTTAGGGCAGGTTAGCCGAGTTGGACCCATTTCGGGTACTTAAGGGGATTGATCCAACGGGGTTCCTCATCATCTTTTTTGTATCCTTCGTAGTAGACCTATAGGATAGCATCCATTTAGCCTCCAACTCGCACTCTCATATGCTATTACTGTGAGCTGGGTGCCCTGTGTCCTTACAGCATCTTGAAAGCTTGACTAACGCTCAAGCTCTAGAAGCTTTCTGGTTCTCCCATGATGATATTCGCTAGCTTACCCCTCTCCTCCACCTCCACAATGTCTCTTGGTCAAGAGGCATTCGGCCAACCCCTAAGTTAGCCTTGTATATCCTTTGTGCATGGCTTGCCTTTCTAGGAGATGGTCGACTCTCGAGAGGCTCTTTGGTTAAGGCCTCAGTTGAGTATTGTCTTTACAGATACAATACTCTTCCTTTATACGACCTTTTCTAGAATACTCGAGTGGCATCTGCAGCTTATGTACAAGTGTATAGAAGCCTTCTTAACAGCTGTTAAGGAGATAGGAGGAGCAGGGGGCATCTAGGGCTTCGTTAATGGAACCTTTCACCCCATTAACGACCAACAGGACAAGAGGAACAGCGTCTTGTCTTTTCTGGCCATAAGCGCCTTCATGGTATTAACTATCAAGTGATAGTTACGCTAGATGGTATTATGTCGTTAGTAACAGGACCTTAGCCTGGTCTAGTTAATGACTAGACTATGTGGCGCCACTCTTCTATAGAGCAGCACTTACGAGAGGTATCCCCTTTTGCGCCTTTTCTTGATTATACTAACTATTTACGCTATCTAGGTTATGAATGGTCATGAGACCATCCTTTGAGTATATGGTGACCTAGCATATAGAGCTGCCTTTGGTATAGCTTGCCTGTGGACCCATCTACAAGGAAGACACTTCCTTAGTGTTAAGGAAAGGGCTTGGAATAAAGTGCTTTCCTCTGCTCAAATTGCTGTTAAGCAAGCCTTTAGCAATGTCCACATCCTTTGGACGTATATATCCTTTGGAAAGGGGCTTCGGTTAGGGTTTCAACCTGTTAGTGTATACTTTCTAGTAGTAGTGCTTCTTGTAAACTGCCATACCTATATCCAAGGCATATCTGCTTCTAGGTCACATTTTATAGTGCCTCTACCAACAGTAGAGGCTTATTTATTATTATAACTAATCTACAGGTAAGTTTAGACTACTCTCCTCCTCTCCTCCTCTCTTGTCTCTTGTGTGGACTTGGCTTCGTAATAAGCTAAGGATCTTAGTAACTGTAAGGACACAGGGCACCCAGCTCACAGTAATAGCATATGAGAGTGCGAGTTGGAGGTTAAACGGATGCTATCCTATAGGTCTACTATGAAGGATACAAAAAAGATGAAGGGGGAACCCCATGAGTCGATTGTCTCAAGTACCTGAAAACCATCCGACTCAGTTCCGACTCGGTTATGTAATGGTGGGTGCACCAGATGTGAGAATCTAGCCACCCAAGGAAGGGATGATTTTACTAAGACAACACACTGTCTTAGGAAACAGATCCAAAGGGTCATAGCTTAGACTATTCCACAACGCAGCAATCAGGTGTATGATGTGGTGGAGTGGTTTAGACAAGTTGTAACAAATGTTGAGTCTGAGAACTCAGGGGTAAGTCAGAGGTTAGCACCTCACTGACTTTTCAGAAACAAGGAGTAACAAGATCAATGCTTGAAAGCTTGTAAAAGACGTGGAAGTATGTGATAGTCGATTTACTGTATTGTCTGCTTGCCCTTTCCTTAAGGAAAGGGCAATCCTATTTATGCTAAAGGAGTGTAGTTCTCTCATTTTCCAAGACTTTCCATGACTAACCAGGCTTGGTAACTGTAGTCGACATAAGAGAATCCCATAGAACCATCTCCTAGGTTCCTAGCCTATAGGAAGTGAAAGGAGGTCCAAGGTCAGAGTACCCCTATAGACAAATTATGTCATAACTTAACCAATCTTGTGGGTAACTAAGGAGCGATGACGTGTAATGAATCATAGACGGTTGTAGAAGCTTTTGGAGCTATTGTTCATGTTCCTAGGCCTCTAGTTGATAGAGATATGTCATGTGTAGTATTAGCCCAGTAACTAAGGAGTGATGTCATGTAATGAATCATAGAGGGTTGCAGAGATATGCTATGTGGTCATATCAGCCCAGTAACTAAGCAGCAATGACGTGTAATGAATCATAGAGGGTTGTAGCAATCGTTGAGTAGTATTGCTCTTGTTGTTGGTGTGACAAGCCAAAATATGTATAGTGACTTGTAGGTTTGAGGAGGAGATTTCTAAGTTTGCTCTTGAGTTTGATAGCAAACTGAGTGCAATGAATGTCAGTACGACACCTTTCCCTCCTTCCTACCTGCTACACTGTAGCAGCCGCTATCCTAATTAGGCAATTATTATGCCAAGCCTACTAGGGTTTATATTTCCTACCACGGCTAGTTTTATGGGGCTCCTAGAAAATGGAGCAGCGTTACAGCAAATCTAAATCGCTCTATTAGGGGGGCTTTAAGGACGAGGCGACCTACCAATCACGGTACGCCACGGATACACCAGCGCTTCGGCACGGAAGCCATAGTATATAAACCGTCTCTCTCTCAGAAATAGGGGAGTAGTTCGTTTAGGAATACCATGCGTTCTGGCACTCTACCCATATACCCGTCACAAGGCCGATCTAGAATCTGGAGTCAAATGGCTGACTGCATGGTGAATCCTCCATGTGCCAAAGCATTGGCCAAAGATCCGAGTCCTGTCTTCGATCCCTAATCACGTGAGCATCATAATTGTAGTCACCGCTTTATATTCTGCTACTAACTTTCGGGCCTTACGGCTCACTGATGAGGCTGATCTGACTGTTGATGTAGTTGACCGCGCAGTACGCCCGTCAGTGCTTCGTATGTCGGGTGGATCCGTGGATACGCGGGCCCTCAAGTGAGGGTACTCCCGTGTTATTTCCAAATTGACGCGAGACTGACACGGAATTGTCACGAAATTGTCACGTCGCCTCACCCTGCTCACCCCGCTCACCCTGCTCACCCTCGCTTCACCCCTCAAGGCGGCAAGGGGCTCGGATTCCACTGGCACGATTGAGACTATCGTCTAGGTGTTACGCAAGCTTGTGTATGGCAGAGCGGACGGGATGCCCAATTCTCTCGAGTCTATGGTCGTATGTGTTCATTCCTCTCTTACGACAGTATATATCCGACAACAATCCCCCTCCCATCCCCTCAATCACCATCAAGACTCGTCCACGCCCACACCCCATCCTCCCCCTATTCCGCCCAATCTAATCCAAACCCGGCCCCAAAGCAACAACACTAAACCTCAGCTCCCCCTCCTCCCTCCCCACAAACCGCCTCGGTCCCATCTCCAACGCCATCTCCCCAAGGGCATCCTCACCCCCCACCTCCCCTCTACAAATCGGCCCCTTCCTCCTCCCATCCAGTTCCCATAGTTTCCCGTTGACGACGACGAAGGTCACAAAGTGCAGCTCGACGATGTCGTCGGCGGCGGGGGCGGCGGTGTCGCCTTGTTGTGCTGAGGCGCTGTGCGCGGCTTCGAGGGAGGGGGAGTGGTAGAGGAGGTCTGCGCGCTCGGTTGGCGCAAGGGGGGTCGCATCCTTTAACAGCTTGCCCAGCGTCGAGTCTGGGTCTGGTGGGGGGGAGTCAGCTTTGCTCGAGGGGTTGGAATTGGAAACTGGCAGGGGGAAGACAAACCAACAAACTCCCTCGCACTCCCATTCACCGCCGCATGCAACAACGCCATCAATCCACAACTATTCCTAATAGTCTGCCTAAACCACATCACCTCCTCCCCCTCTCCCCTTCCCCCATACTCCTCCAGCCCCTCATCCTCCTCCCTCCGATACTTCTCATACCCCTCACTAACCGGAAAAACCAATAACAACGCACTGGCTGGGCGCGGGACGAAAGCTAGTAGCGAGCGGTCGGTGAGGGAGAAGACGTCGTGGAGGGAGAGGCTGGGCGAGAGGCCGAGGGAGTGGAGGAGGGTGGTCATTACTTGGGGGTTGTTTTCTGGCGTGCGGGGGGGGGTGTTAGTTTTGGTGTCTGGGTTTGGTGGGGGAGGGGGGGGCGGAAGGATGGGAAGTGAGGAGGAAGGGGATAGGGAGCAGAGGGAGGGAGGGAGATAGTAGGGGGGGGCGAACCTAGAGGGACGAAGGTCTTGCGTTTCGTTTCTGTGGCGGGGGTGGTGGATGTCGCGGGTGTGGTGATGGTGGGGGTTGTGTCGGGCATTGTTGCGGTGTTGGTGTTGGTGTGTGTGGTTGCGTTGCCAGTCGAGATGGTGGTGATGATGTGAGGTTGAGATGGTTTGTCCGTCTTGCGTTTTGAGGATGAAGTGAGATGGAAGTGGGTTGGAGTTGGTTTGTAAGTGATTTGTTTGCCAGCTTGACAAAGCTTCCTGCCGGCCTGGATGGATGGATCGACGGACCACCCCCGCGTCAGTCGGGGCGGGATAATAATTCCCCGTCTATGACGACGGCACCAACCGTTTGCCTCGTATCAATATCACAAAACTCACATCACCATGTGCACATTCACAAAACACAATAGAACACTTCACGACATCCAGAAAGAGTAAATAAACAAACCAGAAAAAGTAAATAAACAAACAAGGAAGACAAAACATACAAGGAAAACACCACACTATATTTTTGATATCAAAATTAAAGCCAACCTTGTACATCACCCCCCCCACCAATCCGTAAAGATTTAAATCCAAGAAAAGAAAGGAAAGGGTATACGATTCCCCGTAACATTAACCACACCCCCACCTCCTATCGCAAACACCTAAAACGACGTTCCCTATTACACAGAGACTGCTTATCTAATAATAAGTCTTCTCCTCCCAAATCGGCGGCCGAGCCCCCTCCTCCTTCTCCGCAACCCAATAAACAGCTCCCTTCTCATCCAACGCCGCCCCCTCATCCGTAATCGGAATCACCTTCGCCGTATGCGCTATCTCCTGTCTCGAGATGCCCATCTCATCTCTCGGGATCCAGAGCAGCGGGGTCTCAGACTTAACACTGGGAGGCAAGTACGCGTCGCGCTCGACCTCAGGGCTGTAGTTTGATATAGCGCCCGCCACGTCGTGGGGGACGAGACGGCGGAGGGTGGCGTAGTCGGCGTAGATGTGCGGCTTGAGGAATTTGGTCAAGATGTTTGGCTTTGCGTGCGGTGAGGCGGGGAGGGAAGCGACAGTCTTCTCGCCCGTAGCCTCAGAAGCCAGGAGGGCGGGGTCAGCAGAAGCGCCAGCCTCGTGGGACTTCCCGCCTTTCTGGGCGCCCAAGACACCGGGGATAGCAGTGCTCGACCCCGACTCAAGCGCAAGGAGCTCCTCCTCCGCCTCCAGGGACTTGGGGAGGTTATACAGCAGCGGGTCCAGGGCGGAGTTCATCGCGATGTGAAACAGGACCGTCCCCACCAGCGCGACAACCATCAGGATGATGGGCCCGATGGCGGCGGAGATACCGAAGAGCCCGATCATGCAGATCTCGGCGAGGTAGACGCCGGTGAGGAGGTGCTGGAGGGCGCGGGGGTAGATGAGGCCCTTTGTGTCGATGGTGTTGTCAGTTACGAAGAGGATGTTGTAGCGGTAGGCGAGGTAGAAGAGGGTTATGCCGACGGTGGCGAAGCCCATTACGAGGGGGGCGATGAGGGAGTAGGTGATGGCTGGGTGGTGTCAGCGAGGGGGTCTGGGGAATGGGGACATGAGAGGGCTTACCAATAACAGCTATGTTGGAGTAGACGGGGAGAATGCTACCCCATGACAAGGCGCTCAGGGTGGTCCACTTGGCATACATGGATCTCGGGGTGGAGGTGAGGTACTTGTAGAGGAGGCCGAAGATGAAGAAGCCGATGACCTGGGAGACGACGCCGGAGGCGATGGTCAGGCCCTGCAGGATGAAGTAGGAGATGTAGAAGTTGGAGGCCAGGGGAAGCTTGGTAGCCAGGAGACTGGTGACGGAGCCTGGGTTCTGGGCGATCTGCTGGGCGACAGACGAGGCGGCGGATCCGATGGTCATGACCAGGAAGACCTGGACGACCTGGAAGGCGAAGTACGCGTTCTGCGTGAACAGCTCGACGCGCGCGAGGGTGGGCTCGCCGGAGAGCTTGGCAAGGATGCGCATGATGATCGGGACCAGGGACATGAGGATGGACAGGAGGACAGATGGAAGGAGACCCGAGACAACACCCATAATCTTGGAAGGGATCTTGTTGAGCCACGTGAGCCACGAGAGGGTAGCGAGCTGCGGCACGTTGGAGATGAGACCGACAGCCGCGACGGGGATGGCCCAGAAGATGATGAGCGCAGCGATGAAAGCCTGGACGGCGTATCGGCGGACGACCTTCTGCCACCAGGAGATGCGCAGGGAGCTCCAGACGATCTCGTTGGGGTGCATGCCGATGTAGCGGGGGGACATGTGCAGGGCCTGGTGGTGGGACAGGGACTGGTACGCGGACTGTGCGGCGGACTGGGTGAGGAACTCGATGAAGACGGCGTTGACGTGCTTGTCGGCGCCGGCCTTGTACTTCTCGCGCGCGACCTCGGTGTCGGGGATCAGCTTCTCGAGCTTCTCGCGGCACCAGTTGATGGAGTCGACCTTGGAGCCGAAGAGGCCGAGGAGGCCGGTGCGGTGGGTTGGGCGCTTCTTGGATGGGAGCCAGCGGGCGGCGATGGATCCGGACTCGGCGTCGGCGGTGGCGACGACGGGCTCCTGGTCGGTGGCGGGGCCCTTCTTGGCGGCCTTGAGGCGCTCCTTGTTGGCGAGCTTGATGAGCTTGGTCTCGGCACCCTCGAGCCTGAAGGCGGTCTTGTCGCGCTCCTCGACGAGCTTGTCGAGCTGCTCGGTGTCACGGGTGATCCAGACGTGCTTGACCTCGTCGCCGAAGACCTTGCGGAGCTTGGCCTCGTCGAGGTACACATCGGGGACGGAGGTGAAGAGCACGGTGCGGGAGGAGATGCGGTTCGCGTAGACGGGCGACAGGAGGAAGGCCTGGCGCAGGTTGATGTAGAAGATGCTCTCGCGGCAGACCATGAGCTGGACAAAGGCGAAGAAGATCCATCCGATGAAGACGTGTGCGTACATGCGGGACTTGCCATCGGTGCTCTTGTTCAGGTTGCCAAAGGCCAGGGTGTTGAGACCCTTGGCGCCGTTGCCGCCGGTGGCGTTGACGGGGAACAGGACGGGCCAGGTGATGAGGCAGCCGAAGAAGCAGATGGCGACCAGGATGCGCATGTAGCGGAGGAACAGGTACGAGTCGAGCGACTGGGTCTGCAGAACGTAGGTGTCGGGGATCTTCCAGAAGGTGCCGAACCAGTTGAACAAGCCAGTCGGGAGCTCTGGGGAGCGCTCACTGGGGGATGGTTAGCTTCGTAGTCGAGGGTAGCTGGGGCAGCTGGGGTCGCTGGGCGCAAAACATACCTGTCGCGTAGAGTCCCGAGGTAGGTTCTCGGGGCATAGAAGCGGCGGTGCGACCGACGCAGGACCAGGAAGATGGCGACATAGACGAGGGCGACGACCAAGGCCGGGATCAGGGTCGCGACGAGACCGGATACGGAGGTGTCCTTGTCGGAGTCGGTGGGAGACGCCTCATCTGCTCTGCTGAAGAGGCCGTCCATGATGGGCGATTTGGGGTTGGGAGAAGCTCGCTCGCGATGGCAAGAATGGAAAGTAATGAAAGCTCAAATTGATGGTGAATTATGTTATTGTTGGCCTCGTTCTTTCGGTGGGGGATGAGGGAAGAGGGAAGAGAGAGAGGAGGGAAGAGGGAAGAGGAAGGGGGAAGGGGGAAGGGGGAAGGGGGAAGGGGGAAGGGGAAGGGGAAGTGGATCAAATGCATCCAATCAATCAAACCCATCTGCCCCACTCGAGGTCCCGTCCCGATTCCAGGTGTCCCATTCGCACTAAACCTTTAGTGGATTAGTTGGTGTGTCCCTAGTGCAATTCGTCGTAGGTCCGAGACAGACGAGACAGACGAGACAGACAGACGAGACAGATGAGACAGATGTGACAGATGTGACAGACGTGACAGACGTGACAGGGGAATGGCGGGGGGGTAGTGACTAAGGGAGGAAGTCCCGAAGTTGGTTGGTGGAATGGGGAGATGGGTGTTTTAGGATTGGGGGGGGTACATCAGGGGTAGGTCAGGGGTACATCAGGGGTACATCAGGGGTACATCAGGGCGAGGTAGAGTAGTGGTGAAAGATATGCAGTGGCGTCATCCACCTGTTGTGGTGGCAGATCTCACATTCCTTGTCCAGCGAGTAGGGCCTTGGCATGGGATGAGAGAAAAACTAGGTAGGTAGGGTAGGGTAGTGGTGATGTGGGGTAGGTAGGGAGGTAGGGAGGTAGGGAGGTAGTGGTGATGGTAGGTAGGGAGGTAGGTAGGTTAGGTAGGTAGGTAGTGGTGATGGTAGGTAGGGAGGAGGTAGGGTAGGTAGGTAGGGTAGTGGTGATGGTAGGTAGGGAGGGTAGGTACGTAGGGTAGGTAGGGTAGTGGTGATGGTAGGTAGGTACGTAGGGAGGATGTAGGGTAGGGTAGTGGTGATGGTAGGTAGGGTAGGCAGTGGTGATGGTAGGTAGGGAGGGTAGGTACGTAGGGTAGGTAGGGTAGTGGTGAGTGGTGATGTGGGGTAGGGAGGGTAGGGAGGGAGGGTAGGGAGGGTAGTGGTGAGTGATGGTGATGTAGGTAGGGAGGGTAGGTACGGTAGTGGTGATGTAGGTAGGGAGGGAGGGTAGTTACGGTAGTGGTGATGGTAGGTGATGGTAGGCGTGGTGATGGTAGGCGTGGTAGGCGTGGTAGGCGTGGTAGGGTGGTGATGGTGGGGTAGGAATGGTGCTACGTCATGTGTCCATCCATGCGCTGGACAGGCATCCATCGATCGGTGCACCACCCACCCACCACCAGCACATTCTGCATTTCTCATTAGAGCGTTTCAGCTCACATTGCCCATCATAATTGCATACTTGTATTGCACGTTTAACAATTATTGTTAATCAATTGTTAAACGTGCAATGATCGTCTCCCCCCTGCTACACTCGTACGTACGTCAACGCGTTATATTCTTATCATCACGTAACAGCAACGTCGTTGGTTGTACACCGAGTCGATCACGACTCCCTCTGAGACAATACGTCATGTGCATCCTTTACACTAAAGTGCACCTCCTTGGCGGATACGAGCCTTTTTAGCCCTACCACATCAAGCTTTGAAATCGCAGCCTATGGATCAAAAGGCACTAAGCCAGCTCGGCGAAATCCAGCCTGTGCGTTCTGAGCTGCCATTAGACCCATCTTATTGTTTGTCCATCCATTACTTGTAGGTTTAATAACCTAGCTGTGTAGGAGACCACCATCTATATACCAATTCGCAAGATGAGTCTTTCCTTCAACTACCAAAAATGGACGCACACTCCAACCTTCGCTGTTGATACAAGCAATTGCTATAGCCCATTCTTGTTTGCCTAGTTGAACTGCCTTGCCTCTGCCACATCGATCAGCACATGTAACAACCATAGCTAGGCAGATTATGCCTAGCATAAAGCCTGTCTTGTCAAAGTTGTAGAAATCGCAGTTAGGAATGCCATATTTTGCCTTCATATTCTACACTAGTCAAAACCACATCTTTTAAACAATCACTTCCTCTTCTAGTTCGGTCAATTTGTGACCTTTTAGTCGATATTCAGGATGAGAGGGTCAGCTGGTCATTCTGTCACAAAGCGTAGATTTAGGAACATTATAGATCTTTATAGCAGAGTGACGGCTATTTTTTTTAGATGATTGAATAGCCTTAATAGCTAGAATAATTCGTGCTTCTTAGGTTTGAATTTCCATTAGGGGTGGTTGGGAAAACATGTGTTAAAGTTGATGGGGACTGGGGTGGGGAAAAGTGCACGACATGGTAATATGCACAACATGATGATTCTATCTCTCCTAATTATTAGACTCTTATCTGCTCTTAAGCCTCCTATCATTAACAAAAAAAAACATAATATCTCTAAGCTGCTTAATCACAAGTTTGAAAATGCAAATCTAAATAAAAAAGCAGTGTATTTGTAAGGATGCCTCCCTCAGTGACAGAAAGGATCTGAGTCGGACAGGTTACGGTCACATGATGAAAGTTAAGGCAGGTTAGTGTCATACTGACATTCGTTGCACTCATACACATCTTGGCTTATCACACCAACAACAGAAGCAATACTACTCAACGATTGCTGCAAACTCTTCTACTACATCTGTTTATGCTACATACATCACGGCATATCATTTGAACACTCATTGAACAAGTTATTAAGAAAATCTCCTCCTTAAGGGGGTGGGCCAATACTACCACATGGCATATCTCTACCAACTAGAGGCCTAGGAACATGAACGATAGCTCTAGAAGCTTCTACAACCCTCTATGATTCATTACACGTCATCGCTCCTCAGTTACCCACAAGATTGGTTAAGTTATGACATAATTTGTCTATAGGTACTTTGACCTTGGACCTCCTTTTCACTTCCTATAGGCTAGAAACCCAAGAGATGGTTCTATGGGATTCTCTTAGATTCGCTACATGATTAGCAAGCTAGTTGTGGGTCGCACTTGATTTCTAATACATTTACCAAGCCTGGTTAGTCATGGAAAGTCATGGAAAATGAGAGAACTACACTCCTTTGGCATAAATAGGATTGCCCTTTCCTTAAGAAAGGGCAAGCAGGCAATACAGTAAATCGACTATCACATACTTCCACGTCTTTTACAAGCTTCCAAGCATTCATCTTGTTACTCCTTGTTTCTGAAAAGTCACTGAGGTGTTAACCTCTGACTTACCCCTGAGTTCCCAGACTCAACATTTGTTGCAACTTGTCTGAACCACTTCACTACATCACACACCTGATTGCTGCGTTGTGGAATAGTCTAAGCTACAACCCTTTGGCTCTGTTTCCTAAGACAGTGTGTTGTCTTAGTAAAACCATCCCTTCCTTGGGTGGCTAGATTCTCACATCTGGTGCACCCACCATTACAACACAGAGGTTTCTTGCATAAGGTTGACTTGACAGAGGAGGTAGGGGATTAGACACAAAGGCTTTCCAAGTAACACGTTACAGTATTGTAAAGGATACTATATTGAGTTGAGCACGAAGCTCCTATCTAAGGAAATACTATCTACTTATATAGTGGCGTTGTGCCTCATGGATAGTCTAGATAGTTGGATAGCTAGATAATCTAGATAGTTGATGGATAGCTCAACTATCTAATATCCACTAGTTTCTACAACTATCCACTAGCCTAGTCATGCTACAGCCTAGCCCTACTAGCCCCGTAATGTTATGGCTATTGGCAGAGCTATTAGCCGAGTAGGTCACGCTACAGGACCCCACGTCACCCTGCAGGATGGAACTGTGAGAACTGTTGGAACTTCTACAGTTCCTACAGTTCCTTAGGGTGGAACTTAGGATGGAACTGTTAGAGCTGTACAGTTCCTTACAGTTCCCTTTGGCACAACGCCACTATATAAGTAGATAGTATTTCCTTAGATAGGAGCTTCGTGCTCAACTCAATATAGTATCCTTTACAATACTGTAACGTGTTACTTGGAAAGCCTTTGTGTCTAATCCCCTACCTCCTCTGTCAAGTCAACCTTACGCAAGAAACCTCTGTGTTGTAATGGTGGGTGCACCAGATGTGAGAATCTAGCCACCCAAGGAAGGGATGATTTTACTAAGACAACACACTGTCTTAGGAAACAGAGCCAAAGGGTTGTAGCTTAGACTATTCCACAACGCAGCAATCAGGTGTGTGATGTAGTGAAGTGGTTCAGACAAGTTGCAACAAATGTTGAGTCTGGGAACTCAGGGGTAAGTCAGAGGTTAACACCTCAGTGACTTTTCAGAAACAAGGAGTAACAAGATGAATGCTTGGTAGCATGGAAAAGACGTGGAAGTATGTGATAGTCGATTTACTGTATTGTCTGCTTGCCCTTTCTTAAGGAAAGGGCAATCCTATTTATGCCAAAGGAGTGTAGTTCTCTCATTTTCCATGACTTTCCATGACTAACCAGGCTTGGTAAATGTATTAGAAATCAAGTGCGACCCACAACTAGCTTGCTAATCATGTAGCGAATCTAAGAGAATCCCATAGAACCATCTCTTGGGTTTCTAGCCTATAGGAAGTGAAAAGGAGGTCCAAGGTCAAAGTACCTATAGACAAATTATGTCATAACTTAACCAATCTTGTGGGTAACTGAGGAGCGATGACGTGTAATGAATCATAGAGGGTTGTAGAAGCTTCTAGAGCTATCGTTCATGCTCCTAGGCCTCTAGTTGGTAGAGATATGCCATGTGGTAGTATTGGCCCACCCCCTTAAGGAGGAGATTTTCTTAATAACTTGTTCAATGACTGTCCAAATGATATGCCGTGATGTATGTAGCATAAACAGATGTAGTAGAAGAGTTTGCAGCAATCGTTGAGTAGTATTGCTTCTGTTGTTGGTGTGATAAGCCAAGATATGTATGGTGACTTGTAGGTTTGAGGAGGAGATTTCTAAGTTTGCTCTTGAGTTTGATAGCAAACTGAGTGCAACGAATATCAGTATGACATGTGTCTTCTATCATTTAGAAGTCAGCGTTACACGTAACTAACATTAGTAACACTTAATCCCCCTACTTAGCATGCTCTTAACCCTGCTTAAGCTCTTCTTCTCCCCCTTTAGCTTAGCTGCTACTGCCTTAACACTTAGTGCACATAATGTAGTAGTAGGCATGATGATAGAGGTGGTGTAGGAGGGGGCATAGGAGGAGGGCGCTAAGTTAGGGGCAGAGAAGGTTAGGCTTAGGAGGTAGATAGCAGACATTATAATGGTTGTTATAGGTGTGTTTAGTAGGGTAGGTAGTGTAGTGATTGTAGTAGTTGTTACGTTAGTTTAGTAGATGCTTAAAGCTCTTGATTATGTAAATGAAGCTAATGTTAATGCTAATGATAGAACAAAAAAGAGAACTTACTATCATCTCCCTATATACTTTTCCCTACATCCTAATCTACCTATTACTATCTTTTTTTTCTCCCCCCCTATAACTATCCTGTAGATATCTACGCCTTATAGTATATAGGTTGTAGGAATGCCATCTAGCTTACAAATCAAGCATTAGTAAGAGCTGTCTAACTAAACTCCCCTACTACTACCCACCTACACCTAAACAGCCTTATAACAACCCCCCTATCATAGAGCTTTTATAGAGTATATAGTATAGGAATAGCACCCTTAGAGGCTAGAATTAACACTTCTTAAGGCTAGAATAGCTACATACTATTACTTAGAATAGCTACACATCACCTATACGTCTAGGCTAGAATCGCCTCATCTAGGCTAGAATTGCCTTCTCTAGGCCACACTTATGACTACAAAACTAGACCCTACTAAAGGTATCTATAACACAATAGGGTAACAACGTAACTCCTTGCTACTATAGATCCTATAATAGAGCAACCTTAGGAGGTTGGTCTATTATAGGATCTATAGTTGCAATTCTAACAGTTAGCATAACAGTAGTAGCTAGAGTAAAGAGGGTGTGTGTAGGTGTCTAATTCCATTATGTATCATGTACTACCACAACTTCCTAGTTTATAACATGACATATATACTATCTACTACCCTATCTACTCCTCCTCTACTCCTCTACTAACCCCCTTAGCCTCGCTAGGTTATAGACATGTAGCAGATGCCTTAATCCTCACTTCTCATTAGCCTAGCTATTGTTGCTAGGGCAAAATAATTCTTCATCTTCATACTTAAGTATGCTATAGGTGGTGTTGACTGTATTGACTATACGTACTCCTACCCTACTATATGAGGATTTTTGTATAAGGTGCCTTCTTCTAAGGGTGTGCTCTCTTGCTTTTAAGATTAGAGAGAGGGGTTATAATTAAAGCAGCTGTTAGTCATATTTGTGATTTAGAGTATTCTGTGATTCATAGCTGCCATTATAACACTACTTATTAAAGCCTTTCTTACCATATCTTCCTAATAAATTAGGCTTCATTATCCTACTGTCTTAGTACACTAATTCTAACAGGTCACATGTAACGCTATTTCCCAAGGTGAGTGACGTGAATTGCTATTATTATAGACAAAAGCGTATTTGGTTTATTATATTATTATTCTCTCTTAAGATATCAAATATAGAGGGTATATATGCTATGGTGTACAATCGCCTATAAACGCCAAACCTCGCAACAACCCTAAAGACTCGAAGCCTGTTGCTTGAAGCCCATTATTGGTATAGGTACGACTCCCTAATCTCGTTGACTCCATCACTCATCTCGCGCGCCGCGTCCGCTCGCTTTGAGCAGTGCCAGGTCCCACCTTCATCTTGTCCATTTCGCCTCGCATCCCTTCCGTCTCTGCCCTCACGCCGTCCGCCTCTATTCTTGCCATCTTCAGCTCTAACTGCATCGCCTCTACTTTATTTGTTAAGACACTACTCTACTCTGGCATGTCGTTCGCTGCATGCCAGACCGCCAACTGCGGAGACGTCACGTACTCCGGGGGCGGGATCGGCGGTCTCGCGCTCTTTGCTAGTTCCAGCTCCACGACCGCCTTCTCTGCCCTGTTTACCATCTGCAAGGCCTCTCCCGAGCTCTTCTATCATCCTTGTCATCAGCTCTGATCTCGTCTCTGCCCTCACCTTGTCTAGCTCCGCTCTCATCTTATCCCTCGCTTCCTCAAACTCGGCTCTCATCTCCGCTCTCACTCCTTCCATTTGAAGTGCCAACTTACCACTTTCCCCCGACGCGTACCTTCCCTGCCACCACCGACCCGAGTTCGTTGTCTTCCTCCCCCAGTGCCTCAATATACCTCTGTCTAAACACATCCCGCATCTTTCCTGACGGCACCCACTCGTCCTCCCACCTCACCAATCCCCGACCCGTATTCCAATGCCCCTCCCACCACGTCCGCGCCGCCCGCAACTGCGCCATCGACTTCTCGCACAGTCGATGCGGAATCCCAATAATGCGCCGCTCTCCTTGGTAGCACCGAAGGTCCCCCCACCGCGCCGTACTACTTAATACTCTGTATATCGACGTACTGCATCCCGTTTGTTTTCCTAGCCGTGTAGTTCTCGCGGAACAACAGAGCGTCCTTCCAGCTCTCTCGCACCTCGGGATCGTCTCTCCAGCTCTCGCGCGGGACCGCGAGAGCGGCAAGTACTTTTTCCAGAAGTTAAGCAGCGACGTCTTCGCCCCGACCGATTTGAACGACTGGATACCTATAAAAGTGACGATTGCATCCTCCGGCCCCGACACGTCGACGCTGAGGACGACAATGGGGTGGTCCACGCTATTAGGATGAGGATGTAGCAGGTTTATGTCCTCGGGGTTCTTGTAGTGGGGGGGGGGGCAGAGGAGGCACCCGGGGCTGATATCCCACAGCGCTGGGCGCCCTTCCCAGCCTTCGGCTCGTTTGAGGAGCTTGGTGGTGTAGGGCGCAAAGGCGGGGCCATAATCCATGTCCCGCTGTGCGAGCCATTTTCTATCGGTTTCATGCATCGCTGGAGTTGCTGTGGCGGGTCCTAAAAACGAGCGGTACCCACGACCCCTCCTCTTGCGATGCACCGACGGCATGGGGGTTTTGGTCACCGCTGGTGCTGCTGCGGCGGTAGGTTGACCAGGACTCCGTTCATTGATAGGTGCGGCGAATTGTTCGATATCAGGCGTTTGTAGCGAATCGTCCTTATGCGGCGATGAGGCTGCTTCGATCAGGGTGGCTGGTCCAGCCCCTTCTGGCGCCGCCGGTGATGCTTCGGAGGCAGATTGTGGTGGCACAGATGTGGAACTATCACCTGATAGCTCAGTCCCTTCGAACGCTTCTGGTGCTACTTTGTTGGTGGACTGTGATGGGGTGGACTGTGATGGTGTGGGCGTGGGCGTGGGCGGGGAAATGTCGTGGGTAGTAGGGTCTAGATGGGTCCCTTGGCCAGGGAGATCGGAGGAACTGCTCCCTATTCCAGGCCCTTCCCGTATATCATAGTTGGACAAGTATTTTTCTAGCTTGATGTTCGGATTTATTGTCTTGGGTTATGCCCTCGCAGCGGTGGTAGCAAGGTTTTTGAAGACGTGGTTCGGCGCATTGCTGTCCAGTTGGTTCGCACATCTATTGTGCTATCCCGAGTGGACAGCCTAGGGGCGTGGGAATCTTGAGTGACGCGATAAAAGACAGAGTCCTCCCTTTTTTGTTGTGCGTCGACAAGGACAGACGAGCCCTCCCCGGCCTTTCAAGGGGTCGAATCCTGCTGGTCGATCTGCTCTCTCAGCTGACCCTCTGGAGGCAGCAGCGAGGTTAGGTTCAAGTATCGCCGGGGCGCTTTTCCAGTCTTTTGGCTGAGATCTATGGGCGGCGGCGTCGTTCGGATTAAGTCTGCCAGGGCCCTTTCGCATCTTTCGCCTTGCGGGTCGTCTTGGGAGCGACCCATAGTAAGGGGGGGCTCGTCCTATGCCTGCCCAGACATACTGGTATCGCCGGCGCCTGAAATATAGCATTGTGCATTTTAACTTTGGTGGTTTGGGGGGGTGCGATGGACAAAAAGAGGATGTTGGGTGCTTTGCAGGCTGAAGTCTTGGCAAGGCTGTTATCACTTTTTGGGGCGGTGTTTGAGACGTGGAGTGCCGAGGAGAAAGAGGCTTTTGAGAGGGAGTTGAGGAGGATAGTCCCGGGGGCGGTGGAGACTTTCTAGAGGGGGGTTAGCCAGAGGGTTATGAAGAGGTGGGGATACCTATGAGGACTTATGTCGTAACCGCCAGGAAGTAAGGCGAAGGCGGCGGCAATATACCGCTGTCTTTTATTGAAATAAAAATAACACCCAAACCTTACCCACCATGATAGAACGACTAACTGCCGCAATAGCGGCCACCTCCCCAATGACCCTCATGCTCTCCCAAAGTGCCCTCTTCATAACCCTCTAGCTAACCCTCCGCCGCCACGTCTCCCTCCACGGCCCAATCCCCGGTGCCCGTACCTTGACCACAATTAACAGCTGGTTATACGCCATAGTCTCCCTAGGCCTCGTCATCACCCTCTCCCCCTCCAACGAACTCCTGGCCCGCCGCCTCTACCACGCCTCCAAGTTTTACGAGTATATCGACATCCTCAATGTTTTATGCTGAATATGTAGAGACGCTGCAAGGAATTTTGGAGTTCGCATTTGGTATATTATTTCCTAGCGCATTGGAGGATTGGAAAATTACGTATTATGGTTGTGACTGAAATCCTAAGTTCCGCTTACTTCAAGTAGAAAACTTTGTTTTCAGATAGGGATGGTGCATTATAAAGTATATATTTTATACTATGGGCGTGCATAGTAGTATATAGGTTGGATACTCAGCAGTTCAATCACAGAATCTCAGCTTCCACCTCAGAAATGAAATATGTTCCAGCCTCTCCATCAAACCGAATTGGCGTTTCGGCGTTTCGGCGTTGCAGCCCTCCGCAAAAAGAAGTTCTTTAAACCGAAGCTATCGTCTCTTGATTGCTCGTTGCAGGAGCGTGTTTAATGCACCTTATTGCCACGAGGGACATGCATCCCAGTAGAGCTTAATATTATTGTCCGCATCATTCATTGGAGTCCGCGTTGGCTCTCCATGGTAATCGACGCCGTTTGCTGCATTGGCGAAACGTGACCCATCTTGCGAGATCCAGGCATATTTCTCGTCTTCGCAGTTAAGCCAGTAGGGATCTCTTTTGCCTCTAATGAATTCGTCAAGGTGGCAGACGGGGTGCCGACCCGACGAAACCTTTGCCGTCATTGGCCATTTACAGGTGTATAGATACCCTCGAAGTTAACAATGCATGATTGGGCCAATTGGAAGAGGGCGACGAGAGTGAAAATAAGTAGCTTCATACTGGCGGATGGTGGATTAGACTGTAGGGAGCCAAGGAGCATGGATTTTATGCGAATTGTTTTGGGATTTCAGGTTGATCACTGATAATGTTAGATTCGTAATAGAACCATAGCCAAAAAACCTAGGGGAGAGCCCACTTAAATAGAAAACCGAAGGAGATACCGATTTGATAATAATATGACCGATCGAGATCAAATTCAAGCTGATTGAGGTTGCGTTATATGTTTCAACGTAGGTGCCTCGAGCCTCGAGCTCTCCTGTTAGAATTGTCGCATATCACCTAAACCGTACAGGGTCTACGCAAGGGGGTGCCATGGCTGTTCGAACTTGTGGTTGTGGGAACACCATTTTGCACTCTCCTGAATCGGGCCTCATACCATTACAGCTTGGAAGCAAGGGCGAAACAAGGGTGTAACACCAGGTTTTTTTATGACAGGCGCATTATATCGTAGCCGAACTAACTCTGTAAGCACCCTGGTATATTAATCCAAATTTGTACGACCACAGCCCAAAAACCTCCACCATCATCATTTATCGGCCATACTCGGCGGTTTCCATGATCCTGAGCCGCCCATCCGTTTCTCCCAACCCCCCATACCCATTCTGGCCCCATAACTCTTCCTGCCCGGTTGCGCCCTCGCTCGATCCTCAGTCGTAGTATGTAGACTAGTCGGACGGGTTGCCGTTGTAACTATAGAGTTTGATGGCAGAGGCAATCGCGGCGCCTCATGTTCCTTGCGTCCCGGCTCGGGCCTTGGCGGCGAGCTTGATAAGAAGATATAGTTGCTCCCATTGGACTCCGGGGGTGTAAAGGCACGGATGTTCCGCCGGTTGGTGGTAGTGGAGGTTGTGCCACCAATCCGGTGCCGTGATAGGGTCGGGCAGATTGTAGGAGGCACATAAGGTGCGGTTTGAGCGGGTATAGCGGTTAGAGGGTTCCCTCGTTGTGAGAGCGTCGGCCCGTGGTTCATACGAGGTAGGGACATAGAGGGTTGGGTTGTATGTGTTTGACGAGTGGCAGTAATAGCCGTGGTAGGCTCATTAGCCTTGCTATTTTGAGGCTTTCCAAAGTATGCCGCCAGGCTAGGTTGCCCTTCCGGTCGCTTGGTGGATCGTTTGGTACTCTTTTTGTCGGCGACTTCATCATCATCAAAGGTATATGGTCGTTTGGCACTTCCAGCGCCGCTCAGGTTCACAGGTTGTTCTCGAAGTACCGCTGCAGCTGTGGAGAAAGCGGGAGTGGTAGTCATTGTGGTGGTGTAGCTCGGCTTCCAGGGTTCATTGTTTCTCTTGTCAATCAATGGTCTCTCATGCGCAAGGGACTTCCTTGCTTCAGCACACTGTGCCGTGCCATCCCACCGATCCCAGGTCTTTGGGGGGCGTGCCTTTGCCGTTCCATCCTCTGGCCACAAATCATCCTCTTGGCTTGGAAGTGGCAGCTCGTCTGGCGTAAAGGTAATCTTTGGTACCCCAAGCCTAAGAATTGCCGCGATATCCGGAATGACGTTCTGTTTGCTGAATGAAGGCCCTTTCTGTCCGAAGTGCAGCAAAAGAGAGGTTGGCGTGAGGAAATTCGACGGCCTGGTTGACTCCCTTCTTGAATCAATGAGCGGGTAGCTCACATACAGCAATGCCTTAGCTCGCGTCATTCCTACATAGAGGAGCCTTCGCTCCTCATCTGTATCGTCGGCTCTACCATTGGGGATACTGCCATCATAAGCTCCTGGTATAAACACAACTGGCCACTCCAAGCCCTTTGCTGCATGAATGGTAGAGATTGTGACCCGTGGCTTGTCTTCGCCTTCGGCATCTTTCGCTCGTTTGTCTGTCGCCAGTGATATTTTCGCCAGAAAATTCGAGAGAGGCGTTGAAAGCTCGTTTTGTTCCAGGCCGTCTACTTCTGGCAGAGGCTCGTCATTATAGTCTGACGATTCAGGATCATCTGCTTCTTCCGCCAGTGCCAAAATTTCCTTCACGTTCTCCAAACGCGATTGGTAGTCCTCCTCATCAGGATATGTCTTTTTCAAGTAATCTTCAAGCTCTACGGCCTCTATGACATGCTTCATCAAGGATGCAATCGTATGCCCTTCTTCGTCACTAAGCTTTTTCCGTGCATCCTTTATGATTTTCATAAATTGTGAGATCCCATTTCGAGCTTTCGCTGAGAGTCCGGTTGCGAGTGGACCCTTTTCCATCAACTCCCAAATAGACATCCGTTTCTGATCAGCCTCCTCGATGAGTGATTTAACGGTTACATCGCCAACGCCACGCTTTGGAAGGTTCACAACCTCAGCAAAAGCATTGTTGTCTGCAGGGTTGCTGATCACTCTCAGATAGTACAGAATAAGTCTGACCTCAACTCGGTCGTAAAATGCTCGCCCACCTGTGACGATCAGCAGATGTATATTATGTCTTGATGATGAGCGTTTATGACAAGAGCATTAACTCACCAACCATCCGATACAGAACTCCCGCTTTGCCAAGGTATGTTTCGATATGCCGCGATAAATACGCCGATCTTAGTAAAATAGCCACATCGCCGTACGTTATCAAACCGCCCGTAAGGGTAACGCAGCGCCTAATTTCATGCATAATCCAGTCCCCCTCAACTTCCGCAGACTCGAGAGTTCTCAAAACAGGCCTTGTCCCCACCGTATGCGTCGCCAACAGACTCTTATCGATCCTACTCGTATCTTGTTGAATGATCTTTAACGAAGCGGCCAGAATGGCGCCGGACGAGCGGTAGTTCTCCTCAAGAGAAATGGTGATAGTATCCGGATATTGTCGTAATAGACTCAGATAGTTCTTGACTTCTGCAGACCGGAAGCCGTAGATACTCTGGTCTGGGTCTCCTACGATAGTAACTTTCTTTCGTGATGCAGCCATGAGGCGCATTAGATCAAATTGGACTAGGTTCGTGTCCTGAAACTCATCTATCAATACTGCCTCGACATTGGAGACACACTGTGGGTGGTCGCGGAGTAGGTCCACGCAGCGCAGAAGGAGATCATCAAAATCGAGTAAATTTGCACTCTTCAGGGTCGCTTCGTACTCTGTGTATATGGCATCAATTTGCTGCACCTCTTTGTTGTTATTCTTTATCGCCTTTTCCATTTTCTCGCCCCAGCCGCCTTTCGCCTTTCGGTCACTGATCTTATTTTTCGTCGCTTTCGGATCAGCCATAAAGTTATTCTTCTTGATAATTCGTTTGATAACGGTCTCCGAATCATGCTGGTCCGCCACACCAAACCCCTTCTTGATGCCGATGAGATACCCGTAGCTGCGTAGATATCTTACAGAAATGCTATGGAACGTCCCCAGAATTAATTTCTGCTCTCTGTCATCCCCAAGCAGCTTCCCAATCCGCTCTTGCATCTCATTGGCAGCCTTCTTGGTGAACGTCGCGACAATGATATTTTGTGCTTGTAACCCGGATGCGAGCAGCCATGCGACGCGCGAAGTGAGCGTGTGCGTTTTACCACTGCCAGGCCCAGCCAGAATAGCGAGCTGCTGAGCGGGCGAAGAAACGGCATCGCGCTGGGATTCATTAAGATTCGATAGAAGAGCAGCAAACATGGCGAGGTTCAGGCGATTCGATAAGAGCGTCGCGATCCTGAGCACGCTCGGATTGAATTCCCCGAACTGCTCCGTCACAGACAAGAGAAACGGGGCAAAATTGGTAGTGGGAATGATTAATCGTACGCAAGCCAATCGGTCCGTAGAATGGGAACATAGGCCCGTCGTCGATTCCTTACCACCGTCTTGCGCCGTTTTCCAACCCTGGAGCAGTAAACAGTCGCGTCTCAAGTCGAGTCTAGTGACTAATAGTATGAGGGTGGATAAGGCCCGGAATAGTTAAATCTTCAAAGAAAGATCATTATAATCAACCTGGATACCCGAATGGCTTCCAATGGGCAAGTCGTGAGGCGTTACCGTCGTCCTCGGTATTGTTGTCGCGTTATATTGTCGCAGCCATGGATTGATCCCGACGTCTCGCGTCATCACGTGATCAATATCTAATCTAATCTTATCTCCCATTATCACCAACCAATTCATCATCCACCTCGTCACCACCAATCCATCTTCTCAATGCTAAACACAAGATTACAGTGCCTGGGTTTTTAGCAATGCCAGGGAGCACAGAGTACGTGTGTAAAGGCTTCAAACTCGGTGCATTAGCACGTAGAGTATACAACTTTTTATCCTCTTGGCCGTCAGTTTCACGAGGGTAAATTGAACGGATCAGGTACCCAATTAGCCAACCGAGCAAAGCCAGAACTCTTGCTGATCACTGCAGAAACCCGGATTCACATACTCTTCAACAAGTCGCGCCAGCCCCGCTGCTTGCGGGGGACAGCGAGGAATGCTAATCGCTAGGCTAGAGTACCAGAGGTGGACTCGCCGACCCAAATCAGTTTGGTGATCCGAAGCAAGCTTCATGGTCTCCATGAGCTGAGGCCAGACACTACCCAGGGCAAAAAAGTCTGTGCGAATGCACCTCCTCTGCTAGAGTTGGGCGATCTGCTCCCTAAATGCCCGTCGGAGGGCCCTAATACGTTGCCATGCCGAGACTAGGACGCTCCATGGCGGCAGCAGCCGTCGTTCTGGTGCAGGGATAGGCCCATGTAAAACATGAAATGAGGGCCCTTGCAACTTCCCAGATTTGACCACTGGAGCAAGTTCAGCCCCCCAGGAAATCCTGCGCCACCACTTGACCGGGTCTCTGTCTCTGTCGCTAGGCACCATAATACCAAAGCGTTCTCTGATTTGCGAGAATGACGGGATCCGTGGCAGCATTAACAGTTCCCCGCGTTACTAACTGGAAGCCTCGCGGCCACGGTTTTCGGGTTGCTTGCTGCCCTCCTCGGGCCATTGCAGGTGCCGAGGAACGCTAATAGCTGTTTTGGCTCGTGTGTTTCGAGTTGCATGTGTACAACGTGCCACGGAAAGTTTCGACTCGATGGACAGAGAAGGCCGTGCCGGCGTGAGACACGCGTCTCTCTCGTCTTGCGGTGAAAATGGCACTGACTGCCTGGACCCGCCTCATAGTAGTTTGGAGAGGCCCTAGGCTTCGGGTTTCTTGTCGCCGCTTGGGAGATTGATAGTGATCTATTAAACTGGGATGGATTAATTCAGAAAAAGGAACTAGTGGCAACACTTGGAAGGTGGGGGCTCGGGGCAATCTCATCACATGTCGCTGGGCCTATAATGTCATACATATAGTGTCCACTTTCACCACAGGACCTGAAAAAGGGGAGCCTCGCCAAACATGACATGGGTTGTCGTGAAATGTCAACCAGAGATTGAACTGAGTGTGTTCGGGCAACTCTACGAATCCCGCCGTCTATCCCTGCTCATTTCTAATTAGCTACTACCAACATTATGGGAAATATTCCGTGACGCACGGAAAGCTCGATGGTGTATAGGGCTCAACATCCAATATTTCAAGATCGCAATGAGAATGGGAGTTGCTGTGTATTTCCGGGCACAGTGCCGCACATCTTTGGGCTTCTTTTGCTGAGTCTCGCGGCCTTGATATCCCCACGCAGTTGAAACTACTACAATGTGAACACCACGCTGGTAGCGTGGCTTGAAGAGGCGCGTGGAGAAACAATGAGCTGCATCATCCGTCACTTTCTTTTAGCTGCATATGGTCAAATTCATGGAGTTCACGTTGCTATGAAGGTAGCCTAGGCCAATGATGTTCTGCTAGCCTGGGACATCGTGGTGCAGGAGAGAAGTACTCCACATGCAAGGCTCCGTACACCTACATGGTCGGCGAGTTTTTGGGAGTGGCGAGATAAAAAAAATATCAGAGGCACTCGAGTACGTTTTGCGTCGCATTACATGTGGTGAACAACACAGAGAGCCTGTGAAGCAGCATCCACCATGGTGCAAGCGGTTCCCTGACATGCAGTACGACGATCATGTTATCGGCTCCGGATAGCTGGAATATGAAAAGCCGGTATGGCCAGGGTTGCTGATGGCTCATTTTCGTACCGTCGTTGCATCCTCTGGGGCCAAAACAACCCTGTCTGGATTGTGGGCTGGCCCGTCACAACCACGACGACCTATCCCAGGCTGTGGAGAACGACGTCGGGCTGGGATTGCGTGGGAGAGACGAAGTGGGCTAATACAAGCATGGCACCGACGGTGGAAAATCAGCTGGGAATTATTGGATCTGTCTCGGGCAGATTGACTGAAAGGCGCAGTACAGGCATGTTCACGGCAGAGCCAAATGAAATCTCGATCCTGAATACTATAGTGATCATGGTGAGAAGGCGGGTGATTCAGTTTTTGAGCCCAATGAGGTGGATGTATTTGCCCTACGTACCTACAGTTTTGTAGGTCCTCGCCCTCACATACAGTACATAATCAGCACTTTTTATACGGATTAGGTCTCTTGTATAACCTCACTCGTACAGGATGGTACGCCAAATGCATGTCGTCCTGGGGGTTGTGTCTCCAGAGAGAGGAAGGAGTTGATGTCGGTGCATGGTTTATAGATGCATGGTTATAGTTACACGCGACGCATTTGGCACTGCTGGCACACACACCATCACTACCGGAAGCCCCGTCAGGAATTCTGGAGGCGTTTTATGCCTGGCAACACAGGATAGCTCTGAACATCCCCAAAGGCCCTACATATTACCTCGCAGGGCAGTAATAACCCCCCGCATACAGTGCATGCATCATCTCCGGATTGCTTGGCCCAGGGAGCAAAGCCAGCATTGAGTTAACTAGAAACATATCTCCGGATCCCTATGAGGCCCAGTTCCAGTCCCAGTCCCCATATTCGGCCCGAGACCACACGCTTCCCCCCTCTCCAAATGTCTCTTAACCTTGGTTTATATAAGTATCCCTATACACCTGGCCCTTCCCGTCACTGAACTATGTCTATTCCACCAGGGGGCTCCAGAAAGGGTATATTAGTACCGAGGAGGCATAGCCCGTCGCATTTGGCAAATCGGCTGACCATATAAAGTAAGTCGTACAATCCCAACATTTCATATTATTGAAAACTGATCCATCTTTTGCAGCGCTGCCCATCACATTCCTATGGCGTTCAGCAACCACGAAATTCCATCGTCCGCACCACCCCGCGGGCCCTCCCAGGGCCCTCCTACTGAGCAAGGAGGAGACCACATTATGACGCAGACCGACTCATCCTTTGACCCCCATGAGTGGCATCGGCACTTCCAGAACTGCCGCCGCTTTTTCCTGGACCATTCACAGCATAGTCCAGTCCTCCAGGCCGTGGCTGCGTACGTGAATATCCTCTTACCATATCAACGACACCCAAACCCGACATCAGCATACTCCCCACCTCGATCAACGACGACACATTCTGGGAACTCAATACCCTCTACGCTCTCACCCAGGCTAGACGATCGCCACGGCGAATCCGTCTCGCTGGTTCCATATATCCGCCGCCTTGTCGTAACCGGCTTCGACACGCAGGCGATGCTCCAGATGTTCTTTGGCGACGACTGGGCCAAAGGAATAGGGCAGCTACACGAATCCGAGAGACGCAATTACCTCTTCGCCGCGAAGAGTGGGAGCTGGCTCGAGGTTAAGGCTAGCTATGAGCCGTCGCCCAACGAAACTATACCATACATGATGCCGATACGTAACCCTGCGGAGAATGAGATCCGCGCCGCGGAGGAGAAATGGAGTGAGTGGCTTGCGATGCAGGATTGGATGGTGGGACCCAGGGCACCCCCTTCTGAGGCGATGAGGGCGCACCTTGGGATAGACCCTATGGAGTGAGAAGGCTCATATATACATTTTGTTTTGGATATAATGACACAAACGGCGCGCGGGGTTTGCAGTCGATGGGCACTTCAAGTACGCTCCAGATACCCTATACCTACAGTCATACTACTTGTACTTAGAAAATGTGTCAGCGATGAACTTTGGGGTGATACGGATCGGGGTGCAATGAGTTGTTGCCACCACTGGACGGAAGAGATGGATGGCCGGCGACGGAGTGGAAATGGAAGGGCAGATCTTCTTCTGCGTCGGTATTTGCGGGCTCCTGCGGGCTATCGCGGTTGAGGGCAATAATACTCGACGATTCTGTCACATCTCGGATTGTATAAGATCAGCTTTTTGACGCAGTTGGACTCGTACAGACCGTTAAATTGGTTACTTCGTGTCTCGGTTTCTCAAACGCCCAAGTTTCTGCCGCCTGGAAGTCCCGATCTTGGAAACGGGGACCCTTAGCGCGAGGCTGAGGCGGGTGAATCCAGTACCTGGCGGCCTCGCTATCATGACGTCTGAAGACGTGTAGAAGAACAATATTCCTACTGAAGTTCATCCATTACCGCCATTGACCCTGTACCACTATATTATTATATCATGCCACTTGGCTATGCTTGAATCGCAAACGGGCAGATAACTATGGACGAATGGGCGACCTTTTTCGCCCATGCACTCGATCGGCGTCTCCCCACCGACAAGTTGGAGCAATTCGCAAAAGTCCTCAGCATCAAGGCACCTCTCGCCACTCCTCTTATTGCTGAGCTGCTGCTACGTCCCAGCGAATCCAGACACTACGACTTGGACCCGCAGGTCTCTCTTTACGCTCAAGCTCTCCTCCGTACCGACATCCTTGACGTGCCCTCGGTCTTGCGCGCGCTGCTCAGACACTCTACCTCTCGCCCTGTTGACGCTGCGAAGGAGGAACAAGAAGTCGCCAGCGGCTCTCAGACAAGATGGACAAAGAGTTACGGTCATGAAGAGAGGCTAGTCTATGGCCTCTCAAAGATTGTGGCAGCCGGGGACCGACCAAAATCTGCCCAAGAAGCTCTGGGGACGGCGAACGTGCTCACGGAGTGGATGCGCTTGTTGGTCATGTCAAACGCGGCAGATGATATGATGCGGGAAATTGGAGCGGGGAATGACAACCATAACCAGGAGGCTATGGCTGTGAGGGTCGCGGTTGGCGCGCTGTTAGTTGCGCTGGCTGAGAACGCGACAGTGAATGAGGCGCTGAAAAACCGGTGTCCCAAGGGTACGTATTTGAAGGGTCTCGGATGTCATTGCGGTCTTATAGCTGTGAACTGAGCAATACTAACAAACATATAGATACCCTGAAAGGATTCTCGCAGTCACTAGCGCATTTTACGCCGCTTCTCATCAACGGATCTTCCATGTTCGCCGAGAGGCTCGAATTATACACAAAGACACTTGTGGCCATGGAGCCCATCGATAAAAAGGCCCAGAAGGCTGGTGCTGAAATAGACCAGATTATAGACTCCGCCATGGCACTTGGTATGGACAATATACCCGTGGTTGAAATACCCACCATGAACTCAAGAGCTGGTCTCTATGTGTATCTAAATTCTTTGGTGGGAGCGTCCTATTTATATTGATGTGCTCTACTAACAAAGTTGCAGCTGACTGGAAGACCCATGGTTGATGACAACCAACTTTTAAATTTCCTCCATAACCGATACCAGGTCCGTATTTTGTCCATTGTTTTTAACACAAAAGCTTACATCTAGCAGGGCGATATCCAAACGACATGTATTGACCTCATCGTGTCCTCCTTTGACATTCTTGCCAATGCAATTTTTCGCTCTGAAAACCCTCAGACGACATTCCTCCTACGCTCGTTCCTAATCAACAAAGTACCTTTACTGATATGCATGATATCGGCCCCGATGTTCCCGCCTCTAAGTCCGGAGTTATGCATCACAGAAGCACTGAGCCATGTAGATACCAACGCCTTTCCGACCTTCTCATCTATGTTCGATGACAACAGTGCTGGTGATATGTTCTCAGACTCTGTGAGACAGGATTTCTGCTTCTCGTGCTGTCTGCACGGCCTGATCCCAGAAGAGAGCATAGAACGACTTCTGGGTGAGATCCCAATGCAGACATTACCAGCAGGCGGCCGCTACTCCAAGGACGAGGTCTTGGAGCAGTGTCTCTCTGACTCTGAGAAGATTGAGGCGTTCACAGACGAGCTGGAACACATGGACGGGAACGTGGGTGCGGTTAGTCAGGCCATAACGGAGCTACTTCGCCGTCTCTGCGAGAGCAAAGATACCATGGCCCTGAAGTCCCTCTGTGCCCACCTCGCACGTAAGCCGTCGTCGCTTGACGTACTCTTGATCTTCGACAAGCCCCTCACAATTTTACCACCAATCTGCCAGCTTCTTGACGCCTGGCGCTATGACGACGACCAAGGCGAGTACCAGCCTGTCTACGAAGACTTCGGCTCCATCCTCCTGCTCGTTCTGGCGTTCGTGTACCGCTATGATCTCAGTGCCACAGAGCTTGGTGTCCAAACGCCAGATTCTTTTATTGCAAAGTTGCTCGTTCGTGTGTCAACTGCACGGCTTCTGGACGATTTATCATCTGTGGAATCGTCGCAGCTGGATGGATGGATCAAGGGCCTCTTCAATGCAGAAGGTGGCGGGTTAGGGGATGAACCTATGGCGCTTTGTCCCCCGCAGGACTTTTACCTCCTCGTCCCCACTCTCTTTAGCCAGATTGTGCTGGCATCCCAACATGGCCACCTAACTGACGACGTCCTCCGAGGCGGCCTTGAATGTAAGCCCTCCCCCCCCATAATTCTTTCCACCCGGACAACACTAACTCCATCGCAAGACCTTCTCGACCCCTCACTTCTTCCTTCACTCATCCCCGCCCTACTATCACTAGCATCCAACATTCTCACTGCCCCACCTCCACCATCTCTCTTACAGGCTCTCATTCTACCCCAATCTATCTCAGCAGAAGCCTCACTCCTCCATAACGCCATCCTCCCCATTCCCGCCCCTCATCTCTCACGCTCCCTGCGCGCACTCCAACGCTCAGCCCCAACCCGCACCGACCTTGACCCTCTCATTGCCGCTCTCCGTCCACACCTACACTTTTCCCGCACCACCATCGATATCACCACTGACTTCCCCGTCCCACCGAATATCCCCACCGCCGTCCGCCACGCCGCTCGGGCTCTTATTAACTGGAACCCACCAGCCGCACCGCCGAATTACTCTCCCCGCCTCCCGGTTCTTGCAGTACGCATGCTTGGGGCGAGAAGGGCGCTACTTGCGCTACTAGAGGAGCTAGCTCATCAGTGTGCGCTGGGGAATTCGGGAACAGCATATGATGTCGTCGCGTCTTTGGTGTGTGCGCCACCCAAAGCAGCAGCTGGGGTTCAGGGCCGTATGACTCTGCGAGAGGCCTTGTCATCAGAGGCGGCGAAAGTGGGTGCAGAAGTTGGAAAGGAAGGGCCAGAGGCAGAAAGGGCAGAGGTTGTTGTGAGGTTGTATCGGAGAGTTGAGGCGTTATCAGCGGGAGGAGAGATTGATGAGCAGGCTGGATTGATGGGCACAGATTTGGGGATTGGAGGAGTTGGGGGAGAAGGGCTGGTGGGGGAGGACATGATGGGTGTGCTCTCGGAAGAGGGAATGATGGGGTTGGAAGGAGGTATGTTGGATGATATGAAGCTTGACTTTTAAGGGGGCTCTACAGCTTCTCCCGGTGCCCACCTACTCTCTGGATATGAAAAGGAGGAGTCATCTGCATGGCTACATCATCGTATGTATATGAATGTCATATCCTCGATTCAATTGAATCCTCAGTGGTGAGGTTACAGCTCAAAGCTGTCATGAGCAAGTAGCCGGTATTGTGCTGCCTGGTGATGTACCAACAATGTACGTTGATACTTGCCGTCGCACTGATGGAGTCTCTGACTTGTGTCGAAATATAAACGAACGCCTTTTGAAGTCGGCGAACAACATTTCTCCCCGATGCGCTCAGCTACCCACGTGGATCGTTAAGGTTTGGTGCCTAAGGCATTAAAACGGCTGACTGAGCCCCACAAATGTTTTGCGTGTGCGATCATTCGTCGCGCGATGTTATAACCCGTTTTTAATTTGTTGTTCACATTACAACTGACATGAACTTCCTATAACGTGGTTTATCAGTACGTCGGACATATCAGTACCTCGGACACTTTTCATTGGCATTCTACTTTGAATATCAATAAATCAACCATAACATATTAAATTAACTATAACTAAGCGGAATCAGATGAACTAGACATATCTATAGCTTCTTGACAAGTTCGCGCATTATGACCAGCTTTTCCACAGATCCCACAGCATCGCCTAGACGGTTGCCCCTCCTTGCGACTACCCCCAACCGCACGTACGTCGCGTCGTACCTGCTCATCCACATCCTTCTGTGCGATAATAGCCTGTGCATCCTCTACTATAAGTGCACCTCCTTCACGGACATGAGCCTTTTTAGCCCTGCGGCGTTTGCTAAGGGCTTCGTTGGCTGCTCGAAGGGTACGTACCTCAGCAGACAGAAGGGTGTTCTCATGTGCTAGTCGCTCCGTACCCTTTGCCAATGCAATAACTGTCCCGAAGAGTGGAGTTGGCGAGCTTCCTTGGTGACGGGCAATTCGATTTCGAACGAGGGTTGTTTGTGAAAGAGCTTCAGTTGGGTTGGAAGGGGTCTGGGAGACCCAAGGGTTGGTGTTGGCAGTAGAGGGTCTAGAGGGAGTTGGAGTCCGTAACCTCACGTCAAGCTTTGAAAGCACTGCTTGCGGGTCGAAAGGCACTAAGCCAGCTCCGCGGAACCCGGACTGGGCGTTTTGGGCTGTCATGGATTCCAGATATGCTGCTCTAAAGGCGAGAAAGAACTCGACCTTGGTAATGTGGTTGATATGAGCCTTAATGAAGGTCTCAATCTGCTGACCATATGCCCGCTTCAACACACTAAAGCACCCGACATCAAGTGGCTGAGTTAAATGAGACGAGTGGGGAGGTAGTCCAAGAGTTATAATGTTGTGTGCCTTGCAGTACTCTTGGAACTCGGCCGATTCATGACTCTCGTGCCCGTCTAACACCAGCATTCGATATGGACCCCTTGCACGAACAGCAGTATGTTTGTTGAAGTGTTTCAACCATTCTAGACCCGTCTCATTGTTTGTCCATCCATTGCTTGTCGGTTTAACAACCCAGTTGTGTGGAAGGCCGCCGTCTGTATACCAATTTGCAAGATGATTCTTGCCTTTAACTACCAAAAATGGAGGAATACTCCAGCCGTCACTGTTGATACAAGCAATCGCTGTAGCCCATTCCCGATTCCCTGGCTGAACTGCCTTACCTCTGCCAAGTCGATCTGCACGGGTAACAACCATTGCAGGGCAAATCACACCCATCATAAACCCAGTTTCGTCAAAGTTATAGAAGTCGCAGTCCAAAACACCATATTTTGCCCTCATATTTTCCACTAGTCGAAACCACGCACCAATTAGTTCGGGATCTTCGCACAAGGCCCTTTGGAAGTCGTAAAGGCGATTAAAACGCATCTTTAATTCTGGACGTCGTTGTACAAATCGGTGGGCCCAGAGCTTCCCGACGCGCCTCCCTCCACGCGATTCGAGTATAAAATTTGCCATATCTTCTACACCAGCAAGCCGGGGTGCAAATCCTCTTGAATCCATATCAAGTATATTCTGAATAACCACCTCCTCTTCTAGTATAGTTAATTTCATCATTGCAGGCCGGCGTTCGTAGACAGTAACGTAGGTCATGGCGTAACGGGGGTAATGGCGTAACGGGGGTAGTGGGGTTGGAACCACCCCATCAGACCTACAACCCTATTAACTACTACTACTACTATGCTAGAATGGTCCGTCAGAAGAGTATAAAGGCTCAAGAACGCGAAATTCAAATTCAAAAAGCTATATTAGCTATTAAATCAAATCAATACAAATCAATATATGCTGCTGCAAAAGCTTTAGGGCTACCAGAGGAGACCCTCCGCTGTCGCATAAATGGAAGGCACACACGTGTAGAAGCACACCAGCCGAAGGGCCATCGACTGGGACGTAGGAGATAGAGTGTACCTATCGACCAAAAATTTGAAAAACTCTCGTCCTAGCCGCAAGCTGGGCCAACAATGGGTCGGACCATATATGGTGTTGAAACGGATTGGGCATGCATTTCGATTGGAACTACCTAGCGGTTCTCAAATACACGATGTGTTCTCACCAGACATACTCATGAAGGATCCAAACAATCCCCTACCTGGTCAGGATCCGCCTGAGCCTAGCAGCGAAGTGATAGATGGCGTAGAGGAATGGGAAGTGGAAAAGATCCTCACTGTAAGGCTCCACTGGAAGCAACTACAATACTGGGTTAGTTGGGTCGGATACGATCCGGACCCGGAGTGGTACCCAGCGTCAAACTTCATGAACTCTCCCCAGAAACTCAGAGAGTTTCATACAGAATACCCAGATTTACCAGGTCCACCTCAAGAACTACTCGGAGGGGTTACGGCAGGGGAGACGGGAAAGGAACAAAACTACGATCACGGAGGGAAAGACAAAGCAGAAGAAACAGAGTCGTTGCTGTCTGTGACTCTAAACTAAAATACCCTCCGAGCCAGGGCGCACTCACCACCGTAACCCTTGCGGGAGCCACCCTTCCCAAACGTCTCACCGGCGTCGAACAAGCAGCTACCACCATGAGAGACGAAGGGTCGAAGTGACCCCACGCGAAGGGCCAGGCCCGAGTCCCCTCTGACACAGGGTCTTCCCCCACCTAGGCCCCATAGGCCGCCCCAACTTCCCCATCCTCCCCCTCCCTCCTTCCATCACCCCGAGTCGGAGCGACTGCGGGAGCGGCAGCGGTGGGCAGTTTGCCCACAGCAGCCCGAGTGGCGCGTGCCTCCTCGTAGAGGTCACGCTCCACCTCAGAGCGGAACTTTGGCATGCTCTGGGCGGCCAGGAGGGCCTCAAACTCTTCCCCAAGGAACCAGGGCAGCTTTCACCAAAGTGTCATACTGACATTCGTTGCACTCAGTTTGCTATCAAACTCAAGAGCAAACTTAGAAATCTCCTCCTCAAACCTACAAGTCACCATACATATCTTGGCTTATCACACCAACAACAGAAGCAATACTACTCAACGATTGCTGCAAACTCTTCTACTACATCTGTTTATGCTACATACATCACGGCATATCATTTGGACACTCATTGAACAAGTTATTAAGAAAATCTCCTCCTTAAGTGTCATACTGACATTCGTTGCACTCAGTTTGCTATCAAACTCAAGAGCAAACTTAGAAATCTCCTCCTCAAACCTACAAGTCACCATACATATCTTGGCTTATCACACCAACAACAGAAGCAATACTACTCAACGATTGCTGCAAACTCTTCTACTACATCTGTTTATGCTACATACATCACGGCATATCATTTGAACACTCATTGAACAAGTTATTAAGAAAATCTCCTCCTTAAGGGGGTGGGCCAATACTACCACATGGCATATATCTACCAACTAGAGGCCTAGGAACATGAACGATAGCTCTAGAAGCTTCTACAACCCTCTATGATTCATTACACGTCATCGCTCCTTAGTTACCCACAAGATTGGTTAAGTTATGACATAATTTATCTATAGGTACTCTGACCTTGGACCTCCTTTTCACTTCCTATAGGCTAGGAACCCAAGAGATGGTTCTATGGGATTCTCTTACGTTCACTACATGATTAGCAAGCTAGTTGTGGGTCGCACTTGATTTCTAATACATTTACCAAGCCTGGTTAGTCATGGAAAGTCATGGAAAATGAGAGAACTACACTCCTTTGGCATAAATAGGATTGCCCTTTCCTTAAGAAAGGGCAAGCAGGCAATACAGTAAATCGACTAGCACATACTTCTACGTCTTTTCCAAGCTTCCAAGCATTGATCTTGTTATTCTCTGTTTTTGAAAAGTCAGTGAGGTGCTAACCTCTGACTTACCCCTGAGTTCTCAGACTCAACATTTGTTGCAACTTGTCTAAACCACTTCACCACATCATACACCTGATTGCTGCGTTGTGGAATAGTCTAAGCTACAACCCTTTGGCTCTGTTTCCTAAGACAGTGTGTTGTCTTAGTAAATTCATCCCTTCCTTGGGTGGCTAGATTCTCATATCTGGTGCACCCACCATTACACAAAGTCAGCAACGGCCAACCAAACCAAACACCGAACCCCACAAGAAAACCTACCGGGACGCAAGGCGAGTGCTGCGACATGCAGTACCCACACTTTGAACTGGTCGGGGACCAGACGCAGTCGTGGGACTGGATCCCACGGGCTTTGGCCCGAAGGCAGCGCAGACAGAGCACGCGGAAGGCAACCGTAAGAGCCCCGGAGGGGGTGGGAACCGGCATCTTCAATTTTTTTTTTGGAATCTGCCATTCCGTCAGCCAAGCCCAAGTTATCACCAGCATGCCAACGCGCTCCCATCACCTACTCGTTCGTGCGGATTGTGTAAATACTATACAATCAGTTAGTAAACGATCAAGAAACGGACGGGGAGTGGCACTTACGCTATTACTGTGAGCTGGGTGCCCTGTGTCCTTACATATCTAAGGAAATACTATCTACTTATATAGTGGCGTCGTGCCAAAGGGATATCCGTGGATAACATGGATAACATAATATCCATGATATCCAATGTTATCCATCACATGACATTCTGTGGATTGCCGTGGATAACATGGATAACATAATATCCATGATATCCAATGTTATCCATCACGTGAGGTTGCAGCCGTAAGCGCTAGCCATAGCACTAGCACTTAGCCATAACAATCAAACCAATTAAGGAGCACCTGCCTAGGAACGCCGTTGCGAACACCATGATTCCTTTCAAAGTCAAGGTGTAGCTTTACCTTCACTGCTAATGAGATAAACCAGACTAAGTTAGTTAGCATGTATACTTGTATATATAATAGACACCATACATTTAATCCAGAATGGCCCAGGAGCAATTGAGGCTGTCCCGTCAGGACGCGGTTCACTTGATTCTATTTTCTCATAGAAAAGGATGTATTGGCTAGCCCAACAGAACACACTCTCTGCATCCACGACACTATAAACAGACTCAAGCACATCCCAGGGGGGGAGGCGCGCTTAGGCGGCAACAAAGAGTAGGTTAGGGGGGGATTGTCTGGTTTTGCAGCGTTGAACTTCGGATCCCTTTGGTGTCTACGTCTGGTTGATATAACACATATACGTGCTTCTAGGCCCTTTTTTATCCAGCCATCTTCGAATCAGAGTAAAATTCATTTTTATCCAGCCATCTTCGTTGCTTCCCCAGTATCAAATAGCCCAGCCTTCTCAGCCTCGCGCTAGCAGCGGGGTGTCTACAGGGTCTCGCCTGACATCTCCCCCCCCCACCTCTCTACCATCCATCCCCTCCTTCCACTCCAAATCACAAACCACTCCTCTTCATCCTCGCCCTCGCGGCTCTCAACAAACCCAATAACAACAATGGCCCTCCACGCCGCCCGATCACCTCTAATCTGCCCCTCCACCCCCTCCGACCCCGGGCCCGGTCCCACCTCCGCCCCCTCCATCGCTGTCGCAGCAGCGGCCGCAGCAGCACACAAACAAGCGCCGCAATTCACGCTCAGCTCCCTTAACTTCTCCGATCTATCCTCCGACCCCCTCCAACAATTCCGGTCCTGGTACCTCTCCGCTCAGGCAGCCGGCGTGGTGAGTCCCGAAACGGTGTGTTTGAGTACCGCCTCGTTACCGAGTGGACGGGTGACGAGTCGGTATGTTTATTTGAAGGAGATGGATGGACGGGGGTTTGTGGTTTATAGTAATTGGGGGACTTCTCAAAAATCGAAAGATGTGGCGGTGAATTCCTGGGTCAGTCTAGCGTTTTGGTGGAGGGACCAGGAACGACAAGTCAGGATTGAGGGACGCGTGGAGAAGATGAGTCAGGAGGAGAGTCAGAAGTATTTTGATACTCGCGCGAGAGGATCGAGGATCGGGGCGTGGGCGAGTAGGCAGAGTGGACGGATTGATGGGAGGGAGGTGTTGGAGGGGTGGGTGGCGGAGGTCGAGGAGAGGTTTAAGGGGGTGGATGAGATTCCGTGTCCGGAGTTTTGGGGAGGGGTGAGGGTAGTGCCGGAACGGGTGGAGTTTTGGCAGGGTAGAGAGAGTAGGTTGCATGATCGGTTTGAGTATGTGAGGAAGGGTGGGGAGGAGGGAGGGAAGGAGACGGAGGGGAAGGAGACGGTGGGGAAGGAGGAGAAGGAAGCAGAGGTGGGAGGGGAGTGGGATATTGCGAGGTTGAGTCCGTAAGTTGGGCTGGGAGAAGCGCCTTACTCGCTGGTGGTTGAAAGGGGACAGTTTGGAGAGGAGGAGTTTTGAGTTTTGGTTTTTGATATGGATAGGAAATAGCGAGGCTGAATTTATGATCTAGTGAAAAGGTCTCAATCGGGGCGTTTTGGGAGATGAATTCTGCTTTTTTTTTGCAGGCATTTACAAAGTCGGAAGCGTTACGAGCTATAAGGAATCGTTCAGACGTATACTCTATTATTTATTATCCCACACGTTACCTGGGTGGGTGTCCTGGCGTCAATTGTTGTTGATGGCAACGACCCCGACCGGATTATCTGCAGATGATCGGATAAACATAAGGCCGAACTCGCTTCCGACGCCGAGATGCGCTGAAAGGGCAATATCCATCCAGATACTCAAGATCCCCAAACCTCCCAGCCCCAAAAAACACAAATTCACTCAACATACAACATTTCAACTGCCGGTAATCGATATCTTGACCTCAATCTGAATCTGCATATCCAAAATACTCTTGCTACGATCACTACTTAGCTTTATCGCGGCTTCCTCGTCGCGCTGTCCACAGCCTGCAGCCGGTAGGGGTGGCATCGACCCCCTTCTCGATCTAAGGGCCTGTCCATACAGGTCCAGAACTCTCGCGGATATACAAAGCGCCAGAAGCATCATAATATAACATCTAACAAAAACCACTCAAAATAAACACCCCCAACCAATAACTCCGACTTCGTGCAGCCATCGCCACCTACGCAACACCTGTGGAAGGCGCTCACGATGCGCTATACTCGCGATGAGCTGGAGCACTTGCGTGACTCACCACTCGTCGTAAGGCCGGTGAACTTGCCTCCTGCGGAGGAGTATATGGGGTGAGTAGCGCCACGGCGACGAGCGGTAGCTCGCCCAAACAACGAAACTTCATCACTAACTGTCCTCAGACCGCCAGAGACGGATCGCAAACCAAACACCAGAGAGAGACGTGGGTCAGCTGGATTCTCGGATCAGACCAGCAGAAGAGCAGGCGTGGATAAGCTTGCACGAGTCCCAGGGAGTATGTACCACCGTTTGTTTGTCGAGTTGCATGGCTAATCTTACCGCTAAAGCTCCCTTGGACATCATCCTCGGCCCTCCCAAGACCTCATTCGCATCCTCGACCTCGGCGCGCAACGCGAGACCGTCCGATGCTGGCGAGAGACAACAAGACCAAGACCCTCGAGATCGACACCCCTTCCGCAAGAGCGACGGCGATAGCGACCGCACACGCGACAACCAACGCCAGCACCTCCGCCAGCGACGCTCGGATGCCGACCAGGACAGCGACGGATGGAGCACCGTGAAACTGCGTAAGAGTTTTGGCGCGGATGGAGCGGAGCGCTTTAACGGCCGTATGGGCGGAGAGAGACATCGCGATGATCCGCCGATGCCGAGGAAAGGGAGCAGAGATGCACGCGATGGTGAGAGAGAGAGGCCTGCGCGTGGCTTTGAGACGTTTACGCGCGATCGCGATGCTATTAAGGAGCAGGTGGAGGAAGGCGATGGGGCCCGTCGAGGCTTCGGTAGGGTGAGAACGGAGTCATGGTTCAAGGATAAGGAGGAGTTTTCTGCAGCGGCTGCAGCGGAGAATCGGAAGAGTAATGGCGAGAGATTGGCCGATCGCAATCGTGGATGGAGGGAGAAGGATACTGAGAAGACGAACGGACGCGCCCATGACCGTAATGCTGATAGGAATAATGATCGTGAGAGGGGCGGTGACAGGGACGATAGGGGTGGTGGACGCTGGGATAGAGACAATAGGCGACAGGAGCGCGACCCAGAGTGGATGGATGAGCCGTCGGATACCAAGAAGCGGGCGCATACCCACGAAGACTTTCAGAAGTGGAAGGAGAGCATGAATGCTGGGATTATGAAGACACCTGCTGCCGAGGTGCCGCCTAGCAAGTCGGCCCCAGATGCGCCTGGCCAAAGTTCGTTCTTAGGCTTTGATAAGCCGAAGGCCGAGACGCCTGTGGTTATTGATCCAGGCCCAGATAGGTTTATGAGTATGTGGTCCACGCCAAAGCCGGAGGGGGCCGAGACGCCGCTGGCTTTGAAGAAGGAGGGTCCAGTCAAGGTAGCTGCAGTTGGGAAAGCTTCGCGATTCACGTCGTTCTTTGCAGCTCCTCAGGAGGACATGCAGCGTCGCCAAACGGAACCTGTTCCACCAGTTCCGGGACTCGCGCTTAAGGAGTCCAGCCCGCAGTCTGACAAGGAGAAGGAGGACTTTCAAAAGCTGCTACAGAAGTTGCAAAGCCAAAGCCTTCTTGGGATGAAGACCCCAACGCCTCCAGTGAACCTAGCATCCCAGCCGAAGCCGCCACCACAGCAGAAGCCAATGGATGTCCAACTTCCGCCAATAGATCAGTTCCAACAATATCGCCCTGGCTTCCAAGAGCCACCACGATCAGGCAGCCGCGAGTCGCAGTCCCAGCAGGCTGCCCTCCAAGACTTACTCGGCAACCGATCTACAGCCGTTAGCCAGCCCTCGACCCGCCCCGAGCCCATGGCGCACGAACTCGCCAGCCAGCGCCGGAACACCGCTAGCCAAGGCTCAAGCCGACCAGACCAGGACATCAACCGCAACACCGCGTTCCTCATGGGTCTGATGCAAGCACCGCGCCAGCCAGACCAGCAACTCCGCCAAGAGCAACACATGATGAGGCCACCGCAATCGCAGCCCCAGAGACAGCAACAGCAACAGCAACAGCAACAGCAACAGCACCTCTCGGAGCGCGACCAGGACCTTCTAATGCGCGAGCAGCGCGAGCGCGCCGCCCAGCGCCAACGTCAAGAAATGCCACCGGGATTCTTCGACGAGTCCTTCCTAGGCCGCGGCTCGCACCCGCAGCAGGAGCCACGCCCGCAGTCCCAACAGCAGCAACAGCAGCAGCCAACACAAATCCTGCAACGCCCACCACCAGGCCTCGAACAGCTTCCTCCAGGATGGCAACAGCAGCCCCGCGACCAGCAGCAGCAGCAACAGCTCCCACAATCTATGCCACGCCACCCGCTCCAGCCACCACCAGGCCTCGCCGGCGGTCCATCTCGCGGAATGCCGCTGCCACCTATGTTCCCACCCGGATTCGCGATGCAGGGTTATGGCCCACCGCCGCCAGAGATGAGTGGAAGCGCACAGCGCAATGTCCCACCCCTACCACCACCACCGGGGTTCATGGGTCCACCACCGGGTTTCATGCCCCCGCCTATGGGGTTCCCGGGGGAAATGGGATATGCGCCGGCTTTTGATGGGAGGGGGCTGCCGCCGCCGCAGCAGGGGGGGTTTAGACGTTAGGTCTGAGAGGGGGGTTACTGGTATGGGAGGGATTCTGGTGTATCGCGAGGGGGAGTGGGTATATGGTGGATACTTGATGGGGTTATGACTGGCCATGTATAGCTGTGGATACGATGAGGGTACAGAGGAGGATATCCTAGTTAACACACTTGCACGCTGCCCATAGTGTGGTGGCAACGACGAATGGCGTACTTCACGGAGCGAGGCGGGCGCATAGATACCTACCGAACTCGCGATCACAATTAGTCACGCGCGGAAATGAAATCCTGTATCAGTAGCACACGAAAGTATATCCCTTCATGCTCATAAGTCTTTGATGTATCATACAAATTATCTCTAACCCTTTTCCGCCACTCTAACCCCAAGTTCCACCCCCACCACCTTTCCCCTGCCTCTTCTGTGCACTAAGCCTCCAATCATCCTCCGCAGCAAACTTATTATACAGCGGCTGAATCCTCTCCGCCTTCCTCCGCTTACTCAACCCATCCTTCCCAGCAACCTTAAAGAACGTCGGCGCCGCCTCCACAAGCCACTTCGGCTCAATAACAGTCGTCTGGTGCATATACTCCTTACTCGTCAAAACAAGCGTATGGTAAATCACCCACTCCGCCTGCTTCCCAAACAGCGCCGAGGAAGGATGCAAACTAACAGGCGTCCCTTCAATCAACGTCTTATACCCCTCCGTTGGGTCCTTGCGCGCCGCGCTCCGGAAGAAACCCGCGCACAGCGCGCGCCTTACGCGCGCAGTGTCGCGCCCACACGACGCGATGGCGTGGCGGTAGCGCGTCATGATATTCGCGAGCTGATCGCGCACGTCCTTAGCGCGCTTCATCGAGCGCGCCTGGATGAAATTCTCAAAGCACCAGGGCGTCGCATAGTTAGCTTGTTTCCAAGCATTATACACATTGAGGAGGGTGAGGTGGTCTCCAGCCGGGTCGTGGAACTTGGCCTTCTTCTGGTCAGCTTGTGCTTGTTTCTCCTTGGGGCGGTAGAAGGGTGACTGCAGGGACAGCATGGCTACAATGGATAGGATTTCGTCGGCGCAGGCGAGGTCGACGGAGGCGATGAGGACTTTGGCGAGGGCGGGCTCCATGGGGAAGTCAGCCATTTTGCGGCCGAGGCGGGTGAGGAGACCTTCGTCGTCGAGGGCGGAGAGGGCGTAGAGTTCTTCGAGGGCGGTTAACATGGTGTTTGTGGGGGGGGGGTCCATGAAGTCGAAGTGGAGGAGGTCGTTGATGCCCATGGCTTTGAGCATTAGGATGGTGTGGGAGAGGTTTTGGCGCTGGATCTCGGGGATGGAGGTTGGCAGCATCTCGGATTGGAAGGCTGCTTCGGTGTAGAGACGGAAGCACTTTCCTGGGCCTGTGCGGCCGGCGCGGCCGGATCGTTGTCGGGCTTGGGCTTGGGAGATGGGTGTTACGACGAGGGAGTCCATGCCGAGCTTGGGGTCGTAGGCGTTTTGCTTGGCGAAGCCGGGGTCGATAACGTAGTAGACGTGGTCGATGGTGATGGATGTCTCGGCAATGTTTGTGGCGATGACCACTTTGCGGCTTCCGGGAGGTGCTGGGTCGAAGATCTTACTCTGCATCTCGGTGGGGAGTGCAGAGTAGACGGGAAGGATGATGAGTTCCGGTACGGTGGGACCAAGAGCCTTCATCCGCTCAAAGAGAATCTCACAACTCGTGTCGATTTCTTCTTGTCCCGTTAAGAACAAGAGGATATCTCCAGGAGGTTCTGTAAGATGGATCTGCATAACCGTCACCAAAGCTGCGTCCAAATAGTCAGACTCCGGTTCCCTAGAGTACATAATCTCGACCGGGAACGTGCGTCCGGGAATGGAGAAAATTGGGCACTGATTGAAGTACTCTGAGAATTTGTCGGCATCGAGTGTTGCTGATGTAACAATGACCTTCAAATCCGGTCGGCGCTTCAGAGTCTTCTTGAGCAGCGCAAACAACACATCAGTAGAAATTGTCCGCTCGTGGGCCTCATCCAGCATAATGACCGAGTAGCGCTTCAAGTCAGGATCCATAAGAACCTCTCTCTCCAGCATACCATCAGTCATGTACTTTATCTTCGTATTTGGGCTCGTGCAGTCCTCGAAACGGATCGTGTATCCAACTTCTTCACCCAGCTTACAGCCAACCTCCTCAGCGACACGCTTCGCAACAGACATGGCAGCAACACGACGGGGTTGCGTGCATCCGATGATACCATTATTAGCAAAACCGGCTTCTGCCAAATACTGCGTCAACTGAGTCGTCTTTCCGGATCCCGTCTCACCGACAACAATCAGAAGTGAATTATCATGGACGGCCTTGATGAGCTCAGAGCGGAATCTGAATATCGGCAACGAATCGCGCTGTTCCTTGATTGTCATATTAGTACGCCTGCCCAAAGGCACATCCTTGCTCTGGGTGACGCGTTTCCACTCAGGAACAACTTCTTCACTGGCCGGGTTTTGTTTGGCCGATCGGAACTCGCTGGCGAACTTTCGGTCTTCGGGGGCTACCATCGGGTCCTGCCATTGTGCAGACAAGTCCACTTTAGCCCCTTCTTCGGCGGCCTTATCCTGCGCTTCTTGTTGTCTCAGCTCTCGCCTGTCTTTGGCCAGAGTAGCTCCAGACATTGCGGCACGATTAAGAGATCCGTCGGGCGCTTTAACAACTCTAATTGGCGACAATTCGAGAGATTGCTTAGTCTGACCAGCAAGAAAAGGAGGCTCTTCATCCTTGATTTCGATGTCGATATCTTCCTCAAGTTCCATCTCGCCCTCCCCATTCAAGGCGGCATTGTAATCTTCATCTAGATCAGGGTAGTCCGAAGCTTTTACCACTCCAGACGCGATCAGCTGTCTGACCTCCCATCTTTCTGGCGACGTCATTCTCTTCTTCTGCCTCTGCGGCGGACCATTATCCCTCCCAAAAGAGGCGCTTTGGTCACCCAGTAAATTGCCATATTCGCGTTTCCCGCCTCCTCCGAGCTGCTCCGTATTCGCGCCAGACTCTATCCGCGTTTGAGGCGCAAGATCGCGGCCCGTCTCCTGATCGACCTCCTTCATAGATAATCCAATCTTCCGATTCTCAATTTTAACAACCTTGACCTTGACAGTCTGGTCCCTCGAGACGAGATCCGACGGATGGTTGACCCGCGACCCTTCTAGAAGCGCAGATATGTGCACAAGCCCGTCCACCCGTCCTCTGACTCCGTGCAGGTTGACGAATGCCCCAAAATCTTTAACGCCAGTGACATGTCCCTCGTAAACTTTGTATAGTATCGGCTGGTCATCGATTTCCTGTTTCGGAGGGTTCCTCAGACTATCCTCGCCATGTCTCCGTCTCTCGCTTTCGTGCCCGTCTCTGCGACTCCTGTGTCCCTTCCGCGAACGTCCGTATTCGTCTTCCTCCTCATATTTATCCATTCTCCTTGAAACATTGTTGCGGTTCTGATCAGGCGACCTCAATCGATACCGTCCATTCCTGCCTCTCCTCTCCTCAAAGTCGTTCTCGGGGCTTCGAGTTCGTTTCCTAGTTTCCCTAGGTTTCTCGCCCCGCGCTTTGCCCCCAAGCCCTTCCAGTAACATCATGGTATCATCAATTGCATATGCCCCATCCGCCTCCACGTCGACCCGCGGAGGCTCAACGTCCGGTATCGCCAGTCCCCTGAACACCTTATCCTTCCCTTCATTCCGTCCATTCGTCGACTCCCTATGCGTGCTACCTTCTCCCTTATACCGCGGATGCATAGTCCTGACAAGGCGATCAATACTCTCTATCAAACTCCCCGGGAAATCGGCACCCATCCCGTCCAACCGCGACGTAAACTCATCGAGCGTCTTGCATTCGGCATGCTGGGCGATGACAAACTCGGCGAGCGTCTTGTCGCTGATTCCCAAATGATTTTGTAGTTCGGAGGTCACTTTCGAAACTAGCGATAAGATCTCTAGAGACTCGAGGTCCTCCATAGTGAATTATGGGCTGAACGCTGCGTGGCGGCGTATCGATGGCTGGTCTTGACTTTCTTAGCCGCGATGTTGCCTCTTCGCGGGTAAATTAAGCGCGGATGCGGCAAATGTGATTGGTCAGCATAGTACCAATCAAGGTGGCTGTATCATTAATGAGACTGTAATAGTTCAAAGCTGTGGCCTGTGGCAAATTTCAGCTATATGAAGAGTCATTTATGTGAGATTGTTGAAGTTTCAAATGTATTCATGTCCGCCAACCGTCCTCGTTATTCCCCACCAACTGCATCATGAATTGACAGATTCAACAGACTACCAGGGTCACTTATCGCGTCGCGGGGCTTAGCTTCTGAGATCGAGATCGTGAAACCGAAACTCTCCCCACCAGTCTCCCACAGCTGCCCGACAGTTGTTTTGCTTCACGACACACAGTACTCGAGTATTGCTACCTCGAACTCTTGTCCAGCTCTTTATCTTCTCTTCAACCTCGCAAACAACCCCATTGAAAGCAAGCTCTGAAGTCGAGCCACTTTTGCGCACGATGGGCGCCTCAGCAATTCAGGACCAGCGCGACAGTAAGTCCCAGCTCCAGCTCCCCTTTGTCGCCATACCAAATGCTAATACCCTTCTTCAGTTATTGTCGGCGCCATAAAGAACATAACCCGTGGTGATGTAAGCCGAGGTCGCCAGCTCAAGAGAACCAAACTAATGCGTCGCAGTGGAAGGTTTTGGTGGTGGACAACGACAGCAAGAGAATCCTCGACAATGTTGTGAAGGAAGATGACATCCTCAATGAGAATATTGCGAGTACGTGCTCTGTGCTGTGTGACGCATTACATGCATTGGGCGAGGCTGATGCGGTGTAGATATCGAGAAGATCGAGGATAAGAGGCCGCCGAATCCATACATGGATGCGATATACTTCTTGTCGCCGGAATCGCATATTGTCGACTGCTTGATGGCCGACTTTTCGCGCAGGCGGTATAAAAAATCATACTTGGTGTGGACGGCATTGTTGGATCCCACGATTCGAAGGCGGATTGACAATTCGG